CATTTCTTGCCGACTGTATTGGTACCACGTGCTGCGAGGAGTTGGTTGGCCATATCTCTAACAGTGCTGTACCGGGGCGGAAATCCTCATGAATCTAGATCGAGAATACGCTCAAGAATAACGGATTCTTCGATCTTTGTGAGCTTCTTTGAATTAGGTGTGCAGTCACATCGTGAAGGGATTCCGGCACATCGTCGACGAAGGGTAGTTTCAGGAGCACCGTATGCCCTTGCAGCTGGTTTAACCTTTTGAAATTGGCCTTGTGCAATAGCAGATTAGGCAAGGAATACTCGACTCTCATTTAAAAGTAATTGGGAGGAAGTTGGTTGATCCATCGCATGTTGAAGGTAGTAACGCGTGTGGTCGCACGATGCGCGCCGCTCGCTTGTCCGCGCCGCTCGCTTGTCAAGTACGTTATAAGCACTATAATAACTATATATTCTATGCAGAAAATAAAATGTTTAGCTACTTTATTATCTATGAAAAATAGCTCTAGTTGTAAAGTCTTAGAACGCTTCTAATAGTAAACTTGTAGATAATGCTTTGCGCTGCGCATATTATCTTTATTAGCTTACCTAGGTAGGGTAGTGTTTAGGTGCCGGCGGAACCTTGGAACCTTGGCGGAGCCAAACACCAGGCCCAGTAGGGTACCCTTATGGGTGCTAGGAGGCATGCGAAGCCATCCGCATGTTTAGTCTTCACCTCGACTCCATAGGCCTGAAAACAGAATTGCTCTCTTATAATGTTATCGCGCTAGGATGTTTCAGACGAAAAGTTAGACGAACGAACTGGCTAAAGGAGATGAAGTTTTTATATGAGTGACTGACGATGCCATAAAGGCTAGAAGCTTCATGCTCAGTTTTGCAGGCCTTGCCCAAAACCATCCACGGGACCCACCTGCATCGTGCATGAACATGGCATCTCCCTTAGTTTTCATCTCCAGTTTTGCATTGCTATGGTTACCATGTCTTTGCCCCGCGATATAGCGATCTCATGACCTCCCTTCAGGATGAATGTGTCCACTGTTGCCATGGGGGGAACCCTTTGGGCATCTTCTATCAACTCGTCTTTGACCACGATCACGTCGTCTTCAGCAAGTATCAGGCAAATACGTCCTCCTGACAGACCTGGTGGTGGATTTGATGACTGCCGCCGCCTGAGTTCCTCTCCCAAATCTCTCCACAATTGATCGTGTCGCCCATAGACTAGAGAGCTTTGTACTGTGCTTAGATACGACGCAATAAACCCTGGATTTCTCTGCAGTTACCAACGAATCACGTCGCCAATGCTCGCACAGGGCCGTTCCATGGCGATAGGCACCTCATCGAAATCGATACCCGCCTCATCAGTCTTGTCGCGTTCTTCCATACTCCAGGTGCCAGCTCGTGGCTCGAGGTCACGGCGGAGCAGCTTTAAGCGCGCCCACTGGGGTATACCCCGAGAGTACAAGATTCTGTCTCGGCAACTGATGTGTGACTTGCGAATCAAACCTCCAGGACAGATAAGAGTCATCGAACGAAGCATATGCGCGTGATAAGCGGCGAATCCAGCGGCTATAGAGCCGCCGAGAGAGAATCCTACGATATGGAATGCCGAGGAGCCTGCCCATGAGAGAGGAGAGCTTGCGAGGACAAGCAAGATTTGGCTGGTGTATAAGCGAGCGTCATGTCTCAAATCGTTTGGTGCGTCCGAATAGCCTCTTCCAAAGAGCTCTGGTATTCATGTGAGCGATGGATACTTGGATCTGGGATCTAATGTACTGCTCACTAAAAAGCATGACCCGGCAGCCCTTCTCGACGAAACCCCTCGCCATATTGCTCAATGCTATACATGGCGTGCCCAGCCCATGCAGCATCAGGACTTTCTCTCCATCCGAGGGACCCCATTCAAACACCTGAATCGTGCCATATACTGTCCTGACATGCCTCCCGCCCGGGAAAGCGTCTTTGAGGTACGGCGGCTTGGTAGAGCCCCGTCTCTCTGCGACTTCCACACGCGCTTTCGCGAGCGTGATTGTATGTGCCTCGGGCGGATGTTGTGAATCTCGAAAGAAGAACTGGAGCCAGATGCACAAGCTGCAGAGCGCTGCTGCTATCACAATGGCTGGCATTATCCACAGCTAGAAAATCGCTTTGTTTGAATCGAGATTTCCGATCCAACAAATTATGAATTTATGAGGTCAAGTGATGTGTAAGGCTTTGTGAGTATAGTGATCAGGATGTATATCACGTTATTTCTGCACCAATCTTCGGCGGTTTCTGAATACGTCTATCTCCGACGTGGTGATAGCTGCTATTCAAGCCAGTAACCATAGCTTCGTCACGCTAGAAGATATTATGGCCATTTCTTGTCATAATGGCTCTCACAGCTTGCTGTGCTCTTTGACTTTTCCCTTGTCGTGCAGAAACAGCCTCTGCCCACTTGCACCCGACGAGGAATGTTATCATTCCCAAGGACGAGAAATCTTGATTTATTTCCAGTCAAAATGAACTCAGAAATATCCAATGCCACGTTTGTTCAGGATGAGGTCCATCGAGAAAGCCTTCAGAATCTTGAGACCTTCTGGCTTCGTCAATCCAAACGACTACACTGGCACAAAGAGCCCCAAGACGTCTACCAGAAGACTCAGAGAAAGCTTCAGAGTGGGGTGGTGCAGCCGGCATGGAACTGGTTCCCTGGGGGCGAAATTTCTACATGCTACAACTGTGTTGACCGCCATGTCTCTGCAGGTTATGGGGATCAAGTGGCTATCCAATATGATAGTCCTGTTACCAACACAAAAGAAGCGTACACGTACAGTCGACTGCTTGATGAAGTAGAGACACTGGCCGGGGCTCTTGCAGAGCTCAGCATAGAGCGCGGTGACACAATTATGTTATACAGTGAGTATTATTTTCACCCTCTCGTGCGTAATGATAGATCTAACTTGCTTAGTGCCCATGATACCAGCTGCGCTGATAGGAATGTTGGCGGTCAACCGTCTTGGAGCCATCCATTCGGTTGTCTTCGGTGGATTTGCACCCAAAGCACTCGCGCAGCGTATCGAAGCTTGCAAGCCTGCGCTCATCCTCACGGCTTCCTGCAGTGTTGTTGGCAATAACCCTGCTATAGCATATCAGCCCTTGGTCGAAGAGGCAATCCGCTTGTCGCTTCATAAGCCCAACCGAGTCTTGGTATGGCAGCGAGAGTAATTACGGTGGAACTTCAAAAGCTGTTGGCGGAATACACTACCGCAACTGACACAATCGCTTCTCCATGGGAGAGAAAAGCGAACCCTCACCGCTCAATCATCGTGGCAAGAGCTTGTGGCTGATGCGAAGGCACGCAGGGTCAAGGCAGATTGCGTGCCGGTGAAGAGCCAAGAGGCCGTGTATATCATGTACACATCTGGCACCACCGGCCTTCCAAAGGGTGTGCGGCGTGACGCCGGCGGGCACGCTGTAGGCTTAGCTTTCACCATCGGTTATATCTTCGGCATCCATGGGCCCGGAGTTGGCGACGTGATCTTCACAACTTCAGATATTGGCTGGGTAGCCGGACACTCGTACATTCTCTATGCGCCGTTGCTTACAGGTGCTACGACCGTTCTATACGAAGGTAAGCCGATTGGAACACCCGATGCCTCTGCCTTCTGGCGTATAGTGGAGGAGTATAAGGTGAGTGTCATGTTCACCGCACCTACCGCGCTTCGGGCCATCAGAATAGATGATCCTTCAAATGATCACCTTTCTAGGATCGGAGAATGCGGCGGTTTACGATCGCTGAAAGCGCTCTTTCTGGCAGGTGAGCGCTCTGAGCCGTCCTTAGTGTCCATGTATCAAAGGCTCTTGGAAAGATACGGCGCAAAGGCCGCCCAAGTCGTGGATAACTGGTGGTCGACTGAGATCGGACCTCCCATCACTGCACGAGCGCTTGCGCCACACCAAGGCCTGGAATACTGGAACAATTCTATTCAACCAGCCACAGTGTCCCTGCCTCTCAAGCTTGGGAGCGCCGGAAAGCCAATGCCAGGTCATCAAGTGTGTGTCGTAGATGACGAAGGCCAGGACGTACAATCGGGGGTACTAGGGCATCTTGTGCTCAGGGTCCCGCTCGCTCCTACGGCGCTTCAAACGCTTTGGGAGGACGACGACGGGTTCTATAAGAGCTACTTCCAACGATTCGAAGGTCAATACTTCGGTACCGGCGACTATGGATGGAAGGACGGCGACGGGTATGTGTATGTGATGAGTCGAAGCGACGATGTGCTCAAAGTGAGCGCACATCGGTTATCGAGCGGTAAGCTTGAGCACTGCCAATCTGTTTCTATCCCTAACCAATTTCGTAGGCGGTATTGAGCAAGCGATCTTGACTCACCCTCTTGTCGCAGAATGTTGCATTACCGGGGTTCCGGATGATACCAAAGGCGAGCTTCCTTTCGCTTTCATCACCCTAGCCACCCCAGACAGCTGTCGATCGGAAGTAAGCGACGTCCGAATTGAAGAAGAGATTCCACAGCTCGTGCGGACCCAAGTGGGTGCTTTTGCTTCCCTGGGGGGTATGATCTTGGGCAACGGCATTATCCCAAAGACGCGGTCAGGGAAAATGCTACGACGAGTTCTGCGGGAACTTCTTAAGAATGGCGTGAGCGGTGAATATACCCGGGAGATCACTGTGCCTACTACGGTAGAAGATGGAGCCGTGGTTGAAGCGGCACGAGGGAAAGTTAAGGACTACTTTGAGAGAAGTGGGGGTAAGCACAAATTATTGATTGGAATGCTCCACTCCCAAGGCTCCAACGATCGAAATGCATGTTAGCACAACTGGAAGACGCCACGAGTCCGTAAGAGCATTGTTAATGACGCGCAGCACCTCTCTCTTAACCTCTTCTGATAAACCGTTGGTGAGGTTCGTAATACCGCTGCTGGCGACAGTGTTTCCGTTTACACCATCAATGCCGAGCCGCTTAAGACTATATGTCAGATGGGTCGTGAAAAGCGCCTGAGCAACCGATAGAAAGATCGAGCTAAGGTCAGAGAATATCAGTCTATGTTCGTAGGTCGGGTAACACATCAGATGTGAAGCAACTTACCTCCCCATGATCTGTGCAAAAGCAACCATGCTGGAACCGATCGGAATGTCCTTCTGGGCGAGCCGGCTTTGGGCAATGATCAAAGGCGTCACGCTGAATAAGGACGAGCCGATGGCAAATATGATCTGGAAACCGATCCATTTCCCCGTGCTTGTATCAGGAGTAAATGTCATGAAGAGCCCCGACCCGACTGAGCCAAAGACAGTTCTGACCAGCATCCAGGCGTCAGCATGGCCAAGCTTGGATATGAGTATCCCGCCACCAATTAGGGTGATGACACTCGTGATGAGCCAAGGAAGTGTATTTACCGCCGAGGTGAGTGGACTAGCTCCGTTGACACCTTGAAACCATCTGCATGGCGTGGAGGTCAGTAGGTGTATATCTACTTGAACAGGAAGGTGGAAAGTAAGGGGAGGTACCACATACATGGGGAGATAGTAAGTCAGCACATAGATAGCCCCACTAGTGCAAAAGCCGTAGAAGGAGGCGTATGACACGGACCTCTGGGTGAAGATGCGCGACGGCAGCATCGCATTTTCGCCCTGCCAGAATTCGAGAGCTATGAAAGCTGCTCCGAGAACACCGAACACGACGAGCAGTGCGATGATGCGAGCGTCGGACCAGGGGTATTGTACACCTCCCCACTGCAATGCCAGCAGCAGACAAATGACAGACGGTATCAACGCAGCAAATCCGATAAGATCAAGCGTCTGGGTCAGGTCAGATATGGAAGTGGTGGACTTCCCTGCATGTTTCGGCGGAGTGACGGAGAACCAGAAAGCCAGGTATATGACGGCTCCGAGGGGCAGATTGATATAGAAGGACCACCGCCACGAGACGTTCTGGGTGAGAGCTCCCCCGATCAAGGGGCCAGCGGTAGCGGCAACCGACCGAGCCATTGAAACAAGGCTTAGGCACAATGCGCGCTTCGGTTGTGGAGCGATGCTAGGTATAATGGCATAGGCCGTGATCAAGAGACCCGATGAGCCTAGGCCAGCAATGGCACGGCCGGCAATGAGGGCGGGAGAGTTGGGGGCGGCACCGCATATGGCAGAACCGACGAGAAAAACGAGTATGGCGCCGGTGTAGACGCCCCGGATGGGGTACAGTGCGGATAGCTTGCCAAAGGGGAGTTGCGATACGCAAAGGGCCATGAGGTAGATGCTCCCGTACCACCCGATGTCTTTGAGCGAGTGGAACTCGTCTGTGATGTACGGTATAGCGGTGGCAACGATGGTGTTGTCCTGTTACAGGGCGATTCGAGCGCGTGAGCATTCGGTTCTTCTTGTGGCACAGGGGCAATCTATCATGAATTGTCAGACGCACCAGCGTGACGAGGAAAATGCCCAGGCATAGTGTCGAGAGAGCAAGCCAGAACTTGAAGCCAGATGGATACTGTGGCTCACGCGTCGGGGTGGACGTATCCTGAGCAGAGGAGTGCCGCGAGAAGGTTGCAATCTCAGCGGAGCTCGAGGGAGGTCGCATTTCGATGCCTCCGGGGCTTGTCATGCTTGATCGTGGAGGGAGACGTTATGTGAGCCAAGGAAGAAGCTTGCGGGTAGAGACGATGGCGGCTTGATCGACGACCAAAAGCATCAATCGGAGAATGAGCCCATTGAGGGGACGTCAAAATGCGTCTCTCTGGTACATTCGCCGAGGATCGAGAAGCCGCTGTTGCCTTGCGGTTAACGAGAGTTCTCTTATTGAAACACATCTTTACTGGTTTTGATTGGTCAACAGAGTTGTCTCATCTGCTGCGTGATTGCGGCGTAGTTGCGGCGTAGTTGCGACGTCTTCATAGCGTTCCCACAGGTGCGTGCCTGCGGCAGTTGATAGGTGATTGATCCGCACCTTGCGGATTTTATTATCCCACTGCATTGTTCCATCAACAGCTCAAAGCGCATACACCTATTGGTTGGTGGAGGTTACAATGGAAAGTCAAGGGGTACAGTTTACTGGGGAGATTGGACAGTAGCTACCACTGCCAAGAAATAGTCACTAAATCAATCTACTGTGTATGATGTCTGTTACAGCCTTGGTCTTACGTGCACTAGGCCTGTTTGGTTCAGGAACTGGATTCAAAATCCGACCTGCGGAAGCTACGGGTAGACAGGGGTCCACGGGTGTGAGTGGTTTCCACGGAAGTAATTTTAGCGCCATCTAGCCGCATTCTAGCCCAAGATTCTGAAGCCGCTTTTAAAACCAAACCGGGCATGATAACTTCGTGTATTGACTACAGCAATCCTTTCTAGGCGCTAACTAAAACTACTTGCCATGTCTATCTTTTAAACAAACAAACTTTTGCTGCCTTTCCAGGTACTACCTAGGTAATCTCTGCGTGTACTATTAATACAGCTAGTATTGGATTACGGCATATGTAGCGGGAGTTGAAAGCTTCCTCGTCGTGGACCGATAAGGTCCTGCTTGTTAGGGCGTAGTAGGTTTCTTTGTGCAAACGTACCTAGCCTCTTTCAGTGCAGTAAGTTTCCCGGTCTACAGCCGCCGTCAGCATCTCTTGGCGGTAGAGATGAGTCACTCAAAGCTTTTCCGACCCAACCCACTTCTCCTACCTTCCACCTCTAATTCGTCGGCTATAAGCCAATAGTGCAGCTCTCCACGCCTAAGCCCGAATCTTATTTAACAGAAACAGAGACCGCTCCTCTCCGTCGCCCCACCGTTCCTACACCCCCTCCCTACCTGACCACGATCACTCATTCGACACTCTTGTCTTAGCTCCACACTGCCAATCTCCCCGACTATGGCTGAAGACTGCCAATCTCCCCGACTATAGCTGAAGACCGACTCAAGTGCGGGCCTCTCAATCCAGAGCCTGGAAAACGGAACATACTGGTTACTAGCGCCCTACCATATGTGAACAACCTGCCACACCTTGGAAATATCATAGGGTGTGTTCTTTCAGGGGATATCTTTGCAAGAGACTGCAGAGGACGGGGTCTCAACACGCTCTACGTTGGCGGTAAGTGCCTTTGAACAATCAATCCTCAAAGGCAAGTTAAACGGGACTGATCTGATCCTGTGCTTTCTTTCTTTTAGGCACGGACGAGTACGGAACCACAACCGAAGCCAGAGCACTCGTGGAGAACTGTACACCACAAGAACTGTGCGACAAGTATCACGCGATCCATGCCGAAATATACAAGTGGTTCGACATCAGTTTCGACACCTTTGGCCGCACGACGACCAAGCTTCAGACGGAGATTACGCAACACATCTTCCTGAAGTTGAAAGAAAATGGATATCTCAAGGAACGGACGACTACTCAGCTCTACTGCGAAGAACACAGTTCGTTCCTTGCAGATCGCTTCGTGGAAGGAGAATGCCCAGCCTGCGGTTACGTAGATGCTCGAGGCGATCAGTGCGACCTTTGTGGGAAACTGCTCGAACCTCTCGAACTTAAGAATCCGCGGTGTAAAGTGGATGGTTCTACGCCGGTCACCAGGGATACGAAACACATTTTCTTGGAATTGGACAAGCTGCAACCCCAGATCGAAGCATTCTTTCAGGAGTCCTCAGAAAAAGGCGCTTGGTCAAACAACGGCAAAAACATCACTTCCGCCTGGCTGAAGGAAGGGTTGCAACCACGGAGCATAACAAGAGATATGAAGTGGGGAACCGAAGTTCCTCTGCCAGAGTATCATGACAAGGTCATCTACTCATGGTTCGATGCCTGTATCGGTTATGTGTCTATTACCGCTGGGTATACCGACCAGTGGGAACAGTGGTGGCGGAATCCTGAGCATGTCCAGCTATATCAGTTCATTGGGAAAGACAACGTTGTCTATCATTCCGTCATCTTACCTGGTTCTCAGATTGGTACGGCGGAGACTTGGACAAAATTGCATCATCTATCTACCACGGATTACCTAACCTACGAGGGCGGCAAGTTCTCCAAATCCCGTGGTATCGGCGTTTTCGGCGATTCTGCCAAAAAGACCGGGGTTTCGTCCGATGTATGGCGTTACTACTTACTCTCTCATCGACCCGAGTCGGGCGACACCGAGTTTACCTGGGACTCTTTCATCAGTTGCAACAATAACTTACTTTTGAAGAATTTCGGCAATTTCGTCAACCGTGTTTTGAAGTTTGTCAACTCACAGCATTGCAATAATATCGTGCCAGACTGGACCAAGTATCACGAAAACTCTTTTGACGCTTGGAAACAAGAGGTGAACAATCTTCTCTTCCGATACATTGAAGAACTCGACGCTGTCAAGGTTCGTGCGGCCTCCTCCACGATCCTCCACATATCGCAGATGGGAAATGCTTTTATTCAATTCCACAAGCTTGACAACAGTCTGGCTGCAAACAACCCTTCCAAATGTGCCGCTGTCGTTGGCCACGCTATCAATCTGGTCCATCTACTTGCCTCGCTCATCGCACCCTACATGCCTGGGACAGCGAGATCCATCAGTAAGCAGCTGCGCATGGAACCACTTGCAATCCCGGACGCCTGGAATGCGGATTCTGTGAAGCCCGGTCATGAAATTGGCAAGGCTGAATATCTCTTCACCCGCATCAAGCCAGAGAAAGCGGAAGAATGGAGAAGGCTATTCGGTAGTGAAGAGGCAAGGAAACTTCGAGAGGAAGAAATTGCCATGAAGGCGAAGAAAAGCGCGGTTTCACGAGACATTTGAACGTATTTGAAAATTGATTCCTCCGGATAGGAGCTCGACCTTGGCCTTATTAATGGGCCTCGGTGGGATAGGACTTAGGCACGAATTTCATGACTTTGCATCTGTGCACATTGATTCCGACCCTCGATCGCTGCTTTGGTTTCGCTACGTTTCCTGTTGTCGTCCTCGTTAGTATTACGGTGTTTCCCTTTGTCTTAACCGACGTAACTATTGAACCCTTGATGTGATAGAAATGCACTCGGCTACAGACATATTACTTGATTCCGCACGACGATAATGTTCGAGTTCTTGATCACCGCTTCTATTACCCCAAGTAAGTTCGTTTCCTTCCCCCAACTAAAACGAGCAGGAAGTGGGAAATCAAGGCCTATTCCCTCGACCAAATAAAAGTACCAGTACAAGCAGCCCTTCCATATCTCCCTCCAATCCCAAAATCTTCGAGAGAACATCACAGCATCGCAATCTTCGGCAGTGGCTTATTCTTCACTTCCTCCCACTCACCTCCACCCACGCCAGCAAATCCATCGCCCCTGGAACCGCGCTTGAATATCCGCGGAGGTTGCGGCATGCGGCTCGTTCTCCTCTTCCCTTTCCTTTCCCCTGTCACGCTTTCTCTGTCCCCTTTTTCCTCCTCGGCATCTATGCTCGCACCACCCTGAACTTCGTCTCCCTCTCCGCCTCCTGACCCCGTTTCTGAACCAGACCCAGGATGGCTTCTACTTCTCCCCCTGATATCTAACTCTTTCTCCAACTCTACTCGCAGATTAACGTCCTTGCCGTCTGGACTGCTATCCGGACTAAACCGACTCAGCAGTTCCGCAGACGAAGACCTCATAACCCCTTTGCACATCTTCCTTCCGACCATACGTTCACCGCTCCCACAATCCTCCCCCGCTCCAAGACGCGGCTTCCATCCCATAGCCATCCTACCCCTCCCCATCTCCGCCCCACCCACCACACTCCCCGCATCCGGCGCACTAGCACGCCTAACATGGCCCATCTTATACCTCCCTCCCCTTCCACCAGCGCTATAAAGGATCCTTGTAGGCACCACCTCCATCCCCGGGATATCCGTGCCATTCAAAATCGCATAGGCAATCTCCGCCGCACTCGCTTTCCTAGCATCCCCACCGCTCCTATCTTCTTCTCCATCCTTGCTGCTGCTGCCACCCTCGGGACTCCCCCTCCTTTCTTCCGCCGGTCCCGTACTCCCACTCCTCTCACTCCCCGCTCGACTCGCACTTAGACTCCCTGCCGGCGTCCCGGAGCTCAGGCGATGCGGCCTCGTCAGCGACACTGAGGACCGTGAGTACCGATTACGGTACGTAAAGCTTGCGGTGCTGGATACCCTCGGTAGATTTGGGTTCGAGCGTGAAGCAGGGCCGAGCGGGGATGGCAGTGTCGGATGGACAGCTCGCCACGCCGAGTGCGACAGTTGCACCGGGACGGTGAGGGGAACGAAGCCGGATGGGGCGATGAGGGAGGACATGCGTGGGGGTGGGGGAAGCCCTGCTGCGTGGGGTGGTGTTGCTCTGGGTGTGGATGTAGGTTGGACGAATGGTGGGAGGAGAGATGGGAGCAGGGGAGGTGGCGTAACGACTGTTGTTTCCGTGGAGCTGGATTGGGACGCCGATCCCGATGCTGGAGTATTATAGGTAGCTGGGAGAGGCGGTGGCTGTGCTGAAGAAGTGAATATCCCAAGACCAATAGAGCGGATAGGGGAAGGCGCATGTATGGTAGAGGGCAAGGAAGTGGACGACAGATCAAGGGTCTCGACATCGGTGGTGGCAATGCTGCTTCTTCTGCGAGGAAGTTTGCATCGGCTGCGAGATTTCTCCGATATGTTGGATATGCTGCGCGTGGGTGAGGGCTTACGAGACGGATTAGGCGTAGGATGTAGATTAACAGAGTCGTGGTAGGTGGCCTTGAAGACATGCGCTTCGAAAGGCCGGCGGAGGACGCCCAGCATACCGAAGAGCGTGCATGAGGCTACTCTGTCAGGCCGTCAGTATCGCAGAAGCTGAGAAATTGTTGACGTACAGAGCAATGAAGGATAGCGCAAAGCTGACACGTCCGACGAGACAAGTCACTCCGCTCTCCCAAGCTGCAATCCCCGGTCCCGCTGGAAGACATGCTGGTCTTCTTGCAACCATGATCATGTTCCACCCGTTCGTCAAGAGCCAGAGGGTACATAGTGAGACGGCAATGCGGACGGCAACGTACGTTGTCTTTTTGATAATTGAAGGATCGCGTTGTTGGTGCCGCCATATCCTCTGCTTGAGAGAGAATATAGTGTGAACAATGATGTAGCCGACTGATGCCAGGGCCTGTCTTCTTGATAAGATATGTCCTGCCACAACAACTAGGGAATAGACAACGTACCGAGAGAGTTGTGAGGATCTCAGTGGGGATGTTGACGGTGTCATTGGGATTAGAAGCAAACAGGTAAACAGCGGATATTAGAGTAAGAATTGATGTCCACAGCAAGACGTTCAGACAGACCGTTAGGCTAAGGAGGGTCAATTGGCGCCGGGGGAGCTTCTTCGAAACCGAAATAGAGACAGGAACAGCTTCTGGCTTGGGTAGCTGGCTAGCTTCTCCATTGCTGCTTTCCGAAGCTGCCATGAGGTGGATATCTGAGCTGTGCTCGGGCAGAGCCCGTGCGGACTGAGAAACGTAAAGAAAAGATTATAGCGAGTGCGGATAGCGAATGCAAAGAGACTGCGAAGGGTGGCTCATCGCGAAAACAATTAGTGATTGTGAAGATGCCAGAGAGCAGATACAGCCCACGTACAGAGTGACGCGGAGCAAGGTGACCTCCGATATGAGTGGACTTAAGATGGGACGAAAGCACTGATTAAGCCTGAACACGCCCTCCGACTTGTGGCGTCTCAGGAACAACCCCCAGGACTGTTTGGCACCTAACCGTACCAAATGTACTGGAAGCATTCCCGGGAAACAAGACATATTAAAAGAAAAATGGACAGAACGCAAGGAGTGCTGTGGAACGCAGATTTGATTGGTTTCACACAGCCAGGACGCCCTTCTCTCTCTTTGGAGAGGACACGCAGGGACGCGCCTTGAGTGAACAATCTTTTAAGTGAAGCGTGACGAGTTAGTACACGATCGGTTGGTCGATGACCTCGTCGCAAAGATATTGTTCTTCCGGGAGCTGTAGATCACCGCCGCCTCTCAGCTGGACAGGTGGTGAATTCCTCAGCACGTGTGCATAACGACTTGGCAGGGATGTACCTGCATAGCCGCATGAACTCATATTTCCACGACAACCAACCCGGCAATGCCACCCAAGTCTCGGCAACGGTGGTATGTCTGTAACACAGCAGCATCTGCGTTCCTCAGGTTTCATTACGCAAGCGTTGCAATCGTGTTCTTCCGGCGGTTGTCTAGAAGCTGTCAGTGTCCCGACTTTGGCCAATTCAAGTTCGATTTGTGTCCATACCGGCTGTGACATATAGATACCATTTGGAAGTATGGCTTCTCATCATTCCCTACTCTTGTGGGTCCCTGGCGGAGGCAACAGAGACGCCATGAGGAAGCATGGTCCGCAAACCGGCGAGCTGTCTGTTCGGGATCCATAGATCAATACCCTCCATGTCGTACTTAAAGTATCAGAAGCAGTACGAGCAGGAGAATTAGCACAAAGATGAGGACTCCAATGCAGCAGCTGGACCATCTATCTGCGCTGGGTTAGCAGACGTCGTAGACGTAATCCGTGCTTCAGTTTCATCGCACCTTCGTTCTTCTTGATGACCCAACCGACTCGCTTGAGGCCGGTTTGCAGCTTCCCCCCGACCCTATCCGCTACGGTGTCAAAGTCGTCGAGTAGCTCCCCTTGCTCTTCCAGCTCGCGACCCATGTCGTCCGCCTGTTGTCGCAGGTTGCCCACCGTCTTGAAGACATCGTCTAGTGCCTCGTCCTGCTCCTGCATCATCTCCATTTGTCGCTCATGCTCGAATGCGGCGTAGTGATCCTCGTCCTCGAAGGAGTCAGGGTCCGGTAGGATATCCCCGTTGACGGCTGCCTTGCCCTTATTGTGACCACCTTGAACCGCCCTCGCCAGCTCTTCCCGCATGCTCTGAATCTCATCCCCGACCTCCTTCACCAGCCGTCGCCGCCGCTCCACTTCATCGATCTCGAGTCCAAAACGATACGGATCATGCTCGACCGCCTTAACGCTTTCCATGAGATCCTCGAGATCTTGAGTGAGTTCATGGAGTGTTTGTTCAAGCTCGTTGCGGGCTTCTCGAAGCTCTGGGGAGTTTGCAGAGGAGGCAGACGACCGAATACGCAGGTATGAAGAAAATAGGGGGCGGGTGGTATTCAAGGCAGACAGCACATCTCTACTCGGCTGTCAGTCGGGGTGTCGGCTCATAACGAAAGGGAGTCCTCACGCTTGGACCTGCAAGAACGGGTCCTCATCCCCTATCCCGGACGCCATATCGGTATACTCGCGCGAGGGCTGTGACGGCAAACAGTGGTCAGAGAAGGAGTGGTGTACGGAGTCGTGATGTGCCTGAATGTCATGACGCTGACCTGGAGCTTGAAGCTGGACCCTGGCCAGGAACGTGATGTGGTCCGTGCACACGCCTAAACTTTTATAAGTGCATTGAAATATCCAAATCAACTCCGAGCACGCCTCAGGCTTTCCACGCCGGTGTTATTGAAAAAGATTTTAAGCAACTCCATGCGGAACTTGCTGCCATGGGTCCGGACACTCCTCTCCCTCTCCCGCCGGACTTCACCTCCGTAGATGACTATGTGGATTCGCTCCTTAAATTCTCGACCACTTCATGGCTATTGCAGACTTTATGCGGAGGAGTGCATGTTCTGGACTTTTACACCAGGTCACCTAACTTGTATACCACGCTACTACCGGAGTCATGGCGAGTCTGGTTTAAAAACCAGGATATTATGGACATCTTGGACCTCCTCATGAGAGAAGATTTAAGCCAGTTTGATAGAGTGGATGATGAGGGAGACCCGCCATCTTTCCGAGGCGGACCCGCTCCTCCAGAAGATTTGCTACAGTACATCAAAGACGTGCGGAAGCATCTACTTGCCCGAGAGTTTCCTCCCCCAGGTTCTGAGATGCAATCCACCAAAAGCAGTATAGCTCGCCACGTTGCGGTCGGTATGAAAGTCAAAAAGGTCCATGAAGTCGACAACTTTGCACGTTACGTCGACAAGCTTACCAGCGACATCGCGGCTTCCGGGAAGAAAGAGATAACCCATCTTGTGGACTTCGGATCGGGCCAGAACTACCTTGGACGTGCACTGGCTGCACCACCGTACTGCAAGCATATCGTTGCGGTGGAGAGCAAGCAGCATAATATAGCAGGTGCAAAGAATATGGATGTGTTGGCGAAGTTGGTGCCTAAACCTGTTGTTATGAGAAATAAGAAGGAGTTTCGGGGAGGGCAGAAGAGGAGGAAAAAAGGGATTAAGAAAGAGGAGCCAATTGGGCAGTCGGAGCAGATGATAGACTCGGGTTCGACGGAAAATGAGGGAGCCACCGAAGCCAATTGTGAGTCAGGGGAATGCGGACTATCGCCAGCAGGGAAGGTTCTTGAAAACGGCACAGGAACCATCCCAGAAACCACTGCGAAGCCGTCGGAGGAGAGTGCTGTCACTACGACATTGCAAATCTACACCGAAGGACACGGAAGTGTGCAATACGTCGAGCACATCATAAAAGATGGCGATCTCAGCCCCGTCGTCAACCAAATCCTAGATACCTCCAAAGTACCGGAGGATAACCTAACCACCAAGAGCAACGTGGTCGAAGAACCATCCAACCTAACAACTGTACCTAGATCTCGGGAACCGAACTTGATGGTCATCTCTCTGCACTCCTGCGGGAACCTGGTCCACCACGGACTGAGGTCACTTCTTCTAAACCCAGCCGTATCCGCAGTAGCAATGGTAGGCTGTTGCTACAATCTCCTCACCGAGCGCCTCGGTCCCCCAACCTACAAACTTCCAACACTGAGACCTAACCATCCTCGCCTAACCTCAACATCCAACGCATTCGACCCGCACGGCTTCCCCATGTCTGAAAAACTCGCCACTTGTCCCCTCCCACACGAACCCCTCCTCCCCGTGAACGAACCCTCTGAACCCTCCGAACCACCCCGCGGTCTGCGCCTGAACATCACAGCGCGCATGATGGCCGTCCAAGCCCCGTTCAACTGGGGTCCCGAGGACAGCGAGCTCTTCTTCACGCGGCACTTCTACCGCGCGCTCCTCCAACGCATCTTCCTCGACCGCGGCATCGTCGCCGCACCCGTCGATGCCGACGGCCTCGTAGGCGGCGCCGTCTCAGCCGCAGGAACCAAGAGCCGAGTAACCTGGATGCCGCCAAACGGTCGCGGCCCTGGCCTCAGTTCCGACGGTACCACGACGCCGCTTACCATCGGTACGCTGCGCAAGTTCGCCTACAAGGATTTTGTGTCGTACGTCCGCGCTGCGATTGCGAAGCTGACTACGCCGAATTCGTTTTGCGAGGTTGATCCCGAGTTTATCAAGAGTAAGATTGAGGGTTTGACGGACGATGATATTCGTGGGTATGAAGAGGCGTATCGGGAGAGGAAGAAGGAGTTGAGTGTTATGTGGAGCTTGATGGCGTTTAGTGCCGGGGTTGTGGAGGCGGTGATTGTTACGGATAGATGGCTTTGGTTGAGGGAGCAGGAGGAGATTGAGCATGCTTGGGTCGAGCCCGTGTTTGAGTATAAGCAGAGTCCGAGGAATCTGGTTGTTGTGGGTATTAAGAAATAAAGCGGCAGGGGTTCTCTTTATGGCCGTGAAGGTTGTTCTTCTGCTTCGGGACTGATCGGAGCACATTGAGCATACGAACTTCCAGCATCTCTGTGAGAATAGGGGGTTTAGCGAGCTAGCGATCTCCATCCATAACGCCACTCGGAAGCGAATTGCGCCGTCAACGAGTGAGTGGGATTTGGGCGTTATCAGAACCGTAGAGCCAGACTGACATGCTCCCGCCCACCACGACTCTACCAGGATCTGGTTGCAAGCTTGTGTAGTTATTAGCAGCGCGAAGCTCTGTTGGGTGCTAACACAAGGAGGGCTCTGGTTGTTAGGAGGACGGATGAGCGTTATACGTTGGAGAATGGAATTGGTGGTTGTTGAAAATATGCTGCCATATTAGAGCAGGTCGACCATTTATCTCTTCCTAGCGGCCATAACCTACGAGCATATATAGTCCGCATTCCAGTGTCTCGAGCCCTGTACAATACCCCCACACACATCTCTCTCTTAATAAGGCTTAAACCTTTCCTTTTCCTTCTTCTTGTCCTTCTTGTCTCGACGCTTCTCTTTTCTGTCCTTCTTCCGCTTCTCCTTCTCTGTTCCCCGCTTCTCCGTAGCATCTTCCTCTTCGGCATCGTCAATGTCCATATCTGCAGGGTGCGTGGAGGTCGCAGCGGGAGTGTTTGAAGACGGCATACTCCAGGCACGGATGTAGCTGTCTTCGCCGACGGTGTAGGCTGTGTTTGTCTGTGGGTATGCGTTAGGACTTTCTCTTTCTGTAAAGTGTATGGATGTGGGGAGTAGGAAGGAATTATAAGAAGGGGATATCTTGCCCGAAATTGCGATGACAACAGATGCTTCGAACGAGGGGAAAGATACTTACGTGAATGTCTACGAAAACATCTCGCACGATTTCCTCGCCATGTGCACCGGGAAAATGCAGGGAGCGGGATATGTCGAAATCGTATGCCAGTGGTCCGGAAGAGGCGTTTTTGCGTATAGGGATCATGCTTAGAGCGTTCGCACTGCCACACTGTGAGCTCTCGTTCCCATCATATTACCACGACAACGAAAGACGTAGAATCACAGACACAGTGGAAAAGCATACCTGTGCTTCCCACCAACCACACACCTCTCCCCACCCACACCCATCACACCCACCAAATACTCCACCCCTAACCGCTCCCTGACATCCCCCATCACCCGCGGACTCGGCTCCACGTCCTCCTCTTTGGAGCTCTGCAGCGCATAGAAACTCACCGTTTCATCCGTGCCCAGGGCGAAGATATCCCCTTCTCCGTTTCCATCGGCAGGTAACAAGAAGCCAGCGTGCGCTACGGCGGATCCGTGGTTGATGACTTGATACAAGGCGTCTTCTTCGTCGGCGGCGCTGGTGTCGAAGATGGAGAGGAGATTGTCGGTGGAGGAGGTTAGGAGGAGGGTGGGGTGGGAGGGGTGCAGGGAGAGGGTTGTTAGGGTGTCGGTGTGGGAGTCTGGGAGGGTCAGGCGGGGGGTAGAGGGGGAGCGGATGTCCCTGGTTATGTGTTAGGAAACGTGAGAAGAGCACCGTTTTGGAATCGAAAAACCTGAGGAGTGAAAAAGACGGAGTATGGGAAGTATATGAGGACATCGAACTGCGGAGGAGGGGAAAGGAACGATTGAGGAGAGGAAAGTGTGGGAAGGCCTACCAAATATACACCGGTGTGTCCCCAGGACCATCATTCGGATTCTCAATTCCAGCGGCCAGAAAGCTCTTCTCGTAGTCGCAAACAATCGCTGAAACGAGTTTATGTGCTGTTCACATATTACCATGTCAGCACCACCCTCCTCTCCTCTTACGAACTCGTTGCAAAACATACGAACGTCAACACGCAGCACACAAGCCCCCTTCGCCCTCAGCCTCCCATCCCACATCTTCACAGTTCCATCTCTTCCCGCTGTAACCAGCAAATTCCCTGCTGCATCGTCGGCGCGTTCCAGGCACGTGACGCTCTCGTGCACCTTTGTAATCACGCCGGCAGGGAGGAGGGAGAGGGTTGCGGGATCCAGGAAACGTAGTGAGTCGTCGGAGGCGGTTATCGCGAGTGATGAGGGCGGAGTGGTGTAGGTGTAGGGGTTGAGGCGCGGGCCGGTGGGGAGGATGCGGTAGATGAAGGTTGAGGGTGGAAGGGAGGCGGTTGTTTTGAGAGTGGGGGTGAGGGTGGTCATGGTTGAGGCTGCTGGGTGCTTGATGTGTATGAGTTTTGACTATGTCTTGCTATATCCGGCAGCGGGAAGAGGTATATGGATTGGAGAGCATGATATGCGGTGGATGGAAGGTCGTGGTGTTGGTTTGCAGTTCCAGGTAAAAATTTGTTCATGTCCGTAAACTCCTCGTTTTCCATGCCTTGTATTAGGGACTGGGGCTCCATCCAGCGTAATATTTGCAGACTCTATAGGCGATATTCACAGGTAAGACAGGCCCTACATGGACGATCTATGTGTTGTGTGTGATTGCATTGTCACCAATGCAAGCCCTCATGTCCACATCTTCTGTTGATCTCCCACTTTTCAAGGGAAACTCCCTTTTGACCATACAAATAGCAACTTTCATAAACAACAATCTCTGTAACATGCATGCCTTCATGAGAAAGCGCATTGGACTCAACACCATATGTAACCCTGGATATGAAACGCACTCGATCACTATTTCGACAAAATGCGCGATTAACTACGGGTGCTCCCTCGAGGAACCTGCTTCCCTGAACCCACTGACATAACGCCGGCGGAAAGGGATGTCACTCCGCCAGCTCATGGCCTTGAGGCTGACTGACGGCGATATCGCGGTTCGTGAGGGAGAAAAGGAAGGGTGCGGCCCGCATCGAAGAAAACTCGGGTGTGAGGCGCCCTTAGTAAGCCCCGCGCCGTGATTGGTTGCTCGGCAACTCCAGCAACAGCCGAGCGGAAAGCAATGCTTGGACGACAAGAGAGACCTCTCCACACGACATCACCACCACCACAATTGCTGCGCTCCACCCCGTCCGCCTCGTTTCCCGTCGATTGAGCTGAAGGAGTACGCAATGGCTTCTCAGCGCGTCTTCCAGGTCGGCCTGCGCCGCGCGGGCGTGCCCATGTTCTCCAGGATGCAGCCGGCGGGGCGCATAGCACAGCGGAGGTATGACGACGTTTGACAACCCTTTAGCACCACCAGCAAGTAACAAAGCATTGCAGATTCGCCGCCACGCAGCACGTCGAGGAGTCCGAAGGCCAGGAAATCCTCCGCAAGCAGCGTCTCCAGCGTCCCGTCTCCCCCCATCTCTCCATCTACCGCCCGCAAATCACATGGTATGGCTCGGCGCTGAACCGTGTCACCGGCATCATGCTCAGCGGCTCGCTCTACCTGTTCGGCATCGCATACCTCGCCGCTCCGGCTATGGGCTGGCATCTCGAGACTCCCTCCATGGTCGCGGCCGTTGCGGCTTGGCCCGTTTTCGCCAAGGTCGGCGCAAAGGTGGCGCTCGCGTTCCCCTTCTTCTACCACTCGCTCAATGGCCTCAGGCATCTGTCGTGGGATCTGGGACTTGGTTTCAAGAATACGACGGTTATGAGGACAGGATGGGCGGTTGTGGCTACGAGCGTTGTTGCCGGATTGTACTATACGTTCCTCGGTTGAGTGATTAAGAAAATAAAAGTGATGATGAGTGGTTGAGAAAGATTAGGGGAGGAAATTGGGAGCTGTAGGAGCGCGGTTGACAACGGTGGACTGGACAGTTTGACTGCATCATCTGTACATTTTTGTGTTATTTCAATGAAGAGCGTCGATTCACTTTGAGCTGGAAGACCCACCACTGCCGCGGATGTATTGATGGCCGCCGCACAGGGTCCTGGAACTCTTGAGATTTCTGCATCGGCTCTATCGACCGCTACTATTCTGTTTTGCGAAGTCCTTCAAGGTACTTGTGAACATAACCAATACCTAGATCTTGCCCTTCTTCCAGTCTACCAGGTCCCCATGACTGCTTCGGGTGAATAGTAACCACTCGATATCCCCCATCTTACTGCGTAAGTGCAAACCAGCCATCGCCTAATGCATCTTGCTTCCTCCAGTGTGGACAAAGGGCGCATGCATCAATGACCCATGGATGTGAAGGGTGGGTAATAGTCACGTGATCACGCGACCATTCGGAGAATTCCCCTTTATTAGGCTACGTCGACGACATCGTGGGACCCTGTGGACCTCCAGGGCTCGCCCGGTGTTGGGGCAAGCCGTCACCATGGCCGACGCAGAGTCTGAAGAGTCGACGCAATTGCACGAGGAGTTGTACAATGTGAGCGCTCGCATTTTCGTTTCTTTTTTCCTTTTGGTGATCGTTGGTGGCGCGTCACCCCGGTCACGTCGCGCCCCCAGCAGATCCTCGACTCCAAGCTCCCCGTACCGTTCACTGCCAGAGCTGACCGGCGCCTTATTTCACTCAGGACCCGGACAAGCTTTCGCAGCTGCTGGGGCAGCGAGTCGGTGCTTCCAGCTCATTCCGTTTTACCTCCACCACAGAAGAGACTTTTGCCTCTGCTACTGCTGCTGTTCCTGCTCCCGCCCCGCACAACGTCGCCGCATCATCCCCACGGCAGGAACCCGTCCCCACTCCTCGACGCGCCGCAACAAACTCTGGCCATGTCAAGCCGAGCCTGCCAAAACACAACTCTGCTCCCACGACAACCGGGGTGGTAGAAGAGCGGATCGAGGCTGGCAAGATGTATCACAGCTTCACCGAAGGAAATGTCGTGGGCGACACCCAGCCGGACAGCCAGATTTACAAGAATTGGACGAGCGGTTTGCATGCTGCCAGCGTCCATGACGAGGGCCATGGCATATCTCTTCTCAACCGAGTGGGGGAAGAGGAGGGTGATACCACCGAAGGCCCTCAGTTCATCCAATCGAGCCCAGATGTACTCCAAAGCCCGACCTTCACCAGTCCCATGGCCGTCAACGATGAGAACAACCCGGAGACGCAGCCCCTCACCAACGGTGCCCTCACCAGCCCTCTCAAATTTGAAACACCTGCCATGGCTGGGCGGAAGAGGGACTGCCACGGGGAGATGCTAAGCTCGGCAGCGAGAACAGCAACAACCCCCGGTACTGCGTTGACAGCTACGGCCTTCTTCCCTCCGAACATGCTACCTACTACCAATGGCATGTCACTGACCCAGATATTCAACGCTACGCAGGCAGCTACTTCCCCCGTCCAAGGCATCCTGCCCGACGAGCCAGTCTTCCAGCGACTTTCTCCCAACTTGGCCAATGCTCGCAAGTCCAGTCCTCCGGATGCCTTGTCCAGCCCGATTCCAACCCCGAGAGTCGAACTGGCTGTACGATCATCCAGCGAACCCAAGGCAGAATACATCACAATGAAGCAGTCACAGGAACGAAGATTGCGAGAAGCAGAACAGCAGGAGATGGCACCGGCAGAGCAGGATAGCTGGGAAGAGCTGGAGAGACTGGAGAAGCAACGTGCTCGACGCAAGGCGAGGGAGAAGATGGAACAGGAAGCTGCTAAGAGTTTAAGCAAAGTCACGGCGCCTACGCTTTCTTCGCCAGCCCAACGAAAGCGGGGTCGCAAAATGCTGTTATCGCCAAGAAAGAAGGAAGCTGCTTCTGTACGCCGATCTGCAGCGAGGCTTTCGGCTTATGATGGACCCTTTGACGATGATGAGCTTGATCAGCTGGCTCAAGCGGCTGCAGTAGACGGCAAGGACACAACTGCTGCCGAGTCTCCAGGCGAGTTGTCTCAGTCAGTTCCGTCGACTGGGCCTCCTGCTCCTGCAAATGCAAGCAAGAAAAGGAGCAACAATGTTCAAGTCCCACGGACCTCTTCCCACCCTCAGGGGACACTATCCGGTCATGCTCCTGATGAGTCTCCATTGGCAAGCGCTTCTGCACAAGTGCAGCAAGAACCGCAGAATCGCACCTCCGCATCACAGCGATCGAGGCGTGTCTCGCAGCTTCGAGGAAGCGCAGGATCGTTTACGGTTCTGAACTCGCAACCTGAAGACGCAGACTTCAGTAGCGTTCCCCGGCCGAAAACAACACTGCCGTCATCGCCTTCTACGAACCAATACAGTATCAACCAGACAACGATGGGTGGGAAGACGGGGTTTACTAGCCAGGTAATCTCTTCCTCGATGCCACCGATGCCTCCGCAATCCAGTTCTTCGTCATCTGATGATGAGGGCCAGGGCAAAGAGGAACATGAGGTGGATGATGAGGCTGTTGGGAGTAGTCCTCCGCCTGTCGACGTTGACGAAGATGACGTTGCGTATGACGAGCACAACTATGACGAGCATCTGTCCGCCGGGGGAAATGATGAAGGCCACGAGGCTCTGCCAGATACGGACCTGGAAATGGACGAAGACGATGTAGTGTCTGAGTCAGAGCACGGTAATGATGAAGCCGAGAATGATGAAGGTGAACAAATGGCGGTCAGGTCGACTGGTGTATCGAATGCCGCAGCTGAAGACCATGGGATACCCGAGACTGCTAAAGAGGACAGGCGGTCACGAAGGCATGTTGAAGGGGATGAGACGATCCTCTCCAGCCATCCGGAAGACACAGTGAACCACCAAGAGTTGAATGGATTTGTCAAACCCCGCTTGCAGCGGCAGTCCACAATCCCAGAGTCCGATAATATGGAAGATACTCAGCCCTCACTCTTTCCACCAGGTGATGCTGTTGATTACAGGCCCCTCGACTCGGGGGGCCTTGACAGCGCATCGCCAAGGGGGACCGAGGGAACCGTACCTTTTCATACTGCTCAGGAACAGCAATCGTCAGGACGGGTAAATGATAACGACAATGTTAACAGGGATTCGCAGAACCAAAACTATCACACCGCCTTAGACCATGGAGATAGCAACGATAACAATGCTCTTGGCTCGTCCCGCGAGAAGGAGCTTGCTCATAAGCCAGAACCTGCCCAGTTCCGCTCACTCAGTGATATCGCGAACCAACCAGAGAACCAGAGAAGCGTCGATGCCTCTAGCATCGACTACCCTACTTTGTTCGCAGAAGGGACAGGGAACAACGTCAACACCCTCCCTGCAACTGGTTCTTCGCCGCTTATGCCGTCCGCGAAGAAACGCAAGATCACCTACAATGGAAAGACGAACCGTTTCATCAGCCCAGCGAAAACTCCTGAGCGGAGTCCCTCCCCAACTCCAGTCAGAAAGGTCTCGAACTCCTCGCCCATCCAGCCCACATCTTCTATGCAGCAGCGAGAAGACGCAGGTGCCATGGCTGCGGAAAATACTAGGGCGGCAGTTGCGTCCGCAACACTTCCCACTTCGATAACGAAAGCTTCGACCAATAAGATGAAAAAAAGCGCGAAGTCCTACAAGAAGGGTTCTGCGAAGACCGTCGGCAAAGGCACGCTGCCCAAGACTTCATTGAAGTCTACGACCGCTCATCGTTCTAGGACTGCGACTGCAGCAGCCCCGGATCCTGAGCGCCTAGATACCGGGTTGATGGACTCCGCTTCTCCTCAAGATCAAGCATTACCTGGTCCTTTCGCCCCTGCTGATGAGTCGGATGAACTTGCTGGGTCTACACCACAGCCTTCCAGGACTGCTCAGCCCATTGCTCATGCTAATGATGTCTCTGATCGCGGGGAAGAGCCTAATGGACCGTTGCTAGTTCCGAATAGAGTATTTGCTCTATGGCCAGGTCAAGGCTATTATCCCGCGACGTGCTTAGGCCGGGCCGGTTCGAACCGCGTTCGCATTCGCTATGATGAAGGCTCCCACAACACTGTGGAAGTCATCCAGGTTCGGGGATTGGAACTTCGGATCGGCGACCAAGTTAAAGTGGATCAGCCTGGCATGAAGAAGCATGTCTATATTGTGGTGGGCCTCAAAGATAAGATCAGTGTTGATGACAATGTGGAAACCGTATTGACCGACTGTCGCGGCTATAGGAGTGCTGTCCTCGAAATGAGGAATCGTGAGAGTCTCCCTTCAGTTCAACGTGGAGAACAGCCGGCAATGGTGGTTACTGTACCTGTTGAGAAGATCTATCTGACGAACCAACTATGCGGCAAATACCGAGACCGGCTGTTCAATCTGTCACCACCCCGTTCTCCAAGCATATCGACTCTAACGGTCGCAACTCCCCGGGCGATGACTGTCCCGGCTTCCCCCTCCTTGTCTAGGCGTGGAGGTACCGCTCCATCCCTGCTCAGAGAAAGCCTTCGAGCTGCCTCGGTGGCGTCCAGCTACCAAGGCGTTGGAGGCACGGTCTTTGTTAACATGGCATTTGCGGTAACATTACAGCACGCCGAAGATGAATCAGAGAAGCACGCACTTGTCACCCTTATCACGTCGAATGGCGGGCAGGTCCTCACCAGCTTCTCTGACCTGTTCAAAGATTTTGAGGATGCTGAAGCGGCTTCATCCCGTCCGAACTCGGCCGGCAAGGGAAAAGAAATGGCTGCAGAGGCTCGGTTTCCGTCAGGTCTGGAACTTCGGCAAGAGTGCAAAGGTATGAGCTTCGCCGCTCTCATCACTGACACGCATTCTCGTCGCTCCAAGTATATCCAAGCGCTCGCACTCAACATCCCCTGTCTGCATCACCGCTGGTTGACCGATTCCATTGCGGCATCCAAGCCTCTTCCCTTCGCCAAGTATCTGCTCCCTGCCGGTGTTTCGACATTTTTGGATCCGAACGGCATCGTGCGTTCACGCAACATATCGATGTACGATCCAGCAAGTGCTAGGCTTGAGGAAATCATTCAGAAACGGGAAATGTTGCTCCAGGGCCAGTCTGTTTTGCTAATCACAGGGAAGTCTAAGAAGGACGCCCAGCGCAAGCAACACTATCTCTTCCTCACGCACGCTCTGGGACCGCGTACTGTCGGCCGCTGTGCTGATATCACTGCTGCCAAAGCAATCATTCAGGACGGGAAGTGGGATTGGGTGCACGTTGATGGTGGGGAACCGGGGCTTGTGGAAGCCACGCAAGTGCTCTTCGGCCATTCCAATGCGGTGGCCACTGTTGCAGGTGCTTCGAAGAATAGGAAGCGAAAGAGGGATCATAGCACCGAGCCTGAGGTGCTGTTTGGGGCGGGCGACGTCGCTGGCAAGAAGGTTAGGCTTGTGTGTGATGAGTTTGTCATTCAGAGTCTGATTCTCGGTGCGCCGGTTGAAGAGTGAGAGGCGCATCGAATCTGTCTTATCCAGGCACGATGAGCGGAAACGGAACTTTCGTTGTCATGGTGCACCGTTCAGTCAGTATTGCGTCGTGCGAAGGAGTCTGAGGATTACCGTGAGTCAAGGAAGGGCGTTTCGAAAGGGGCTATGCAAAGCTTTTGTCGGGTCTCAGCTCGGGGTCTTTTTCTTCTAAGGGTTATACCATTTCGCTGCGGACACAGGCCGGAGTATGGTGTATCGTATGTGGGATGTAAGATACTGCGAAAGGTTCCTGAAGCTGTGTGTTTAATGATACCAAGACGCAGATCTTTGCGATGTTTAGGGAAATTCTACACGTTCGAAGAGTGGGTGCATGTGGTTCACGACTAAGCTGGTGAAGGGGTCTGGTGGCTGCTATTACGTGGTTTTGCTCAACAACGTCAGTCACGCCATGGTGACTGTTATTCTGCTCGATTTCTAATGGGCCGCGCTATCTACACGTTTTGTTTTGTTTTCCTTTGGGGGTTTCAAGTTCTTATGGTTTTCGCGTCTTTCGTTTGGCTTTTCTCTCTTTTGCGGTTTGGTTCCGTTGCCCCGGGGTGATTGGAGGTCTTTGTGACTCAAGTAGTGCTGACTATAGTCACAGTCCAGCACTCGAGATTTGTCGCGTACATACGTGAAAGTCGGTATTGCGGATATAGAGGCCTAGAGAGATCGCATGCAGTACCATCGGCTACTCGGCAAGTACGACTAGGGCGCAAGAAATCAACTACCGTTTCGTGCAGTACGAGAACTAAGAAGAAGAGATTTACATAGAGTGTTTGGAGAGCGAAGAGTTGAGGTTACGGCAGAGGCGTGAGGTGTTGTTGGGACAGCAGCAGCAACAAAGCAGCAACAACAACCACGGCAGCAATGCAAATCCATTGAGCGACGGGAATGCACGAAGACTCTTGCATCATTGCTGAGTTTGCAGGACGACTGCGTGCATCTCGGATCCGAGGTACGTGACGATTCAACATCGCGTGCGATGGCCACGCCTAAACGGCTAAATTAACGGCGTTGAACATGAATCCATGATGTCGGAAACATGGAGGGATTCCAATTTCCCTAACCGAGGGGCTAGGAATACGAGACTTTTCCAATGTTCTAAAGATTCTCAAGAACAACGTGGAATTTCAGCCTTCTGTTCGACCAACTGCCGGGTTGTGATAGATTATGTAAGCTGGCCAGGGGAGCTGGCTATACTGTGGATACATGTGAGTATTCTGCCAAAGCCCCTGCCTAGCCCTCGATCTACTGAGGATATCCGGGGAAGAAGTCCGATCTGGAATGCTTAACTCCATTAGCCTCGTATGGGGAACTGATGGGTTCGACCGTTCGGCAGGCTCATTGGCCGCTCAATCTATATTCCGCCAACGCCATCCGGGTTTCCGGAGCCGTATATAAACCACCACAATCAAAAGCATGACCTCCCCAGCTGCTTCCTTGGGGTCGATCACAAGCAGTTCTCCAGGATGACGGTCCTTACTACCTTGGTGGTCACTGTTGCGGCAGGCTTTACGGCCTTGTCAAGTTCTTCTCCGCTCGAGAGCAGAGCTGCCCCCGATGTGTCCAACGCAAAGACGTCCTTGACGCTCATCTACCAAAACAACCTGAACGCCTCAGACGACAAGAACCACATTGGCGCCATCATCCTCGACGCGGTGCCCCAAGCCGATGCCGCCGCCGCGTGCGCCGCCCTCAACGAGAAGTTGATTTCGAAAGCCACGCTGCAGAAATACGAGGACGATTTCAACAACGCGCTTTCCTACCAGGACTACGCGAAGTACTCTGACTCGGAGAGGGGGTACTATATTGAGGGTGGAATCGTCTCGGTCGGTAATCGCGTCAGCTATTCCTCCAAGTCAGGACAGCGCAAGCCGCTTCCAGTGTTGTGCACGCAGTCGGCCAACAATGGGGCTGCGAATGCGGCGCTGGTGGAAGGCACTCAGGTTACCGTAAAGGCAGCAGATAACACCATCATCGGGTACCGCAACCAGAAGTCCTTCCGCTTCCTGGGGATCCCCTACGCCGACAAACCGCAGCGGTTCAAGTACCCAGTACCCTATTCCAAGAAGGGCCAAACCATCCAAGCAACAGCATACGGATCGTCATGCGCCCAGGGGAGCTCGGGAAGCGAAGACTGCCTCTTCCTCAACATCCAGACGCCCTACATCCCCAAAGCCAACTCGAAGACGCACCTCCGCCCCGTCCTCTTCTACATCCACGGCGGCGGCTTCACCGGCGGCACGGGCTCCGACCTGGGCTCCGACGGCGGCAACCTCGCCAGCAAGGAAGACATCGTCGTCGTCACCATCAACTACCGCGTAAGTTCAATCTAGAGTTCGTAGAAGGACCCTAACCCGTCTCAGCTCTCGACCCTGGGCTTCCTCGCCATCCCGGGCACCGACATCAAGGGCAACTTCGGCATCGCCGACCAGATCGCCGCCCTCGACTGGGTCGTCGCGCACATCGCGGCCTTTGGCGGCGACCCTAAGAAAATCACCATCATGGGCGGCTCCGCAGGCGCAGGCTCCGTCCGCGCTCTCCTAGGCTCGCCCAAAGCAATCGGCAAATTCCAGGGCGCGATCGCGCACTCGAATCTCGGGGGCGGCGTCGCGCTGGGTCTGTCGGGTGACTACGGCACCACGTACTCTTCCTACTATACGGTCGAGCAGTCGTACCAGGTGGCGGGACCCCAGATCTTCGCCGCCGCGGGGTGCACCAGCACAAACATGCAGGAGCAGATTGCGTGCCTGGAGAAAGTCCCCGCGGCGCAGATTGTCCAGTTCGACACCGTGGCGCGATACGTGGTGCAAGACGGCACCATTGTGAATACGCCTGAGCTCGTCCTGTCGACGCGCAACGCCAGCACCGCACACGTGCCCGTCATCTTCGGCATCACGCACGACGACGGCGCGTCGTTTACCAGTTACCCGAAAACCGGCGTGGCGAGCCACCTGGAAGGTTTGCAGAAGGAGCTGGGAATCAACTCGACGTGGGCGCAGCGCATCATCGATTCGAATCTCTTCCCCTTCACATCCACGGGCAATCTCACCCTTGACTCGTTCAACGTCAGCCAGCGCGTCACGACGGACAAAATGTTCCGCTGCGTCGACCAGGCGACCGTCTTCGCCGGCACGCAAACCCGCGCGTTCCAGAAAGCGTACTACTACCAACTCGACCGCACCATGGACGGCTACGACCCCAACGCCCTCGGCGGGCCCCGCAACGACGACCCCAAGAATCCGTATTTCAGGTTCCACGGCGCGGACGGGCCGTGGCTGTTTGGGAATCTGCCGCGCATACGGGATGCCGAGGATTTGTCGTCTGTGCAGCTGAGTACGAGTTTGTTTGGGGCGTTTGTGAGGAGCGGCGATCCGAATCCGGATTTGAGGTATTTGGATCAGAGGGGGTATGGGAAGGTGGTCGAGGGCGTGAGGAGGTTTGGACGGTGGAGTGAGGTGGGTGGTGGGAGGGGGAGGGAGGTCATGGTGTTGGATTGGCCGGGTAGGAGTACGGGGTTTGTGGATACGGAGCAGTGTGCTTGGTTGGGGTATCCGTTGGATTATTATTTGAAGGGGGGTGTGTAGGTGGGTGATTGAGGGGGGTTGAGGGGGGAGGGAGTAATGGAAAAAGTAATTTTGATATAGACGATTTAAATATGGACGATTTGAATATGCACGATTTGGGAGTTCGACAGTAGTCTTCGGATTGAATCACATAGCGGTAACGTGTACATCTCAACAATACGAAGTGCTTCGACTCTATGCCACCAACATAGCGTAGCACTTCCAGTATATTTCATATACATGACCCAAAAATCCCAAATGTCCCAACGATTTCCAAACAGATACCCAGATCCATTAATTCCCTGAGACCAAACGCCTCCCAATGCACCATCCACCAAACTCACAATCCATCTACACCCCCAACAACAGCCAAACCGATAAAAACACCACCACAGCCGTCCACGCGCCCTCTCCAGACCCAAACCTCCTCCCGGCCTCACCCTTCTTCTTCGGCTTCCCCTCCCCGCCACCCCCATCGTGACTCGTCGGAGTCCCCGGCCCCAACCCCGTCTGCTGCTCCCTACTCGTCACACTGCCCTCCACACACTCACCCTCATCCAACCCGCCAACCCCCTTCCCACCCCAGGCCACCCTCGCCATCCGCCTCCACAACGCCCTGACATCCAAATACTCCTCGACCCGATACCAAACGCGACAACTCGCGCTATCATTCAAAAACTGCGTCGGCACCCCATCCTTCTCCAACCCCCAGCGAATGCTATCCGCAAAGTTGACTGCCGCGCCGCCCTCGGCGTACGCGATGCCCTCGTACTGCGGCAGCGCGGCGCTCCACTCGCGACGCTGCGTGCTCGTCTCGGCGAAGGTCGCGATGACGAATTGCGCGTATGCGCTCAGCTGCTCGTAGCGCAGGACGAGGGAGCCCTTTGTGCCGCCGACGGTCTGCATGGGGCCGGGGACGGTGGGCCGGCCGCCGAGCGCGAGGGTGCGGACGCCGGATTGCTGCGTCATGAGTTCGGCGAAGAGGGCGCAGGTGGAGGCGCAGAGGCCGTCGGTGAGGATGACGAGGTCCTCTGCTTTGAAGGGGTCGGTGGTGAAGTTTGAGCGGTCGGCGAAGCCCGTCATGGTGATGCCGATGGAGAAGCGGTCCGACGAGGTGACGAGCGGGTCCGAGAGGTTGTAGCGCCAGAGGTTGGTGAAGGTGTCTGAGTGGAAGGTTTGCGGGCCGTACATGGCCTTCCACGAGGGGAAGGGCTTTTCGTTGCGGTCCAGGTAGGGGTTGAAGTTGAAGGGGTTGGCGTAGATTTCGATCGTCGAGCTGTCGAGGGGTAGTTTGCCTATTTGCTCGCCGATGATGTTGACTGCTTCCGTTGCGCGGTAACGGCCGAGGTTCTGTGGATTCTGGCTCGGGAAGAATTGCAAGTAGGTGTCTAGGCCGTGCATGACGAGGCCGCCGGGGTTGCTGCGTATGTCGATGATATGTCGGGTTACTTTGCGATTGAGCGATTCGGCGATGTAGTTCTGGACGACGGATTGGAATTCCTCGGCTGCGGAGTCGGGTTCCGTCTCGAATGTTTGGATGCTAAGTACACCAATGGTGCCAATGTCCGTTTCGATGTAGTAGCCTCCCAGGGGAACATCTGGGGATTGGTGTTGGAACGCGGGTTCGGGGTAGTTAAAGGGGACGACAGCTTCGATCCCGATGTCAGCTTCCTTTGGTAGGCGGAGCCGATGTGGTAACTTATGTGTGGTGCTTCTCTTTTTGAGCTTGAAAATGTTCCTCTGGTATCGAACAAACACGTCGTAGAAGTCTTTCCCATTGCTTATATCACTCCAAGAATCCCTATCAGTCACCAATGCGGAGTTGAGAAACGTCTGGGTTGTTCCATTTTCAAAAGTCAGGTTCGTGACCGGACCGGGGTAGAATGGCGGATTGATAAAGTTACCCGACATCTGCGCGGGAAGCTGATACAGCATGGCATTGAATCGAACATCGGGATCATGATAGGGGACGTTTGCTGCCTCTTCTTCCAGGAACTGCACCACGTCTTTCCCGTTGATTTGCGTCACTGCGCTGCGCTTGCCCTCTTCCTTGTCTGTGCTGTTGAAGTCCTGAATGGCCCAAACCTTTGGCGCATCCTTCCCATCGCTAGACGCTGCCGCCAATGCAGCCCGCGTCGACCGCCTCCAGCGTATGGCACCGCTGAACGTCATGCCGTCGAACCCCAGATGGCCATCATAGCCTTTTCCTAGGAGAGCTGCTATGTCTTGCTCGAAATCAAACTCGTTTGCGTAGTCACCGCTCTCGACCTTTTGGCCTATGTCGTCCAGACCGGCGACGAGATCCACTGCTGGGTTGAAATAGCCTGATGGTGGGTCTGCGAGATATTTGAGCGTGGACTGATATTCAATCATCTGTTTTATCGACTTGATTGTCGTCGATGCTCTTGACTTATCGATGGGAACCGTTTGAAGACATGCATATGCCAACTACGTCCTCGTTAGCGCCCAGTGTCCACTCTACATCCACAACTTGAATTTGTCGCACAATCGAACCTTCGAATAGGAATCAAACACTCACGTCCGCATCGACAATCGGATAATCCTCCTCGCTTTCAGAAATAAGGAAGCTGAGTTGACTACACGCTCTGGCCGTCTCGATCGGACCAATATCTGTAGGCGTCGCCGTGGGCTCGATTCGATCTACCGACGTCGCTGGTTCTTCCGTCTCAATGGGGCGAATCGAGAATGTCTCCAGCTGTGGCAGCGCCGCAGCAAGCGCCGCCAACAGTGGGACGGTTATGAGCGCCCTCATAGCTACAGCGCCTTCCCCTCCGTATCGTTAAAAGATGTACAGGAGTCAAAGCAAAAGTCAAATCGCTATGGCATTAATGATGTTGGCGCAACGAGCGGATTTGGCAGGGTTCTGCACGCGGATCTTTCGAAAATGCTGCACCTCGATATTACGGCCCCGATAACCCAATCACATGTACTGGGTTGAATAGACTGCGGTCTTTTCCCTCTTCCTCAAATGTAGGCACGCGATGCTTGCAAGATGCAGGTAGATATAACTCTTTCCCTCCCAGGAACGCTTCTTATTAACGATACGAGCGGGGACGACAAACCGAGATGCAGCACGCTTGCGCTCCGGATGCAACACAAAAAATGAAAAAAGACGGGGAGGGAGAGGGAGAGGGAGAGGGAGAGGAAGAGGGAGAGGAAGAGGAAGAGGAAGAGGGAGAGGAAGAGGAAGAGGAAGAGGAAGAGGAAGAAGACGAGTGAAGGAAGAAGGAAAAGGCGGAAGTGACTTGGGAGAAACAGAGAGCCGGACGCCGCAATTCATTGCGGCGAGCAACCAACAAGCCGCCGCTCAACTTGTTCCGTCCTTCCTGTTTGGCCTAGAACCCCTTGAACATGGGGTAAATCGTATCTGCACGTCCCCTTTCCCCAACTCCTCTTCCCCGGCCTCGAGTCACCCAGCCGCACATCGGACGAAAGAATCCATATATCACATCGAATAAGCCAATGGCGAAACCCCTTTTAAAACACCAGAATCGGATCGCTCGCCATGTCGAGCGCTTTTGATAGATTACGAATATTCCCACGACCAATCCCACTCGCTTGACGCCGCGCACGAGCACAAACACCGCAATAAGGTGCCGCATGCAGGGGCTCGAGTTGTGGAACCCCTCCAGTGACAGCGCTGCAGCCTTGTGTGTTCTGCGCTGAGTCCTTTAGGGTCCAAGAAAGCTGTTCCTTTTTTGCGGCAAAGTTCACGCATGCTGCATTGTTGCATAGGCTCGAGGACGATGATACGAGTGTTTTAATATAGGTAGGACGAGAGAGGCAACAGACGTCTGTTGGATGGTGAAGACCGGTGATCGACGGCCCTTGGAGACGATTCAGTCCCCAAGGTCGTTCATAGAGGCTAGCTGTATGTAGTTAGCGCCTCAGCCTCCTTACAAGTAAGAAAGTGTACTCCAACTGCTAACTAGTCAATAGATAAAGGCAATGTAATATGTTCGAAGCATTTAGGATTTTACTGTACTAGACTCAGATAGCGCAAGTAACACCACGCCGGATACCAAAAGCTATTCCCAAATGGAGCCAATCCAGTGTGACAGATTATCGATCAGAGCGTGAATTTGCGCTATGATTCAACAAGAGAGATTCGGAGGATTGCATGCAGTGTTATTTGTAAGTACAATTCCTATGAGGTGGACTTCATATTTTCATGCTCCTTGCCTGAGACGGCGAAACCATAAGAGTTTCTGTCATGCTTAAAGATATGAATATGTGTAGATTTGAAATGCTATTTCATTATTTCATCTTCCCATTGTCATATATCTTACTCTTAGGGTAGGCATCACCACCCAGCTCGCCGATATAGAGCAATCTGAGCGAAACCCCTCCAAAAATGCAAAACTCCGAATACCAAAAAATGACCGCCCGGAAGCCTCACTCCCACAATCCTTCAACGCCAACCAAACCCCTATCCCAGCAACCTATAACCCCGCACCCGCACCCGCACCCACACGCACCTTCCCCTCCCCCATCATCTTCCCCTTCTTCTCCAACAACCCATCCCTCCACGCCGCAACCTCCTCCAAAGCCCTCCGCGGATCCTTCTTCCTCATCAGCAGAAACCCCTGAATCTCCGCCGGCGAAAACACACCCGCAGGCAGCGCGTCCGCAAACTCCTCGGCCATAAATTTCAATTTCTCCGGCTCCACGATATTCAGAATCGGCGCCTGGGACAGCATCTCGAGGAACTCTGCGTCCGGGTTGGAGGAACTCTTGCTCCCGGATCTAGAGTGTGGGGCCTTCTTGGTGGTGGGAGAAGAGGAGGGCGAGTGCACGGCGTCGCGTTCAGTCGAGTACATGCGGATGAAGATGTCGCGGATCTGGTCGGACGTGGCGAGAGTGAATTTGATTTGGAGATCCACGCGGCCCGGGCGGACGAGCGCGGGGTCGAGTTTGCTCGGGCAGTTGGTCGTCATGATGAGCACGCGGCCTTCGTGCGAGGCTACGCCGTCGATGACATTGAGCAAGCCGCTGAGGGTGATGCGCGACTTATCGGCTGTAGGGGCCAGCGCGGGCGGGCCTGGTTTGCTGCCGGGCAGTAAGTCGGCCTTTGTTATTTTCGTGAGAGTGCCGTCGTCGCTTGTGTCGTCCTTGGCGTCGCCGTTGTCTTTGGAATCTGTGGGTTCGTCCTCACGGCGGAGTCCTGCGGCGTCGATGTCTTCTAAGAGGACAATGCAGCGCCGTGGGAGGTCCGCAAAGAGCTTGTTCAGGCATGCTTCAGTGAGTCCGGGCTCCGTGAGGGAAACGCAGTAGATGTCAAGACCGAAAATGCCAGCCAATGCGAAGCTGAGGCTAGTCTTGCCAGTACCTGGAGATCCCCAGAACAGGTACCCTCTCCTATATGGAATTCCTCTCCTTGCATACCAAAGCGCACTGGAAGGATGCAAGTATTCGTTGATGTCCCTTACAATCATGGCCTTCTGCTCCTGGTCTAATGACACAGTGCTCAGTGGCCGTGACGGCCGCAGCGACTGCCTGTCCCAGGAGTACGAACCCATCCTCTCTTCTTTCGGAGCCGGTCGATTCACGGCAGTCATCTTACTGTTCTTCTTGAGCCGCCACTTCTTGATGTGATCCAGCAGCTCTTTAATCGGCTCGGTGCTCCTTCCAATACACGAGATATCCAGGAACTGATCTTCACCTCCCCAGATACTCTTCGACTTCTCCCTCCTCGTCCGACTGAAGAAAAACATGCGCCCCTCGAACCAGAAGACGTTGCTGCCGAAACTCGGTTCGTAGCGTGGCGGAATCGTGCTAGCCCACTTCTCGAAATTGAATATGCCGGACTCGTCCAAGACGTCCTCGTCAGCGGCCTTCCTCTCCTCGTCCGTCTCGTGCCATTGCGACATCCAGTGCGAGACAGCCCGGAGAGACCGGGATTTCTTGGTCATGCGTTGCTCCGACATCCATTCCATGATCTGTTCGAAGAGGTCGTCGTCGTCTTCCACTTCGATGCAGCACATGAAGTAGGCGACGAAGATGGAGAGAGCCTTGTAGTAGATGATCCTGCCGCCGAGGCCTAGGCCATAGACGATGATACATCCGGATACGGCAAGGCCGATGTCGAAGCCGAAGAGGCGGAAGATGATCTGCGAGATAAGGCCATATCCCGGTATGAAGGCTTCCAGGAGCAGGGAAGGGAGACTGGTGAGTGTCGAGTTGCTCGAGGAATCGAACTTGATGTTATCCAATTTGGTAAAGTCCATGACGGATGTGAGCCGAAGGTCTTCGATTGACGATTTGTGGAAGGTTGCACGAGAAGTTGGGAGGTTGATAGGTTGTTCCAATGTCAGGATGAAAGAATGAAAGCCGCTCCCAAGTACCAGCGGTGAAGCCCGTACGGATGCGCTCAGCGCAAGCTAGGCGAGTAGTGAAAGTAAGAGAAGCACGGTGACCTACCGGACTGGAAGCAACAGGTACTTATATACTAGAAGTTCGTAGGCGGCCTCTGACGTCGGCAAACCAACGTGATCTTAGAAACGATATGCATGCGCCACTCCCTGCTGAGGCTGCATACCGCCAAAGGGTAACCATTGCATATGACTAACCAGCAGAATGCGGACGCGGCGTATGCACTATCAGCATCCGTGCAGCCATGTTACTGGTCTCGTTGGTCAGTGGCCGCTAGACTGACCGCAGTTTGTCAAACGCCAGCTGAGAGTCTCTAGGCAGAACAGCATTACACCGACGAGCGGGTCCAGGCCTGTACACTTGAGGATAACGTAGGGCTGAAAGGCCGTATCAAGATCCGAAAAGGGCAAGTTGAATGACAGATGGAAAAGGCGGTCCCCGCATATCTCCAAAGATTCACCGTATCCCGATGCTCGTTGGGCTGAAGACAGCACGTGCAACTGGTCGGTGCATGCAAAACTGTGGGGAACTCTACTCCAGACTTAGAGTGGCACAGCAGGCAGGAGTGAAAAAGGCGAGTGAAAGACAAGTTGAGAAGTGGGCGGACATGCCGATAGAACAAGGTTGTGTCTGACTGCATGCACTGAGGTGGGGGAGTGCTGAGCCGCAAACCTTGAAAGCTCACTTGCACCAGCCACATTCACAGCGTCAATGATCTGCTGCACCAGCCACATTCACCATGCAACAACCCGAAAAGTGTGCGACGGCATGTCCGACATGAGTTGTAGTTCAAAGAATAAGTGTGAAAGGTGGAGTTTGTTTGTCTGTCACGTATCTGACTTTACAACAACCTGCGAAGCCGTACAATGTGGAGCTTCGAGTGGTCTCTTTACAGCTGTGCAGATGCGCATCTAATTTAGGCTTGCTTCATGCATGGCGTGTCATCTCAGAAGAGCGGACAAGACAGGTAAAAGTAGACCCACGCAGATGTGTAGTAGTCCAGCACCCCTCAAAAGGCGCTCAGCGGTACAAGTACATAGGAAAATGGATATCATTTTCCCTTACAGAGCTCTGATCAGTGAAGGGCAGAACAAAACAAGCATTCCACTCTTCTACCCAAACTTGCTCATGCAAGAATAGCAACCTTCCAATACCCCGTCCTATCCAGGATTCCAGTAACGCCAATGCACCCAACCGCATTTTCTTCACTTGGTCTAGATGTCAGAATCCAACATCATGCTATCCAAGGCCTTCCCCTGCCCAGCCAACCTCCCCTTGACTTTTCTATCCAAGTCTGCAAACTCCTCCTCATCGTTGGCGATGGGCTCACTCTCATTCTCCGCAAACGCCTTATTCAACAGATCTGTAGCCAATGTAGCCTGCGGATCGATGGCAAGCGCCTCGTGGAGTGTCACAATGGCGTCCCAGCTCCGACCCAGCTGCAGCAATACAAGGCCCTTCGCAGAGAAGACAGCGACATCCTTGTCGCCGTGGCGGAGGACTTCGTCGAAAACGTCGAGAGCCTCCTCCAAGTGACCGCTTTGGCGCAGGGCGTGCGCTAGATTATTCCGCGTAGGCAGTAAAGCGTCGTGGTCGGCTTCATTCTGTTCTGCAATGGCTATGGCACGTTGGAAGTGCTCAATGGCGGCGGGGAAGTTTTCTTCTTGATAAAAGACGACGCCCATTTCGTTAAGAAGCAGAGGGTCATCCTTACAGAGCTCGTAGGCTGTATTCAGATATTCGTGCGCCAGGCTGAGGTTGTTGAGTTGTAGGTTTTCCATTCCGAGGAATAATTGCGGTAGGTGCGTCCCTTGGAATAGGCGGGCGGCTGTGGAGTATGCAGAGATGGCTTGATCATGCTCTCCCTCTGCGGAGAATGTATGTGCAAAGCCAATCCAAGCGGACCCGAAATGAGGGTTCATAACCGAGGCTTTGGAGAAGAAGCGTCGGGCCTCTGCAATGCGATGGATGGAGAAGTAGTACGTGCCGACCGCAAGCCAGGCGGCGGGCTCTTGTGGGTGGTTGTCTACGAGGTCGTGTGCCAGGAGAAATAGAGCATTCTTCTCGCCGAGTTCGTGGAGACAAGCGACGTGTATCGGTATGCCCGCGAAATTGTATTTGTCCGTCTTTAACACATAGGAAGTAAGCGCCAACGCATTCCGAAACTGGCAATTGGTGAAGAGAAGTTCGGCCTTGGATAGCAAGATGTCTGGGTTGTCGGAAAGATTGTAGTGTGTGGATAGCGTCTCAGCCGCATCGGTAAACTCTGCTGGCCGCCCGTACTTGGACAAACGTGTTATGTATAATGTCTTCGTGAACTCGGCAGCTTCTTGCGACAGAGACGGGTTGTCCTCAACGTTGATCATGTCGAAGTCGAGCGACTCGAGGAAGGCCCATTCTTCTGCTGGCGACATGAGCGCATTAGACATGAGCTCGTCAAACGCCTCGAAACACTGGACATCGATTTGCACCGCCGTCTTGAAACATTCTTTTGCCCTGTCAAAGGCGTTTTGTTTCGCGAAACACATTCCCCGTAGATAGCACATGCCCGCTTCAAATTTCAGACTTGTTGAGTCCTCCCTCTCGCGCTCTTCACTCGTGGGAACGCGGTCGCTCCGTAAGGCAGCTTTATGTCTACCAGAGCGTACATTGACATCCACATGCCGCAGTTTGTGGTGTCTATTGTCCGGCTGCGATATAAGGTGGGTGGGGTTCTGCTCGCCGAGGGTGTCGAGCGCTTCTTCGATCTTCCCCAGTTTTATGGAACATTGCGCGTGTAGATATCGACATTGAGGATTCCTTTCAATCAGCTGGCCGCGTGACAAATAGGTTTGGGCGCGACTGTAATTGCCGGTCCGGAAGTGAGCTTGAGCGAGCCAGAATGCATCGTTGTCATCCTCTATCCATGTATTAGCGGCATAGAATCGTGACAGGCAGAAATCGTACTTGTCAGGGCAAGCAGTTTATCTGCTACGAAGATGGCGGTCTCGTACTGATTCTTGTTCACCGCAGTAGTTCTCCATTCTCGTAGATGCTTCTCCATGCTACTGGTAGAATGTCCATGGCTGCGGTGTTGTTCGGTTGCGCCAACATTGAAACCTGGGGAGACGCGTAGTCACGTGGGAGGGGCTCGATAAAGCTTGGCACCACGCGATGCCCAGGCATTCTCTAAGTTGCCATCAAGGTACCTTCCTCTATTCTTTCCCCCACACTCCACACCTCCGCCAACATCCACTTACTCTCCGACCGCGCAACGCCGCACCATCAGAATCCCTTACTTTATCACCGTTAACATCTTGTTCTCCGAAGCAACATGTCTGAACGAAAGGTACTTTCCAAGTACTACCCCCCGGACTTCGATCCGTCCAAGATTGTCCGGCAACGCGGCGCAAAAGGAGGGAAACCCGTTCTACCCACTGTCCGACTGATGGCCCCGTTCTCTATGCAGTGCACCAGCTGCGGCGAGTTCATCTACAAAGGGCGGAAATTCAACGCCAGGAAAGAGACGACGGAGGAGAAGTATCTCGGAATCTCGATCATCCGCTTCTACATCCGATGCACGCGCTGCTCGTCGGAGATCACATTCAAAACGGACCCGCAACACACCGATTACGCGGCGGAGCGCGGATGCAAGCGCAACTACGAACCTTGGCGGGAGAGCAAACTGGCAGAGCCAAATCCGTTAGATTATGAGGAAGAAGAGGAAGCTGTGGATAAGATGAAAGACCTGGAGGAAAGGACTCTGCAGCAACAGAATGAGATGCGGATAAATGACGCCCTTGACGAGATCCGCGCGAGGAATGCACGGATAGAATCAGGAAAAGATCGCGCAGTGGTGCCCGCCGAGCCGCCACAACATCAAAAAGAGGATGAAGAGGACGCAAGGATAGCAAGGGAAGCGTTCAAAATGAGAGTTCAGAACGGCGACGATCAGATTGTCGAAGAGGAGCCTACGCCACCCCCAGCAACAAGCTTCGTCCGACCAAAGGCAAAGAAGAAGGACGCGACTGCTATGTTGGGTCTAAAAAAGCGGAGCACTGAACCTACTGTGGCCCCATCTGGACCAAACTCTGGGAACGTCCCCCAAAAGCCTGTCGTGCAGCCACCGGTTTCTCTTCTCTCTGGATACGATGACGACTCTGGCTAATGTATTATGACTTGGTTCTCTGCTGGCGTTAAGGGTATACCCCATGCATGCTGGATAATGCAAATAATAGTCCGGTTCTTAGTACGGAAAATATTCAGAATTAATGCAGAGGGGCCTTGCCACCAAGTGGTTCGCTGTAGCTGTCTCCGCTGAATGTCATGAGGACAATCATAGAGCTTGGATTATTGGACGATCATTGGAGTATATGGCATGAGGTTGACAGAAAAAAGAGGGATACTGTGAGCTAAGGTTAGCGAAACATGTAGAATTCAATCATTCAACTAAACGCATTGTAGGTCCCTCTACTTCCTGGCACATACGTATATTAATAACCCAAATTGAGCATCAGCCTTCTCCAACGCTCTATTCATTTACGCGGGCCACCTCGCACTAAGCGCCGCCGCAATAGTCGCATTCACAGGAAGAACACTGCCATGTCTCAGGTTCTTCGGAAACCCACTCCTGTTACTCGCAGTCCACTTCCCACTCTTCACATCGGCAGTCTCATACGGCCTGTATCCGTCACTGCCATAGAAGTCGAGCAAAAGATACGCCTTCCCATCCACCTGGTTATCCCAATACGCAGCCGGGCCCTCAACACCCGAAGCAATGATCGCATTCGATCCCGCCGGTCTCGTCCACGTCCCAAACAACCCGGTCGTACTGATCTCCGTGAACACCGTCTTCGCAGTTTCATCCTTCATAAAGCGCGCATACGCATTCCCACCCAGCGGCAAGATATTCAAATCAATGATATTCGTCGGCGACCTATTGATATAATCCCCCGGCGCCGTGAACGTCCTAAAGTCCCTGGTATACGCATACCGGATCCTTATCGCGCTCGGACTCCCCTTATGCTCCGGGTCACTCGCGGGGTAGAATTTGCTCGCCCAGTGCACGAGATACTGGCCCTTCTCGGCGTCCCATATCGCGTCGGGCGCCCACACCATGCCCGCCGTTGCGTCTTCCACTTGCACAAGTCTCTCCTGCCCCCAGGTCACTAGGTCGGTGGACTCCCAGACGAAGATGCCCCTGCTACCCGTGCGTTGCGCGGCGTCCCATGTCGTCTTGCCGATGTGAAGGTCCGTGCCGATGATGTACCATTTCTGGCCTGCGTCGGGGCCTCCGCCGGCGATGAGGGAGGGGTCGCGGACGCCTTGTGTGCCTTTGGTGGGGTTGATGATGGGTTGGCCTCTGTTCAGGGGTTTGAAGGAGAGGCCGTTGTTGCCGTTGGATTGGTAGAAGTAGATGGAGGGTTTGTCGCCGAGGAAGAAGGCGCCCAGGTAGCTGGTCAGGGAGGGGTCGGCACGGGGGTTGAGGGTGTGGGAGGAGAGGTCGAGGGGTTGGAGGGTTGGAGATGCAGTGGCTTGTATGGTGAGGAGCGAGAGGAGGGAGACGGTGATGGGACGCATTTTGGGAAGAAGGAGGGCGTAGTCAGGATGGTAGAAATGTGGACTTGAACGATTCAAGTACCACGACATACGATCTGTCCTGCGTAAAACTAAGACATTCCCCTCCGATGGCACCCTTCTCCCCGAGAATCCCATGTCTCCTATAGGAGCAATAACTGTTTATATATGATGCCATGGGTTATGGAAATTGTTCCGTTTCCCGGATTAATTCTAATTGCCGTCCTTTGGAATCTGGGGTAACGACCGGGGTACGTATCACCCAATTACCACTTTATGATCATGCAGGGTTTATTCCCCTTTACTGTGAGATGGATTATATGGTGTGTCTAGCCTGCATTCCTGTGTCATCCTTTTGAATAGTACTTAGAAACCAGCCTTCTATGTCTGTGTTTCATACTATAAAGTGTTGATCGCCGCTTGAACTGCACGTAACAGATGGTTTAAATGACGAAGAGCCCACCCCGTACCCAAAACAACCCCCTCCCTTTTACCCCAACTGCACACTTCCCGCTTTGACATTCCTCCCAGAGACCTGAACGCGCGCATTCCAACAAGAGGATACATCGTATGAGACCGTGACATCCATTTTCTCCCCGGGGAACAGCGTTATATAGTTCTCTGACCAGCGGACAGGAACGATGTCGTCTCCGGCACTGTCCACCAGGTTGAGGCGGATGAACACAGCTGGAATAGGTGAGGTGTTTTGCAAAGTAAGTTTACTAGCTCCAGAAGGCGTCACGGTGAGGTTTGCGAGCGGCATGGTGGCAAGGTCGGTGTAATTGGCATACGAGGAGACGGGAGTGTGGTACCTGTTGAAGAGCAGAGCATGAGTAACATTGCCGAACATGAAGAAAAAAAGAGAGACAAACATACCAAGTCGAATTGTCCCAATCCAATTCATCCTCTTTCGCAGACAACCAATAAACATTCCTACTGATGACCCTCTTCTTATCATGCATCACCAACCTCAACAACACCGTGCCCTTCCCCTCGAGCCCTCCCATCGGCAACACCACCACCCACCTCGCCTCATTCGGTCTCATCTGCACGTCCAACGGATCAGCCTTCCACAGCGTCCGGCCCTTTAAATCCACCATCTCGACCTCCACAGTCCTCATCCCGCCCTTATCAATCGCGCGATTCGTCATCCACACCGACCACGTCGAATAATCAAAACTCACATGCTCCATCCTCGCGCCCATCTTCGTGCCGAAGTAACTTCCGCCAGAATGGAGGTAATAGTCGAAGAGATTCCAGTGGAGCGACGGCCAGGCGTTGTTCAACATCCAGTAGATGAGTCCCGTGGCTTTCCGCGAGGCGCCCCAGTGCGACGCGTACGCTTCGAATTGCGCGCGCGTGGCTTCGTAGTCGGCCATTTGGCTCTTCAGGATGTAGTCGTCGAGCGACGTCGGGGCGCCGTAGCGCGCCCAGAGCGCGTCGTTGTAGATTTTGCGCGTGTAGAAGGAGGATACTGATGTACTCATGTGGTAGAGCCCTTTATCGGGATTTTTCCACAGATCGTCCATGTCGCTTTTGGAGAGGAATTTCTTCAGCGAGGATAGCTCGGGCGTGCCAACGCCGGCGCCCAATTCGCTCCCGAAGCCGAACGCGCCTCCGAGCTTATCTGCGCCCCAGTAGTTTGGTGGAACCCAATCATACGGTCCGTCCATCTTCATTCCTCCGTTGCCGAGCAGTTTCGGATAGCCTCGCTGGGAGGCGGAGCTGATGATGGGGATATTCCAGTCGAAAGCGCGAAGGGCGTCGACATAGATCATTGTTGCGCGGTCATCGGGCCAGAAGTCGCTGCCAACCAGGAAAGCGAGCATGGAGGGATGGGACTGCATCATCTCTGCCTCGTGCCGCATGGACTTGTTCGCGATGTCGTAGTCGGGATCCGTCCAAGTGATGCCGGAACCCTCGTCGTTGTACGTCCAGCCCTCCCACTTGTCGCAGCACTCCCAACCTGCCATGATCATAAGACCCATCTCGTCCGCCATGCTGTATAGGTAGGGATGTTCCTGTTTGCCCTCAAGGCGCACCGTGTTGAGGCCCATGTCTAGGATGTATTCGAATTGGGCGCGCAGTTTGGTGGGCGAGAAACGCAGGAACATGTCGGATGTGTAGCCCGCGCCAATCACTTGGAAGGGGCGGTCGTTGATATAGAAGGTTGTGTCGTTGTATGAATTGAGGTTGGACGTTACAGTTCGGATACCGAACTTTGTAGGTGGAGCACGATCAGATACGCCTGCGCCCGTGGATGCCGTACAGGTAGTCGTGTAGAGGGGTTGGGCGCCCCATTGCCTGGGCCACCAGATGTGCGGGTTGGAGATTGTGACATTGAATGTGAGCGTTTCAATCTTTCCGGCACTCAAGCGGAATTCGGCTCTCGGATTCCCAACTTCGTTCCCCTGAGGATCCGATATTTGACAGGTCACCTCTCCCTGGACTCCACGATTTGACCAGTTCTGGACATCGAGTCTGATGCTGACATGCGCCTCCAGTGGCCGTAGTGTCGAGATGGCTCGAGGCGATGATATGGAGACCGGGCCAGTCTCTGTGATCTGGACACCCCTCCACACACCTGTACCATTGTCTGGCGGGTAAGGGTTCCAGTCGACGAATCCGAGCGCAAGATCGCGATTGTAGTCGGTAGGGTATGCCTTTATGAGAAGCGTGTTGTTGCCGCTTTTGACCTGCTTGGTGATATCGTATGCCAGTCCCGTGTAGGCTCCCGCTTGCACATTCTTATCTGCTATTGTCTTTCCATTGAAGTAGATATCCGCCCTCGAAGAGATGCCATGGGTTCTCAATTGGAAGTACGAGCCGCCGCTGGAACTGAGGTTTATATCCGATCGGTAGTACCACGGTACTCGAAACTGAGCTGAATCGACCTTTTCGAGATTGTTCGAGAAGAAGAGGTCCGTCTCATTGTACACTTTGTTCTCGAGCAAGGTGGCCATGAGAGTCCCACGGGAGCCGATACCGTACCAACTGGACGTATCCAAATTGGGATTGGAGAGCTTCGCTACATCGTCTCCGGTTTTTGAAGATGATTGAACCTTCCAACTTGACACGGTGGTCGCCTGGCCTGGTGCTGCGGCGGCCTTGTGGATCGGAAACGAAGAGGCAATGAGCAGCCCAAACGACCAGACAGTTGATGTGTAGCCCATCTTCGAAAGCGAGCGCGGTGCAAGTACAGTCGAAAGGTGACGGTCGCGTCTTTAAAAAGACGGGGCGCTGGCAATGTCGCGGTGGGTGTCCAGGTGCTACTACCATGCGATGTGTACCCTATCCTCAACAGCAGCACCTGCATCCGGAGTTAAGTTGGATGTTTTGACATAGGGCGCACCATCGAGCAAGCTTTGGGAGAAGAAGGTGCTCCGGTGAGACTCTTCTTACGCTACGCGACATGATAAATGCGCGGAGTTAGGACCTGTGGGCTTTTTCTCCAGCTGCCAAGGCTGGGGTTAATATGTACAACGTTGCACTGAGTCTGCATTAGGGAGCCCAGGCTCGGCACCTTCAGAATGTTTGTTGATATATAGTTAGCTCGAAGCCTTATGCAACGTCACTTTCCTATTCACAGTTATAACTTCCATCCTCGCTTCTTGGCCAGGGCAGTCTCCTGCCTCAGGGCAAGGTCTGCGATAATCTCCTCACTGCCGCCGCCGACGACCTACAACACCATCAGCATCTGCATACCCGAAATGACTCATCCGAACCTACCATCATTCTCAGATCACGGCTCATCTGCTCGATGATAGCCCCGGTGCCTCCGCGCTGGTAGCCAGCCCCTCCGAAAATCTGCTGTGCCTCGCGATTCGCCATCTCTAGGATACGGCCACCATGAACCTTGGACAAAGCGATCTGGCCTGCAATGGCAGGGTCGTTAAAGCCCAGAGGGTGCTTTGAGATGTGGTAGGCAAGTTGCTCAAGCCACGCCCAGTGGCTTTCAACATAGCGACCTATGGTCGCCAGCTTGTGGCTGATGATCTGATTCGAAATCAGGGGCCTGCCAAAGGTGTGGCGCTTGTGGGCATATTCGAAAGACTCGGACAGACAGGTACGGGCCTTGCGGTTGCAGCCAACGGACATGATAAATCGTTCTTTATTGAAATTTTTCATGATGATTTTGAAACCCTGGTTCTCCTTGCCGATGAGGTCCTCAACGGGCACGTAGACGTCGTCCATTTCGACGAAGCTCGCGCCTCCACCCTTCTGTCCACTGTTGGGTATCCTCCTGTGCGTGAGACCCTTGGAGTTTGTGGGGATGACGATGACGGAGATACCTCCCATACCAGGACCGCCGGTGCGCACGGCGGTGGTCATGTGGGTAGCCCAGGGCATGCCAGTGATCCATTTTTTGTATCCGTTAACGATATAGTACTTGCCGCACTTCGACTTCTCGGCCGTGGTCTGGATGTTGGCGACATCAGACTGCGCCATGTTAGCACGAATTTAGCTTGGAATTGTGGAGGACGTACGCCACCAGATGGCTCGGTGATGCCCAAGCAGAAGCTTGTCTCCCAAGTAAATAGCCCAGGCAGCCACTTTCTCTTCTGCTCCTCGGTGCCGTGATGCACGATGGGCGGGACACCAATGACGCTTCCACCTCCCAGCGAAGTACCAACGCCACCCTCTATCCTGCTGGTCTCGTCTGTCAGAGTCAAAAGATGGAAGACATCGAGCTCTCCGACTGGTATTCCGGCAGGCCCAGGAATATCCTTTGGTCGGTATGGCTCAGGGACATCGGCGAAAGCAAAGCCGGATCGAGCCCACGCCAGACGTGCTTCAACCGGTGCCTCTCCCTTCTCTTCCCACTCCAACATGTAAGGCTTTATATTCTCGTCGACATATTTCCGTATCGCATTCCGGAGCTTCCTGTGGGATTCGTTATAGTAGGGCGACGCGAGGGAGTTGTACCAGGCGGGCTCACTCCAGGGGCCGAGGTTGCCAAAGGTGTCCTGCTTTCCGGATGCCATTATGGAGGGTAAGGGAACTGCTTTCTCGACAGCAATGATGTCGATCCGCGCGCTCTATAACGAGCCATGGTAGCTGAGTGTCGGACATAAATGCATCTGAGATGCTTGCATTACCGCGGCTCAGGGCAGCTGCGAGTCATCACGCCAAGGGAGGGGATGAACCTTGGCGGTAGGTATGTACTGCAACCTCCAACTCGATTTCCTCCATCACACAATAATGCCACGGTTTGGGGCACAATTCAGAATCAGTTGTGCGTGTCAGTCTCTTTGGAAATGTTTGCAGACACCGCGAACACCTAGGCATTTCTCTTTCAATATCGGAACACCTCGCGTACTTCACGACTTTCAACATATGCAGACTCAGGCTATACTATAGTATAGTCAGCGTGGTACATAACCGAGTAAGAGATGAGATCACCTTTCGAGAGCTACTTTTTCTTACTTCGGTCTCCTGGAGCCGGCCGCTTACGCTACTGCGTTCCGTTTTCTCTAGCAACCATGTCTGGGGTAGACCTCTACGGCAATAATTCCGAAGTTGATCAATCCAGGCCGCTGCAGTCTACTATGGACTTGCTGCCACCAGCAGCACGCAAATAGCGACCATGAACACAGAAACGGCACACTCCGAACAGGCTGGAAGCCAGAAATATAACCAGATATGGTCTCAGATGGGCTAAGCAAATGAGCTTCGCGTCCCATGCAACCATTCCTTTCAAATATTTCTGACCTTCTCGAGCTCTATGTTATCTTGTAACGCCTTTGTCAGTTCGTCGTCGAGGAAAGAGAAGAAGTTCAGAGTAATATCTGCATGGTTATTCCTTATCCTAGTCTTCGTTCTCTGTCTCAATTCCAATGCCTCACAACCCTCTTTCTCACACCTCTGCATCTTATACCTTCATTTACACGCTACCGCAGCCATTCCACTTAGCCGTGCTGCAGCGGAAGGATCACACTGGAGTTGCACGACAGAGCAGAGGCTCATGGCATGGCCGCACACGCTCGGATTGCAACTCGCCGTGTCGCAAGGAGACATCTACACTCGCAGCATGCAAGAAAAATCGAGAAGTGGGCCTCAAAAAGGAAACCTTTCCGTCAACCTGGTTCACCCATTAAACCGTAAGAGATAGAAAAGTCTAGGCCCAATCTCCCAACAAGTCCTCGCATTGACCTCTTACAGATCCTGAAGCACAATGGCGCGCAACTGTAGCATGAACCGCCAAGCATGACAGGGTTACGTAAGACATTCACCCTGGAGGAGACTGCACGACATTCCAAGAATCTGAGCTGCAACCAATGGCATTTTCGCCTCAAGAATACTTTTGTATTCGGTATTATGTATCGGCAGTTCATCGAGCGCTGCCACGCGACATGAGGTTTTGCGGGGTGCAGCAACAGTCCTGGGGTGTGCGTCATGAAACCCGTCTGAGACCTGCTGTACCGCAGCGCACACGACTCTGTTTTTTCCCAGCCTGGAGAACAGAACCATTGGCGGAGGGTCCGACCACCAGTTCGTGCTGTACAGTCGGTCTGTTGATGCCGCTCACCGTGTTTGTGTAGGTGGGTTGACGGACGGTGCGCGGTTCATGCAAAACAGCCAGACGCTGTTGTCGATATAGTGGGTCGTCTACCTGCGAACAGACGCTCATCATCTCGAACCATGGTTCCTTTCTTTTGAGAGTGGTGCACGGCGGGGACGGCTTCTGGAATGCGTGGCATTCTTCCACTCGTTATACTACTTCACTGTTAATGATACGTACGAATTGCCGGCTGGACCGCAAATGACGAGACTACGAATTCTCTTTCTCTAGCGCCTACCACTCCACCAAAACAACTGTACGAGGATAATTTCTATTCAAAAGACAAGAAGATACAAGAATACGCGCGAATGAAACCAGCAGCATGTCATTCCCGAACCCAACCAACCACTTCGACGGCAGCCGGTTCAACAACTCGATGAACAGGAATGGCGGCAGCTTCAACTCGAGCGGCCGCCCCAACTTCAATCCCAGCCGCTCCCGCAACCAGAACATGGACACGACGACGGCACCGATTCTGCTAGGCGTAGGCGGCAGCCTGCTCTTCCTCTCCATCGTCCTCCTCACCGCGAGACTGTGGTCGCGCCTCCGACCCATTGTGCGCCTCCACGCCGACGACTGGACCGTCCTCGGCGCCACCGTACATCTCCCCTAATCCCACACAACCAAGCAAACCGCATAAGTGCTAACAGACGTGGGCAGATCCTAGCCACAGTCTCCTACACCCTCCTCTCCGCCTCGACCTACCACGGCCTAGGCCGCCAATCCCGCTTCGTGTCCCTCCCCCGCCGCCGCACCGCCCTCAAACTCCTCTTCCTCTCCCAACTCCTCTGGTACTGGGCCATAACCTGCGTAAAACTCAGCGTCGCCTTTCTCCTCCTGCGCGTCAAGTCCCCGCACCGCGGCTGGCGCTTGTTTCTATCCTCCATCATCATCTTCCTCGTCCTCGCCGCCGTCGTGCAGACGTGCTTCCAATTCCTGCAGTGCCGCCCTTTCTCCGTATTCTGGGACCCGCGCGTTTTTATGCAGGGGCCTGTGACGTGCTTTCCTACACGGGTGATTAATGGGAATATTGTAGCTTTCTCGGCCATCCAAGTCGGCGTCGACCTCATCTTCTCCTTCATCCCCATCACCTTCATCCGCAAACTGCATCGCCCCCGCCGGGAAAAAATCTTCATGTGCGTGCTCATGGCCCTCGGATTATTCGCGTCCTGCGCGGCGATTATTAGGACATTGCAGTTGCCGGGGTTTTACACGACGAGGGACCTGTTTAGGAGTAGTGTTGTTACGGCGCTGTGGGCGGTCGTGGAATTGCAGTTTGCAATCATTGCGGCGACGATGCCGACGTTGAAGAGGGTGGGCGAGGGGGTGTTGGCGAGGTTGGGCAGGTATTTTTATGAGGAGGGGTGTGAGAGGGTGGTGAGGGGGAGGTTGGTGGCTTTTGGGTTGTTGGAGGAGGAGGAGGGGGTGGATGGGGGGAGGGAGGGAAGGGGGCGGAAGGAGGTTGGGAGGGATGTGGAGAAGGGGAGGGGGAAGGGGAAGAAGGAGGAGGAGGAGAGGGTTGTGGGCGAGTCGGTCAGGAGTAGTGTTGAGGAGACGGGGAGCGAGAAGGCGGTTGAGGAGGTGTTGGGGAGGGCAAAGGGGTGGGTTTAGGGTGGTGATGGAGTCCATTTCCCGTCTACTGGCTGGCCGCGAGCCCAGAGTGTGAGGAGACCATCATCTCCAAAAATCCGAGTCCCATTTCCAAAACCAGAGTGACAGGGCAGGCCAATATGTGGATTTTAGTGATTTGAAACACCTGATTTTTATATGACTGATTTGGTCGAACCTCATGGATATGGCACGGATGAAGCCGTCTCTTCAATGAAACGATGCATAATTCTATCGACCGTATACTAGGACAAAACAAGCGTGAAGAAGGAACATAAGCAATGCAGCTACGAGACGATGTCGATTACCAACCCGATACCGAGATAGGACCAATAAGGAGAATGAAGAAGGGGGGAAAGTAAGCAGGAAGCAGAAAGGGAGGGAGAAAGGGTATGATAAGGGTATACGGGATAAAAAGGGCGGAGAGGGGATGTGGGAATAGAGAAGGGTAAAGAGTAAAATACATAGAAAGGGATGAGCATACGTTTCGTCTTTCTGCAGCGAGGCCGTTAACGTAAGGAAATGAACTCCGTCGCTCCGCCGCTCTGCTAAACGTCATGAATGCTTCCTCATCGCACGATAACCCATGATCAATGATATCCCCCTATCTCCGCCATGGTGAACCAAAAAACCCATCCTCTCAAACGCGCACAGTAGCCGGATACGGCGAAGGGGAGCGACCCCTCAGCGCCGGTGAACTCGGCCTCAACATGGGACTCGCGGCCGCACTCGCCGCATCCAGACTCAACTGGCTGATCGTATCCAGGTTCGTCTGGACATCCTCGGCGGTCAGATCCAGCATCATACGCAGCTCATTCGTCTCGAGGGCCTCGCCCAGCCCAACCATCAACTGCGCCTTGGTGTTGCCGCTGCTGGGGATGTCGAAATACGACCACCGATAGCCTATGTCGGACAGTCTGTGCGGCTCCTGGGGCGTCGTGATGCGGGCCGTGACTCTGCGCACGTCCATGCCAAAGACGCCCGAGACGTGCCTATCGCCGTCGAGGCCGAAGGTCGAGTTTCTCCGCACGGCGCGCGGGACTTTTGCGTTCTTCTCGAGGGGCTGTTCGGCGAGGCGGTTGGAGGCACCCGCGTCCCGCAGCCTGGCTCGCTTGAAGACTGCGTTCTTGAGCTCGGTGATTCCTAGCACGACGTACAAATCTTGACCGTCTTGTATAGTCTGCAGTATCCATTCTCTCGCCTCGGGGTCCTCCAGCACGGCGTTGAAGGCGCGCACGGGGTGCTGGCTCGTCCGCTGGATCATCTGCTCGGCCGTCACGCTGAGGAGGTTGGGCTGGCGGTAGACGCGGCCGAGATCGAACTTGGCGCCGTAGTTGGCGCTGAAGCGGCCCTCGGTGTCGACGGCGAAGAGGTCCTTGTAGCGAAGTTGGATGTGGTAGTCATTGAGCTCGTCGACTTCTTGGCGGGCCTGGTGCGAGTAGAAACCGCCTCGTTCCGGGTGCAGAGGGTGGACGAGGAGCTGGCCGATGGTGACTTCGTCGGCGGGGAGGGGTCGGGGGAGGAGGCCGTGGAAAGGCATGATGCGACTCTGCTGTTGCTATGAGACGGGAATGATGAGGAGAGGAAGAGAGGTGGAAGACTGGAGAGGCGTTGGGCTGTGAAGGTGAGGCTGGTGAGGCCGCAGCTGGTCCGTTTTGTCAAAGTTGTTGCATCTTTAGCTGAGGTTGTCGATGCGGCAGCCAATCAGAGGTGCCGCCGCGGCAGGCGTGGCTGAATCTATGGGCTCAGCAACTTTGTCCATTCCTCACCCTTTTCTGGTGCCATCCTGATGCGAAAAGTGCGTATATCGCCCTCAGCATGCGTACTGGGGGTTAAGGAGAAGAAGAGATGATGTCGATTTAGACATTTCCCACGTGCGATTCGTGAACTAGGCGACTAGGAGCCGGCGCCAACCAGCGGCGGGCGAAGCCGGAGGACGGAGGAGCAACCGAGGGCAAACATGAAGTGTCGCCGCATCTGATCACGGGGCCATTGGTTGTGGAAATCTGAGAAGATTTGGAAGAAGGAGAGCCTCGGAGAGGAACACCTCCGGCATTGCACAAGGCACATACCAATCTCCCCGCAATAGCCTAGAGTCACTCAACAACTTCCCAGGCGTACAGTGAAACCGACTTCACGGAACCTTATTTGCAGTTGGAAATGGAAAAGGCAACCCGGAGAAGCTTGGAAGACGGGGAACCGGGCGCATCTCATGCTTTCAAGACAAGGCCAGTAATTCGTTTCGACGCCGCCATGGACAAGCACATTGCCAGGGTGACAAGCAGCTGGCAGCCGAGTTTCTGAGAGGCAAGTCAACAATACGAGGGCACAGAGTACAATAATGCCGGTACATCCAGATGGGACGACTTGGAAATCAATCACGAGAGGCTTAACACGGCCGTCATGCTGACTGAGCAAGACGTTGCAGCGCATGGCGTTCCTCCGGCAGAGCCGAGGAGAAGATGGATATGCAGGGACAGGAGGCTTGCAAAAGGATATGCGACAATAGCGACGATGCAGTTCCGCGGCGTCCCAATTGCGGAGGAAATCCAAAAGGACGGTGATACGGCGATAGGAGAAGGAAGAAAATAATGCGTGGGTGGTCGATAAGGAGCTCAGTTGTGTACAAGTACAAGTACAAAGTACACAGTAGAGCGGAGCGTGGGGAGCTGCCCAGGTGGAGTGCAGGTGGGGTGTCATTTGGCTGTGACCGCAAAGGGTTTAGCGTTAGGGGAGCTGCCCCTCACCACCTGCCAAGCGGCTTATCGATTGCGAGACTCTTCACTCAACACCAAGCTGGGATGATGAGTGAGATGTGCAGGACCCAATTCCCCATCGAGACAAGTCTGGCCATTCGAAGCCGCCCATATGCCGCAGCAATTGGTCGAGGATGGTTGCTACCGAACACTTTTGAACCGCTTGCGGGTCTTCATGACGCCAACCGTCTCAGCAAAACCCTCCCACGTCCACGTCACTCGCCACTGCTTCCTGTTAGTACCCGCTTGTTGCCCGCCCCTCACTAAACTCAAAAGAAATCCCTCTGGAGCTTTGACCTGGATTGTAAATTCTTAGAAAGCACTTGAACGGTGGGTTGCGGCTTCTCTTTATATCTCTCTTTGAACCCCTCCCCTCCCCTCGCTCCAATCCATCCCCTTCTCTTCGTCCCAGTTCACGCCTTTCCACTTCATCCCTCCTCGATACCCAATTCCCGCCATGCCTACCCCCATTCCCCAAGCGGAGGAGCTCAAGGACCTCTTCAGCCTCAAGGGCAAGGTCGTCGTCGTCACCGGCGCCTCCGGTCCCACAGGCATCGGAATCGAGGCTGCCCGCGGCTGCGCAGAGTTCGGCGCCGACCTGGCCATCACCTACAACTCGCGCGCCGAGGGTGCTGAGAAGAACGCCAAAGAGCTCACCCAGAAGTACGGCGTCAAGGTCAAGGCCTACAAGTGCCAGGTGGGCGACTACGCCAATGTCGAGAAGCTCGTCCAGGACGTCATCAAGGACTTTGGCAAGATCGATGTCTTCATCGCCAACGCCGGCAAGACGGCCGACAACGGCATCCTCGACGCGACCGTCGAGCAATGGAAAGAGGTCATCGATACCGACCTGACTGGCACCTTCAACTGCGCCCGCGCTGTCGGTCTGCACTTCCGCGAACGCAAGACGGGCTCCCTCATCATCACCGCCTCCATGTCGGGCCACATCGCAAACTACCCCCAGGAGCAGACCTCCTACAACGTCGCCAAGGCCGGCTGCATCCACATGGCCAAGTCGCTGGCCAACGAGTGGAGGGACTTTGCTCGCGTCAACTCCATCTCGCCCGGATACATTGACACGGGTCTCTCCGACTTTGTGCCCCAGGACATCCAGAAGCTGTGGCACTCGATGATTCCCATGGGCCGTGATGCCAAGGCAAAGGAGCTCAAGGGCGCGTTTTTGTACTTTGCCTCGGATGCCTCTTCCTACACTACCGTAAGTCTAGCTCATGCATGCTGAAAGTAAGAGGACTCGCACTGACAAACCATCAGGGTGCTGATCTCGTCATCGATGGCGGCTACACCACCCGATAAACGATTCCCCAGAAAGCAAGTCGAGCGCCCCTGATCCGATACGACGTTATGATTGTTGGGATTTATATGCGTAGATAATTGGAGGGTAGACGGTGGCCTTGTTGCTTTTCAGCATGAATGAGAGAATTCGCTGTCTCCAAACCCCCCGGAGAAGTTACATCGCATCGCGTGACATTCATGGCCGCTTGTGTTTTAGGTGCCAGTGAAGATCCATGTTGGCCAAAACAGAACTTTACTCAGGCTTCGGAGTATCAAGCTCGAAATTGCCACATGGTGTTGTTTGTGGTAAACAGATGGATGCCATGAAAAGCATAGATTCGATTCCATCTATACTGGAATCTACGCGGCTTGCGAATCCTTCAGCACACTAACCCCGCAAACAGTAGGAATGGTCCGTCGGCGCTTCCCAACCGCCGACGCCTCCGCGCCTGCGTCACCACGACCTGCCCAAGTGAACACGCAGCATCTTTTTCTTCGTTCTTCCACACACCACACATCCAACCACACTCATTCCCAAATGCCAGACAGAGACGACGACAATCGCTCCCGCTCCCGATGCACCGATCCGGACCGGGAGCCCAACCCATTCATCTCCTTCCGCCGCTTCGCCGACGCCCAGCTCTCGTCGCTCTTCAAACACGTCTTCCCCCTTTCCGAAGACCTTGATGACCATTCCTCATCATCAGTATCGATGCGGGCGCAGCTCCTGTGTCTCTTTGGTAGAGCCGATGAGCGGAAGTGTGAGAGGCGGGAGGAGCTGCAGTGGGAAGAGCTCGGTTTGCAATTTGAGAGGGAGTCGCGGTATTTGCTGGGGCATGCGAGAGGGGTGAAGGAAGTGGAGGAGCAGATGGACGAGATAAGACGGAAGAGGGAGGAGTTAGACAGGCGGATTTGTGATGAGGAGGAGGAGGGGAGCACGAGGGGTTGGAATGAATTGGGAGTGCAGAGGCAGAGGGAGAAGGAGATGGTGGAGAGGGTGGCGAATAGGAAGGCGCAGGAGTGGGCGTGGGATTGGGATTGGGGGTTTCCGAGACCGTTTGATGCGCGCGAGAATCGTGATGGTCAGAGACGAGGAGACAGGGCTCAGAGTGAGGAGCAAGTCGGGAATGGGGCTCGAGGGTTCTGGGGGAGACGGCGGTGTGCTCGCGATGAGCACCTTGGCACTGATTGGGAAGAGGTGAAGAAGTGGGCTCACGAAGAGGAGGATGCTGAGAACAGGCCAAAGGTGTGGCATTCGTGTTCTCGGTGGCTTCGTCCTTCTGAGTCCTCGCGACACGGAAACCCATATAGCTACAGGGCCTGGGGTGAGATGTATTCACCCTACTCCCTGGAGAATGACGAAAGATGGAAGCAGACCAATGTCCCTTGGAGGGATGCATACGAAGATCTGCTGCGCACACAGCGAGGGTTGGATATCATGCCTGAGGAAGACCTAGGAAAGAGCAAGGACATGTCATACTGGGATTGGGTCCGCCAACTCGCAAGACCTGCACCTGCACAACGCTGGCCAAAGGAAGGACAGTATCCTAAGCGCGTACCCTGGACGAATGAAGACGATGCGAGCGAGCAGCCAAACTACGAGTATGGCCACGATCATGAGGATCAGCATGACGAGCCTCCTTCACCGACATCAGCAAGGCCACATCAGGCGTCGGAATCGGAAGCCCCAGCGACAGAGTTGGATGCGTACGAGAGGCTGCTCAGCTCCGGCGACTCGGCGCCGCAGTCCGATACCGCACGGCCATCTCTCATGTCTACTTTGACGACCACAGAACGAACAATTGCACCAGACGGCACAGTGATAACCAAAGTTGTATTGAAGAAGCGGTTCGCCGACGGGCGAGAAGAGAACTCGGAAACGGTGCACACGCAGCGTCCACAAGATGCCGAGGCTCACGGTCCGGATGGAGAGCCGCAATCGCAGACTGCCGGTGCCAACCGAAGCACCGAAAAGCCTAATAATAGGTCAGGTTGGTTCTGGTCGAAATGATTCTGCCAGTTCCCCCATCTTAAGTTGTAACAACAAATCTCTTGGAGGGCCTTTGGAGTTCGGATAAAGCAAGGAGTCTGTACATTGGCAAGTCGTACCATCATCGTTCGTTTTACTATATCTAGGCATATCGGCGGTGTTTTTCCGTGTTTGGAGTCTTGGATAGCAGCATAGGCGTCTCCGCTCAATTCCAAATGTCTTTGAGTATCTCTTGTCAAACTTATTTCTCGAATTCTTCTTAACAGCTCCTCACTCCGTCCGTCTGCCGCGTTTACTTACCGCGCGAACAGTTAATTTCGAGTGGACCGAACCTTTACCAGGCCCAGAGTCTTTCTGCCGTCGGTCCTATGGTGCCCTGTCGCCGCGGTATGCAGTGTAATGTATTTAGCCGTACCATCATCACTCCAAACCTTCTAGGCGTGCCAACGACCTGCGCAACATCGATCTGCCCAACCAACCATGGACTCGCTGCCCCTGTTGCTATATTGCAGATCGTACCCAAGTGCTGCTGGCCCCTGAGATCGTGCGCGGTAGCGCTCAGGATTCCCCTGGTCGTCGGGACTATGCCGCCTCGACGGTTATCGAGAAGGCCCAGAGTTTCTTTGCGGGGATTCGATGCATGACGTTTGTGGGAGAATGTTTGTGCGTTTCCTGCCTCGTATCGGTTGGACGGTTCGAAGGGCCGCGGGTAAGGGCTCTCTGCTCAAGCCTGCAGAGTGAGTGTATAAGGGAAAGGGGATGCCCCCTTGTTTTTGAGTTCCCAACCACCGGTGCCCTTTTCGAGAGTCTCCCAGGTTCACGTTGAGGGTTTGGCACGATGCTTCCGACGTTGGTAGCCACCGTGTTGGCGGCATTGGCCACTACGGCTCTGTCTGTCGACATTGTGGTTCACAAGGATGGAGGGAACAAGACCAGCGACATGCCCTATGGTCTCATGCACGAGGTATGATGATTCCTCCATCGCGTAGCCAGATACCATGACACTGACACACTCCCAGGACATCAACTACGCGGGTGACGGCGGCATCTACGCCGAACTCATCCGCAACCGCGCCTTCCAAGGCAGCAAGCAATTCCCCGTCTCGCTGTCCGGCTGGAGCCCCATCAACGGCGCCCAACTCACTCTCAAGCAGCTGAGCAAGCCCCTCTCCTCCGCCCTTCCCAACTCCATGAACGTCGCCGTCGGCAACGCTTCCAAACCGGGGCCCATTGGCTTCTCCAACTCGGGCTTCTGGGGCATGGACGTCAAGAAGCAGCCGTACAAGGGATCATTCTACGTCAAGGGTGCCTACAAGGGCAAGTTCACCGCGAGCCTGCAGTCCGCCATCACCAAGGAGACGTTCGGCAGTGTCGAGATTGTGAGCAAGAGCGTCGAAAATGAGTGGGTGCAGCATAAGTTTACGCTGGTGCCGACGAAGAATGCGAAGAATGGCAATAATACATTTGCTCTGACGTTCCGGCCCGAGGGCGTGCAGGGCAAGGCCAAGAGCTTGGATTTCAATCTCATTAGCTTGTTCCCGCCGACGTACAAGGGGAGGGAGAATGGGTTGCGGGTGGATTTGGCCGAGGCGTTTGCGGCGCTCGAACCGGTATGTACTTCTCCATTGTTTTCAAGAGTGTCATTCAGGTGCTGACTTTTTTCTTTACAGAAATTCCTCCGATTCCCAGGCGGTAATGCACTCGAGGGACCCGATCTAGCCAACCCCTGGAAGTGGAATGAGACTCTTGGTCCGCTCAAGGACAGACCCGGACGCCCCGGTGTCTGGGGATACCAAATGTCAGATGGTCTCGGTCTGATGGAATACCTGCAATGGGCTGAAGACATGAACCTGGAGCCCAGTAAGACACCTCCCTTCTCCTCTCATATTCCTCGCACCACTCACCTACTAACCTCACCACAGTCCTCGCCGTCTGGGCAGGCCTCGCCCTCGATGGGGCCTACGTCAACGAAACCGATCTCCAGCCCTGGATCCAAGACGCCCTCAACGAAATCGAATTCGTCCGGGGGCCCGCGACCTCGCCCTACGGCTCCCTGCGCGCCCGTCTCGGCCACCCGGAGCCCTTCCCGCTCAAGTACGTCGAAATCGGCAACGAGGACTGGCTCGCTGGCCGGCCCGCGGGTTTCGAATCCTACATCAAATACCGCTTTCCCTTGTTCAAAAAGGCCATTTCAGAAAAGTACCCAGACATCCAAATCATCGCCAGCCCGTCCGTCTTCGATGACATGACCATCCCCGCCCCCGTGGCGGGCGATTACCACCCGTACAGGGAACCCGACGAGTTCTACAACGAGTTCCACAAGTTCGACGGCCTGACGCGGGACAACAAGACGCTCATCGGCGAGTACGCGGCCGTGCACGCCAACGGGGGGATCAAGTGGGACGGGGGGCTGCATCCGTTCCCCTGGTGGATCGGGGCCGTGGGCGAAGCCATTTTCCTCATCAGCGCCGAGAACGCGGGCGATCGCATCTTGGGGGCTACGTACGCGCCGATATTGCGCAATATGAATAGCTGGAGCTGGAGCGTGTGCATGATTGAGTTTGAGGCGGATACGAGCAAGACGACGCTGAGCACGAGTTATCACCTGTTTAAGTTGTTTTCGACGAAACCGATTACGAGGACCCTGCCGACGACGCCTGGGGAGCGGAATACGACGAGTTTGTTCTGGGGTGCTGGAGTGGCGCAGAAGGGGGGCAGGGTGGTTAAGTTTGCGAATTATAATACTACGGGGCATGCGGATACGCCGGTGAGTGTGAGGTTTGAGGGGGTGAGGGAGAAGAAGGCTACGTTGACGGTTTTGACGGGGAAGGAGGGGGCGTATGGGTTTAATGATCCCGAGAGGGGGAATGAGGTTGTTAGGCAGGAGAGGAGGGTCCTCGGGGCGGATAGGGAGGGGAGGTTTGTGTTTCGGTTGCCGGAGTTGAGTGTTGCGACGTTGGAGGTTGGGAGGAGGGGGGATGATGACGAGGAGGAGGATGATTAGAGGGTTGTGATTGGTGAGGGAGGGGTTTAGACGGGTTGGGAGATGTAAAGGTAATACTCTAGAGAACTTTTCTGACGAGCTCTGCATGTACAACGGTGATCGTAGCAAGATATATTTACCGATCTTGTCCTGGGGAAATCGTAGCTACTTTGCAGTTCCCGCAATGGTGCCAATGCGGGGGTTACAGAGTGCGTGGACAGGCATCTAGGTTTGCACTGCAACGAGGTATATACTACTGTATCGCATGTGAACCTCCCCCGCCTGCGGTGTAGCAGGTGCCCAAGGTTCTTCTAGCTGGTTAGTATCTACCCTGGAGGGTTCCAATGCGTATATAATAGCGTGCAGCAGGACTTATCCAACTGTAAGAGGTTAGTACAACCTTGTCATGAGGCTATTAGTATGACACTACATTCAAGGCAGCAGGGCCTTCTGTTGTTTAACCGACTAGACAATATAGTCTGTAGCTATCACCTAGAGTAGTAATGTCTCTTCGAGGTCTCTCCCTTTAAGTTTAATGCAGTCCCGCGCTTATCTATATTAGGCATCCATCATATTCACCCAATCAACCTTCGGACGTCCATCCACGTATAGCTGTGCCGCCATGGAATGACCCCGACTGCCTCGTCGCCCCCTCCGCTAACTTCACTTCCGACACCATTCAAGGCTACTCTCACAAACATGAAGAAAGCGTTCGAGTACTTCCTTTCCACACCCTCACAGCCTCCCGCAGGAAGTGCCCGACTAACCTCCACCCCCCGCGAAGTCTACCTCTGTGGCCCCAACGTCGTCTACAACGCCAGCAAAGACACCACGCGCCGCATCAGCTTCGAGACGCCGACCATCATGATATACGGCTACCCGTCCCGCGGCGGCGTCATCATCCTCGAGGACGCTTCTCCCACGGACCTGGAATTTCTGGCTCTGGACCGCATGGATCCGCCCATGTTCAGGCATGAAGATGCTGAGGACGAGGACTTGTTTTGTCAGAGGTTGCTTTTGCTGGGGCCCAAGTGGTGGGATTCACTGGCAAGGTACTGGCTGTTGAACGGTGAAGAGGTGGATAGGGGTGAGTTGGATGAGAGTGATGAACCGGTGCCGACGGGGCGAGAACGGTGCTGGATTAGTGTTGCGTGGCCTAGTGCCGGAGGGTTCGTGGTGTCCGAGTTCGACACGAATATGTGGGGGGTTGAGATTGAGAAGGAGCTCGTTCCTGAGGATGTGGCGAGGTTGCGGCTGTGCACGAGCATGGATGAGAAGGCGCGGATACTGAAGGAGAGGTTTAGAGGGAAGGTGTGGGAGCAAGTGGAGGATTATCGGGGGAATGCGTTTATAGGGTGTTGGGGGTGGAAGGAGACTGGTGAAGTGGGAGAGTTTCAGAAGACATGGGAGAAGATTTGAAGGGCTGGGCTGGGATAAATGGTAGAAGGATCCAAAGGGGGTTGGAGAAAGGAGAAAGCGTGCATGATTCCGAATTGGCAAACAAGGTATATAAGGACTTTGTGAGGTGCAACCGTTGGCATCTACTGGACTTTCCAATAGACCACGAACATCCACGGCAAGCACCAGATCCTCTAGTGGACCGCCAACATCTATGGCTCTCGACTTAGATGCTGAATAAGTGCTGTAGGTTGTCTTAGTTTTTATCCTGATCGCATGCTTTTGTACAGTTTTTCCTCTCCTTCCTCTCCTTCCTCTCCTTCTTCCTCTCCTTCTTCCTCTCCTTCTTCCTCTCCTTCTTCCTCTCCTTCTTCCTCTCCTTCTTCCTCTCCTTCTTCTCCTCCTGCTTTTCTTCTTAAAACTAGTAGGAGGTATATAGCGTATACCGTACTATTTCTAGACTAGGGATTGCGGGGAGTGTGCACTAGATAAAAAAAGGAAGGGGGGGGGGGGGGTTATGGAGCTATTTATTCAAGGTGTTGTGCTTTTGATGCTGTTGACTGTGTACTTCGGTTCCCAGGGTTTGTTACATACCTAGGTAGGAAAGCTACTGCGACGTTGGAAACGATCGCATCATGGGTCTTATCGATGTAAAGGAGGGCATTCTACTGGCAATTGCAGCAACAGTTGTCTACAATGCCATACTCACAATCTATCGTCTTTACTTCCATCCCCTGGCCAAATTCCCAGGCCCCAAGTTGGCAGCTGCCACGCAATGGTACGAGTTACTTCGACCTCTACAAAAAAGGGCAATTTATCTGGGAGATTCAGAGGATGAGCAATACGGTTCGTCCACCACCACACTCCCACCATACAACTTCTTCCTCGTATATCTAGCCTCAAACATCGACCTAACGAAACCACCACAGGCCCCATCATCCGCATCAACCCGGACGAAATCCACATAAACGACCCGGACTTCTACGAGGAAATCTACACGAGCGCCTCGAAGAAACGCGACCGCTACTCAAAGTGGAAACTAATGGCCGGCAGCCCCCTCTCCACCTTCAGCACCATCGAGCACGACCTTCACCGCAAGCGTCGCGGGGCGCTGAACCCGTTCTTCGCTAGACGCAGCGTTGCGCGCCTCGAACCGCGGATCTCCCAGAGAGTGGAGTTGCTGCAAAGCAGGTTGGAAGAGGAGATGAAAAGCGGGTCGGTGCTGGATACGAAGGCGGTGTATCTGGCACTGACGATGGATGTGGTTAGTGAGTATTGCTACGGCAAGAGCTACGAGTTCCTGCGCGAGAGGGATTTCAAAGCGGGGTTTAAGGATTTCTTCAACGAGTTGTTTGAGAATGTGGCGGTTAGGCGCGCGACGCCGTGGTTGATGTGGGTGATGCAGAGGTTGCCGCTTGAGTGTGTGGTGAGGTTTATGCCGGCGGATAAGGCGTTGAAGGATATGTTGTCGTTCCAGAATTGGATAAGGATGGAAGTGGAGAAGATCTTGGGTGGGCATCGAGAGGGGAAGGGTGAGAAGGGCGAGGGCGAGTATGAGAGCATTTTCAGTACGTTGAGGGATAGTGAGGCGTTGCCGCCAGAGGAAAAATCGGTCCAGAGGTGGGTGGATGAGGGATTCGTTCTGCTGGCTGCCGGCGGCGAGACGACGGCGAAGACGCTGTCGGAAACATTGTATTATTTGTTGAGAAATCCGGAGACGTTGGAAAGATTGAGGGCGGAGTTGAAAACGATGATGCTTAAGACCACCGAGTTGGCAACGTGGGCGCAGCTAGAACAGTTGCCATATCTGGTAAGTTATTTAATCAGACAATCTTCTTTGACAGGGAGTTAAGCCTTACCTATTACCGACTGCCGTTATCAACGAAGGCTTGAGGATGAGTGGTGATCTCTCCACAAGAATCCCACAGGTTCCGCACGAAGCTCTGCGATACAAGGAATGGGTAATACCACCTCGAGTAAGTCCTCCTTCTCTATCTACCAATTTCCGCACCTCTTGACTATTATTTCGCAGACACCGGTCAGCGAAACCAACACCCTCATTTTAAACAACCCTTCTATCTTCCCCGAGCCCGGCCTCTTTCAAGTCCGAGCGCTGGCTAGATTCCGAGGGCAAAAAGCGAAACGACCTCGATAAATACATGGTCAGCTTCAGCAAGGGCACGAGGTCGTGTGTAGGTATTAATTTGGCTCATGCCGACCTATATCTGATGCTGGCGGGAGTGTTCCGGAGATTTGATTTTGAGCTGTATGAAACGACTGACGACGATGTGCGGCTTGTGAGGGATGGATTTGTGCCCATGGCGAAGGTGAACTCCAACGGAATTAGATTTATCGTGAAGGGGGAGGTGAAATAGGGAGAATCAAGACAGAGGGATCCCACTACTAGTCACGGTAGTCGAAAGAGATGTCAGTGAAAAGGTGGGGTCGAATTACACAGTGAAAGAAAAGGTGAAGTACGAGATATTACTACCATGAAGATAAGCTGCGGATATTCTGGTTCTAGTGCGACATTTTATCTCGTTCATATTTTCGCGTGTTTACTCAGACACTATACATGTCTTGGTGTCATGGCTTGGTATTCTCGGACGCCTTTCATACCATATGCAGCACCACCACGATTTAGGACTCTCTGTACCAATTGCCGCGTTCTTATCATCTACGCTTCTTGCACTTCCCCAGACGAGTTTGAGTTATACTGCATTTCCGCATCATTCCACCCTAACCATCTGTACTACCTAGGTACAACCAAGCACCCGCCAAGCCGGTCTTGAAACAAAACATCCGCCCGCTCCGCTCCCGTTGGGGTGATCCAAGCCATATACCCAAAGTACCAAGATACGGAATTCTAGCATTCGTAGGGCTCACGCGCCCGCTCTGTTCCTTGGTAACTTGGCTGGCGCAAGGGGAATATGGAACCTCAACCGAAGGATGCGAGTATCGCACTGTCTAGTTCGCTCGGCGCGGGGTGTTTCTATATAGAGCATTATGCGTAAGGCAGAGCTGTAAGATATGAATCTTGGCTGCGTATGTCCAGCGCCAAACGGTTGCACTGTGCCGGCGTGGCACTGTAGGTGTAGCCTGCATTTACATTCTGGCAGTACTATAAGAGACTGGTCAAGCCCTATCCACGGTTTCAACACCGTCACCCAACCCTACATAACGTCCCAACTCCAAGCCTCTTTGCAACTTGAACGCTCAAACTCCAACGCCACATAGGCCACTATGCGTCTCTCCACTCTCCTACCGACCCTTCTTACCACCATTGCCCTCGTACAATGCGCGCCCAGTTCCAATCCCGATCCTGTCCCTCAAGCGCCATATACGGGGCCCTGCTCGACCAATAATTGCGGAGCGAGCGGAAAAGTATGTGGACGCGGATTGATGTGCGTACCGTGGCCACACATGGATCCCGCGTTGAGGAAAGGATGCACATGTAGCTATGGGAAGAAGTAAATTTAAGGGAGGCTTAAATCTCACAGGCAGAGGTAGGAGGAAGGATTCCGCGGACACTGAGGAACTTGATGGCTGATGGATTGCAAGCAGTTAGCAATAAACAAACACTCAGTTCTGCATAACAAATTGACGCTTCGAATTGGTGACGCTGGCGTGGAGACTGAATGGAAAAAGAAAAATTTGTTCGTTGTTTGGTCTCTGGCAGCTTTCATCCCGTGTACAAACAGCACAATCAGTTTGTTAGTCAGCAGGTCTTTCTCCTTGTTTGTGTCTGTCTCATGCAGTAGCCTATATGTAGATAGCCTACTGCAATGCAGAGTGAATCATCCAATTTATCTCACCTCTCCTCGTTCATACTGTTCCTACAGACTTATGAACAAGGGTGGTAGACTAGAGTGAAAGTTTGAATCAAGCTTATATAGTGACAAAGGGGATAGCGTATCGGCAATGCAAAGAATACATGGGGATCGATGAGTAGTGGATTGGCTATCTACTACTGAAAAGCTGTGTACTCGGTCGGGGTGCAGAGGTAGTGACTGCCTATCCTCTATGTACCTGCCATGGATGACGTGAAAGGCTCTCCTTTCACAACCCTATCAGGTCATTCACTGGGGCCGGGGAGGGCGAGTCGCACCAACTCACATGACAACAGAAAACCGCTTCGAGACTCGACCCCCCAAAACTGAACCTCGAACCTCATTATATGCCTTGATTGCAACCTCAAACCCTTCACATCACAATCATTCGCCAACGCTGAACAACGCCGAAATGACCTCACCATCGTTTTTTGATCGTCTCGTGTACGATGTGCGCGTCGTCATCTACGAACACATGGACCTTCCTCCCCTCGGTGACGGCAAGGATTTCTCTGGGTTGTGGCTCTCATGTCGCCAGGCGAAGAAGGAATTGGAGGCGGCAGCTGCCAAAGCGGCACGTCGCTACCTGGAGCAGTTCAAGGGCGCTTCCAAGGCGAACATGGGAATGATAATGAGACCCCTACCTCCACTGATGGACCTCCAAGATCTTAACATCCGCTTGCCGATCGCGGCCCTCTGGAGTGATCGGCAATGGGTTCCGTTATTTACCAAGAATTTCAACAAAGTTGCCATAGTGTTCCAAGGCGAGCTGCCTTACACACATGTCATGAGTTACCTTACATCGCCTAGCGACCGTCTACACGCACTTACACGACTCCTCGAAAAGTACACCAAGTTTGACTTTGGGAGAGCACGGGGATATCCAGAACTCGTGCACTGGCGACTCCAGGACACAAAGCCCATGGCCAAGAGGATATCTATCGCATGGGATTTGCGTCCGTCACATAGCCATGGGACACCACTGCCTCTCCGTGGGGGAGGGTTTGGGGAACCCCTGAGTTGCAAAGCGCGAAGCATGCCGACGACTTACCAACAAAACCCTTCTTCTACTGGCTATGTAGTGAAGACAGGCTTGTGTTGGAAGTTGGAGTAGTCAGTCAAGTCCGTGGAAGGAACACCACCGTTGATCTCCATGAATTTCGCGTCCAGTACGAACAAGCTCTCTCGGGCATTCATCAAAGCCCCTCGAGGGTCAATACGGAGAATTCCTGCAGGAGCACCAATGTTTGCGGAGTTTTGAGCAGGAACGGGATCCATCAATTCTTCTGAAGAATATGGCTGGTGATATAAGCAACTGTTGAGCCGGGGGGAGGCATATGGTGTCTATTTGACGTGGAGATATTCAATACGGAGGCGTGATATGTTGGTTTTGGATGACCTGCTTCTCCTAAAGTGAAGCTGCTGGCCTGCGTGCTGCAGATACTGTACTTGAGGTGGATCTATAGAAATGTCAGCAAGATACATTGGTGGTGGCAACTGTTACTTATTTCCGTTTCCCCGTGAAGCCAGCAGTCAACCGTGCGCGTGATGTGCACGTCTAAGTCTACAATATGCATGCATAGCCTGAGATCGTTTGTTTGAATTGGAATAAACACATACGGCATTACATTTACAGTAAAGTCCGTTGCATAAGCTGAACATGTATCCGTCCAACAGTAAATATCGGAAATCCCTTGTTTCTATTACGCCTGCGATTCGGCGAAGAAGACATTTCTGTAAAAGAAGTATTCTAAAGGAAGCCAATAGTAGCAGCACTATTTGTACTATTCGCGAAAGGTCTGCGGTCGCCAAAGCTCTGTAGAAAATTACGAAACTACTCTCAGCAGTTTGTAACAGCGTAGTTGTCTTGACATGCTTATAGCCGAACACCTATTTCACAATTCCTAAGAGCCTAGCGACTAGTTCTCGATTACCACGTAATTCGTCCTGAATGAACACTGCCGACACTTAGGGTATCAACACCCCGTAGACGAGATATCGCCGCCGTGAAAGAAGACATATTTCGGCTTCATAGACAGAGCCTCGAAGCTATGCTTCGAGAGACGATTTGGTAACATTTTCAGCTTAGATCCCTACGCCACAGGGAACACCTTGCGTGACGATTATGTTCAACGGGCTATTGAAGCAAGCCACAGCTGTGTTTTATACAAGGGAGCTGAGATCATTTGGCCATAGTTTAGCAGCAATTCGCTATAGTATCTTTTTGATGGTTTGGCACTTGCTGACAGAATTGATTTCTCGCATGACCACTGAATCTCGTCTCTTGCCCGCTTACAAGAGAGGGCAAGTACAAAACCCTGGTGTCCTTTCCTCTAGAGTATGGTAAGAGATGCAAGTACTTAAGGATGATTCGGACTGTACCCCCGTTCAAACTAGAGAAGAAAGGTGAAGTTGCTTTGTTGTAGACATCGTTAGGACGGTCTGCGAGTGACCCATCGGGGATTGACTCTAAAGGACGCTCTGAATACAGCCGACGGGTCCGAGGAATTAACTTTGGTCTGAACGCTCGGAAGGTCTCTTCAGTAGTTGGTGGGAACGCTTGGATCGGTCGTTATAGGGATAATCGCCGTTCGAGAACGGGTGAGGTCCAGTTACAGGTTGGCGGATGAATCCAGACTACCTGCAGACGTCGACGGTCAACGAGCTGCGGAAGTTAAGAGCTGCAATGACAACAACATATCAATAGCTGAGAAGGACTGGAATCCAAATTTTCAGCTCAGTGCATGACTCAAATACCGCACATTGCTAAAGGCTTCCAGGCCTACCACCAAAATATGGTAACTGGGCCAGGGGATGCCGTTCCAATGTAAGGTTCAGATCCACTATCGCATTGCAGCCGACGGTATACTCACAAGGAGTTCCTAAGATGATTAATTCCTTATATCCCGTCTGATTCTATACGGTAGAAGATCTGAGGTGAGACATGAGACGCCTTGACCGTTTTATCTTGGCAACTAGTGAAAGACGGGACCACTGCCAGATCTAGTACTGTTAACGATCATTTGAGGTCAGTGAACGCCACAACATCCACTTCACCGCCACTCATCTCACCAGCCTTGCAGCCAAGACTACTGTGGCATACTGCACGTATCACCCCTCTCGTCCTCCGCCCATTGCTCCCTCCTCGCTCTTGTCCAGAGCAAACCAACCCGCCTCACCTCTGCTCCACTAAATAGCCGCCTTCACCACCTCCATATCTTAATGGCGGACCCGCCAGTTAACAGCTTCTTCACTCGGCTCAACTACGAAGTCCGGGTCCAGATCTATGCGTACCTGGAGATTCCCGGCAAATGTGCAAGAGGCTTCATCCTGTCATGCCGCCAAGCGTACGATGAATCCGTCCTGGAGACAAAGAGCCGTTTGCTTCGTCTCAAAACTGAGTTCGAAAAGAACACCGGAAGCGAAGCCACCTTATCCGACTTCAGCGCCGCGACGAGCCTTGCTCAACTGCGAAATGTCCGGATAGATATCTTGTACTCGAGCCTAAACAACCATAACAACCGTTGTGGGGCGTTCCGCGCAGGTTTCGATGTTTTATGGCGGTCCCTTCTGGAACTGAATCTGGACAGTCTGGTGATCATGGTTAATGGGAGCGACGATGGCATTTACCAAAAATGGAGCCCTAGTATTGTGCCAGAAAATATATTCTCTACGGCTTTAGTCGGTTCATTTAGGGAAAGGATGAGCCGGTGGGTAAGGGAAAACGACTTGGTATATGAGACGAATGGACTCACCCCGCCTCCTTTTAAACATGTAACCATAGCATGGGACTTTCGACATGGAGGCAGAAATGACGAAAGATGTCTGAGCGGAAGTTGTTGGGCGTATGTCGGAAAACATTGCGTGAGCAGATGCTATTGGCTCCGAACATACCAACGTGGGATGACCGGACAGCTTGTCTGGACGGCTGAAGAACGACATGGGATTGAAATGGGTACCAGTACCATTTGCTTCCTGCCTAGATTGGCTCACACAGATGACGAAGTCCTTGTGACTTGTTCAAAAAAGGGTCTCCAAATACCTGCGCAATTTGGCCAAATCCTCACCCTAAAACCAACGATACATGTACCAACCAGAAACCGGCTCGCAAATGAGGCAACCAGACAAAAGTGCGGTTTCAAAACTTTTCTACCGCAAAGGCGCAAGGATAAGGAGGCAAACAGAGAGCAGGAGCAATTTCACCGGTAGGGTGTTCACCTGCTGGTTTCTTAGATGAAGGTCATTGGATTAGCTTGCCGATTGGGAACGTTCCTTCGGCGAATAACCAACGGCGGGCTCTCAAACTGTGGTTTCTCCATGTACTTAGCCCCGGTGACGGTTAGGCGTCCATCTTCCCAAAACAAATTCGCGAACTTTGTATCGCTTCAAAATATCTCCAACATCTAGCTTTCCATCTTGACTTTGCCCGCCCTTATCCCACGGAGGTGGCACCTCCACATAGACAAGCATCAAGCTCTTGTGTGCCAACCCTTGCACTCGATTGACGCGATGGAGCCACCACCAATCCCGAGACTCTTTCTTCTTGCATTCTTCTCTCCGTTCAGTCGTCTCTGACCAGTAGGGGTGAGAGTAGGACGGCAGCACCATGACGGCGAATTCGGCGTGGGAAAAGGCTGGACCGCGGTTGTAGAGAAGGAAGTCGACGGCGAATTTGATGTTGGCACGGACAACCCATCCCAATGATCTGAAGTGGTGGAACACTACGTACTTGAGAAGAAAGGGGTTATCAGGTGCAATAGGGTTGCCAAAGATTGGAGTACGTGGCAAAACTTCCTCTAACGTCTGCGGGCTCTGCAGCGTGGAGAAGGTCGAAGAAGCACAAAACAGACGCAAGAGCTGAGATGATGATTGGTGAATGCCTTGTCGCTCAACCTTCAAAGCACCTAAAGCGTAGGAGAGGAAGAAGGCTTCCTCCATAGTGAGTTGCAGATGTTCCTGGTTTTGTATTTCAAATGGTCCATCCTCAACTGAGGACTCAGCAACCAAGTCCTCTTCTGTCTCTTTTGTCACATCGTCGTCGGCTGGAACAAACTCTGGCTCGGACATACTGGCAGCGTCAACTTTCGATATCAACGCTTCTGTCTGAACAACGCCGTCAGATGTGGTTGGCTCAGCATCATTTCCGGTAGCGTCTAACGAGCTGGCCTCTGCCAATCTGGCCTCAGCTCTTCTCTGCTCCTCAATTGCTTCTCGTTCCAATCTTGCTCTCTCTAGCTTGAACTGTCGTCTCTCTCTGCGTCTCTGTGCTGTGTATTCTTCGCTTGTCTGCATCGCTTTCAACCCCCGTTTACGTTTCTCCATGTCTAGCCATCTTGGCTCACTGCGGCTGAGAGAACCTTTGCCCCAGAAGCCTTGTTCCCATAATGCGCGCACGGATTGCGGATCGGTCACGTGAATGGAGAGGGTTTGCGATGAGAAGTAAGCTTCGTGTATGACAAGGGGTGATATTGGCGGCCACAGCGTCTGAGATATCAGAGCAATCGCAACTCGCACAATAGAAAGCGGATTGTGGGGGATGAAGGCAGGTAATGGATAGACATCTATTGGGAGAGGGCGAGAATGTATTTGGGCATAGTTAGGCCTCTTTTCTCTCGGCACATTCGGTTTGCCATTGTCTTTGGGTACACCCTTTGCCCCTGCGTCTGCTACGTCCGACGACTGAACTGGGCTATTGGATGGTTGGTGAGCGGTGGAGGCCATGCCGTGTGCGGTTTGTTCTATTGAGGAAAAAATATGAAATCTGCAGTTCATTAGCGACTGGAGAAGTTTGTTACACTAAACAATCATGAATATAATACAAATCTCAGATACCGTTGTAGTCTTTCAATTTGAGATGCAGCATAGAAGCACGAAACCAGGCAACTGAATGCGTTGATCTTGTGCTTCTCACAATACAATATGAAAATCATCATAGAACAGAGAGGGGAAGGAATCTAGATCGTACTTACAGTAGAAGTTAGAATACGGACATAACGCTGTTCAATGCCGCACCATGGAGTGGAAGTGAAGGTCACAGAAGAGTACCTAGGTATCAACGATGGCACCAGATGGTGAAAATTAGGAGTAGTCATCGAGTGCCAAGGCCCTCGTTCATTGGATGGCGCGGACCACACTCCATGGTGACCACATTTCTTGTACTTTGGACAGATTTCTACATACCTGTCAATATCCAGCTTCCTTGCATTGCGTTCACCGCTATTGAAATACGAGGCCTTTACTGTGTACTATAGCAGGTGCCTGCTTCTGTGTGTCCGACATTGATGATGTAATGGCCACCGACCGCGAAGGTCTAATGTTATAGAGCTTCAACATTCGCACTCCCCCACGCCACACACTCCCAGCCCATCGGTTGGAAATTATAGTCTATGCAAACTAATCATAATACCTTAGAGCTAGAAGACACGGATTCATAATGTTTTCAACCACTCGCGCCGCGTGGTTCCTCACACGACAGACCTTCCGAGCATATTCGACAAGACAACGGCCCGCAGGCCTCCGAGGGCGTCTTCAGAGACCGCCGCCAATACCCAGGAAAACTGTTCCGCGACGTAAAGATGCCTCACACCAACCGCCGAGCGATCCAAACCCCTCTGAAAAGGCTCCCTCCACCCCACCGTCGAAAAACGAAGCCGTATCCAACGCTCTCGCTCAGATACCCTCCTCTCAAAACACCCTCATCACGCCGGTCTATATACCAGAAGACCCGCATGCAATCCTTAAGGAAACACATTCTGTAATGCGTCTTCTTGATAATTCCGCTATCGTGGTCCAGCGCCAACTGGAAATGATGAATGTACTCATGGGCTTTGAGCAGGCGAACCGGTACATTATCATGGATCCACATGGCAATCACATTGGCTATCTTGCTGAACAAGATCATGGGATAGGCTCGGCACTCAAACGGCAAATGTTCAGGACCCACCGAAGTTTCACAACACACGTTTTCGACAGGGAAGAGAAGGAGGTGCTAAGATTCCACCGGCCGTTCAGTTTCATCAATTCGCAGATACGGGTGTATGATGCAGCTCCGGAGAACCAGGGAGGTCATTACACGCATTCGGCAGTGATACAAGGGGCAAGTGCACAGAGTGTGCTTACGCAGACTAGCGCAAGCGTGTCTAGCATTCCGCTGAACGAGATGAGAATCATCGGGTCTGCTGAGCAGGAGTGGGGACTTCTAAGGAGAAAGTACAACCTCTTCCTAGCCCGGGATCTGGACGAAACCCCAGCTGCGCCTGGCACGCCGCAAATTGCATCCGGCGATCTACCATTGTCGAACTCCAAAGCCCTTCAGGTTGTAGAGGGTGACCAACGGCAACCAGGAATGATGCAGTTTGCACGTGTCGACGAACCTTTCCTATCCTGGGACTTCTCTCTGATGTCCGAAGACGGGCGCCGGATTGGCTCCGTGAACAGGAACTTCTCGGGCTTCGCCAGGGAACTATTCACCGACACTGGAGTCTACGCACTCCGGATGGACGCTGCTGCGCTCAGCACGGAAGGGCAGCAAGCAACCGCTCAGAACGATAACCAGCTACAAACTGCGTCGGAGAATCATCCTGGAATGACACTGGATCAGCGTGCCGTCATGCTTGCCACAGCAGTCAGCATCGACTTCGACTACTTCAGTCGTCATAGCGGCGCAGGCGGCGGCATGGGTTTCTTCCCACTCTGGTTCCCTGGAATGGGAGGTGGAGGAGTCGCTGCTGGAGAAGCTGGTGCTGCCGGAGCCGCCGGTGCAGCAGGTGAGGCCGGTATTGCGAGCGAGGCTGGAGCAGCGGCCAGAGGCCTAGGCGCAGCTGAGGGAGTAACTGGTGCTGCTGCCGGGGCTGGCACAATGGCAGCTTACGACGCTATGCAGAGATCCAGAGGCGATTCCCAGTCACCGCAAGCTACCGATCCCTACGAGCAGCCGCTCGATCAGCAACAACCTGACCAAGGTGAAGAGATATGGGGAGAAAGTCAGAGTTCGGGCACTAGAGCACCAGACGACCCGTTTGGCTGGTGGGGTGGCGGGGAGGGACAGTCACAGGAGGGGGAATCAGAGGGCGGGTTCTGGGATGATATCTTTGATGATGATTAGAGGATTAGTGTCTACGAAGCCATGAAAAGAGCTCCGCTCTATATACGCCCCTTGTATAATATAGATTTTGGGAGTGCAAGCCTCACTCTTTGGAGTATTCGTATATCGGTCAATGTCTGCTAGCCGTCTCAGTTTCTGTATAGCAGTGACATGAAGGTATGCATGTTATTTGGATGACAGGAAACCCACACATCAACCATTAACCTCTGAAAACGACTCCTTCGCCGAACAGCATATCAGAAACAGGGTAGCGGGGTTCTATGGATTAATTGAATTTGTCTTACTTGGTCCTTAAGCAATGGGGAAAGAAGGGGACCAATGCTCTATGATCTTGAAAAATCTTAGCAATATGTGTTCCTAAGCTCGTGTCTTCCTGGGCATGAATGGAGGTAGTTGAGGTAACATAGATCACATGATCTGGCGCTCGGACGTGAATTGAGCATCCCACCTGCATGAACTTCGCGGAAGCGGTTCCGAAAGACACCGAACCAACATCCCATCAGCTCGACAACACAGGTCACCAGGCCTTCAATTCCCACGAACCTCGCACACACAACCCAAATCAACGCCCAACCTCCCATAACCACCACTCAGACCGATCCCATCCTCCCACAATGTCCGCCAGCAAACGCCTCTTCAAAGAATACAAAGCCCTCTGTTCCGACCCACCCGAAGGCATCACCGCCGGCCCCGTCTCCGAAGACGACATGTACCTCTGGGAAGCCCTGATCCAGGGCCCGGACGGCACGCCCTTCGAAGGCGGCGTGTTCCCCGCCGAGCTCAAGTTCCCTCGGGATTATCCGCTGGCGCCGCCGAGTATGCGGTTTTTGGTCGATGTTTGGCATCCTAATGGTATGTTTCTCTGCGCAGATGGTTGTTCGCATTCTAGGTATTGAGCAGTACTGATGGCAGGATAGTTTATCCCGACGGCCGCGTTTGCATCTCGATCCTGCATGCGCCGGGAGATGACCCGAATATGTACGAGCATGCGTCGGAGCGGTGGTCGCCGATCCAGAGCGTGGAGAAGATATTGATTAGTGTGATGAGTATGTTGGCGGAGCCGAATGATGAGAGTCCTGCGAATGTGGATGCGGCGCGCATGTGGAGGGAGAGGAGGGGCGAGTATGAGAAGATTGTCAGGGATAATGTTAGGAAGAGTTTGGGGCTGGAATGAAGGAGATGGGATGGAAGGGCTGAGATGATCTTTGTTACGTGGTACATCGGCATAGGCGCATGGAGTTTTGGAGGTATGGGTGCATGGCATAAGCGGAGTTTGGGAAGGCAACGCTGATGGGTTTCGGCGAGGGATATGCTTTCAAGAATCATTTTCCTGATCTTCGAAGACCGTTTTTCATATCGAGGATTTCAGACACAAACATCTCCTTTGATTAACCCACTAATGCTGCTCAAGAACAGTGCAGAGGAAATGCAAACCCGGACTCGTAACCCACTCAGACGACATGCAGCCCCGTCGCCTCCCCATATCCATTATATGCCACGCCTCTATAATTCCACTCGGGACACTCCGCCTGCGTATTCCCCTTCGAATCCACCGCCCGACTCAACACCCTCCTTCCCTCCCCACTCTCCACCCTCACTCTCGCTCTCCACAAAGACCACGCCCACTTCAACTCGGCGCCCATCACCTCCTCCTCCTGCCGCTCCAATATCGCCGCCTCCGTCCAAGTCTCCCCTCCATCCCCACTAACCTCAACCTTCACCACCGGCCCGTCCGTCCCACTAGGCAACGCATACCCCCTCACCTCTATACACCCATCCTCTCCCCTCTCCACCCTCTCACCACTCCCCGGAACTGCAACCACAGAATTCACCGGCATATCCATGATGGCATCTACCTTGCCCCACCACTGCTCCGCGCTCTCCTTGTCCTTCGCTTCCGGCGGCAGAATCTTGTAGTCGTGCTGTTGATAATAATTCGGGCTTTCCTTTAACGAGACTTCGATCTTGTCGAGCCATTTTACGGATCTAGCGCCTGCGATGCCAGGGGTGATTACGCGGACGGGGGCGCCATGGTTTGGGGTGAGAGGGGCGTCGTTCATTTCCAGAGCGAGGAGGATGGATGAGGAGGGGGAGAGGGCGCGGGGGAGGGGGAGGGAGGCGCCGTAGTAGGAGTCGTCTTGGCAGGGGGTTTGGTGAGAGGAGAAGGTTATGTGGGCGTGGGGAAGTTCGGATTCTGGCAGGGAGATACCGGCAAGGGATATGACATCTAAGAGAAGGGGCCCTGGAAGGAATTAGATTACTGTGCCCCAAAGGATCGTGATGTGGTTATCCAGAGGTAGTAATCAGGAAAGACACTGAAGAGAACAACAGAATCCGGGATATATGAAACACGGAATAGACAACCTTGAAGCGAAAAGGAAAGAAGAAAGCACGCACCTCTCCATCTACAGTTCATAACCGCCCCGTCAAACCAATCCACCCCATTGACCTCTTTCAACTTCGTCCTCATGGTGTGCCTCCTATTCCCCGCACATTGCAGCGCACAGATCACCGTCTTCTGCGGCAAAGCTTTCAGATCCTCCACCGACAGCGAGAGCTCCTTCTGCACGTGCCCGGACACAGTGATGCGGTGGGTGGACGCGTCGATATGTGGAATCGGGCCATGGTTTCGGTCGTATGCGTAGGAGGTGGGGGTTATGAAACTAGGTAGAAGTCAATGTCAGAGGCGCGGTTTTGAGAGAGTCGGCAGTTAAGGGGCAGGTACCTGGACACGAGGGTTGGGAGCTCGGGTTCGCGGTTTAGAGGTTCTTCGACAGAGTATTCGAGCTACAGGTATGACGTCAGCGGGGAGAATTCTGGCTATGTATGTGCTCGGTGTAGAAAGGATAATAATCGAAAAGGACGAGAACTAAGTACTCACGTGAACCATTATGAAAGTGAAGAGTATTTGTAAGAGTGCTATGCAGGGAAGGGAGCGCGGACAAGCGGCTATCTTTTCGGGCTCAGCCGTTGTACGATTCGTCGTGACTATAGCTAGGCGCGGAGGTAGACCCTGGCTTCGAAACGAGGCCCGTGCAAGGAATGCCGACGGAAGTAGAGTCTAGCACGCGAGTTCCTAGAGTGCATTGATTCGAGAAAAAGGAATAACAAAGCTTTATGTTTGTCAATTGCGATGTAGGCCACGTGAAGTCAGTAGGACGGGTAGCCACGGCTCTGTGGCCAGTGCAGGATATGCGGCTAAGGTTGGTTGGCGAACGCACGTCGCCAATAAGATGGAATGTCGTGTACACAGGCGGCGGCTAGTAGGGCTCTAGTGTTCAGATTCGGATAGCGACATCGTGATGTGGTTCCAATAAAGTTTGTGTTGAATGCTGTGATTACAACAACACGCCCCAGTAACACGCACAGATCCTCTGGGAGAGTCACGAGCAATAGCTCAGGTACGTGACTCCTCCGTAAGCCTAGCGTATAACATATGGTAAGTTCAAATTGATCAGAGAATTACTTACCCTCAATCACCTGTCCCTTCGATGTCTTTTGTGCCATACGAGCACGACACGTATAAGCAGATTGCACGCTAATGACTAGAGGGCCAGAGAAGAGCACATTAGCTTGGATCTCGTCGTTATCGCCCATGTGCCGTCCTTAGCCTCTGGAGGCACTTTGATAGGATGTTTGTTTGTGGTCACCGACGTTTTATCAACAAGAGCCCCCACAACCACATAACTGTCTCAGAATAGGCCTTGAACGAAGTCTTCCGATGACTGGATTATATTCCAGTGTATTAGCTTGTGCTGAACACTCGCACACACGCTTTATCTTCCCTCATCACATCCCCAACGCAGTACTTGTGATTACAGTAGTCGTATACGTTCGCCTGATCCAGGAAACAATATGATAAAATCCATGGCACACCCAAACGACCATTGCCTCGCCCGGAGGAAAGGGGGTATTCCTGACATGCCATCCCTCCTTGCACGCCGATATGCGCCGCCGCCTTCCGAATCATTATCCTTTAAACGCCATTTCTCGCTCCCACTATTACACTCGCTCGCCCAAGCGCAGGCATAAAAGACACTGCCTACTGCCACTTTGCTCGCTCCCTCTCCCTCCCCTCCCCCCTCCTCCACAGCGCGGTTTACTCGGACTCATTTACCTGCACTTCCTCCTCAAATATCCAGGCCGATAAGATCAGTCACGCAGCTGGGAAGACTCTAAAAACGACGTCAACATCAACCTCCGCAACTCCCATCAATCATAAAACAGCCAACAGATGACGAGAGGAGAAGAACAGAGCAGAAAAGAGAACAGGTATGCAGAACGCAGGGTCGGGGGAAATTACCGTGCCGAGGAGAGTAGGACAGTGAAAAGGAAGAGGGCACTAGCGAATTACCAGCGTCTTCACAACCGTGCATTCCACATCATGCATCTCTATCGAGAAAACGCACTTCTCGCCGAAAATGCAGCTCCTCGTCCCTTTAACCCCGTTCCTCGCCCGTGGAGCAGGACACCGGTGGCCGTAGATGCACTTGGCGTCCTCGCAGCCGCTGCCATTCTGGCACGGCGCCATGCGCGCCACGAGGCGCAGGGTGGCGAGTTCGTCCCTCGTGGGGTGCCAGTCGTGCAGGTGCGCGCATTTGGGGCCGTGGGGGCATGGGCCGCGGAGGAAGTGCACGTTGCAGAGCTTGATTTTCTTGATGCGGTCGACTTCGGCCTTGTCGTAGTCGCGGCAGGGCGGGTCGACGCGTTGGCCGTGCCGGTTGCGGGCGATGAGTTCGTCGCGGTTGGCGGGCTTGTATGTGGGGGTTGGGCTCGAGGTGGTGGTGGTCGTCGTCTCGGGCGGAGGAGGGGCGGGAGCGGCGGCAACGGCGGCCCAGCCTGTGGTTACGGGTGTGGGTTTCTTGCTGGGGACGCTCCATCCGTCGCTGCTGGCGAGGGTGGAGACGGAGGGCGTGCGTGGGAAGTTGGGTTGCGCGGGAGGCTGTATTGTTAGCTTGAAGGACAGGACACGACAAAAGCTCGATATGCCTACCTGAAAAGGACTGTCTAACAGACTAGGCTGACGAGGTGGTGGGAATCGTGAGGGCAGGCCGGAAAACATGTTATAATTCTTGGAGTTTCCGGGGGTGACATTGTTTGGAGCGGGACTTCTCCAACCCAGTGAAAGTTTGGTGTCACGAAAGATGTCTGGGAACTTCTTCGTCGCAAAAGGAAGGCTAAGGAGCTCCTTCTCGAAAGGTACTCCCTCAAGGAGGGTTATACGTTTCACATAGGCATCTCCTGTGGTATGCTCCTCGAGGGTGCGAGCGTAGCCGTTATCATGAGAACATCCGAAGTAAATTTGGCGACAATGGAAATCGCGGAGGTAGAGCTTGAAGGTTTCTTTACCTCTGTTTAGTATGGTAGATGGAAGCAGAGGCAGGATACTCACCAATAATCTTGCTATCGGCACGATCCTTTCCTGGGCCTACATCGACAAAATCGAACAACGTCCTGCCACGAGTGAAGCCTCGGGTGAATTGCTCAACCGTGTCAATGTCAGGAACAGCACCGACACGGACAAGTGTGTCGGCGAGTCCGCGGACATTGGCATAAATGCGACAGACGACCTTCACGTCGCTGAGGATATTTGGCATCTCATCGTGGATGTGGTTCAAAATGGCCTGATGGAGAAGCTGTGCAGCCTTTCGTCCGCCTTCTTCACCGGCTTGAATCAACTCTTCGCGGAATATCATGCCGTCGCCATCGATGAGAAGGATAACGAAGGGATCCTTTTCCTGAGAAGACGTTAGCCTCGTAAGGGTACTTGTGCTTGGTCCTTGCCGAGCTGCAAGAAACCAGTGAGGTGAATGGCAGGGTGAATGGCAGTGCCAATATGAGCGCACCTACCAGATGCAGTTGCAAACTTCGGGCGTAATCCTCATAGTATTTCCTCATCTGCAGCTCGCGCAGGCGTTGCGAGTTCATATGATCGTAGCCCTGGAGCAGTTCCTGTGGCGCATGAGTGGCTGAAATGGACAAAGAGGTAGTAGTTGGAGCATTACAGACCTGGAGTAGAGCAGTCTTCTCATTGTCGCATTCGATGATTCTCTGATAGCGGGCCCAATTTGAGGTGCCATCGTCGTCAACCACGTCAGGTGAGGACGAATTTACCAGCGACTGCAGTGGTGACATGACGTAGTTGTTGAGGGCCATGATTGATGGAAACGTACAGCGCCAGAGGCTTGGTACCTAGGTAACTGCGCGTATGTGGATCCGTTAAAGTGTTGCAAAGAGTATGACTGTGCGACGGTTGGGTAGGCGCGAAGGTGTGGTGAGATTATAATGAGTGGAGCAGAAAGGGAAGGGAGGGTTGTGGGTGGACAAGAGACGCTATAGGACTCTTATTCACAGGGGAAGGGACGGGAAGGCGCGATGAAGGTGAAGATGGGTATTGGTGAGTAAGACAGTCGAATGTGCGATCAATAATAAGACAGAGACAGGTCGCTTGACGACAGGGCTAGGCGGTACAACGGTGAAAGCATGCGACTAGGCGCTTTGCAGGCATGTGCTGGCGGTAGGGACTGAACCGGGCCCGATCTGCGACTGCGGAGGGCTGCTGGAACAAGCGCAGCCAGCAGATACGATTTTCCCTGTCTTAAACAAAGATTTGCTTGCGCAAGTATGCGTAGGGCCCGTGATGGAAAACAAGTTGTGGTAAAGTGAAAGTTGTGACAGGGGTGCGGGGACTACCCTAGGGTAGCGGGGAGAATGAAGCGGGAGGTCTGAGGGCGAGAGATCGTGGGAAAATGCCCTCCTTTTATATGCGAAGCCTCCTTGCAAAGGGGACTGCGAAGGAAGCTCCAAAAACCGTTTCCTGAAAACCGTTTTTCGAACCCTTGAACTGTCGACAGATGGTTTTCGCGATGGTGAGTTGAGTAGGATGTGTCTTGCAGGGATGCTATACTACGGATACTGGGGTGTAAGATGCGCCACAGCACCACCCCCAGCGCTTACTCCCTCCCAATAGTATGGCTGCATAAACTTGGATGTCCAGTTGCTTTCGAGAACCATTTCCTGTAGGCGGCTCTGATTACTGGATCCCGTCTTTTAACATACACTCCGCACATCCACATCAGGTTTGGGGCTTTCACAGTTGCATACCATCCCTACTGCTAGAGGGTCAGAGAGCACTTTACGCTTCTCGTATTCATCACTTCGAGCACGAACTCCGCGAACTGGAAGAGACTGGCTCTGTTCATTTCCAGTTTCCGATCCTCGTCTTGGAGAAAAGCCACCAACTTTCAGGATTTCTTCGCACGCGATTTGGATTTCCGTTTGCTGGAATCTGTGCCCCTGCCGCCCGTTCTTTGAATTCGTTATCGCTCTCGCTCTCCGTCGCCTAAGGCCATGGAGGTACAGAGGCACAGTTTCCACGCGGCGCTTAACTATCCATAGGAGCTTCCACGATGATATCCCATCTGTAAGGCCAGTCACTGATATTCCAGGTGCTTAACGATCGCATGCTAATACTCCGTAGACAGTCTACTCTTTCTTGTCCTTCGATGCGTAACCCCCCGCTGTCTCTCTTGTCCTCCACACATATCGTTCGCATGGAAATACAGGTATTCGGCGCCTCCTTCTCCTCCCCTACTGCTAAGGGGTGGCACAGCTCTCCAGCGCTTGTAGCCACCTAATGATATTTGCAAGGGATATGGTGCACTGCCACTAACCTTCAGATTCAAGATTCAAGATCCGGACTCGCTCCTCTTCGCACTTACCCGTCTTCAAGAGTTGCGTCCTCAAACTTTAGATCCCACTTATCGTTGCTTTGCAAACTGGTAATTGGAATTCCGTTCAGTCTCACACATCTAGAGTTCGTGTTCTAATTTCCGACATCTATAGATAATCTCGTGAAAATCTGGTTTTGGAAGTTGGTTTCTCGTCCGCTCAAGTCAATTTCTAGAAGGAGATTCCTGAATCTAACTTCTACTTCTCTGATTTCTCGTTCTTCCTTCTTACAACCCTATTTCTCGAAGGTTTTTGTTCTATTTTTCTTCCCTTTCTTTCTTCTTATTTCCCTTTTGTCTTTCCCTTTTTCTTTTTTTCTTTTTTTGCCCCCTTCTATTTTCTAATTAGTTTTATTTCTTTAGTTTAGGAATATGGCTTCTTGGTAGGAGTTGCGTAACTATGATATCGAATGTGGAACATCACAGGCTATAGTGCAAGGGCAAAAACGATCATACCCTTATGCCTACGTGGCAATTAGCTGATCGCACAGTCAACAGGCTTTTCTTCATTTCTGTCGTGTAATAACGCTGAACAGATTGCATGCCGAATTCCACTTCCCGTTTCACGATTTTGCAGATGTATGTTGTGAGATGGAGTGCGAACATTCGTGGAGGGGACATGGCTGGAAATCGGGCCAGTTATCAGGCCGCGTGAGAACATTTGAAAGTAGAGAACAAAAAATGAGAGCAAAGGTGGGGGAATTGGAACCTGCGGTGCGAAAGGCACCCCGCCACATGCATGTGCATATACATGTGAAAGACAATGACGATGCGACTTTGGCTCTGGGTTGCGTTTTTGTGCGAAAAGTTCGATTCCCAGAACGCAGAATAGGGCTTGCAGAAGTACATCACCGGAACTCCATGCTTCCCGTGAAAATCCAGTCTAGTAGTTTCGTTTTTGGTCTGGCGGAGTTCATTCTTGGGAATCGATTAGTCGCTTGCGATAGAGTCCGTTCTTCCGAAATCGATTCTTGTTTCTCTACCCCACGGCACAATCCCTACGCCGCGGTTTCCAAATGCCGTTTTTCGCTCTTGTGAATTGACATCCGAACCATTTTTCTTCTCTTCTGCGATCCGGCTCATGGAAATCGTTGCCGGGCGAGAGAATCGCGATAGTGGAAGAACCAGAAGACATCATCAGAGAGGAGAAAGAACGGTTCAGACAATATATCCTCTGCGATCTTCGAACATCTGCCCGATTAAAAGACGTTATTCTTTTGTTATCGTGTGCTTAAAGTCATGTTGCCCGACAAGTGAGATTCGACACGGACGTGGACTTGGATGACTAAGCCTCCTCTCAGAAGCTAGGAGCTTTGAAGCCACGTTCTACAGATTGACACCATACTCTTCCCCTCCATCCCGGTTTCTCATCCACCATCTTACTCCCCCTCTTAATAGCAATGGTCGCCTGGAAACTCTCCTCCCTTCTTCTCCTCTCGTTGGGGGCACTCAATGCTTTCGCGGACTCCACTGTCAGTCACCGCAACACCCATCGCCGATGTCCATGACATCAACGCCACGTCCGCGATTCTAACAGCTCCCACCAGGCCGAAAAAATCGATGAGGCTGTCGACGAGCCCCAAACGCCAAACCTGAAGATCTCCACGAGCGTCAAATTCCCTCAGTCCGAGATCTTCGGCGTCAAGCTCATCAACGGCCACGCAACCCAGGCCGTCCTCGACATCACCAACGAAGAGCCCGAACCCGTCAGCCTCGCCCTCATCGGAGGCTCGCTCCTCCGCGATGGTCTCGAGAAGCCTCAGATCGTGCGTAACTTGACCGCTGCGCGCTATCAGATTGAGATCCCCGCAGGCGAAGCCGAAACCATCACCTATACCTTCAGCACCGAGATGCACCCCCAGGATGTGCGTCTGCAGCTCGTCGCCGTGCTGCAGGACAAGAAGCAGGATTTCTACACCGTCTCCATTTACAATGAGACGGTCAGCGTTGTGGAGGCGCCGACTAGCATCTTCGACCCGCAGATGTATGTACCTATCCGTTCCAGCCGAAGCCCGTGTTCCACCACCTCCGCGCCCTTATCTACATCCTGATTCCCCTTCCGTTGCACCTCCGCCGCCCTTTTTATTTCATTTGCTAATCCGCCTGCAGCATTTTCCTCTATCTCGTCCTCGCCGGCGTCTTCGCTGGAACTGTCTACTTCATCTACAACACGTGGATCACCACTCTCTTCCCGCAAACGAAGGGCCGCGGAAAGGGCGGCGAACGCGCCAAGCGCTCCTCTGGTGGCTCCAAGAAGGTCGATCCCGCCGACCAGGTCTCTGTTGTTGGTGCTGATGGTCCAGCCGTCACATCCGGCGCGAAGGCGTACGACGAGAGCTGGATCCCTGCGTCCCATTTGCAGAGGCCGGAGGCAAAGCGTGTACGCAGCGGCACTCCGAAGACGAAGTCTAAGGCGTAGGCCACGGGAGCGATGATTTATCGTCGATTTGAATCATTAGGAAGGTTGGTTATATTGGTTTGATAGTAGGGCGATACAGAAATTGTAGGACTATGATTGAACAGGGTGGAGTCAAGCGAATTTATCACTCACGGCCGATCAAAAGTCGATTTGGAAACATATCACGACGGGTTAGAAGAGACGTCATCATGTACTCTGTTAGGATAGAGGAGTGGCTTTGGCACCTTTTGTATAGTACACTCGGAAATCGAATGGATATGAACGAGCGTCAACTCGTCGGTCATGGGATTTGGTCAACTAGATGTATAGATGACGCCATGAAGCATTATACGAGGGCATCAGCATCTACGTTGCAGAGGAAGCCGCGGTGCCACAGATCCTTTTCCCAAGGTTTCGCCAACATAACAGCAGCCACAAACTAGTCACGACGACGGATGCGCGGCATCCGAGTGCAGGCTGTGCCGCCTCTGATGCCTTGTCTCCGTCTTCGTCATCTGCTTCGCAGCTCCTGCCGACAACTCACCCTCGATCTGGACGCCTCCCCCAACGAACTACTCGCCACGGAGTACTCGCCACGGAGTATTCGCCACGACCTCATTTCCTCGGCCTCTACTCCCTTTTCCACTCCTCAAACTCCTCCTCCAGATGCTCCTTTAACCTCGCAAACTGGTTCTTGAAGTTGCGCCCGCACCGCCAACATAACATATCCCACGACGGCCAATCGCCAGGGTGAAACCTCGGACTTCCCTCCTCGAGCGGAAACTCATCCAGCCCCACCATGAACGACGTGGTGAAACTGAGATAATGCTTCTTATGCTTCATACACAGAGAGTGCATGTCCCGCGACAGAACATGAATGTGTAAGTGATTCATGGAGGGATGCGTGTGCACGCCCGATATGATCTCCTTCTCCCAATCGCGGCCCTGAGGCAAGAGCTTCGCGCGAGAAGAGGGAGAGGGCGGGTCCGGCGACGACATGAGGGACTCGAGCGCTTTCTGGTACGGGGCGTCTGACTTGCTGACGAGGCCGAATTGCCGGCGCAGTTCGCTGGCTGCGATCTTCTTGACGTGGGCGACGCGCTGTTTTGCCTTTTCGAGGAAGTCTGGGTTGGAGGAGAGGGCGTGGAGGGGGTGTTGGGTGTAGAGGGCAGGATCCCGCGGGAGGATGAGGAGGTGGATGGTGGATTTGGGGTAGCGGTCGCGGATGACGACGAAGTCGGCGTCGTATTCGATTACTTCTAGGTGGGTTTCTGGGTGGAGGATGTATGGGAGGAGGTTGTTGCGGGGGTCGCGGCTGTGGGTGGTGTGGGAGGGAGGTTTGGGTGGGGGAATGGTGGGTTTGGGACGTTTGGCGGCGGTCATGAGTTCTGTGACTGCGGTGAGTTAAGAGTGTGTGATGTTGTAGTTTGGATGAGTGCGCTGGGTTCAAGATGAAGTTCAAGATGAAGTTCAAGAAGGAGAAGAAGGAGAGTGGAAGAGAAGGAAGAGAAGGAGGACTTACAGGCATTGTTTGGGCTTTTGGACGCTGTGCTGGAATCGGCAGCTCGTGAGGCCGTTCCTGTGATTTCCTCGGCTGTGATCGCGTCGTGGGCGTCATCCCGGCTTCTGGTATCCATTTTCTTGACGGAATGAAGCTATCCGGAGTTTACAGATTTCACTGCAGTGGAGTTGTTTTACGGTGTACACGATGAGCTGCAGGTGTAGCTGCTTCATGATGACATCAGCAAGAGCTTAAACCGGCACCCCTGTCGACGGGAAAAAGTGGGGCGGTTAGCGGGCCGTTCATGATCTGCATATTTTCGAACCTCCATCCTCTGCTACAACAGCGCCGTTCACCCAAAGCTCGATGGAGTCTACCGCTCACACGCTCCGCCGAATTCCTCCTCCGCCCGCACAGTGTCCAGGATGCCGAAGAACCCGCATCCACCCCGCCGTGGCCCACCTAAGAAGCCCGCATCTGGCCCGCCGGAGGAGGACAGCAGCTTCATCGTTTTCGGCGACGGAAAGAAAAAGAAGGGAGGCAAGGGACAAGATGACAAGGGTGGAAAGGCCGGGGAGCCCAGCGACGCCCCAAAGCCTCCGGACGCGCGAAAATTGGTTGGCGGTGCGTCCTGGACGGGGAAGCTGCCCGTGAATATGTTGTCGGAGCATTGCCAGAAGCAGCAATGGTTGAAGCCAGATTACCGGATGCACAAGGACGGGGACCTACATGTGGCCGACAGTATTGTGCTGTCCAAATCCGACCCCAAAACGCGGGAGACGACATCATTGCCTCCCTTCAGGATTCCCCCGGAACTTGGGGAGGAGGCACGGCACCCGACTGCCGTGGAAGCGCGCAATTTTGCGGCAGCATATGGGCTGTTCCGTGTTGCCAGTGCGAAGAACTTGCACATGATGATGCCTCCGCAGTTCCGAACGCTTTGGAAGGGAAAGTTTGCGGAGCTGAAGAAGAATGATGAAGCCGCAGGCAAGGCTTGGATGTATGAGGCGGACCCCTTCTTCGGACACGCCGAGCGAGAGAAGGCAAAGGAGATAGCCGCGAAGGAACGCGAGAAGAGACAGAAGGAGAGGGAACAGGCGTCCAAGGCCCACAATCTTCAGCCGGGCATGGGGCAGAGGGGCTCTAAAGCGCCCCTTTCCAGGGCTAGTATCCTAAAAGGATGGGAGAATGTTCCCAAAGTTGAGCTAGGAAGGAAAACGAGGAAGAGGGTCGAGCGCCTGATTCGACGAGACGCCGTATGGAATCCACATGGGATTCGCCTAGACGCCGCGGTCCGTGGCAAGTTGATCGACGAGATAACCGAGTTAGGCTTCCGCAGAAGCCATGTTGAAGAAGCCGTGGAGATCTGCAAGGACCGTGAAGAAGTCATTGAGTGGCTTCTGATCCACGTGCCAGAGGATGACCTTCCGTCCTGGAGTTTGCCGGAAGGCTATCAAGCTGGTGTCAGCATGGCTAGCTCAGACCTTAAGCGTGAAGGCGCAATCAACCGACTTACGGTTGCTGGGTACGATCGAGAACTGTGCGAGGATGCGTATGATAGCCAAGGCGGCGACGAAGCCAAAGCAGCAGCTTACCTTCAAGCCCGTCTTTTGAGACCCACTGCAGATGAAGCGGACGTTGCAGATATGCTCTCGCGTCTCTATCTAAACAAACCCAATGAATTCGAAGAAGCAGACATCGACCCCTGGGAGGAAGAACAATCCTCCTTAGAAGCGATCTACGGTGACATGTATGAACGTCCATCTCCTTCGATCTGTCGTATTCAATTGGATATAAAGCAACAAGGCAAGCGTCTTGTTCTCCAAGTCCGGAAACCGCCTGGTCCATATCCTGCCGTGGTACCTCTTATCAGCTTCGAGGCCGCTATTCCATCATATATCCGATTGAGTATAATTCGACAAGCTCTCTCGTACGCTGAGGAGAGCCTCCTTGGCGCGCCGATGATTTTTGATATTGTGGACTGGCTACAGCAGAATGCGGCAACTGTACTCAAGAACCCAGGCAAACTCGTAGATGTCTCGCCAGGACTGGCGGCAGCTGACATGGTTGCAAGCGAACACGTCCATAATCCAAACTCGAGGCGACCACCTCGAGCCCGAAAACCCATAAAGTGGGAAGTTGGCACTCCAGCTAGTCAAGCGATTCTGAATCAGTGGGAAGCTAAACAACAAACACCAGCTCAGCAACGGATGCTGAGTGTCCGCCAGGCACTTCCAGCTTGGAAGTTGCGGGATGTTATAGTTCAGACTGTCAACCAAAGCCAAGTGTGTATTATCTCTGGTGAGACTGGCTCAGGCAAGTCGACGCAGTCAGTCCAGTTCATTCTTGATGACCTTATTCGTCGGGGACTCGGTGGGGTAGCCAACATCATATGCACGCAGCCGCGGAGGATTTCTGCCTTAGGGCTCGCGGACCGCGTCGCAGACGAGCGTTGCTCACAGGTTGGGGTTGAGGTTGGATATGCTATTCGCGGAGAATCGAAACAGAGTCCAGGGACTACGAAGATCACCTTTGTGACAACGGGTGTCCTACTTCGACGTCTTCAGACTGCTGGTGGGAGTACGGATGACGTGGTAGCTGCTCTTGCCGATGTCAGCCATGTGGTGGTGGACGAAGTGCACGAGCGCAGTTTGGACACCGACTTTCTTCTGGTCCTGGTCCGCGATATACTGCGTCGCCGCAAGGACTTGAAAGTGATACTTATGAGTGCGACTCTGGACGCGGATGTCTTCGAGAGGTACTTTCAGGAAGTCGGTCCCGTTGGTCGTATTGAGATTGAAGGGAGAACACATCCGGTGGAGGATTTCTATATGGACGACATTGTTCGCTTTACTGGCTTTAGAGGCAACAAGGGCGAAGATTATGAAGAAGAGGAAGAGAGAGCACCTGCTGTCAACCTTCGGAATATCGGGTTCGGCATCAACTATGATCTCATTGCGGCGACCGTACAGTATATCGATAGGCAGTTGGGCTCAGCAGATGGTGGTATTCTGATATTCCTTCCCGGCACAATGGAGATTGATCGAACTCTCCAGGCCATTCGTCACCTTCCGCAATTCTACGCTCTGCCGCTCCACGCTTCGCTTCTCCCGGCTGAACAAAAGCGTGTTTTCCCACCAGCTCCAGCTGGGAAGCGGAAAGTCATTGCGGCTACCAATGTCGCGGAAACATCCATCACCATTGAAGACATTGTGGCCGTTATCGATACTGGTCGGGTCAAAGAGACGAGTTTTGATCCACAAAACAACATGGTCCGACTGGCAGAGACGTGGGCTTCTCGAGCTGCCTGCAAGCAACGTCGTGGTCGTGCTGGTCGTGTAAGAGCCGGCCAGTGTTTCAAGCTCTACACCCGCAATGCGGAGATGAAGATGATGGAACGTCCAGATCCCGAAATTCGCCGAGTGCCGCTTGAGCAGTTGTGTCTCTCTATCAAGGCCATGGGCGTTCAAGATGTCTCCAGCTTCCTTGCAAGCGCATTGACTCCGCCAGAGAGCACCGCAGTCGAGGGCGCCATCAATCTCCTGAACAAGATTGGTGCCATTGCCGACAACGAGCTCACAGCGCTTGGACGCCATCTCTCGATGATTCCAGCAGACCTACGTTGCAGCAAACTCCTCGTATACGGTGCAACTTTTGGTTGTTTAGAGGCCGCTTTGACCATTGCTTCTGTCCTCACTGCGCGCTCTCCGTTCATCTCGCCGCGTGACCGGGATCCAGAAATTCGAAATGCGTTTAATCGAACCCGCAGCTCATTTTCTCAGAACCAAGGTGATCTCCTTGTCGATCTCCGAGCATATGAGCAATGGTCTGCACTTCGAAGTAAAGGCATATCGCCTCGCGACCTGCGGAAGTGGTGCCAGGATAACAGCCTCTCCTCGCAGACTCTCTTCGACATTGCTTCAAACCGCGCTCAATACTTGTCGTCGCTCAAGGAGGTCTCCTTCATTCCTACCCACTACTCGTCCACCAACCCTACAACACACGGCGTCCTGAACAAGCATAATGACAACGATGCTCTAATCCGTGCGCTTATTGCTGGCGCATTCCATCCACAGCTGGCTCGCATCCAACTGCCAGACAAGAAATACGCGGCCAGTATGGCCGGAGCAGTCGAGCTCGACTACGAAGCCAGGACCATCAAATACTTCAACCAAGAGAACGGCCGCGTCTTCGTGCATCCCAGCTCCATTCTCTTCGACGCGCAGACGTTTCCCATGAACGCAGCGTTCATCGCGTACTTTAACAAGATGGCTACCTCTAAAGTGTTTATACGCGACCTCACGCCTTTCAACGCTTACTCGCTGCTTATGTTTGCGGGCACTATATCTGTCGATACGCTGGGAAGGGGGTTGGTGGTGGATGAGTGGGTGAGGTTGCGGGGGTGGGCGAGGATCGGTGTGCTGGTTTCGAGGTTGAGGGGAATGTTTGATAAGGTTTTGGAGAGGAAGGTTAGGGAGCCCGGGTGGGAGATTGGGGGGAGGGAGGGGGAGATTGTGGATTGTGTGAGGTGGTTGGTTGAGAGGGATGGGTTGGATAATTGAGGCAGGAGGTTTCAGTTCTTTAGAGGGGGTAAAAGGTCAGGTAGAGGAGATTTCTGAAAAAGGGAGACTATTCAAGGAACTCGATTGTCGTTTATGGGTTGTGATGCATGGAATCCAGGGTGTGTTGAGCTATGTTCACTTGTGTCCAAGCTCGCCAGTGAGCTTGGGGGGAATTGATGATGTCATTCATCTCTCCAGGCAGCTTAAATCGCCATCGCGTCCTAGACTACAACTTTCCCTATTATACTTACTACCATAGTAAGTGCATAACTAAAATTACTAAGAGAAGATGATTTAATTCCTCTTTTTCTAAGTTTTCAACTCTATTGAAGACTCGTATTTCATCTTCGTTGCGCTGCGGCGATCTGAGGCGCCTCCTCATCCTACAGTATATCCTCTTCCTCCCTAGAAGAACCTTCCTAGCTCTCCCTCCCCAGCCCACCCCTCTCACCGCAACTAAAAGACACCAATCCTTACCAAATAAAATAAAATTAAGAAATATAAAAAAGATATAAATCCAAAATGGGCATCCCCTACTCGCGCGAAATCAACGCCGCCTTCGACCAAGTGACGCCGCTCGTGGCCGCGGGCTTCGAGGTCCTCAAAACGACGCGGAATATCTCCATTTTGCTGGCGGCGATACAGGTGCTGACTGTTGTTTTGCTGGGGTTGATTCTGGGAATGCTGGTCGTGCTGGTGTATGTCGTGGATCCTGGGTTGGAGGTATGAGCTAATCTCTCTTTCTTGTTGTCTTTATTCTTCGTTTTTAGTTTTCTTGATTTCTTAATTTCTGGTTTCTTAATTTCTGGTTTCTTAATTTCTGGTTTCTTAATTTCTGGTTTCTTAATTTCTGGTTTCTTAATCTTTGGTTTCTTAATTTCTGGTGATGATTTCTGGTGATGATTATTTTGTGGGTGGGCCGGTGCATGGGAGAGAGAGAGTATGGGATGCGTGTTGTTTGAAGAGGATCCCGGGAGGACGGAGGTGGAAAAGCTGTGTTTTGCAGTTTCGCTTCCCGTTTTTCGGTCCTTGTTTCACTTTCCGTCTTCCCATTTCTCTTCTGTCAATCTTTCCGTCTCTTCGAGCTTCGATGATTAAATTTTCCTCTTCCCTCTTTTCACTTTCCAATTTTCTTCTTCTGCACCTGTTTTCCTATTTCCTGTTTTCCGCTTTCCGCCAGCTGTAATTTAGAGTTTCGCTTTTGGTCTTCCCATTCTCTTCTACTCTTCCCACCTTCAACAATCTGATATTCAATTCCTCCTTCCCAAATATTCCGTCCTCACCCTCCATCTCCCATCTTCCCATTTCCCTTTTTCCGCTCCCCCCCCCTTTTCTTCTTCCTTCCAACGTTCCTACTCTAACCTAATACACCCAACCAGACTGAGCGCCAAACCCTCATAACGCCCTTCTTCCGACGCCTCGCACACCTCACCTTCTGGGGCGTCGTGGAGAGCTGCGTCGCGGCCATGGTGGGGTTCGCGGGATTCCTTGTCGTCGGCTTATTCCTGCTACGAGCAAGGAGGCAGGATGCGCTTGAGACTGCGGCGGAAGATGATGCGGGGAGGGCTTTGGAGGGGGTGGGGGAGGGGGGGAAGGATGGGGAAGAGGAGGGGTAGGATGGGAGAGTAAGGGAGGAAATGGGGAGGAGGGAAGAGAAGCAAGCAGAGGAAGAAGGGGAGAGAGGGGAAGGAAGAGGTTCTTCACGGGTTGGCTAGATGGAGGGTGGAAGGAAGAGGTTTTGGAAGATTGCGCGGTATTAGGAATTACGTCTACCCTCTACCATCAAGTTCTACGAACCGGCTCACACCTCCACCAACGACGAACGCAACCCATCCGAAATCCCGCAGAATGGAGTTAACACTAAAACTCCCTCCAACTCCGATCGAACTTCTCCAACGTCTTCCTCGCCACCTCCCTCCCCAACTTATCGCCCGCCTCGGACGCAAAGGGGAAATGGATCTACAAGGAAGAAAGAATTCCACGTTAGCAACCCATCAAAAACCTCAAAGGAAGAGAAAACAGAAAACACTTACACCGCCAAACACCCTACTCTCGCCATTCTCCACATTCGCCTCCGTCAGATTCGTGATGCGCCTCGTCAGAACCCCGACATTATCGACCGTCACGTTGCTCGAGAGGGTGACGTCGACTTTATCCCCGCCGTTCAGGGCGGCGATGACGTGCGCCGCCGCGCCGCCGAACGTGGCGTGCGTGGACGTGTAATCCGGATGGCTCGGGGTGGGATTCAGCAGAGGCGTCCAGTTTGGGTCGTAGACGCTCTTGCCGCTGGCGAGGAAGGGCTTGGGATACTGGAAGGCGGTTACGGGACGCCAGGCGTTCTCGCGGTATCTGCGTTGCCATGTCAGTGAGATTCCGGAAGCTCAAGGGCGTCATTGCAAGACAAAAAAAGCTGGGAAAGTTTTGGTACGTACTTGACATGAAAACTCGCAATCGCCGCATTCGCCAACGCATAATAAAATTGCGCATAGAACCTCGCCGCCTGGCTCACATCCGCCTTCCACCGGTCCCCCACAACGGCATTCGCGATCCGCGTCCACTGCGTCACGCTGCTCTCGCGCCAGAAGTACGCCGTCTCCGTCTCGTGCTTCGTCCTCGTCGTCGAGTTGCGCGCCCCGACGTTGCGCACGCGCTCCACGTGCTTCTCGTACTCGGGCGAGTTGGGTTTCGGCGGGGGAGACACTTGGAATTGCTTCACGTCGCCGACGCCGCCGAAGAGTTTGATGAGGGGGGCTTGCGGGGTGTCGGGTAAGGGGTTACCGCCGGGTGTGGGTTGATAGACGCCCGGCGCGGGCGGCTGGACGATGTAGTCTACGAAATCGTTGATGCCGTCGTCGGCGCGCGCGACGAGGACGGTTCTCGCGGCCTTGCGGCAAATGTCGCGCGCGGCGGCGGCGTTGGACGAGTTGGCGGCGATGCCGATGGGGCCTAGGACTTGTCGCAGGGCGGCGTCGGTGGGGTTGTAGTTGCGCGTGCCGTGGAAGACCCAGGTCAGGGCGTTGTGGGCGGCGTGCGAGACGGCGAGTTGTTGGAAGGCGAGGGATTTGGTCTTGGTCTCGGTGGCGGCGTGGTAGATGGCGGCGTGGACGACGGCTTGGGCCCAGGCGGAAGGGGGCGAGGCGATGCCGCCGATTATGGTGCCGTTGGTGAGGAGGTTGCCTTGGAGGGCCCTGGGGGGAGGGGTGGTTAGGTTTGGTGTTGATTGATGTGGTCGATGGGTGAATGTTTACTCACCAGTACTGAACAATGTCCCCCTCATAAGCCGCATATACACCGGGTACGAAACCAGCAGCGAGTGCCGCCGCAGCAATAGAGACCTTCATTTTCATTCAATTCCTTTACCGTGGCCCTCTTATGCGACTCGGCAGTCCTGTCGTCGAGAGACAAAAATCTGCAATCCCAAGCCATCATATATGTATATATATACTTCCCTCCACGTGGTTGCGATCACAGCATGCACCATGCAGCAATGCAGCAATAATGCAGGAACCACGCGATCTCCCCTCAATAATTCGCAAAATGGCATTTCAGGGAGGTGACGGCCAATGGCGCGCCCAGCTTGGTTGTGACCCTGGATATTGCACCGCGCATGACATGGATCGCGTCATTGGCGTTGATTCTGTAGAAGAGACTATGTGGGGATAGAGGCGTGTCGATCGTTGTAAAAGCTATCTCGATTCAGATATGCGTATACAGAAGGGGGAATGGTGGATAGTCGTGCTCGGTTTCGTGGTCAATCACATCTATTCCAATCAGTCATTCCATACTGAATATATACGTCAAACGATGCAATATTTACCTACATATAGATCCCCGTCCGCAAGTGAGCTGGAAACAGCACCGTCTTGTGCGCTTAGAGATTACTTGTGAGCATCCCAAAGCCGTCAGGTCCGACTGCCGACGTGCTCAGCTTTTGAGTTATTATTTACCATTTTACCATTTTACACTAGCTCTTTTTATTAGCTTCTCATACATCCATGGATAATCCCAATCAGGTAGTTCCCTAGGACCATCACGCCTTAGCGATGAACGTCAGTTCTCCACGACATTCGCGCATCTGCTAGGAGCCTTGGCAATAGATTGCTTTTCTTTCCTCATCTACTCAAGCACCACTACAGACAGCATTGCGGGAGAACGTGATGAGAGTTCGCTTGTACAAAGGGACCAGCACAAGAAATCTTATGCATCCAAAACGCTCCGGACGCAAATATGCCTACTTGGTTGGCACAGCGCAGCTAGAAAGAATAGACAAGCCGGGATAAACTCATGGGAGTGAGTAACCTGCACAACGAGGATGCTCTACGGAGTATATATCTAGACGAACATATCAAACCCTCTGCACTCGCTCATGGATAAAACATGCCCATCTCACCCTATCTGAATTCCGCATCCACCCCCTCAAACCTCTCCAAGAACCCCTGAAAAGCCGCGACTCCCAACCCGGGATCCAAACTCCCCGTCGTCGCCCGAATACTATGCATCGAAAGCTGCGGGATGCCCGCATCAATCGCCCGCATCCCCGTCTTCGCCGACAACATGGGCCCCACCGTCCCTCCACTGCGACTATCATTCCGGATCTGGAACGCCTGCAGCCTCGCCCCGCCCCAGTTCCCCTCGACGCACTTGGTGAAGATGGCCGCCGAGACCGAATCCGTCGTCATGTGCGCGTCCGCGTCGAAGGTGATGGCGGGTCCGACGTTGAGGCGCGGGGCGTGGTTTTCCAGGTAGACGTTCAGGAAATTGGGATTGACGGCGTGGCAGACGTCCGAGGAGACGAGGAAGGAGTTGGCGTACATGCGCGACACGGCGCTGCGGACGTTCTTGTCGGCGAAGGAATCGACGATGCGCTCCATGACGGTGGGTAGGAAGTTGCCGCGTGCGCCCTGGCGGAGGAGGGACCCGACTTCTTCGTTGTCGAAGAGGGCGACGATTTTGAGTTGGCCCGAGGCGGCGGGCGTGGTGTTGAGGAGGGCTTGGATGGCCGCCCAGGAGCAGAGCTTGTCGTCGATGCGGCCGGCGAAGATGAATTCGTGATCGAGGCCGCCGGTCGTGGCGGGTTGGATGTCGAAGAGTTCGAGTTCCCAGTTGACGATCGTGGAGTCTGGAGAGGTTAGCTGCTTGATCCATATAAACGTTGCAATAGAGACACATACAATCGGTAATGTTGAGCTCCTTGGAGATGGCGCGGACCAGACGCTCCGGTTGGGTGGCAGTGAATGCGCCTTCTCCACCGAGAAGGACTGGCTTGTCATCCTCCTTTGCCTGAGGAGTAGCATTGCCAGATAGATCCGAGTTATCCAACCCTACGATCGGAACCATCTGCGTCTCCTTATTAAACGGCCCAATAGCCGCTGCTCCAAAGTGAGGTGCAAGGGTAGGAACTCTCGCGATCGGCCAATCCAACTTCACCAACTTGCTCACCACCTTTCCTCCCTCCTTCACAAGCACACGTCCACCTATCCCCAAGTCCCTGTCCCACCACGTATTGTTCAACGCTCCCGCATACGGCGCTACACCCAGCTGCACGAAACCCGCTTTAGTCCGCAACTTTGGGATGGGCTTGAGCTTCGCCGTCAGGGCATCAATGTGCCCTGCGATAACCGCCGCGCCGTTACCTGCCTCGTAGCCCTCGCCGATGGAGAAGGCGATAAGAGACGACCCGTTGCGCTCAACGTAATATTTCCCACTCCTCCTGAGATCCCAGTCATCGCGCTCAGAAAGCTTCTTGTAGCCATTCTTCTCTAGATCTTTGGCCATCGTATCGACGGCATGGAAGATGGTGGGGTTGGCAGTCATAAAATCCGTAAACGGCTTCGTGTAATGCTCCGGTCTATGCTCCTTTGTTGACGTCGACACCGCTGGCGCATGTCGGCACTCCGAGGTTGCAGTATCAGGTCCACTACCCGGTTCCAGTTTCACCTTTGGGGGTACAGGCGGCGGGACCTGGTGCTGCCGGGTGGAGTCGACATCGTCTCCCAGGTCGATGAGATTGTCGCCGGGAATTGCAACACTATGTCTGAAGTGCGATTGAGATACATTCTCCCAGACGGTGTCTTGGAAGACAGCATGGACGTTCCGGCGAGGGCGCGCAGCCGTGGTGAATGCCCGGGAGAGCGAGGTAGCTAGGGGTGCAGCAGGTGGATCGGAATAAAGGTCGGCGGTTGAGACGGTTTTGCGAAGTTGAGGCTGTCTTCTCGTCATGTTTGGAGGTCGCTTCACGGGAGTACACAGGACGGACAGCAGAGTAGGGTATGTGGGTATGTCGAAGGTATGGGAGTGGTTGAAGCTGGTGAGGTGTTGTTGGTGAGCGTCATCAGATGTGGCGCTGTTTGTGGCTGTGCATCCCACCGTCTATTCCATGTTTACGTGCATATGTGAAAGGGATAATAGGAGCTAAGGTTATACATTTGTTAAAAATGGATTATTCGATATTGACGCCGGTTTGATGCACCAAGTATCTTCCACCGAATGCACCCCAACAAAACAGCAAAATCACGAGGAGCGGCCTTGGAATGACTAGCTGCACCGACTAGTGAACAACCAGACATTATAGCCTCCATACAACGCCAGGCTCCGCTCGATTGGTAATTGACTTGGAGCTCGAAGGAAAAGAAAGAGATTGATATCCCTCCGAAGGTCGACTTATTGGCCGTTTGGCATAGGAGGCACTTCCTGCGAGTCGTCATCCTCGTCATCTAGGTTCTCAGGATGCCTGAAATTGAAAATCAGCTGGGCTGCATATTGCAGTGTGCAGCGGTTAGCTTACCCTAACAGATTCTTGACATTTTTCATCTCATAGTGCTTCCTCCGCATTTCCTCGAACTTGCGATGCTTTTCCTGCTCTTCAGGCGTCATGTTTGCCCATTCTTCGCCATGGTGTCCAACATCTTCCTCGCCAGCGGCATGCTCGTCGACAATGACCCGCTTCTCACTCTCTGGCGAGTGATGGGGTTTAGCTTCGAGTTCGGGTTCGCCCAGGTCGAAGTCGGGAATATCGTCAATGCGCGGCTTCCTGGCCGGCTTCTTGTGATCCAGCTCGTCGACCTGGATGTTCTCTGCATCCAGCATTTCCATTTCGGCTTCATCTTCGGCCGGGTCGTATTGTTTCGCGTACGGGGTCTTGGGTTCTGTGATCTTCATGGTGCTGTCCCGCTGTTGCTCGGTGAGGTATAGATTAGCCTCGTCCCATTTCAGTCGAGGGCTGCTGTCGTCGGCATGTACATTGGTGCCCGACTGGCGGCGAGAGTTGACACCGCGGGGATTGGACGACGAACGGCGGTGAAGGCCTGCGTTCTTGAGCGTGTTTTCGAGGACAATCTCCTTCTCCGACTTGTCGCGGTTCAGGTCCGGTCGTTGGGCGAACGTCTCACCGGTTGGCGACGTGACAGTGTTAGACCGGTAGGTGCTGGAATTCTTGAGTATACCTGCGATGAGTTAGTTGTGCGGAAACAGATAGAAAGCGAAAGCTCGCACCTTTGGGCCGCTCGGAGTGGTGAGGCGGCGAATGAAGGACAGTTGCGTGTTGCGTCATGCTGCTGGGAGTCTCGCGGCCACGATGGAAGAACGGGTTGGACCTGAAATGGTGTCGGCGAGGTCGGGCAATGGGTGGGGGTTGCGGGAGTACAGTCGCGGTGCACGAGATGTTTATAAGTATCGGCGGTTGGGCTGTGAAACAAGATAGTTCTGAGCTATCTGCGTGTGTAGCGGGCGGTGATGTTTGAGGGTGTCGGTGAGGGCAGGCGTCGTGGAGGGGGGGTGTGATGTGTTGAGTAGATGTGATGTTGGGTGGATGGGCGACGAGGGCGGGAGCTTGTGGACGCTGCGGGGCTTTTGTCGGGCTGGGCAAGCGAGGATGAAGGGAGGAGCATCACCAACAATGACGTAGGGGCATGTGGTGGACATGCATGCATGCAACGAAGGGCCGGAATAATCCTCCGCATTGAGCAGAGTGGTTTTGCCGAGTAACCGCTGCAGTACTTGGACTTACTTGTACTTGTATCATGTGCATGGCAGTATGCGCCTGAGCAGTGAAAGCGGAGCCCTGCAGGGTTCGCAACACAACAACAAGGCCTCCGCGCAGACGGCTCAGCTTCACGGTGTGAAGGGCTACGATAACGGTAGTTCTTCTGCACGTCACAATCCTTGCCATGCGTGGAGCTTAACAATGTCAGACTGCTGATGCTGTGGGATTACAGTAAGATGTTCTTGCGCCGACAACACCCGAAACAGTCAACACCAAGTTGTAGTACCTAGGTACTTCGAGATTCCCTCTTCCGAAATAACCATATTGCACGTGAGCGGTACCTGGAGTACCTGGGTATCGAAGGAGCATAACAAGTCAAGGACATCAGAGCATGAAGATGTCCTTTGCATGCGCGATGGAAGAGGAGAATAATGAGAGACTGCAAGACTTCAATACCTGCTGGCCAGGGCCTGATTACGATTAGCACGTGCTTCCACTGCTCATGACATGTCAACGGACAGAACCAGCCATTGATCTTCAGACTTTGCCTTGAAGCCTCATGCTCAACCAAAAGGACATCGCCATGCGACAGTGTAGTTCCTGGCTGAGCGCTCAGACTACCAGAAGTAGTTCACATGAACAGTCATCCCGAGAGAGGCGCCACGCATGGAGAGGCATGCGCGGATCAGATGGATGCAGAAAAGCAGGCCTGTACTCACGATTCTGTGGCTGCTAAATAACAAGCAGATCCAATCCTTCGCTCCCTTCACAACACACACCGAGTGCGCCCCTGCCATACGAATGTCCCTGCTATCAGGTCATCACCGCATCATGGAAGCCACCGAAGCGGCCCTCGTGATGATGGTTTTAAAAGAGGGATGGCGTCTTCTGGGCCATCATCGGAGTCGCCAGCAGGGTGGGAACAAGCCGAGAAACGGCGTCGTGCTGGCGGTGATTTGAGTTGCAGGCCGGATGAGAGAGAAGAGAGGAGAGGGTTCGCACGGCGGAAGAAAAACTCAAGTCGTTGCCAAGGATTTGCCGCCAAGCTCTCACGCCAAACGCGCGCTTGCTGCTTCCACATGAGACGGGCGGAGCGGAGCCGGGGCGACGGCTTTTGCAGCAGACACACCCACCCAACGACCATCATCTCTCCCACCCACATATACCCATTGCTACAGCCCATCGCACTCGGCATCCTACGCCCTGACGTCTCTCGCCCGTCTAAATTGAACTGCATCCATTGGCCCCAGCTTGCGTGCCCATCGCTATTGCTACCCATCGCTCCTCCGACATCACCGTCCTCCCTCTACGCATCCCCTCCCGCAACGCTTTCTGGCCCAGTCGCCGAAGTCGTCTCCGACTCCCTGTGCTGTTTGACGATCGAAAGTAGTCGATTTTGTACTGCTGAGCTCTCCGTTCAACGCGCGGGGAACCCCACATTCTGTTGTTGAATTCGTCCAGGGCGTCAATGGAGGGCAGAGAGAACTTATGGACCCGCCGCTCCAAGTACGCCGCATCCCCCTTATGCATGATAGCTCCCACCCAGCTAACCCATCATGACAGCACTAGTAAGCCCTCGCTGCCCTTGTCCCAACAGGAAAAACCGGACCCTCCATCCCGCACATTCTCCGCATCGAGGCGTCTCGGTGGCGATAGTTCCTCGCATGGGAGTAGAAATCCTTTCAATGCGATTTCCCCTTTGGCAACTACCGCTTTAGCCTCACCTACTACTGCCGGGTCCTCAGCATTTGGATTGGGGTCCGGGGCTTTCGCCTCCTTTGGCTCCGCGACCAAGACTCCCAAGACGCCGGGGGCCGCGTTCGACTTCAAAAACGCAGTGACGCCTAGCACGCCTGCGGACAAGAAGGAGAAGCTGGTCACTAAAGGCTTGCAGAGCACGCAAAAAGATCAGACGTCTCTGGCGCCTGTTGAGGAGCAGAAGGCCACATCTGCCCCTCTTGATCCGAGCATACCATGGCCGTTGAAGTACACGTGGGTTATCTGGTATCGGCCTCCAACGCCCAAGAACTCGGACTATGAGAAGTCGACCAAACCCTTGTGTCGCATGAGCACGGCACAAGAATTCTGGAAGGTCTTCATCCATCTCAACCGGCCTTCTACGCTTCCAACCGTGTCAGACTACCATTTCTTCAAAGAAGGCATCCGCCCAGTCTGGGAAGATGAGGAGAATAAGCGCGGCGGGAAGTGGATTATGCGACTCAAGAAGGGCGTGGCAGACCGGTATTGGGAGGAGCTGCTCATGGCCCTGATTGGCGACCAGTTCTATGAAGCAACGGAGGAGGTGTGCGGCTTTGTACTCAGTGTCAGGAGCGGTGAGGACGTCTTCAGCATCTGGACGAAGAAGGATGGCAGCATGAACATGAAGATCCGGTAAGTCAGGTACTGGTTGCCTAGTCGAACCATCGCTAAGCTCTCAACCAGTAATACGGTCAGACGGGTGCTGAACCTGCCTCCGGACACGAACATTACCTGGCGCAGCCATGATGACAGTATCGCGCAGAGGTCGGCCATCGAACAGGCACGGCAGGAAAAGGCAGGCCAGGAGAAGCGGCGCGTGGTGTCGAGTGACGCCACTCAGCGTGACAAGGCCACCAGCGGCTCGTAGTACGGTTGTGGTTCCTTTTCATTATTACCCCTCCTGAGATCCTTCTGGCATGGATAGAAGGCGTCCACCACCTTCAGCGATTGGCTATCGTGTGTATGAGTTCACCAGACCTGGGGATGTCCCGCCTGTAGGAGCTATGCTTCTGTCAGGTCTTACGTTCAACGTTTTGTACATTACTTGAAGGAACTCTGCGGTTCACGGGCTGGAAGCGGAACGCCCAGAGGAATTTGTTTGGACAAAACACCCTCTCCTATGGTCGATAGACGACAGTGCATCCACCTTAGGGGTGTCAAGACGTCTCCATAACATACGATTCACGTGGCGCATTCAATACACGCGCTTGAAGTACACAGTATGGCTATAATGGCTTGCGCTTTGTGCTGTGGAGGATCCGAAGGATGCGATATTTGTTCTTCCTATTCTGTTTCTGCGTCTCGAAAGACAGCTATTTCCTTGTATACCAGCCACCACAGCCACACGCGCCTCCACGAACCCTTGCTTCTCGCTCGCGTGCGCCCCCAGGCATTGACGTCGCCCTGAAGAGACGTCCAGATGCGCGCACGGACCATGGTCGGTCCCTCTTCACCTTCATCATTATTTCGACTCCCTCCTCTCGCCCTCGAACTCTCGGGCCCGCGAGCGCACCACGCTGTCTCGCCATGTCCACTATTGCACGTGGCGACACATTCCTTTCATTCCACCTCCAACAAGAGCAAGTCCGCAGCTAGCCTTTAACGGATCCTAGAACTGGCTTTACCTCTGGCTTGCTTCATGCAGTACATACCACGCTTTCTCTGTAAAGCCTTCGGCGTAGACGGTTCCCAGGATAGCAAACGTTCCCAGTCTACTAAGAGAGCGGTGGGTTCTCCCCACTATCTAGGCACCGGTGGCTAACGGTCCTCGATTCCAGAGCCACACCGCTGCAAACGATGCTCCGTCCTCCTTCGACCCCAGCTACGACGATCATTCCTACCGACGCTATTCCCCCCGAATGGCGGGTTCCGACCTTGAGCGTACCCCAGAAGGAATCCCCACAGCCCGCACACCCGAAACAGCTCAACCGACACACATTAAGAAACCGCGTATAAGTGAGGACGAGAAGAGGTTGCTTCCTGACTACGGGTAGGTCTTGTCCTTGACACTCGTGGGAAATTTCTCACTATATTTAGCGTTCCACCGGATAGCACTGCACTCCCTACCCCCGAGCAGTTTGCTTACCCTCCATTACCCAATATGAGGCCTGCCAAGGTACGCGACCTCGCTCCATATCCTACTTCGCACATTGACATCTTTGCACAGCCCGGACAAGGCCAATCCTACAAGCCGCTAGATACGATAACTCCTGGTGCATCCACTCCCGCTCGCAAACCGTCCGTGAGGACATATGGCAACCAGAAGAGAACGTCAATGTATGAAGGGCAACGGAAATTCATAGAACAGAAGGCAAACTTCGGTCAATTGGGACCACCATCCGCGTTCTCGAATACCAGCAATGACTCCTCGAGACCTAGCAAGCGGAGAAAGACGTCAAACGACTCACTCGCGTCCCACGACATCATAACTCTGGACGATGATGAACCCGCGCCCGCCTTCTGCCAAGATGGCAGAAACGAAGCCTCAGATATACTCAGAAGATCCGCCTCCCTGGTGCCTAGATCTCAGCGCAGTACAGGTCATATTAGCGGTTCACAGGCCAGATCTGGTCGTTTTCCAGTCAGCAGCTTCCAACAAACGAATCAGATCAGCGAACCGCGCCGGAAAAAGCCGAGGAGACAGTCACAGCATTCGTCTGCAACACCGCTTGTTGATGCGACCCCCTTCGCCATCAACGCAGAACGCGCAGGACATGGATTGCCTTCGCATGAGCCAGCAAGGAGGATGAGCGCAAGCGCCACGTTATCCGGACTGCTTGCCTCGTTACCCAAGCAGGCGTCAGACGATGAATTGCACTTGGGGGAAGCGGTGACGACATCTAGGCACTTTGCTCCCAATCTCAATGGCTCGAATCGTAATAGCCCTTCCTCGCGGCGCCGACCTGGGACTGGATCCGACATACAAGGCACTCGTAGGCAACAGCCCCGTAACCTTCGAGACACATTTAGACGAGTTCCCGAGTCGGGAGTCAATGACGATGTGGATGAGCTGGGAGAGATGTGGCCGCCTCGACCTGATCCGATTCGGAGTACTAACATGAAGCATACTGAGTCTGTTCAACAGACGACGTCGTATGGAAAACGGAGGTTTAAGGAACAGTCCAGCCCTGGCTGGCGCTTAGAGTACGTTCGCTCATATGATGTCCATGAAGCTGGCGACGACCTCATGTTGGTGCCGAAACCGGACGGCCTCTTTCAAATCCAGAAAACAGTGAAGCTGGGGGACGTCGATATGGTTGCCACCATCGATATGACGAAAGTCAATGTTGCTGTTCATGACAGTGTGTCACGTGTCCGTCTGAAAGGATCAAGGTCGAACGCCACTGGCGACGTGTATTGGTTCGACCTGGAGTTTGCGAAGAGCGAGAAGTTTGGGGATTTCTGCCACACGGTTGTAGCTCCAGCATGTCAAAAAGTGGTGACGAAGGACGCGTGAGTCAATTCTTGCTCCTTTAGAAGAAACTGCTAACAGGCTACAGTACATATATGGAATCGCTTTTCAGTAAACCTTTGAAAAGCAGCATGATACACCATGAGCAGGCACCAACCGCAGCCAAAGTGCCATCAGTTACTGGGAATGGGGTACATCAGCCTCCACATCCCAGGCCGTCTTTGATTGGGCAACTGGCCCCTCGCAAAGATGATCGGAGTGTTGAGGAAATACCTCGTCCAAAAGCAGACCGCGCACAGATGGCAACAAGGGAATGGCCTAATTCCGCAAGGCTTCGGCCTGCGCGAATTACGCGGAATAGTCAAGCCACCTATATCGATGACCCAGACAATTATAGTCCTAGCGTGCATGGAAAAGAGGTACGGAAATTCTCCGAAATTCATGGGTTGGGCGGACGTTGGCCTAAGTAAGTCTTGCTTTCTCAAGCAGTGGTATTGTAAACTAACAGCATGAAGGCCCGTGACATACCAATCAGGCCGTCGTCGTGCAGTTGTAAACTTTGACGATCTGTTGCGTCTGGATGAGGGGGAATTTTTGAACGACGCTTTGATTGATTTTTACATGATGTGAGGGAGAACCCATCTGATATTCGACGGCGATTCTAACAATAGCAGATATGCATTCGAACAAGCCAAGGTACCGCCTAGCAAAGTATATTTCTTCAATACTCACTTCTATACGACCCTTACGCGACCCGTCAAGGGCCAAAAGGGTCTGATAAATTATGAAGGCGTAAAACGCTGGGCCAAAGAGGATATATTCAGCTATGACTATATAGTGGTCCCTGTCTGTGAGGAGTATGTATATTGCTAAACTTTGGCAACCGGCATTAACATGTGTGTAGCTCTCATTGGTACCTCGCGATCATATGCAACGTCTCCAATATCTCCCGCAAGCCAAGCATTGAAGGTTTGGAGGATATCTCTCCGGCGCCACCCCCTCCATTTAACGGTGACAACGACAACACAACTACCATTGACTCCGAAGGGGCAGCCGAACAAGTACGACCACCGCCTCCGGCAACCACACCACCGTCCGCGAACAGAATTGTAGATTGTGAGCTAGGCGACGACGAGAATTTGTTTGATGAAGAGCAACGAAAACTAAATGATCAGAAACTCCGGAATGAAACCCAGGCTTTCGATGCATCAAATGGCAGTGTCTCTACTCGGACATCTCCAGCTACCCAACAAGCCGCCAAGCTGGAAAGTCTCACTATTGCAGATTCCATTCCCACGAGTATCATTGGCGGGACACCAGCTCCTCCAGATTCCACGCCCAGGAGGAACAAGGGCTGCGGATTGAAGAAATATCCTTTGGATGACCCTATCATCCTGGTACTTGACTCTCTCGGTAACGCACATCCAAAGCTCGTCCGAGCTTTAAAGGAATATATACTCCAGGAGGGCCTTACAAAGCGGAGCATGGAATCCAACATTACTTCGAACGCGTTCTATCCCCGAGAGATGCATATCCCCATGCAACCAAACTTCACGGATTGTGGGGTGTATCTGTTGGGATATGTGGAAAAGTTCTTCAGCGATCCGCGCGGCTTCGTGACCAAGCTCCTGAACCGTGAGATGGACGCAACGAGAGATTGGCCAAACATGAATGCCTCTGCAATGAGAAATACGATTCGTGAAATACTCCAAGGCCTGGCTAAGAAACAGGAGCAGGAGAGGAAGCTGGCCAAAAAGCAGAAAGATGAGGAAGTGCGGAAGCGGAAGCTCTCAGAACAGGGAGAGGAGCCATCGAAGTCAATCAGCCCGAAGACAGAGTTACCTGTTGATATCGAGAACCCTACTTCAAAACCATCGCCATCGTCATCGCCCACTCCAACGAAGCAGGAGAGAAAGGAATCACCTGCACCAAGAGAGGCCCCACCTGTGCCAGAGGAACCATCACCATTACAGAGGCCTCGTTCTTCTGCATCTCCAGAGAAAGAAGCTGAGAAGCAGGAGGCCCCTCGATTAATACCTCCAAATGCATCCACCGCAGTCGAACAACCCACTTTCCGATCACCTCGAAAGCACAGCCCACGCGTTGTGGTTCCTAGGCCCGAACCATCCCTTGACATCGCCAGGTCACCAGATACTTCCCGAAGGATGGACCAAATAATTGATGGCATGCCTGAATCGAGGTCCAGCAGTCCAAGGAAACAGCACACGGATGACGATCAGCCTACCATCCTGGTGCAGCGAACTCCCTGCCCTCTGAAACGCAGCCAGTCGCCCTCTGTACCGCTGGGTCTGCCCACCAAGGGCAGGAGTGCGACACCTGATACACAGAGAAAGGCGTTTGCGCATAAACCTTCTACGGAAGCTCCTGAAGCCAGTCCTCCCAAAGTGAGGCAAACTCCAAAACCAATGTCGCAGACTCGTCCAACGCTCGGCCCCCAAAAGACCCCAGGTCGTAGAATTATGACCGAGGAACCCAGAGGGTCGTCTGCAAAACCTATCGAAATCGAAGATTCGCAGGATGGGTCATCGAAAGGTGCTGCTGCGCCTTTTGTTCGGCCGCGCTCTGTTGAGCTTTCCCCACGGGCAACGGGGGCGAGGAACGCGATGTCTGAGCCGAGGACACGGGATCCGCCGACGACGCACAGGTCGAGGTTGGGGTCCGGGGTGCTGTGGGATGATGGTCGAATCAGGGCACATGCGATTACGCCAACTCGAAGCTTGCCGGGCGGCGACAGGCGGAGGCGGTCGAGGGAGACGACGGTGCCGGAGAGTCCGCTGGTTGAGGAGAAGGAGGAAGAAAGGGATGTGTTTATCATTGACTGATAGGGAAGGGGTGGACTGCGGTGCATGATATTTGGCACCGGATTTAGTTCATCTACAAGGCGAGCGGTGATCATGGTTTCGGTTGCGGGTATACCCAGGGTTTCTACGCTTTACTGGTGGATTCTTCATAATATACGACGCATGGTATGAGATGTTCTCGAATACCGAGCGGAGTTGGAGCAGTATATATTAAAAGAGTCGCGGACTTTGTTATGGGCCTTCTCAGTCTAGAACTCTTCGTAGACCTCGAAAGTTCCGTACACGTTTCCAGTTTCCGTTGCAGTCATCAAGTGTTTTGTTCATTATTAACACGCTAAAAGTCTATATGCTCATGCGTATGCGTATGCGTATGCGTATGCGTATGCGTATGCGTATGCGTATGCGTACAATCATGCCAGAAATCTCGTCTCCACATATCTCGAGAAGAACCTCCCATCCCCTCCCTCCTACTCAATTAATTCTACAGCGCACCGTGCCGCACATCAACCGCATACCCCTTCTCCCCGAGCTCGGCCCCGCTCTTCAGTATGCCCATCTCGTACTCCCTCGCCAATCCAAGCCCATGGCCAAGTTCACGGCCAAGTCCAACAAAATCCCCCTCCTCAACAACGGGACTCAAGACGGCCTTCTCCCTCGCATACGCATCCGCGCCCGCAAATCCCGCACGCCCCACAACACCCACCACCTCGCCCGGCCCATCGCCCCAAATCCAAAACTGCATTCCAAGGCCCAAATCGCACAAGGCCTGAAACACGCCACAGATCTTAAACGCGAGGGGTACACCGCCCTCGCCGCTGCCGCTCGCGAAAAAGAACCACATCTTGAACGTATCGCCCAGGATCCAATTCACGACGACGGACAACCTGAACCCCTTGCATCCGCGCCGGCGATAATTAGCGAGGAGTTGCGGGATGGGCAGCGTGGCTTCGATGGCGAGGGCTATGTAGCCTAGTAGATTGGCGTAGGCTTTGAAGACGGGTTCGGAAGAGGGGGAGATGAGGATGTGCAGGACGAGTAAGGTCAGGGCGAAGTAGGATAGAAATGTCCAGTAGGGGCGCGTGCTGCGCCATTGCCAGAAGTCGTAGGGGCGGCGGGCGGGGGCAGTGGTGTGCGCGAAGGGGGTGGTCGAGGGGTGCGGGAGGGGCGGGCGGTGGGTTAAAGCGATGTGTAGGAGGAGGAGGTGGACGGTGATCATGAGGAGGGATTGGAGGAGGAGAGAGGTGCTGTAGTGGGCGCCGAACCAGTAGAATACTCTGCGTTTGTTGAGGTTAGACTTGAGAGAGATGTAGAATGGTGGGCTGGAAGGAGGAGGGAGAAGGGAGAGGGGAGAGCGTACTTGAGGATGCTGCTCACGAGCATGATGAGCGGTATGTCGAGGGAGAAGCCGGCGGATGTGCGCGCCCGGTGGATCGAGTAGATTTGGTCGGCATAGCTGGTGATTGGGCTGGTTGCGATGCTGTTCATCATCCTTCATTAGCACTCTTGTCCTCTAGAAACGCCCTCTGTTCGCGCTCAGTCGAACTCTTCTGGGGACACTCACAAAATCGGCGCTATATGCGTGACAGCCGCATTCAAGAAACCCATCTCAAACAAATCCCTCCTCGAACGACGCGCGTGAATTGTGTAAAGCCGCCGTGTCCGTTCGAATCGTAGGAGAAAATGAAAGGTTGGTGGAATAACGAAGGGAGCCCGTGCCAGAAACAAGGCGACATGGACAGGGGTGTGCAGTAGCGCCCGTGCTTGATAAGCTTAATTGGGAAGCTTATCGGTGCCGAGGTTGAGGGCTTGGGGATTGACGCTCTCTAGAAGGGGTATGTATATGAATAGCTTGAATGGTCTGTGACTTTGCTATTGAAGTCAATCGCTTTTATATCATCGCTAGCACGATCATCACCTATCCCACTCCCAAACCACATCCCCCAAAATCCCAACCACCAACCGGAGAACCACCCCTCCCACCCCTCCCACCCCTCCCACAATGACACACACAGCCTTCTTCTACGGCACCCTCATGGCAACCCCCGTCCTCCACCGCGTCATCCACAACCCAACCATCCCCTCCTCCCTCCTCCCAACCCTCACCACTCGCCCCGCCATCCTGCAAAACCACACCCGGCACCGCGTCCGCCACGCAGATTACCCGGCCGTCGTTCCCTCCGATGACCAAGGCGCCTGTGTGCGCGGCGTGCTGGTTTCCGGGCTATCGGACGCGGATATCTGGCGCTTGGATGTTTTCGAGGGGGAGGAGTATGAGAGGAGGAGGGTGAGGGTGAGGGTTTTGGATGGCGGGGAAGAGGAAGGAGAAGGGGAGGAAGTCGATGCAGAGACGTACATCTGGATCGCAGGCGCGGAGCGGTTGGAGCCGCAGGAGTGGGACTTTGACGAGTTTGTGAGGGAGAAGATGAGGAGGTGGGTTGGGGGGAGTGAGGAGGAGAGGGATTCGGGGTTTAAGGGTTAGTCTTTATTGCTTTGGAAGTGTTGCGAGTGAGTGCCGGTGCTGATATCCTTCGCAGATGTGGATGATGCCGTCGCTGCGCTACAGAATGATCCTACCGGGGGGAGAGGTTTCAATGGCCAGATTACGAGGGCTTTGGAGAATGGCAGCGAGGCCGGGAAGACGATGATCAGAAGTGCGGTGTGAGGAAATAATGGCTCGAGGTCGGTTGCCGCCGGGAATCTCCTTGCACCGGACGCTTCGTTTTGCTCTGCTAGTGCCAATACTCCTCATAAAAGACATAGATTAGCGTTCAGGAAGCAAACCTAGAAAGCAAGCATCCCACAGCGACGAACGACGATAGCAGTCACTGTACATCCCACGAATAATAGAAGAACATCATGTTCACCCTGTTTTGCAATCGCCTCGCTTCTCTCTGTTTCATAGATCAACCAACTTTCAGCGGAAATTGTTTCAAGACGGTCGTATTGTTGCACAGTATTTGGGTCGTTAAACTTAGCATTAGAAGATTCTTCACATGTGCATACACACCTATACATGTGTGCATCACCATACGCACACGGATAGGAGATAGAGAACAGTATAATCACTGAGACAGAGAAAAATTCGAACCCGATTAACACGTGCTCAAGACCAGTCCTTTGCAAAATCAATGTCATTATCATTAACCGTTTCCCGGCTCATACCCCGCCCGGCCCCTCCCAGCAACCATTTTCATGAGAGGAATGAATGTCCTATATATATGCTTCCAGAATCTCCTATATATCGGCTTCCAGGCCATTCGTTGAGTAGTCTGAGAGTACAATAGTACTAAACTCTATGAAGCCCGCTTACTCTAGAGAGTGGCAGAAAAAGCTCCTATCCTCCCGCTTCGGGTGCGTATGACGTGTCGTACTGTCGTATGGACCTGGAATACCAACGTCTTGCTTTCTCTAAGAGTGCCCATCTAGGAGAGACACCATAGACCGAATCCCGGTAAGGTTTTCCTTCAGGGTTTGAAGCTCTCCATGGAGTCTACCGCAGAGCACGATAGCCAACCAAAGACCCAAACCTCTGCAGTAGCAGATCCGCAGTCTACATCCGCGGCGAATTACTGCTCCTCCGGTACTCCTCCGCGATCCTCACCAGATCCGCATGAGCACCATCCTGCTTCCTCGGCTTCAGCGGAACAGGCGCATGTTGCAGCGTAGCTATCACACTGGCAGTATCGAGCTCCAGCGCACTATATCTGGACTCGTTAATGCCAGGCAGTCTCTCGTTCTGCGGATGCGAAGAGATGGGCTTGAGAGTCGTCCAGTCCATACTGTCGGGATCGGTAGGAACTCGACCACGGAATAGTTTGTAGGCTTCGTTACATCCAATAGAAGACTTTGATATTTCTCTCTCCGGAACGGAGCTATAGTTGGCACGCGGCTCCATGGGTTGCGGGTCATTGCTGGCGGTTTGGCGGGGAGGAGTAGAAGCAGGGCTCCAGTAGCTACTGGCAGAATTCTTGAGTTCGGCAACTCTCTGGCACCATGCTCTCTGCTTCGGGTCTCTCATACAAGCGTCGCAAGAGCCGGGCCCTGAAGGAGCGGCGCTGGTGGACTGTGGCGGCACCTTGTTTGCATGGTTGCTATTGCGAGTACAAGCTGGCGAAAGAGGATCATCGTCCTCAGTCTTGGACATGTCCTGGAGACTCATATCCCGACAGACGCAGTAGCTCTCAGCGGTGCAGAACCCGCAGGCAGTTTCTGCAGCAGTCGTCTGGGTCAGAAAAGCGATGGAAGGGCGAGGGTCAGGCCTGGTTTTCTTCGTCGCGAACTGAGCCGTGAAGTCAATCTCGCGCTCAGCAAACAGCGCCGGGTCGTCCGATGCGGTAGTTGTTGGAATTTCTTTGGTATCGGACACTGATATGCGCGTTGTACTAATGGTAAGGGAGTTAGAGCCCGTGTACACGGCTGCCTCAGTTTCGTTAACAATGGTCTCCAGACATATGCATCGGCCGCCATCCTTGCATTCACTACCACAAGTGATAGCTGTGGTCTTGGTTGCTTCGTAACTTTGCGAGACAGTTGATGCCGGGGTAAAGGCCGAAACGGTTTGGAATCTATCCTGCCATTCCGGACTGGGCGGTCGGTCTACCATGACATATTCCTTGCTGCTGTCAGATGTGGGAGTGCGTCCTTCTTTCAATTGAGCAACCATGTGCTCGAGTTGCAGCGTCTTCTGCTTCCAAGAGTCCCGCTCTTGAATTGCTTTCTGCTCAGACTCCCTCAGCTGAGCAATGAGAACCTCCAAATTCTTTAAGTGTTGTTGTTTGTCGGCAAGCTCCATCATCTTCTCATTTATATCCTGTCTATACCGCATCTCTGCGATCTCGGCCTGTGTCTTCATTTCATTCAGCTTCGCAGCCTTCCTCGCCCTGAAGGCCCGCTGAGACTCCCGATTCTGAGCCTTGCGCTTCGAAGCCGGCTCATCGGTGGCAGGCTTGCGGCCGGGCTTGGGCCGTGGAGGGATTACATAGTTGGTGCTCGTCGGGCCTGCAAAAGCTCCTCCTACAGGGGAGGGCGCAGCCGTTTCGGCCACTAGCGAGGAAGTCGTGGCAATAGCTAGACTCGGGGCTATGTTGTTGCTGTTAGAAGCGGGATTGAGGACTGTACGGTGTTGTTAGCACAAATGTCGTTGGGATTGCGCGAATTCTACTTACCCCGCGAGCTTGAAGGGCGCACTGAGTTTGCAGTGGGCGTCTCGGCAGGAGAGGACGGTGATGAAACATTCGAATGGGCTGAATTTGCATTGCTCGCATTGGAAGCCGGCGACGGCAAGCTGGCAGCCGTGTCTTCCGACATTGTGTGAGGTGAGGATGATTGAATGACGCTTACGACACTTGCATTATCAGATCAAGATTATCAGATCATCTCGCTTCCGAGAATCGGCCGGCCCCGCTTCACGTGCTTACGGGTATTCCCGGGTGATATTGTCCCGAAGCTCCGACGACCGATGTTGTACTGTACCCTAGGGTAGGTTAACGGTACGGAGTAATTGCTGGTGTCGCTATTGCACGACAAAAACCAGTGATATGCACAGGAACGTCACTGTTGCATTGGGATTTCCCACCTATGGATATGGTAATTTGTCTTGATCCGCATATCCAGCATCCCGTTTCTCCAAAATACAATTCGCCTACCCCCTACAACGGGTCTCAGGAGAGTCTTTGTAGATGTCATCTGCGAAGGTAACTTTGGTATGCCGCCGTAGGTGCGTTGTGAGGCACCTCTGTATAAGCTGACAGGAGCCAGTTCATTGACCGAGTGCAGGTTCGCCGGCGGGAAGCATCGGTGTGAGGAACTCCCGCTTCAGGGTAACCTGTCTTATAGTGTGCAAACTGTACGGCCAATGTGGGAACAAAACAACGCATCTGCTTTTGGGGTGCGAACACAAGCTGGACGGAGTCCACAAAGAGGTGGCCCCCGCAACCGCGTTCGACAATTTCCCACGCAGATTACAACTGGATGAAGCTAGACACGCTGGCGTCCAGAGTGTGATCTGAACAATGGTGATCAGATTCCCCTACCCAAATTTGAGGAAGCGTTCAGGCATGGCAGATTCCATCTTTCGAACAGTATTGAAGGAAGGCCAAGAAGGAATATGATCATCCGAGAACCATATCCAGCTGGAGGCTAATCCGCCCATATTGGGCCGTAAAGAGGTCCGAGAGATGTTGCTGGCTGTATTTGTCGCCTTCTAGGTAGCATCTAATGCTTAGTAGTTTGTCAGGTGCCTAAGGATGGGACCGTACCGTGAGACCTTCATAAGGGCAGTAGTTCTAGCCAAAACCTCAGTCTGGCATACTATCTCCAACCTTCGTGATCGTTTCCATGTCCAGTTAGCTTTTCAAGCTGAACCCTACGGTTCAGTACATGTTTGGGTCATCAATCGGGAACTTGCCACATCGTTCCACAACAAGATGTCCATTGTGGCTCTCTTCTTCGAACGAAGCGCCTAGCAGTGTGCACATGCCGGACTTGCTGAACGGGATCCGTCTAGACGGCGCCGAGTGGGGGAGACGGGAATGTGTATGGGCAGATGAGGCAAAGTAGCATGGCTTTAGCATCTCTATAAAAGGGGCCAGGGAAGACGTAGAAGTTGAAGTTGTCAAGGCGGAAGTGCGGTGAGGGTGGTGTAGTGGAAGGGGTTATTGAGTGGCTTATTCAAGGACGGGTCTCGTCATGTGGTGCGTGATACGTTTCATTACATGAAACGTGAGGGCGTGCTCATGACGGTGTCGACGGTCTTGACTGCTCCTTGGGGGAGAAGCCTGGCCAGGAGTGCCAGAAGCGTCGTTTGTGCCCATTGGGGTCCCCGAGAAGATCGTTGATGATTTGGATCCTCCTCTTCCACATCTTGTCTTCCGCTCGACCATGATCCGGGATAAACTCAAAGGTCAATAGGTCCGAGATACGATCCCAACGCCACCGGAATATGTAGACCTTTCTCCACAACATAACGTTGGTGTCTGCGTCGTGAGAGAGACAGAACAAGGCGTAATAGACACCGGCGCGGGGCGAGTGCCAAGCCAGATACAAGGCGTACCAGACGTGGCGCAAGATGTTTCGTTTGATGGAGGCCCATGCAGTTCGAATGTAGGATATGATGGAGCCCAAGACTGGAAGGATAGTAAGAGTAACGGCCACCACGGCTGCCACGGCGAAGACCCATAAGGAGACGCCGTCGCCCAAGATCAACAGGTTCGCTGAGAACAGAGCGCAGATGAAATTGAGCGGTATGAAGACAAAGGCCAACTTGGTCAATCGGTTCACGCTGATCGAGGCTTGCTTCGATTCTCGTGTTTCCTGAAGTTGTTCGGCCAGCACTTCGTTCTTGTGCAGTTGCGAATATGTCTTGATGGCCTGCTCTAGGCGGAGGAGGAGTTGGTCGCAGTCATCGAGCAAGGCCTTCAGCTGGAGTGTCGATTCGGCCTGTGTCTTATCAGCGGCTATGAAATTGGCCAAGGTTCTTCGAAATGCTTCCAAATCCATCCGCATATCCAGCATAAACCTGAACTCAACTTTGGTCGACCCATGCCGCCCAGGGTCCGTTGGTCCAGGCCGCCTGGAGGAGACAAGCAGCTCCACCTCGTAGGCAATATGAGACTGATACTCCATCAGGAGTAAGCGAACGTAGGGAGCAAGGAATTGTTTCCAGTCTGAGAAGTTGGTGAGAACTGAGTTGTGCACGTCGTCGTAATAATTGGGCGCGAGCTCCTACAGTCCCTGTAGTCGCGCGTGGCATCGCGCGTACGGAGGAATATTACAGCTGGACGAGCAATGAGTCGAAGTCAAGCTACATGCCGAAACGGCTCTTACCCACATCCCCGTGCAACCATGCCGACATATAATTTGGATACCGGCCAATCTCGAACGTTGTGCTAGAAGTCTCGCTGGGCAGATGTCCCGCACTTGGCAGGGCTTTTGGATATGTCTCATGTACGTGTACGTGTGTAGATGCTAGTGGCCGTTCTCGCTCGAGGCGACGCGGGTAGTCAAGGTGACGGCGAAGAAAGGCGGGACTGATATTGAAGGCCGAAGCCAGAATCTCTACCCACGGCCTTCCCAGCAGGCACGTGTGCGAATACGTTAGGATAATGGCTCTGAGGTTTTTGGACGCCACTATGTCGGCCACTTGCTCTTCATCTCCCGGTCCAAGATAGCGAGTCCTCAATGGCCAGGGGCTGCCGTCGCTGATGTAGGCTGTGACCTGTCCTTGAGGTTGATCGATCTGCGGCGGATGGTCGAAGAACGAGTCCATCCAAAGGCAATCAGCGTCCCTGGTTGCGCGGAGGTACGAGCGATAGTTTCGTCTACGGTCCTCAAGCTTCATCTCGGGCGGAGTGCTGTATTGCTGCTCCAGCGCATCACTTGCGTGGGCGTCTGACGGTTGCCCAGAAGTCGGTGTCGACATGGTTATGGTGCTGCAGCCGATGAAGCAATGTACCAACGGGCCAGTGATCTCGCAGCTGTGGCGGATCCGAAGCTTGATGGTGAGTCGAGGATAATGGCGAAAGGGCCCATCGAGTTAACATATTGGCCTTGCTTATGTTATGTGGGCATGTGCAAGGCTGCAGCTGAAGGTGGTTGAAGCTCGTATATATGTGATGCCGTGAAGGTGATTGGCGTGTACCTCCATCCATCCAAGCCAAGGCTGCGGGACCTCGGGAGCGTTCCGTCTTCACCATCTCCAGTTCCGGTTAGCGCCAACCAACCTTATCTGGACCGACTTCGTTGTTCTCGTTTCCACCCCTCGCGCGTCATCCAGACAAACCCAACAAACAGGAAATCATTCACTTTCCCCTCCTTTATATAATCGATTATATGTTGTCCACCATGCTTCGAACAAACCTATCTTCGGCAACCAACGGCTGCAGGGGATCAACAAAACATTGTTCCTGCCGATCCCTCCACCTTGGAACCAGCATCTTTCCTTGCTGTGCGCGCCACGTAGGGTGATAGGATCGTCGTTGCACAGCAATCAGCGGGCCTCTATCCAGGTGGCTGTCACGCCCCGTGGCACAGAAAAAACGCCTCTTTCCCTGCTTTCACCTTGCATTTCCAAACCCATTTCTTGCTCCCAGCTCCCAGCCTCCCGACCCGCCTCTCCCATCACACAACCATCACAACCATCACATTCGTTTTTTGGGCTCCGCACCTCGACAGCTTGAGTCGGAGACATAATCTTTGAATATATCCATCTTTGAATAACAGCATTCCTCTCCCGACAAACATCGAACTGCGACGGCACACTCTCTTAACTCGGCCAAAATGCGCGTCTCCCTCTTCCTCTCCGCACTGGCACTCCAATTCACCGCCCCGGCGCTCGCCCAGGCAGTAGAAGAAGGCATCGCGCCCGACCAGCCTCCGCCCTCGGGCTGCAAAACCACCGTCGACAGCCCCTTCACCATCGGCATCGCCCCCATCGCACCCCACAAGCGAGAAACCGCGCAAGAGGTACGCCGCCCTCATCCCCAAAAGGCGCACTCCCTCTTTTTAAAACCCCGAACAACTAGTACTAACAATAGTTTCCCACACAGGCCTCCGGCTCCTTCCTCACCCTAACCCTCACCGACGGCATCCTCCGCGACCCCTCGAACCGCACCGGCTCCATCGTCGCAAACTACCAATTCCAATTCGACGGACCCCCTCAAGCGGGCGCCATCTACACGGGCGGCTTCTCCGTGTGCGCAAACGGCTCCCTCGCCCTCGGCGCCTCGACCGTCTGGTATCGCTGCATGAGCGGCGATTTCGGCAACCTGTATGATCGCAGTATCGGCGATCAATGCAGCGAGGTCAGGATCGTGGCGATGTTTCCGAAGAAGGAAGGGCAGGATGAGGGGGAAGGGAGTACGGTGATGGGCACGGCGGTGAGGACGGGGGAGCCGGTGGGGTTGTCGAGTTCGATCGTGGGTGGTGAGACGCGGACGCGGACCGATCTTACGCAAATCACGGGCACGAATCCTACGAGGACGGCGCTTGTTACGTCTACCCCGACAGGTGGAGCTGCTGAGTCCTCGCAGACACCGCTTGAGGCTCCGCCGGCCCGGGAGAGCGCGGCGGCCGGCTTGACGGTGGATGTGCAGGGTACAGAGAGATGGGGCATGCTCGTAGGGATTGCGGGGGCGTTGTGGATGCTTTGAGCGGTCAGAGAAGGCCGCGGGAGAGGTTAAATGATGATATGACGTTCTCTTCTTTTGGGTGTATTCGTATGAACATGTACAGTTTGACCGTCTTCGAAGATGGGAGGGAGGAGCGGCGTTTCTTCCGAAGATGCTGGGTTTTGTGTCTACATAGAGGGTTTACTGATGAGGTAGCTAGGCACTAATGCCGTGGCTGGGGGAATGGTAATGATAATGATTGATTCCTTGTATATATTCTCGGTAGAAGAAGCGATTGCGACAATATAGTTCCAGTAGTCACGAGAGAGAAGAAAAAGCCGACGATGCCATTTCAACGATTATATTTATATAAATCCAAAAAGAAGAAGAAAACATATCCAAAATCCTCCGCTGTCCTTCCCTCTCCCTCCATTTACCAAATCCATCCAGATAGACTAAATCCTTCTTCACATGTACAAATTGCATCTCAAATCTGCATCTCCACCCAATCATCCATGCGCGCGTCTATACAGCCCAGTTGAACGAACCCCTCGCCACCGCGCCTATCTGCCGCTGCATCTCGATCTGCTGCAGTTGGAGTTGCGTCTCTTGCTGTATCCGGAGTTGCATCTCTAGCTCCTGCATTTGGAGTTGCATCTCTTGCTGCTGCGATGGGCCTCCTATAGAGGGTTGGGCCTCTGCACCTGGTCCTGGATTTGGACCTCCGCCGCCGGGAGCTGCGGTGTTTACATTCGAGACGGGGATCGGGGCGGAATCCGCGGGTGATTGTGCTTGCTGCTGCTGCTGCTGCTGCGGATGTTGTTGTTGTTGCTGCTGCGGGTGTTGCGGATGTGGCTGAACCTGCTGCTGCTGCACCATCCCCATCCCCGCCGCAGTCTCCCTACACACCCTCTCCAGCACCGCCCTGACCGTCCTGGCCCTCTCCGCCAACCCGGCCATCCCCTCGGCCCCCTTATCCATCTTCGCCAGGTCCGGATGCTGCAGGACGCCAGGCCTATAACTCTCCTCGCAGAACAGCGTCACCATTTTCGCCAGCGAGTCGGGCTCCGCCGCCGCTTCGAGGAACAGCGATTTGTACCACCCGACGCGGTGGAGGGCGGGGATGTAGATGGTGGGTGTTGCCGGGTTGGCGTTGGGGTCCAGGTGGGTGATGGTTAGGGAGGAGGGGGCGTGGATGGTGGGGGTGAAGGGGGTGAAGTTGGGGATTAGGGAGGGGTTGGTGGGGACGAGGAGGTGTGGGATGTTTTCGAGGGTCCAGAGGCGGGCGAAGGCCGAGTATGAGTTGTATGCGAAGAGTTCTACGTAGGGGCATGGGTTAGGCACGTGATGCGAGCAATGTATGTGAGGTGAGATGGGAAAAGGTGGACTTACGAGCTACTTCCTCGGGAAGTTGTTGTGCTTTCCAGCTCTCCAAAATCTTGCTCGCCTCGAGGAGTCCGGTGCCCTTGGGCTCGTACCGCTGATCGAGGGCGTCGAAGATGAGGTCGGCGAGGATGTAGAACTCGCGTGTTGGGAGCTCGGTTGCCGGGTCTGCGATTCTCCACGGGTCTGCGAGAGGGGCATTGCTGATACTGACTGCACGGCGGGGGACGGTGAATCCTTGTTGTGGGCTAGATTGGTTGTCATCGCTGGGTTTGTACGCCTGATATGGCGAAGATGACGCTTGAGCTGGGGTCGATGGGGGTCTGCTCTCTGGCTTCGCCGGTTCCGAAATACTCAAGCTTCCCATATCTGCAGGCAGCTCGGCGATGAAGCCAGTGGGGTCAGGCGGAGGTTCCGAGGACGGAGGTGGCTGTTGTGGATGCTGATCACCTGGGGAGTGCACTGGTGGAGGGCTCATGGATGTGGGAGACTGGACTCCATGTGGTGGTGGGGAACTGACTGGAGATGGCGCACCTGGCTGCGGAACCTGTTGCGGCTGTTGGGCTTGAGTCTGATCCCACTGGGGTTGTTGAGGTGAAAGCTGTTGCTGTTGCTGTTGCTGTTGATGTTGCTGAAGCATTTGCGGTTGGGGTGGTTGATGCATTGGCTGTTGCTGAGGAATCGGTTGCTGCTGCTGAGGCGGTTGCCCCTGACCCTGATATGGAGGCGTGCCAACATTGCCATACTGCTGAAGAGGCGGCGTCGGACTGAATGGTTGTGTCTGGGACGGAGCGGGCGTGGGGATCTGCTGCTGTTGATTGGGATGAGGCGGCACGACTGGGGCTCCGGACATCTGATTGGGGCTTGCACCCATATTCAGAGTTGGAGATTGAGGAGATTGAGCATATCCTGTCTGTGTAACTGGACCTTGATTTGACTGCCCTGCGGGAAACTGAGGAGGGACGCCTCCGCCTTGCCCGGGCGCGAACTGGTTCGGGCTCGGGCTAGCAGCAAATGGCTGCTGGGGAGTTGCCTGACCAGGGACGGCTTGAGGGGTCTGAGGGGGGAAGTAGTTGCTTTGACCAGACTGAGTAGATGCAGGGGAGCCATATGACTGCGGTACCGACGGCTGGGTGCCGTATTGCTGCGGCGGTTGGGCATTATAAGACGGAACCTGATGGGGGTTCTGGTTCGGATTCTGCTGCTGCTGCTGCTGATAGTTCTGATAATTTTCCAAATACTGTGGTGTCGGCTGGTGCAGGGGCTTGTTGCTCGAGAACTTTGATATTGTCTTTCCGATCTTGTTGAGCATGGGCTTGGAGGTTGATACTGCCTGATTGATCATGTTTCCCATTGTTGATCCGCTTTTCCCTGCGTGAGACGGCCCATACGCTGGCTGCGGTCCATATCCTCCAGGTCCATAGGTCGGTTGCGGTTGCGGTGTACCATAGCTGGGTGTAGGCGCCGGGTGCTGGGAGGGGTTTTGAGGCCCCTGATACACGGCCGACTGGTGGGGATTGAAACCTGGAGCGGGAGTTTGTGGAGTTTGAGGGACTCCATAGCCTCCAGGTTGTGGGTTTTGATAATGGGCCATTCTGCTCGCGATATGAACAAATGAGTGATGGGCAGGACAAGACTACAGAAAGCGGATCCCGAGCATATGAATTCAATGCGAGACAAGATGTGGAGGGGACTCAGCCGCAGCCACACCAAATACGAGACTTGGCATCCAGCCCGATGCTGCGCCTCGTTTTGGACAGCCTCATCTCGGATTATTGAAAGCGGCGGGGAGGCTAGAAATCCTTTGCACAAAAAGCTTCTTTTCTGAGAAGGTTGTTAAACAGGATATAGACCCTTGGGAAGGTTGAAATAAGAGATAGGAAGCCTTGAGGGACCCGCACTTGGCTACCGCTTCATCCGCGTCCAATAAAGATGCAGGTATAAAGGGGGTTAGTAAGCAGAGGTATACATAATATTGTGGTCCTGAAAGGTTCAAGCATGCGAAATTGCAGATGAAGCTTTGAAATGAATTTCTACTATACACGTCTTCTTGCGAGGCTGTAAGCTCTGCTAGAATCAAATAGGTCCCGTTGACCAATGCAATCCACCCTAACGCTGAGCCACCCAGCGGGATGGTAACCATGAGCGAGAAGCAGGATCGATCGCTACGGTACGGGCAGCACGTAAAGAGACGCTCGAGTACCATTCATCAAGTGCTGGCACTGTATAAGAATGCAGCTTACGGTGTTATATGGCGTGTCGTCTCTATGCCGGGACCATATGCCACGTATCCAGAGAAATAGAGACAGAGAAGCATCTCGAGAACTTCCTCTCATCAGTGAGGATCCATAGTCGATTAACCCATGAAAGCGGAGGACACCGACGCGGGCACTGCCGCTGCGAGATCAGGCTCAGACGTAGCGAATTCTTCCTGAGTCTCCTCCTCAATGAAGGCTTGGAATTGCCGTTCAGCGCCGGTTTGGGCGGCAGCACTTGAAGCTTCGCCTTCGCCTTCGCCTTCATTATTGACGTCGACATCCATGGTGACGATGTTGACCGAGGTCTCTGTTTCGATGCGCACCTCCTGCTCTTCGACGGGACTCTCGACTTCCATATTCTCTGCGATCTCGATCTCGCCTTCGTTGGCTCCCTCAGCTTCGTCACCTTCGACATCCCCATTCTCTTGAGCATCGTTGACTTCTTCTACTTCAATGAGCTCGAACTCTTCCTGAACTTCGGTGACTCTGTTCTCTTCAGTCTCATTTTGCGCCTGTTCCTCTTCCTCTTCCTCTTCCTCTTCCTCTTCCGCTCCTTCAGCTTCTTCAGCCTGGCGAGCCTCATCCTCTGCCTGGAGCTCTAACAAGCGGTGCTGCAGCTGCGCCACGAACTTCTTCGGAACTTCCATGGTAATATGGCCTCTCTTAGCACGTGTCTTCTTCACTGCATCCCTCGCCGTCTTACGACCGGGCGATGCTGCGGCGGGTGGAGTCGCGTTCTTCGCGGGGCGACCCACGCGCTTCTTTGCCCGTCCACGTCCAGAAGCATCAGCATTGGCCTGCGCGGCTCTCGCAGCAGCCTCCTCCTTCGCCTCCTGCAGTTGTTTGCGATCGCGAAGCTTCGACCTGATGCGAGCATTGACGCGTGGAGGCGGAGCGGGTGCAGCTGCAGCCCTCCGACCGCGTTTCTTCGCTACGCGCACGGGTCCAGCAACCGGAGATTGAGCGACAGCAGTCTTTCGGGCGCGAGGCGACTTGCGTGGTTCCATCATGGAGGGAACGTTCTTAGCGGGGCGACCACCACGAGGGCGACCGCGAGCGGATGTGTTCACTTGCTCGACTGCGTCTTGCACTTCGTTTACCTGCTCAGCCTTTGGTGGACGACCGCGTCTCTTCTGTGCGGGTTGCTCCGTCTCGGTCACCGCTTCGCCTTTCTTCGGCCGGCCACGACCAGATGTCTTTCCCGTCTCAGTGTCTTGCTCCGGTGGAGTAGCCGCCTCGACCCTTGCCGGTCAACCGCGTCTCTTTGGTGGGCTTTGCTGCGCGACTTCAGGTACCGGCTCGCTCTTCCTCGGACGTCCGCGACCAGAAATCCTCGGCTCGTTTGCAGTCGCGTCAACAGGTGCAGGTTCGGCGACAGCGGGCGCGACTTTTGCAGGCCGACCGCGTCGCTTGGGAGTGGTTTGGGCGACAGTGGGCGCTGCGTCGCTCCTCCTTGGGCGACCGCGAGGCATCGCGTGGAATAACTCCGGTAAAGAGAATGAGAAGTGAGTATGCGCGCAATTGATACGAAGATGCGCGTCTTTTCGAGCCGATTTGTTTTAAGGTGAGTTGAGTTGTTTTGGGTGGGCGGAGCTTCGAGGTGAACCTGTTATCCGAGGAGCGTTAGCGTGGGCAAGAGCGGTCAAAGCTCCCATTTGGATCACTAGTGTATTGTACTATTGTATGTCAAGGTAAATTGAAGGTCAGTTGTCCCACCCACGATATTGTTCAGACGTTCGTGAAGAGCGCAAATAACTGGATTGCTTCAGCCCTATAACTTGGCTTTACATCAGCCGTTGTGCCATGTTAATGAAGTGGGGCCTCAATTCGGGGAATATGTATCTTGAAGTTATAGCCGTTAAGCATCAACACACTTCCCATGCCCCACAATTGTATAATCGTAGATGAGGATATGCACGGCGGGAATAGGCATATTCACGTATCCGAACGCTCGGTACAGGAGGAAGGTTTACACCATAGATATAAGAGCCGTCGTGGTCTAAGGACGTGCAAGTTCCTACAACTTGAATTTGACTGATAGAGGGAAAACATGTTCTACGCATTGACCTTTACGCATCTCTTCTCTGCAGCTTCTGCAGCATGTACCCGAGAGTTCCTTAAAGCTGCCACAGACGACTACATCGTTGCTCAAAGTGCCGGCCAACCTAGTGGAGTGACAGCCTTCACAGCTCCCAACCTCACCTACACAGAGAACGCCAAAGCCGTAGACATCACCAAAGGCACCCTGTCCATCCCTATCAAATTCGACTACAACTTCAGTGGCCACGACACACTCCAGTGCGCCGCCTTCACCGAACTCATCGCCGCTACGGATAAACATCCTTATGTGATCCACACTCGGATGGTCTTTGAAAACAGCAAGGCAACGTTGATCGAATCAATAGTCACCGACCAAGGCGACTGGCTTTTCAACGCAACCGGAACCCTCAACCTCGTGAAGCCGGAAACGTGGACCCCGATCCCTCAGGCCCAGCAAGATACACGGGCTGTCATCCAGGCCGCAGGTGACGCATACTTTGACCGCTTCGGCAACACCTCCGTAGTCGTGCCTTGGGGACCGCCTTGCTACCGCGTAGAGGGAGGTTTAGCCGCTAGAGGGACGTTGAGGAGTAATGATTCGTTCTGCGAGATGGTCTGGCCGAGCACGATTATCGTGCCGTACCGGAGATACGTGGTGGATGAGTTGTATGGGGTCGTGGACATGTTCATCGGGTTCCCAGGGTTGGACAGGACGCAGGGACAGGCGCCGATGCCAGATAGCCACCTCTTCAGGATTGAGAATGGTAGGATCAAGTACTCGCACACGGCTTCGGCGTGCGTGAAGGATGGATGCGGGTTGAATGGAACTTTCGGTGGTGGACTTCAGAGGCTGGCAAAGCGGGGTTACAGGAATCGCGCAGTGAGGCTCCAGGGCTGATGGTCGGAAAGTCGAGCATGACTTGGTACCCCTAGGTACGCAACAGACAATAGCATTGCTATACCCGGTTGTCTTCCTTGGTGCGATTGATGTTGGGGGTCCATTTACGTGTGTCCAACCCGGGGGGGACACAGACAGCTTGCTAGACAGAATACCCTCAATCTCTGGCCACATTCCTAGCCGTAGGTCGTCTCTTCAAGCTCGATCTTCCTCACGTGTGCCCCTGGCACGACAATTAGCCCAACATAGCGGCTAGTCCACGAGACCTTCACGGTAGGGTTCCCAGACTCCTCGACGGCTTTCCGAAGGACCTCAGCAGACGGTTCCCGGTACTCGTGAGCCAGACTGAGAATGATGTTTCGGTCTTTGTCGGTGCATTTCAGCTGTCCGCCGAAGACGCGCTTGTCGGAGACGTGGATGCGGAGGTTCTTGCCGATGAGACTGGACAGGTAGTCACAGGCTTCTTTGTTGTCCATGCTGCCTTAATATAGCTAAGTTGCTACGGATTTCTGGTTTCTTTGATCGTGGTATAGCTATCCAAAGCACAGCTGATCGAATTGTTGATTCCAGCGATCTGGTGAGTGAACTGCCTTGGCGTGCCGGGGGTTTGGGAAACCCGCCAAGCCCGGACCTCCGAAACTCCGCAAGGGACTCGGGGGAAATTGCGACTCCAGCTTCGATTGACAGTGCAAGCTCACATCCACCAAACATGTATCTAATACGGCGGAGCGGCCAACCTGCGTGGACGCTTTTGCGGTTACCAGCGCCGATTGTGTGCGGTTCAAGACGCGCATTCTCGCAGAGCCATGCGCGAGAACGAGGTTGGCTCTCAAAGGCGCGCATATCAGCGTGAACAAAAACCCTAACAAAGTGCAGGCAGCCTTCCTGTCTACCTCACACCCTCCAAACCCGAACTCTCCATTATCCTCTCACAGCTGAACTCCAAAGTCCTCCTCCCTCTCCACCTCACAAAAGATCAGGCCAAGCTCGTCTTCAAACCGGAAAACAAGGCCCGCCTCGAAGCGTCCGACCCCATCGAGATTACGCTAGGAAATGTCACGCTGCCGCTGGAGCATATTGACAGGAATCGGGATCAACCGAGCCAATGGGGTACAATCAAGACCATCATTGAAAAGGCGGAGTCGAGCAACGACTGGGAGAATGTGATTCGGATGCTGGAAGGCGTGCGCAGCGCGGGCATTCGCCTGTGGCCGTTCCAGTGGGAGAAGATTGTACGGTCATTGCACGTAGCAGACATGCAGCATCTGGTCGTGAAGGCGGTGCAGCGGGCGGGAAAGACGGGGTTGCGGTTAAGGCACAGCCGCGTCATTCACGCATTGTTTTTGGGCTTCCATGAGAGGGCAGCAAGGTCCGAGTGGGACCCGGCCATAACGGCTAAGATGCTCGATTTCGTTGAGGAGATGGTGTACCGCATGGAGGGGAAGGAACATCTGGGCCGAGAGCCAGTGACGCCTAATGACATTAGGGCGAGTCCGTTCACGATTGCGTACCCGGCGGAGTTGGCTGCGGCCAGAGCCAAAGTGCAGTTTGGCGGGGAGGATAAGGATAGGAAAGTGAGGAGATACGCGTCCAGGCTCATGAATGCGATCACGCAAACGACATGGGGACTAGTAAGCCCGACGAATGGCAGGCAGTAGACTTGTACTGATGTCAAGCAGGGTGTATTGAAGAAGGATTTGGACGAGCTCAAGCAGCTACCCACAGGCACGCAGGAAGAGTATGTGACATTCCAACGCACGACCAATCACGTGCTCCAATACATAGTCGTGTGGAATGCGCTCCGGACGGCCAACCAGGTACTCGGCGACGAAATGCCGTCGGCGGAGAAGGCCCAAACAACCGAGAAAAAGTTGGGAAGGTTGTTGTTGAAAGCTGTGGACACGTTGAAGGAGAAGCGAAGTAATCTACCGGTTCGAGTGGAGGTATCCATGACGGGATGCCAGAAACTCTAGAGGATTGCGAGGAAAAGAATCGCAAGTATGTAGTAGACTGTGCTTATACCTTGTATTATACGCCATCGGGACACACCTAGACGGGTTTGGTGGGATCCTGAGGAAACAGGGTCCCCACGACATGTAAGTAGGCATACAATCATGGGGAACTTGGAGGCTTGAAAGAGTCAGGATATAGGGACTTCGCAGTTGCAAAACACAATGGAGAATGCTCGTGGCTCATAGCCGCTCGAAGCACCATACACGACAGCCTTCTTACTGCCTTTCACCAACAGAAGTCTCGACGCGGCAACGAGGAGCCGCCAAAGGGTCGGTGAAGGAGGCACAACACGGTCATTGTGCAGCAGCCATGCAACTGAAGCGCCTTCGTATTGGCCGTCGTAAGCAGGGAACGGCAGCGCTATGATGTTTTGCAGTCACACGGCGGCCCATGCTACCATTGCAGTAAAGAAAGGGTGGGGTGAAAGAGGGGTAAGCAGGCACAGACAGACATAAATCTTGGAGGGAGAGTTCTTGTATCGAAGGCCGCGGTTCTGCCCAGGTACACTTATAAAGTTAACTACCTGCCGCAGTGGAGTCGAGGGGCGTATCTAAGGGGGGTGGGATCCGCGCGCCTTATAAGTTTTCCTTTTCCTCTCGCCACGACGACCCGTCTTTCTCCCTGCGCCTGTCTTTTCCAATCAAGTTGATTTCGAGCCGCCGAGAAAACAATGGCTCCGGATCATTTCAACGAGCCATTTCCTACCAAGCAGCTCATTATCATAGGTATGCATTCTCTCCTCTGCTTACTCGCTCTTCAAGTTTCTGGTGTTGAGGTGCCCTATGGCGTAGCTGCTAACCCTCTCAACACCAATAGGCATCTGTCGATTCTCCGAACCTATAGCATTCAATTCCATTCTCGCCTACAGCTATGTTATGGTTCAGGACCTGGGCATTCCCGAGAAGGACGCCTCCTTCTACTCGGGCCTGCTCATCTCCGCCTATGCTGTCGCTGAGGCTTTGACTGCACTGGGATGGGGAGCCATCTCCGACGTCTACGGTCGCAAGCCAGTAGCCTTGCTTGGGTTGGGCGGTGTTGCGCTCTCGAGCTTGTTGTTCGGGCTGGCTGGCAACTACTGGGTTGCTCTGTTGGCAAGACTTGTAGGAGGGGCTCTGAATGGGAATGTAGCCATCATGCAGACGATGGTTGCAGAAGTCGTCAAAAACCCTGCCCATGAGCGTGAGTTCACTTCAACATATTGACTCTCAACACAATGGAAACGAGTCTAACACGTATCCAGCACGCGCCTACGCAACGCAGCCCTTCGTTTGGACTCTCGGAGGTATCATCGGCTCTGCCATGGGAGGTTTCCTGGCCAAGCCAGCAACCTTCTATCCGCACCTCTTCTCCCAGGACGGTTTGTTTGGCCGCTATCCTTACCTCCTTCCCAATCTCGTCGCCGCCGTCGCCATCCTTCTCGCCATCATCCAGGGTATCATCTTCCTGGAGGAGACGAACCCCGCCCTTATTGCGCAAGAAGACGACAGTACCATCGATGAACACACGCCTTTGAACCGAGCTCGTCCCCGAGACCGCCGCCTCTCTTCTCTGTCTCGGGCCTCGTTCCGCGACCGGTCCAACAGTGTTCTAGCTGCCATACGAGAAGTCCGGAAACGCCCTTCATTCCTGGAAGAATCCCTCCCTTTGCCAATAGAACAGCGTTTCGATCTTCGCCGCGCCTCCTTTGGGACAATGCATTCTATCAGTCTCCCACCGCCAACCCATGTCATCCCACCTCGGCCTACAGCTGCACCAAAAAGAACCTTCAACTACACCGTAATCATGGTAACCCTCTCCCTGGTCATCATCTGCTACCACCAAATGGCCTTCGTCTCCGTCATCCCCGTCTTCATCCTCGACGAGCCTCACACCGCCTTCGGCCAACTCGACCTCCACGGCGGCCTTGGCGGCTCCCTCCACGAGGTAGGGACCTACCTCGCCGTCAACGGTGTCCTCGCTCTCTTCATCCAGGCCTTCGTTTTCCCACCATTCGTCGAAGCCGTAGGGGTGTGGAAATCCTTCGTAGCCATGATCCTCCTGTATCCGACCTGCTACCTCATCCCGCCCTTCATCACCGTATTCCCGGAATGGGCAGTCGGCCCTGGGGTCTATCTTACATTCATCTTGCAGGACATCTACGGGATTATAGTGTTCCCATGTGCTCTCATTCTGCTGAAGAACGCGACGCCAAGCCCGCTGGTCCTGGGTCGCGTCAATGGCATGGCCATGAGTGCGTGTTGTCTTGCTCGCACCGTTTCGTCGCCGCTTGTGGGACTGGTGTACTCCCTGGGGGGAAGCGCGGTTGCGTGGTGGAGTCTTGCCGGGGCGGCGGTTGTCGGCGCCGTGCAACTATGCTGGGTGCCGAGAGAGGGGGTGGAGAAGGTCTTGGTCAAGAGTGTCATTGGCAAGGTTGCAGATGAGGGTGCCGGGGGAAGAAGGCGAAGGGAGAGGCTGGGGCTGGAGGAGGATGAGGTGCAGAGTGAGGTGTTCGATGATTGAGGAAGGTGGAAAGTATGAGGCGGAAGAGAGGAACGAGAGAGAAGATGGTACTGGAGTCGGCATTATGGGTAAGGCTGGATGATTCTCTGGTACACTTGACGCTTTTCAGCACTTCGTATTCCCTGGCGTACAAGCGCAGCATATCCTATGCATCTGCATATCTTTATATCTCTCCCTGTACTTCGAGCCTTTAGGTCTTTCTATTCCGGTCTCATGAGCGATGCATTTCTCTTCTCGTCTATCTCAGCTGTCTCTATTGTCTCCTTTACTTTGCGGTAACTTAGGGGCTAGATATCCCAGGCAGAGGGGTGTGCATTGGGTCTAAGCAGTGTTGAGCTAGCATACGACAAGAGATGTACAGCGCATCAGCTCTAATCTTAACTCGATGTCTTGCGTAATATTGTAGAAGGGGATGATCACGTGATCCGTTCACACTTAAAAGTTCCCAGGTCGAAAAGGTCGTGCAATCTATTCATATACCAGTATAATTACCATTGGAAATGTCCCCATGTTGACAGAAGAAAGAGGTCTGCTGCATCGTGGGTCTTACACATGTGATTACGTGCCACGCCCAGATCAACAAATTACCCAATCGGGATAGCGCTGCTCTCAGAGGAGGGAGGGGCATACATACAGTAGTCTTCAGCCTTCCACAAGCAGCCTTCCACAACCACCTCCACAATCGACGGTCTCTGTCAAGCTTCTTAAACACTCACTTTTCCATTCATTTCTACTGAGCCAGCTGAGTCCTTAAATAATGGAGGCCGTAATGGCTTTCCCATCCTACCTCAGCCGCTACATCGATCTCGGCTTCGACTCAGACGATGTGTCTGCCCTAATCGACGACATAGACGCCAGTGATCTCGAGTACAGCGAATCTGAATCTGAATCCGAATCCACACTACTCCGCCTCCCCGCCGAGGTCCTGCTCAACGTCCTGGAATTCGTCCCAATCGGGCACATATTGGGCCTCCGCCTTGTCTGCAAGGCCTTCCGGGACTGGATCGATACTCGCGTGCTGTACTCGTATCTCCCGCGCACTCAGCTTTACTTCTACGCGGGAGGTGCTGGTGTTGAAATTAAGAGCGAGAAACGGGCTGAGGTTAGATGGATCACGGCTTCGTTTTCTCACCTCGAAACACCTGCGTGCTCTATAAACACTCAGCCAAGGGCGAAGTGGTCGTCTCCTACGGCGATATTCCGACTTGACCCGAACGGTCATTGGATGAAATCCGTTCTGGACATTGGAGATCCGAAAACCATCGAGGAGCTACTTGATCGATTACCCGAAGTAGCTCGCGACCGTACCCCAGGCTCCTTCGCAAAGCCAGGCTGGTTCATCAAAGTAGACGAAGCTGTCTTCGACCTGGACCTGGGGAGGAAGAAGAAACCCAGTCCTGAAATGCACGTAGACATGGAGCGCAACTTTGTCCGAGTGCGGTGGAAGACGATGCTGAAGAATCTGGCCAAGTCCGAGGCGCGGCTCATCCAGATGTTGCAGGAGCAGCCGGTTTGCGGTTTCACGTTTAGTCATTTTGAGGACTGTTTGCGTACGGTGCGCCGGCAGCGAGTTGGATACCTACTTGATCATAACGATAAGGAGGATCGGATGATGGCGTGGCAGCTCAAATTCCTTCCACCGCTGTTCGGGATACCGGATCACAATAAGGGGAGGCCGGATCCGCAATTCGACCTGCTTCCGAGCGAGGAATACGCCATTAAGCACCTCCTTCGCTTTCGAAAGGAAGCGGCAATGAGCGAGAAAGAGCGCAATCGCCTTTTGCAATTGGCAGAGGATAGAAGGACGATGATGAAGGAGATGCAGGAACTCCAGAGACTCTTCGTTGAGTGGAAACTGGATATGTACGACGCTGATCTGGAGCCGACGTCGTACTACTTGGTGTCGCTGCAGAGAGAGGATGTGAACAAGTTTGTCGAGCTGCCGTCGAGCCCGTTTGCCTGGTCCGATGAGACTATCGCGAAAGAGGAGCGGCGTATCGCAAGGTGGCGGAGTCAGAAGGGGATTAGGATGAAGATGATGGATTTGCTGAGGGAGTCGCATGAGGCGTTGAATGTGCCTGAGGATGCGTTTGATGATCCTTTTAGCGATGGGTGATGTCGAAGGTTTATTGGTATCGACTGCGTTTATGCTGTCTTTTACCTCGAAGTCTCTTTTCTGAGGTTACTTGCCATATGGCTGATAAGTTCCGAAGCCTAGGTACAGATGTACTTTTGTTGGGGGGATGTCACGGATTCGGGATGTCGAGGGGTGGGGGCAGCCGCCAGCGTCACTCAACAGGCTACACAGGATACATCCTCTATCAGAAATTTGGGTCCTCACATTCGCTACCGTTTTACGACCAACCCTACGGGCATGCTCCGGCGACAAGAGCTCTCACTGCAGCGTTTTGGATTCGTCGGCCATCACGCCGACGAATGGACTGGCTGCGCAGCATGCTCGCGATCGACGAGATCAAGAAGCTTCTTGGCCTTGAGAAACTACAAGGACAAGTCATCCATACGCTCGAGATGCCCGTATTCGCGCGGTGCATTTTTTACTGCATAAGCATCTGGATAGGGGAGGGGTTTACGGTGCCTGGTTTGCAGGGCTTATGATATGTTGTGTAAGAATATCTGCGGGTATGTGACGGCAGAGAGGGTGCACATTCTTGCCTGATTTCTGAAGAGGGAAGATTTATAGGTTTGCGGAGTACATATAGGTACGGTAAGTCCGTCCGAGGGATGGAGTGGAAGCGGGATGAGACGAGCCGTGCTAGTAGTGGAATGAATTTGGATTTGGGGTTTGGAAGCATGGTTCATGAAGGTATATCTTGGTTTTTTTTATCTTGCTTCTTAGATGATGGAATTGTTTAACGATGGAGGGTGTTTTTCTTTGTTCTCGCGTGTTTGGATGTAGCCTTTCTGTTGGTGTGCAAGTGGTTGACAAGTACAAATGTAACGGAGCTTTTTATTCATTGGTATGTTGAGCTTGCACCGGTAAGGGTGGTGGTAGGCATCATCCAGATGATCGATCCAGTGGGGGTTGTGAGATTCCTTCTTTTCTTTCCCCTTCTTGTTTCCCGCGCTGACGGCCTCGCTACCTGATTTGTCAAGTGTCGTGGATAGACTGCGTCAACACATCTAGTTTTTCTGCCCTCTAATGCAGTAGTAGGTGCGTGCTTTTTATCCGCCGCTTGCTTGGCGTGCAAGATCGACTCGAGGGACTTCGGGTTGTGTACCGGGTCTTCGAGGTACTGTCCTCTTTACACCGGTGGTGTGTTTGTGTCGTGCGTGGTTCACTAATCAGACTGGCTGCAGGTGGGGATGGTATAGATATGCATGCATGTGGATATATATGTATGTGCAGGGGGAGAGAGCGGGACGCGTTGAGTTGATAGATAAAATGTTGAACGCAGGCAAGCTACGACGGTGCAAGTATCGACGTTTAGTATAATTCAATGTCGACGGAGTCAATATGAGAAGCGAGCGTTTGAGAGGACGAGTCCCTGAAATCTTTCAGAGCGGGCTTCAGTCTTATAAATCGAAGCGACAGGGACGGTGTTGTTCAGGATCGAGTGTGTACCGCCTCCTCCCACGTCCGACTGAACAACCCCCTGTACTTCCAATCCAAGCTAGAATACGTATTTCAAGAAATCCAATTGACTATATTCTAGTTACGCCACTAGGGCACGGTGAAAGGAAGGAACATGAAGAACAATAAGCTCAATCGTACACTCCGGCCGCGCAACCCTAGAATGCCCACCGGTTCAGAAATCTAAATCTCATCGACGTTGATATCCAGCCGCCACTCGGGCCTCCCGTACTTCCACTCATGGAAGGGCACCGTGCCAGGCATCTCCCTGCCGTCACTCAGCCTGAGCCTGGGATACGATTGATCCGTCCAGACATATCTGGCCCCCTCATACGGATGTTTAACGAGCCACGATCTATCTGTGGGTTGTGCTTCTTCACCGACCCGGCCGGGAACTACTTGGGGTAAGCCTAGGAACGAACGGCCCAGCTGCCACAGTGACGCTCGCAGCGGCGCAAGGAGGGACGAACCTGAGTCTTCCGCATCCGCTGTGTCCTGAGTAGACGCTTCTTGCTCGGGCACGATACAGTTGTCGCGTACCTTGTCCTCCAACTCCTGGTTGACGAGCACGAGAGCCCCGCTGTGCCAGCCGGCCGCGCTTACGCTGAGTGCGAAGTGCGCTCCTAGCCCGTCGTCGTCCTTGATATCCAGATTCCGATCCCAGTCCCGGGCCTCTTGTTCAATCCACTCGCTGACCTCACCCGCCACAGAGGGGCCACTCTCCACCCAGTGCCATCTTTCGGCCGCTTCGTCGGGGTCCGTGCCTCCAGACTCGAGGAACTCGAGCCAAAGGAACTTCTCTCGCTGGAACCACACTTCGCGGCCATGTGTATAGGCGTGAGGAACAAGCTGTCGATCGCCAAAGACACGGTTGAAGCCCCGTAGATAGCGGCCGGACAGGCCAAGTGCGCCGCAGTGACGGAGTTCTTTCCCGTACGACGTGATTCTCCCATTGGAATGGAGTGCGAGAAAATGGTAGTCCCCGAAAGCCACGGAAATGACATCCCCCTTCTGCAGTGCCGGGATCTTCTGCAGCCCCGGTATATCTGCATTATTTGCATGGACCTCGTGACGGACACGCCAACACGCCTCGAGATAGTCCTGGTTGGCGGTTATGACCTCGCGGTTCTTGAAGACGGCGAAACGTCTAAAGGAGCCTTGGACATCCGTGGGTGTGTCGCTTTCGTTGCGCAATGCTTGCAATTCTATTACCTCTGGCACTTGATTGTGGTCCCCAAACTTGCCGCAGAAGACTCTGCCGATATCCGTGACGAACACGACGAAGTGCTCGAGGATGATGTAGTTCAACACGACCCCGACCTCTGCTCCTAGCGCACGCTGTTCTTCGCTCTCCTTCGCGGCGCCTTTTGGCCTTTGATAGCCGGTTCTAGGCATCTCGGCGGTCTGCATAACCAGGACCGTGTCTGCCTCGTTCTCGCCAGGCCTGCGGCTCACTATGTCCCACACAACAATTCCTATGCCGTACACGTATGCGGAGCTACGACTCCAGCCTGCGACCACCTTCTTTACACGGCCGAAAAGGGGTTGATTTGCCGGCGACGACTGTTGCGAGGAGGCTTCAGTCAGGTCGACATCAAGGAACTTTACATGCAATGCTGGCTTCTCTGCAGAATACCACGACCAAATGCGACCACTGTCCGAGAGACCCAGGATATGCGATCTGCCGGCGGAGAACTGTCGAATGGAGATCGTTGGCTCCTCATAGGAAATAGACCAGCTGCTGTAGGGAACGCGAACAGGAAACCGTAGACGCTGAGGCCCCGAATTGCCAGTTTGTCGTGTCACTAATTCCGTCTCCCCATTGAGAACGCCAGCCGTGTGCAATGAGCCTTTGGAGGTAAGTATTGTGGTGGACCAGCCACCACATTGCAAATCCGCTATGATGCCAGGTATATTTGTAAGGTCCATCTGCCCGGGACCTAACGCATTGCGGATGAATATGGAGTGGCCTAAGCGGCCTTGACCAGCGGCTCCCCACGTAAAGACACGGCTTTGCGTTTGTAATCTTCTGTAAAGCTTTTGCCATAGTGCACCGTTGTGCTGAACGACTGGTTGGTTGGGGACTCGGAATGTACTACGGGTTACATAGCTCCAGTAGACAGGGTCCAGGCGTATGGAATCTTGGTAGAAGGCTTTGCAACTGCTGCAGAGCGCGAGGAAACTTCTGACATCCAGATAGGGGACCACGAGGACGAGAATATCCAAGGGTAGGTCAGTGATTGAGGACGGCCGCGGCCGCTCCCCGGAAGCCATGTTGATGACGAGTGTGTGTCGTCGAGTGGCGATATCAGAGTGGATTTTGGGAGTATCAGCATCAAAGGTCGACGTTATAGCTGTAGGCGTTGTGTGAATTATCTTGGAGTGGAAAGTGTATTGTGGTTGTTGTTCTGGAGGGAATCCAGCTGCCTGATGACGCAGGGTTCCTGGGGAACTTATAAAAGACGCTAAGCCGAAAAGGTGATAGCGCGGGGACGATTCATCTGAGTCAAACTCACGACCTTTAGGTTACGCTTCTCTACACATCTTGCCCAGTGTCCTCCAATAAACCACAACCTCACACTTCCCCCGTCGCCATGAGTGAGCCGGTAGCTGGTAACCCGGTGCAGGCGTCTGACACCACCAACGGAGCCTCTGCTCCCCCACCTGAAACTGGCGCCACGAACGGATCTCAAACTCCCAGTAGTGCAGGCGCGCCAGCACCCGGCCCTGAACCAAAGAAACTCTCAGCTGCCGAACTGAAGAAGCAGAAACAGGCGGAAAAGCAAGCCAGACGAGCCCAGGCAAAAGCTGCAGGTCCTCCAGAAACTAACCCCCGAGAGATTTCAGCAAAAGAAAGCCAAAAGCAAGTGAAAGATTCAAAGCAAGCTTCCAAAGATGGCAAGTCTAAACCAACCCCCCCTTGGAGAAGACCTTCTCAACCCACTGTTCCGGTATTCAAGGATGCAAAGAAAGAGGCCAAGGACTCGACCCAGGGAAAGAAACTACCTGGACTTTTCTTCGGACATCTCTACACTGAACGTCGGGAGCATTCCGTGACCGGAGCCACAAAAGGTGTGCATCCCGCTGTGCTCGCCCTTGGTCTCCAGTACAGCAGCTATGAAATCTGTGGAAGCACTGCTCGCCTGGTTGCTATGCTCCTAGCCTTCAAGCCCGTCATCGAGACATACGAGACCCCCGAGGGAACCAGTCTGGCACGACATTTCATTTCCCATCAGCTCAGCCCACAGATAGACTACCTACGGAGTTGTCGCCCACTCAGTGTCGGCATGTCCAACGCCATTCGGTGGTTGAAAGATGTCATCATCAAAATCGATCCTGCGACGGCCGAAGAGGACGCGAAGCGGGATATTCTCTCGAGTATCGATGACTTCATTCGCGATCGGGTGACGGTCGCAGACAAACTAATTGAGGAGTACGGCGAAAAGAAGATCGAAGACGGCGATGTTATCCTGACCTATGCCGCTTCCTCCATCGTTGAGAAGACCCTCATCCGCGCACACAAAGCTGGTAGATCATTCTCGGTTATCGTCGTGGATTCAAAGCCGCTCTTCGAAGGCAAAAGACTGGCCAGGAAACTCGCATACCACGGCCTTTCCGTCAAGTACTTCCTTATCACCGGCGCTTCCCACGCAGTCAAGCAGGCAAGCAAGGTATTCCTCGGTGCGCACGCTATGATGTCCAATGGCAGGCTCTACTCACGCGTTGGCACCGCTGGCGTTGCCATGCTTGCGCACGCACAGTCCCTCCCCGTCATCGTGCTTTGCGAGTCTGTCAAATTCACCGAGCGCGTTGCGCTGGACTCCATTGTAGGTAATGAGCTCGCACCAGCCGAGGAACTTCTCTCAGAATCCGAAAGAAAAGACATGCTCCCGCTGAAACCATATTTGCCTTCGGGACTATTGGCCAGACTTGGTGCTCCAGAGGGAGAGGGAGACGGGGAGAAGAGAGCGGAGCCGGGAGACGTGGTGAAATGGATTGAAGGGGCGGAAAACCTTCAGATGTTACAGGTCCTGTACGATGTCACGCCAGCGGAGTACATTGACATTGTCGTGACCGAGCATGGCAGTTTGCCGCCGACCTCGGTGCCGGTGGTGCAATTCATGAGCACAGATAAGAAATGAAAGACCCGGGGCTCTTTATGGTTATGGTGTACGGCGTTGTGGGCTTGTAATGGCATGGTTCATGACATGGAACGACGACACACACCAACGAGGATGGTTTTTAAAAGTCATGGGCTTGGGATGAATTTGGTTCTACTATTCCCTGATGCGAGCCATCAGCCAGCTCCATTTGGACTGGCGAGGAGCCGATTTCCTTTTGAGGATGTACCGGTACTAGTGATTATCAATCTTGAGGACTGTATGTATGGCCCCCGTGCCTGGCGGGGAATGAGAATGATCAAGGTAGAGAAATATACCTTAGTGATCTCTAGCCATCGAGTCCTAGAGTCCCTCTCAGACATCGTGACTTTTGCAACTCCTCAGAGTTGTAGCCGTGACTGCAATAACCCTCCAAACGCTGGCTTTCAGTCTTCATGACCTTCCTGGTCTACTCAGTTAGCGCATAAATAGCGCTCCTTGATACAGCTCCCTTCTACTTCCTCCTCTCTTTCACCGAGGCAAGCCACCCCCCGCCGCACCGCCTCTCCTCGCACCCCCCGCGCCTCCTCCCCTCCTCCCCTGCGCCGTCCCCCTCGCCAACGCCGTCGCCAACGCCGCCGTCCTCGGCTCAGGAACCGCCTCCCTCCTCCTCAACGCCAACACGACATCCTCCTCCCTCCTCCCCTGCAACACCCCGCTCATCCCCATCCGTGCACCCATCCCCGCCCCCGCCGTCGCCGCTCCCCCAACCTCCCCACCCCTATCCGCAGGACCCCTCCTCACGAGCTCATCTAACCCGAGATCCCTCCACTCGACCTCCTTATCCGGCTGCGTGGCGATCTGGATGCCGAAGAGGGCGCGGTTCTTGCTGAAGATGGATTCCTCGCTGGGGAGGTCGCGCTCGAGGTCGGCGGGCAGGGAGATGGGTTCGGGGGAGAGGCGGTCTTCGTTTTGCGTGAAGCGTTCGAGGAGGTCGGCGTGGTGCGAGGCGTGGAAGTGGAGGTAGGTGGCTGTTGAGTCGCGGGACTTGTTGGGAAGGTGTTAGTTGAAGGGGTTTGTGAGGGGGAGGGGAAGTAGGATTTGTGATTTGTGCGTACCATGGTTGTAGTGTGGTGGGTGTGTGGTGTTTGTGTGTTTGTTCGGGGCCATGGGGGAGGTTTGGGACGGTGCCAAGACCGTCTACGGTGAGGTACTGTATACCCTTTTCCAACAGCTGCAGTTTAATTACACAACATTTTACTATTAGAAATAATCCACTACAATGAACGAGGCGCTTCAACGACCTTAGATTTACTAGGGTTGTCTTTGTAATTCTCTAAAAAAACCTAACACAGTACTGCGTCTTTTCACATCCGACTGAACAGCAGGGGGTCGCAGGGGTATATCTGACGCTGTAATTGGCCTGACAGCGCCTCCTCCCAGGTATAATCAGCCTTAAAACACCGTGCTCTACGGAGTAGTGGCGTAAACCAGACTGTAGCCAATTGAAATAGTTGAACTAGGTGATCTAACTCAGAGCAGCGGTACAAGGGGTTGTTCAGTCGGATGTGAGAGGCCGCAGTAGGTCTGTCTTTGATACCCGAGGGTAGTTGCTGCACCGTTATGGCCTCGCGCGTCGCCTTGATTCGCGCCTGCTATACCACAACTACACAGTATCTGCGCTTCTCTTACCTTCAACACTCCGACTCTCCTACAATCCAAGTCTTCGCCCAGATTGGCAAGCCACTCCCGGATCAAGCCTGAGAACCGCAATGCAAATCAGCATGGACTCGCAGGACGATTCGGACAGTCCGGAATCCATCGAGGACACTTCAGACAGTCAGGGCTCCATCGAGGAGGTCCCAGAGAGGTGGCGGTATCTGGAACTTTGCTGCCAAATATGCGGTGTGAGTTTCAATATCATAGAGGGATACAATGGCCACCGCATTTCCGCGGACGAGATGAGGGCATGCACTACCGCCCAGTTCCTTGTCTCTAAACGGCTGTTGTGGGACCCTGTGTGGCATCCCGACCCGGATGACGAGCAGTTTGAAGGCGGTGAACACTTTCTGAGTGGCCTCTCCGATCGAGTCCCAGAAGTGAATCACCGTCATCGACCCGACCTATGGCCACGACGCCAAGGAATACCTCACGTCCCTACATCAAACTATCTCTGGAGCCGGGAATCTGCGGACGTGGTCTGTATGCCGTTTCATCCCTATTGTCTAGAGGTCTATAAAAGGGCAAGCCTACGGCGCTTCGACACGTTAGGCATCGGACCTTTGACTGATTGGTATCGCCTGGAGAATAGCATTAGGGGTTTCTTTTCATTTCCAAGACATCTGGCGGTATGGCGAGGAAGAGGGGACACATGGCAGCATCACTCCGGTGATGAATGGCTAGCCGCGAATCCATGCTTTATCCCTTCGCTTCCGCCGCTGTTGGAGTCTTGCAAGTTTCCGGAAACGACTGTCCCAGACAGCCCTGGTAATACAAGGTTGAACGATTCACCACCTCACAACGTATTCTCTCGCCTGCCTATAGAGCTTCACCTTGAAATCTTATCCTACCTTGGGGGTCTGGATGTTGCAAATCTTGTTCAATCCAGTCGAACTTTCTGGCTCCTGCCACCGTCCTTCTTCTACGGGCGTTTGCTGCAAGAAATGCCCTGGCTCTGGGAAGCGTGGTGCGATTTACCGTATTCCTTCTGGGCTACGACGACCAGCGCGGAACAGGAGGCCGTAAGCCGATACTGGGAAAGGCAGCGCTCTGATCTTGCCGACTGGAGGATTCCCGTGTTGGTGGAGGAGAGCCAGCACTATGGAACGGATGATCTGGGCCCTGCAATATCACATCTAAGAGCACAGCTCACCGCTGCCAAGCAAGAGGAATTCAAGCAACGTCGGCCTCAGCCAGCATATCTCCTGCCCAAGACTGAGGTGGATTGGAGGCGACTATTCATATCCATTTCGCGAAACCTTCGGGAGATCAAGGGTTTGCGAAACCGCGCAAGAATATGGGCGGATTGTGAGTATATCCTAGATAGGATTGAGCTGCACCGCGCCAATGGCCGGATGGGAGATGGAACCGTTAGTGAGATTGGTGATTTTCAAGGAGGCACAGAGGTTGAGGAGGAGGAGAATTTCAGTGAATAGAGGTCAGCCTACTGACCCATCATGTATCAGTAGCCGAACCACTAAGGGTGGGAGTGGGTGTCTAGGCATGGGGGTTCAAGTCCCCTCATCCGGTTCCTGCTGTTGGTGTGCCCTAGCCAACCTACTCCCTCAGCAGGGTGCTAGCACCCTGCAGAATAAAAGCTCATTCTAGCCGGATGGGAGAACGAACCCGTAGTGACCCTGTGGCGGTCGCTGGGGACTACTTTGCGGAGAACCCAAGCCATCGATGTGTTACCTATCCATATTAAGTTCTATTCAGAGTAATGCTACCTCTGTACGAGCCGCTCTCTCATGGTCAATTCTTGGACTTAAAGGATAAATACTTTAGCGGTATAAATGCTGCTGGTGTTTCAACGAGTGTCTGTCCAGATGACTACTGTTGTAGAGACCCAGGCTAACAGGCCGTAAAACCCGCCCACTCGGCGTACCATCCCCCATATCTAAAGGAGGTTCAAGGGCAGTTGGTCCGACCCATCACTTTACAGATTGCGCATGCGGTTATTCGTTAGCCTAATAAGAGGTTATACGGCCTAGTATGCAACAATTTTTCATGCTGCAACAGCATTTTGGAGACGATGCAGGAGAGCTGTACATGATGGACGTAAGCGTTTGTGCATACAGAGTAGAGAGTACGCACGGTCAATGGCTTTGGAGGTACATGGGAGAGAAATGAGTATGATACGCATCAAAGGGGGAGTATCTTTTGTGTTGACTTTTGCATGGAGGGTTGTTAGAAATTATAACATGGTTTGGTGTGGAGACAAAACGATATGGGAGTGTATATGGGATTCCTGACACAGCTTGTAGTCCATTACCTTAAAAGGAAATTTTGTTGCACAGGCCCGGGTTTAGCGATTTTCAAGGACAGATGGATGCATAACGTCATTGTTTCAATCCCCTTCCTACATCAATCTTCGCCCTATAAAGTACTGTGTACTGTCTTACTGTGTACAAAGGAATCTCAGATTCACTCTCAAAGCCAAGATGCACACAGTTGTAGTACTGTATACGGAGTAGTTCTCCATGACATGTTCCTAGAATGTTCCACGCCAGGACGTTGCCCTTCGGGCCCGCATAACTGTTATAGAAACTCCGAATCCCTCGGACAATTACTCAGCAAACCCCCGGACGACTTCGCCAAATCCCATCATCCAGACTTGCCATGCATGCTCCTTTATCGTGTGATTACAAATCCCCATCTCCACCTCAACTCCATCCGTCTTCCAATCATCTAACCGAATCCCTGTTTTCGAGCGTTATACTGTTCCTGGTACCAGTATCACTGGTAACCCGATGAAATGGATACTGTGGACTTCCTCGGTGTCAAACAACCCGCGGATTCTGAACCTATATAGTAAATATGCGAGCTCTCGGTGTCTCTGGCATGTCCCCCATGAATAATTCCGTTCAAGAATTCACTCCGTCCGTTTCGCATCCCACCCGAAATCCTGTTTCTCGAATCCCATCGTTATATCACGGTAACCGGTGTGGTGGATACATCCCTCGGTTCAGGCCCGCGCGGTGTAAGTATAAATATGCATGATATCTCCTGCTGTGTTACATAGCCTCATAGTATCTCCAAAGTCCCTCATTAATAGTTCCCTTCAACTCCTGCATTTATATTCAATCACATACTATTCCCACCTATCGTTTCTGAAATCCCCTCAACCTCTCCCAATCGTAAAAACAAACACACAATGCCACAAGCCCGTTGCAACTGCGGCGCCATCACCGTCGAGGCTGCCTCCGCCCCCAAGGACCCTATTCTCTGCTATTGGTACAGCCCCCACTCTTCCCTCCTATATCATATGCCTTAAATCCGTGAATACTAACAACCCCACCCCCAACAGCTCCAACTGCCAACGCTCCAGCGCCGGCCTCTGCAGCGTAAACTACATATTCCAAAAACCCGACGTCCAGATCCACGATCCGAGCGGTGCCCTGCGGAGCTATAGGGACGGCGACACGAGGAGCGGGAATGTGCTTACGCGGCAGTTTTGCGGCGTCTGTGGGAGGTGAGTATGTGGATTGTGTGATGTACTAGTAGTGATGAATTGTTTTGTTGTTTGCTTGCTCGGGTGTATTCGGGGAGGTTATTTTTGTCATAGGAATGGTTTTGAGCGTATCTGCTTGGAAAGAAAACACCGAAGGAAAAGGCAATGGCTAACGGAACCACACAGTCCAGTATCCACACTTCTATCCGACGACTCCCCCATCATAGTCATCAAAGCAGGCCTATTCGACGGCCCGCTCCCCGAACCGATCGACGAGGTGTGGACCGAGTCCAAGGCGGCGTGGATGAAGATCGTCAAGCAGGAAAGAGGGGAACGGGCGATGCTGTCCTGAGGTGCTGGGTGCTTTGTAATGAAGTGGGATGGAGGTTATAGATTGTGAAAGGGGAAGGAGAGAGTGAGAAAGGGGGCGATGCTGTGCTGAGGTCCTGGGGGCTTTGTATTGAAGTACGATAGAGGGCAAAGCTCGTTGGGTAGATTTCGACTCGGCTGAAAAGCGAGATAAGGCTGCTGCTGTGTTAAGACTGGATGTCAATGCAGTTCGTTGGTCTTTTTACTAATGTTTCTATTTCCCCTGTCAATGCTAGCCCTATTCTTCGACGCTTAGCTACGCGAAGAAAGATATATGTCTTACAGGTGTTGTCACTTCCGGGACGGAATGGCACGCCGACTCTTATTACCCAATACTACCGCAAAAATCACATACTCATCAGCAACCAAAGCCGCAAGAAACCCCGCGATGCAATCAACAACGCCCGTCAATTCAAACCGCTTCTCTACATAAAAAAAATGCCCACAACGCCCCCTCATAAGCAACACCCCATACCATTCATAATGCATCCCTCCCCCTTCCTTATGCCACATAACTATACCCACCATCCTCCTCCCTCTCCAAAAACTCCTTCTCAATCAACTTCTCAATATTCCGCTTGATCCCCGCCACATCCAGCGTGCCCCTCTCCTTGGTCACCCGGATCGTCTCGGCAACCAACTCGTTGTGCCCAATCTTCTTCCTCGCCTTGAGGATCCGCACAATGGCTGCCTGCGTCTCGTAATTCCTGTCGGCCGCCACGCGCTCGTGCGTCTCCTTGTTCTCCTGCTGCGTTTCCTTGAGCTGCACCGTGTTGATCTTGATGCGGTATTTGGGGTCGGTGAAGGAGGCGTTGAGCGTGAAGGTGTCGGTCGGGGAGATGTCGCGGGATTTGGGGTGTTTGGTTAGGGGCCGGAGTTTGGCGCAGGCGAGGGATTGGAGTGTGCGGTTGAGTTCCGCGGGTGCTATCACGGTATGAATAAGCCTGGTCGTAAAAATCAAGTTGTAAAGGGGCCAGAGACTTACGCAAACCAGTAGCTTCCTTGATGTAATTGTAATCTAGATGCTCGTCCAGCTTCACCCCGTTGAAGAGCAGCAGCACAATCGCCTGGAACGACGAGACGATAAGTTCCTTCCTGCCTTGCGGGAAGTTTGCCTTGACCTGGCAGTGTGCGAGATGATGCTTCCAGTCCAATTTGCGGTTCGAATGCTTCGACTTGTAGTGTGCTTCGAATCTATCAATGACGCTTTTGATGTGCGGGGGAATGATGACAGGGATGGTGGGATAGGTGGGCCATGCCGAAGACGAGAGGATGTTGACGTTGAGATCGAGGGCTTGTTTCTCGCCGCGTTCTTCAAGGATGGATTTGTACGACGACATTTCTTCGCGCGAGAGCTCGACGTCTTTGAACATTTGCTCGAGGTTGGCTGTGAAGCCGGCGCCGCATTCTAATTGGGGTGTCAGTGTCCGACGCGAGGATGGAACCAAGGATGAGAGACGTACCGGTCTTGAGTCTTGCCAACATGCTGCGTTCTGCATCGGCGCTGGCACTCCTACCCATCAACAGTCGTCTGGAAAGGTCGTTCTTGTAGAACGCCTCAAAAGTAGCTTTGCCGTGCACGAAGCGGAACAGATCGAGCACCTGGTCAAGCTGATTATTGACCTCAGCATCCTCATCCAAAGCCATGTCCTCATTATCCTCCTCAGCATCCGCCTCGGGTGCAGCGGGTTCGGCCGTTTTCCGGATCAACTTGGCTGGAATGGCCTTGGCCCCGCCGCGAAGTAGTTTATCGACGTATTTGGCAATCATCTCGGCGGGTTTCGAGTTGTCTGTTCCCCAAGTGGAAGCCGACTTCTTCGTCTTGTTCATGAAGGCTTCGAAACATTCGCGCATAGCGTGGCCCAGCTCCTGGTTGCGCATAAAGGAGACCTTCCAGATATGATCGAGCTGGCGCTTCAGAGTAAGCAGCTTGACAACCATGTCATCCTGCTCTTTCTCGTCGAAGACTATTGCAGTACCAGTGTCCTCAATCCACTTCGTGAATGCCGGACGAAGACTCGTTCCACGCTTGCGACGCTCTAGGAGCCTGTAGAGACGCTTCAGATCCTCAATGGAATTGTCCTCGAGTAGGTCGGCGATGTCATCAGCGTTGGCTACAACACATAGGTTAGCTCTTATTCCATTTGAAGGTAGATGGGGATGGGCGCACTCAGTCGATCTTCACGTCCGGAAATCAACAAATCTTCCAGGAGCGTCAAAAGGTCACGCCTAGTCGACCCGTCCAGATTGAACTTCTGCACCCTGTCCATCTCTCTCTCCATCAACTCGGTTGCCTCCTTGACATACGTTGCCAAATCCTGCTGCGTACTTTCCCGCTCAGCCCACGCATGGATGTACTCTTGGCTGAGCTGCAGCATCCGCGGCTCGAAATATTTGGTATACACTCCAAGCAGGTGGAACATGTCGATGGCCTTTTGGAACGTCTCTCTGTCCATATCCTTTCCCTCCCTGTCGACGGAGATCAGCTCGCATGCTCCGTCGATGATGCGCCTTTCGAGTTCTGGGTCTCTGAAAATGCCATTCTTGAAGAGGTCGATGGCGAGGCCGCGCAGCGATCTACGCTCAGGAAGCAGGTAAGAACGGTCGAGGTAGCAGAAGATCCACTCTATGTATCTCTGTAACTCGTCAGCTCGATCATATGGATTAGCAAACAGTTGAACCTACCAACTGCTCCATCCACGTCGCCCAAGCATGCAACGTCGCCCTCAAAACATCCACATCTTTCAACCCCTTCGTCTCCTTCACCCTCCCTCCAAGAGTCCCGAACACATGCTTTTCGCACTTCTCCAGCAGAATCTGACACGTCTCCTTCCCCATGCCCTGCCGACACAGATTCTCCACCCCACGATACAGTTCCTCGAGACTGAAATCCGTCTTGCCCCCCGCGAACACCGTGTCCAACGCCCCCTCGATGTTCTGCCATGTCTGCTTGAGAAAAGCCTGCGTATCGACTTTCCGCGCGGGTCGGAAGTTCTTCACTAGCATCCGCTTCGGTCCGCCGTTCGCCTGCATCGTGGGCGCGGCCTTGAAGCCGTTCCTCGGTGCGCCGGCGGGGCTAGCCGTCGCCGGGTCCTTGATGTCTGCCTTCTTCTTGCTCGGGAAGCTATACATGGCCACTGCAGTTTTTATTTCCAATTGCTCGTGTTCGTCCTCCTGCTCCAATCTAAGCCGCTTGCTGCTCGTCGTCGGTGAAGAACCAGGTGACGCTGGACGAAGGAGCTCCGGGTTGGTCGTTTTCTCTGCGTGCTTCCGTTTTGGGGACATTGGCGGATCAGCTAGGGGCGCATTCTCCAGCTCGTGGCGGGCGGCGGCGGAATTGTGCGACTCAGAAGCTTGAGGAGCTGCGACAGCCTGCGAGGTCGTGGTAGTGCAGGTCGTTTGCCGTTCGGGATGACGCTTCGATGTTCCCCGATCTGGGTGGGTTTATCGATAAGGGACTTCGCAGTGAACTATCCTTCGAATCGAGCTCCGGAGAGGGAGTGAGGATTGCTATGGGATATCTGGTGCTTGGAATATGCGATGGAAACGTTGGGCTCTAATTGCGATGAGTGTATGAGGCTTCAGCACTAACATTGAGTTATGAATGGGCTTGAATGAATGAATGAATGCACTGCACTGCATCATATGACAAGCCAACATGAGCCAGGTAGGAGCATCAACAAATAATATCTTCCGGATCATGACCGACATGCTTGAATCATATAGAATACAAACCAGCATCAACGCTGCTACAATTGGTATCACCCATCCCACCCAAAGCCCAAACGCCGCTACCCCCAGCAATCTAAAGCCCAACACCAATGCATCTTACACAAAACGACAGACAGCCAAGCCACCCAATCATCAAAACAATCCCCATCCCCCTTTTCTTCTCTCGCGCCCTTCTTCAAGTCGCGCTGAATACCGCTTCTCCCGCGCTTCCAACTGCCGTAGACTCTCCATCTCCTTGAGGACGTGCTCGAGGAGCTCCTTCCGCCGCACGACGTCGAGGTGGCGGCGGATCTTGGGGTCTTCGCGCGCGAAGCGGTCGATTTCGGCCTGTGAGAGGCCCCTGCCCAGGCGGGCATCGAGTTCGCGCGGGAACTGGAATGGTTGGTAAGTATAGATACAGGGGGAGAACGAACTGGTTCCGACATACAATGTAGTAGAACTTGGACAGAAGTTCAGCGTCCAAGAATAAGTCAGCGGTGGTGGTCAGTTTGTCTGCCACTGCGTCTAAGAAGACCTCAGGGCAATGATATTTGTTCTTCTTGTTGGCACACTGTTTGGATTTTACTGCCATCAGCCGCATTTTGAGGACATCGACCCGGTCGCGCAGGAAAACTGCTTCTCGCCCTGTCGCTGCGTTAGATTCATCGAACAGTCACAGATAAATGCGCCGTATACATACCTTTTCGTAGAAGCGCGGCACTGAAACCGCCGGCACCGCCAACACCGTCTCCTTCCAGGACCACCTGTCCACTCCGTACACGGTCGATGAAGCTCATCACATCCTTCACCTTCTTCCGACCGCCCATTTGCTCCTCGAGTCTCTTGACCGCGTCCTCACACACTTTGAGCTCCTCCTTCAGGACTTTTGCGACATTGTCCCTTCCCTTCGCCCACTCGTGATCTTCCACCTCAATACGGTATTTGTACGGCTTGATGCATATTTCAAGCTCGTCTGCGATATCGTACGACAGATCCTTCAGGATAGATGTTGATGCTTCAGTGATGGCTTGGCGGGCAAAAGGATGCGCGGAGAACCTCGATTGGGTAATCAATCTGTCAATGTGCGCTTGGAGAGCATTGGCCACGACACTCGTTGCTAATCGGCCGACTCCCAACTTTGTCAATGCGGCGCTGGAGCTGTCCAGCTTAATCTGCCAGATCTGATTCTGACCCTGCGGATCTGCCTTCATCAGACCGCTCAAAGGGTCGCTTTCCGGAACTGCGGCACTGAGGTCGTCAAATGGTCGGTTCCAATATTTTTGTGCCAACAGGTTCAGCACCTGTTGGTCCAGCTCGTGCTTGAGGAGCTCCCGCACTTGTTCGCGGCCGAATTGCTCTGAAAATCCGCGGAATGCATGCTTGAACGCGTCCAGGGATTCCGCAAGGTAGGACTCTGCGCTGAGGGGCCGCTCATTGTATTGCACCTTGTACTCGTAGGTTGCTTCTGCAAGCTCCCGTTGGATCGCCTCGGCAGTTGTCTTCAGACTCGCGGCCATCGTCTGCTCGAGCACATGCATTAGCTTCTTCCTCAAGCTCTTGGTCCCAACGGCAAGGTGAGAATCAGGCCCAAACTCCGGATGGGATGAGAAATAGGCCGCCTCATTCTTCGTCACGGCTTGCATGATATTACCGCTTCCACGATGGAACAGCTTCGAACTTGACGCATTTGAGGGTGCGCGGCAAACCACACCCACATATCCCAGTCGCAGAGCATATTTTTGGTCCTTCAGCAGCGAGGCACCGCGCTCGGGGTCAACGAGATCCATCTTCGTGATAACACCGAGAGTTCTTTCGCCTCTTGGATCGACTCTCCGGGATGCTCTCAGAGCAGTGCTGTTTGCCATATCCACATCTGCGGCGGAGATTGCCAGAATAACATTCGGGGCTTTGATGTATTTATCGCAAAGTTCGGCAATCTTTTCTTTCAACTCTGGTGGTTGGTCCCTGCCCGTAACCTGGATGTATCCGGGAAGGTCGATGAGGGAAAGATCTGGGACGTTCGGGGAATATATCCTCAGCTGGATTGGATCGTCTGAGACGCATTGTTCCGGTGGCACAGCCAAATTGAGATCTGTCAGTGTTTTCTGTATCTGTCCGAAATCCGTGATTCTCGCCTGGCCAAGGGCAGGAAACTCTCCGTATTCTGCATGAGCGTCAGGGGTGTTGACGAGGGTGAGCTCGATGGGCCGGCGGGTAACCATATTTGATCCTTTGGGCAGGAATTCATGGCCAACAATAGCTTCCAGCACCGAGCTCTTGCCTGAGGACTGAGATCCAATAACCACGATGGACGGAAGGGTGAGAGAATCGGACTGTCCAACGGTCTGCAGCAGTCCCCGGATCTGAATCATCTTCCTGGTCAACATCATCATCTGTTCATCTCTTGCGATCCGTTCTCCCTCGGCTTTCTCATCCTCATCGCCTTCTTCCTTGTCCGCATAAGCAAATGCTCCCGCTGCTGTAGCACCTGCTGCAGCTTTTCCAGCGCCGCTTTTCTTTGGCTCCTCTGGTCCTTGACCACGTCCGCTTCCACCACCGGAGCCTGCTTCATCATCTCTTGACATGAGTCGCTGTAACCATTCCGGATAGTCGACCTTCTCCAAATCCTCCTTTGTAGAGTCCCATCCGCGTGCAATTTGATCCAAAACTCCGGAGGCTGTGTCTAACGCGCCGGAAGCAAACTCGGAGGCGCCGTCTTTGGTTTTATAAAATACGTCTGCTATGTAACCGCCGGCCTCTGTAGGTGGGTCGTCAGTCAAGAGCTCGAAGCTTAGCGGAGTTGTGTACGTACGGCCTGCTTGATACTGAATATAGGAAACTCCGGCGACCACTGCACCCCCGGCAGCTGCACCGGCAGTTGCAAACTTTGTCGCAAGCTTAGGGATAGCTCTGGCAAAGGAAATCTGGCGGGTGGCGGGCATGTTATGCAGAGCATAGCTGCGCATCGACCATGCTCTTCCAAAGCGGAGGGCGGCATTGGGTCGAAGCCGGCCGGCTTGGAGCCGCGCAGCAATGACTCTGCCGCTCATGGTGGTCCTTCGAAAGGGAGGTAATCAGCGTTCATGAGACGGACGCGCCGGGATGTGTATGGTGGTGCAAGTCGCAATCCAAGTCGGAGTGAGTCCTGAACGGCTGCACGTGCGTCACCGGTCCACAATGATGCCAAGATCCACTAACAGAACAACGCGACGTGGAATGAATTGGTCAAACACATGTACCTCTTTATGAAGAGATGGAGCCATATATGGGTATTGGATGTCTGTCCGGATTCTACTTTGTTACTTCAAGCAAAGCAATGCACGCTCGCCAAAATGTTTCTCGACTGAGCCTTCGTCCTTGATCATGTCCCTCAGCCAATGGCGAGAGCCCTCGACCTCTCGACTGGCGAATTTGACGAGCGTGAAACCTCTCACGCTTGCTGCACTCCATATCACCCCATCCCTCTTCTCACGCTCCTGTCGCTCGGCTCGCCATTTCTCATGTGTCGAGGGCTCAGGCTCGTCGTGATCTTTCCACGCTCTTGCCCCTATTCTGGGCAATGCCTGGAATTCATCTAGGAAATATCTAGACAAGGAAGAAAAGGCTGGTCCGCAGAGAATAAGAGTGCCAAACACAGAGTAGCCGTCCATGCGTTCGCTGAAGTGCATCCCAGTCTGGCCATTGGCGTCCAGAAGGAGGTTGTCTCTCAGGAGCAGCCTCCTCTGCTGAGGGCTGTTGGATGTTCTTGAGACGGCCCACACTTCGTTCCGGCTCTTGTATTCATAGAGGTCCCAATTCTCACCTCTCGCAGAACGACCGCTTGTCACCCAGTCGCAAACACAGAGACTCCCCTGCCCCTCTTCTAGGTTATAAATCTGCGATTGTGAGAAGGCAGTTTGTGCAAAAGGCTGGACGGGATCCGGCAGGTAGACCAGGGCGGCATCTGGAACAACATGTGCCGTCATGTGTTGCATTGATACGAGACCTGGGTCCAGGGTCCGGAAGATCTTGGTTGAGCCCTGCGTCAATAGCACGAGTCTGCTGTTCGCCTCCAGACGTATCGAAAGATGGATAGAATCCCCGGAGACTATGCCTCCGCCGTAGGTGAGCAGGAAGACGGTGTGTACCAGCTTCGATTGTGAGGGCGCATCATCACTATGAGCGTCCGGGGCAGGAAGAGGATCTGGAGCCACCAGCTTGAGCGGGTACTGGTAGGACAGCTCCTGAAGCACAGGTCTGTCTGGCGGGAGGAGAGAGATGACTATGGAGCCATGGCCAGATTTGGATGTCGATGCCGCGAACGGCGACACGTAGGTCATTCCGGAGGTCTTGATGAGTTTGATCACGTCATGATCATTATTTTTGAGCCCAGCAGCGAGAGGAGGAGGAGGCCACGGAGGGGTGAAGCAGCTGCGAGCTTACCGCAATCGAAGGATAGATGGAGTGGTCGAGTTGATTTCGGTGAAGGTGCCGGCGTATCAGCTCGACCATTATATGCCAAGATATTCCGCTTGGCGCAACTGCCCCGCCACAATACACTAAACCAAACTTTCGCTCCAGCTGGGAGCCAACAGACCCCCGCCACGACCCAACCGCTAACTGATCCGCCACGCCCGCGATATTATCCGAGACAGCTTGTGTTCGATTCTCAGAGTCTTCGCGGTTGGTTATCCTTGGGAGGCTTCTTCAGTTTTGGCTTCCAGACGTCTAGGAGCTGCGCGGGGAGGGGGTGGACGTGATGGCGAAAAGCATTGACGACCTCATTGAGTTCATTCTCGAGGAGATTGCTCTCTGCGGAGCCCAAGGTATGTACGCTGAAAATTCGCCATCTCCATCCTAAGGCTTCGATGTTTCGTTTCCTGCGAGACCATACCGATTAGGTTTCGGTTTCAGGACCAGGGTCATGGACTGAGCTCATGAGAGTTGTCAGTGGTCGTTGCGCCTTGCTACGGGGCGCGATGTGTTCGAATCCCGCCTGTTACAATTTCTGATATTTTTTTCCACTGCTGACACCAATTCCCAGGAGCTGGCAGCGCGGATTTTCGCCGCTTCGTAGAACAATTTCACAAAGAAAACGAGAGACAGGCGGCTGGCAGCCATGCATGGCAGCCTCACGTTCGCATCGATCGCGCCTACCTGGAAAAGGTCTGGGAGTGGCTGCGAATCAATCAAGACGTTCGCATGGTCTATGCAAACGAGACACGAAGCCTATCGCTTTCAGACTTCGAAGCATTGGAGATGCAGGAGACAGGCACCAATGGATCTGTGACGTCGACGCACCCGAATGCATCCCACGCTGGGGACTCCAATAAGTCAACTGCCACCCAAATCTCTCCATCACTACTCCAATCGTCCTTCAGGGGCGCCCTTCGACAGCGCTTGTCCAAAGAGGTGGGAAATTCGTGTAGTAGCCCTGCCGAACAACAAGCTAGATTTGATGAGGGTTTTGGATCGTCAAGCGCCGGTTCGGCTCACATGGGCCTTGGGAGAGGGGAGTCCTCCACTTTGGACAACGGTGTGGTTCGAAACACGATGCAGCACAATCCTCACACCGGTGGGTCAGCACGGCAGCCTGTCCCCTATGCTACAGTCCCCGGCCAAACTGGGGTACGAGTCACTGGAGATCCATTCAGCGCTCGCAGACCCAAAAGAGGTATCCGAACGACAGGCCCCATTTTCGACGAGCTTACGCCAACTACCACTGCTCCACGCATTTATGTCAGCCAAAATCGAACATGGCATGCTGTCGCCGGCCATTCCATGGATTTCAAGCGGTTGTCTGCCATGAAATTTGTGCTATTGTCAATCATCGCGTCGCGTGGGCCAGAGGGTATCAATCAGCCTGAGCTTACCGTCCTCAGCGGACAAGATAAACGCTCGGTACCTGCGAGGACAGACGAGCTTGCCAAAGACGGATATATTGAGAAGTCACCCGTCGCCTCGCGCAATGGACCGACGAGTCGCTGTGTCCACAAGAGGTTCATAAAAGGTGACCATTACCTGCGAGGAACGGGCAACCATCAAGATGTATTCCGTGGCAGAACCGTCATTTTCGCCCAGTTGGTTGCACTTATTTACAGTGTTTTGAAGGATGTCAAGATACTCCCATACAGCCAACTTCGCGGAAAGCTCGTGAGTGTTCTACGTCATCAAGGGAGTAAGCTCTGCTAATCATATGCCTAGGGCATTTCGTATGACGACTTGAGTACTACCGGAATGCGATCGGCTATCCGCAGGCTTGAGGAGACTGGATTGCTCGCCAAAAAGCGCATATGGAAGACCGGGACACGGAAAACCACCACTATTGTGGTCCAACTCCTGAGGGAGCCCAACGATGATGACGTTAAGAATTTCAGGTTTCGCTACCAGAATACAATACGCCAGCCCCCAAGTAACAATCTGGATGAAGATGATGAAGAAGGAGACGATGGCATGGGCGACCTGGATCTTGACTTGGATCTTGGTGAAGAAGGAACAGAGATCAAGCGCATTCCTCCACAATGGACCCCTGAGAAACTGCTACCAAACCTCTTTTTCCAGGCCGTTGAACTCAGCGGGTCGGTTGGTGTCGATTCTGCAGGACTACGTGACAGGACCATGGGAATGTTTTGGAGACGTCCCACAGAATCATACATAGCTCGAATGACGGACGACTGGGAAAACAGTCAACCGCACCACTTACGGCACTTAGCACTCATTCGGGACACCAGGGTCACGAGCGAGAAGAAGACCGTCCATTACGTTTACCGCACATATGAGAATTTTCAAAAGGCAGTCGACGATAAGCTCGCAAGCTGGGACGCCGTTAGCAGGGAAGCGGGGAAACAACAGAAGGCAGGGCAGAAGGCTCCACCATTGAAGCCTACAGATGGACCATTACTCAATGAGTGGGGCTTCCCAGATATTCCGAAGAACCTTTTCCACCTGGGTGATGGTTCCGCCACGCTTGCTCAGTGTTCGGCCGCAGCCAACACTGGAAGACAAAACCTGGAGAAGTGGGCAAATATGAATCGAATGGGATTCCGAAAACGCAAGGGGGCAGTTGGTAGTGATGGTAAACCTATCAAAAGAGGGCGTCCGAGGAAGGTTAAGCCTTCGGATGTGAATCAAGCAATCACCGCACAAGCATCGGAGAGTCCACAAGCGACGGGTGAGCCACCTGACCCAAGGACACCAGCAGCCACAGCAGGCGTCGCCGCTCCCCTCTCTACGGAGCCCACAATCAATAAAGTGAGGAAGTCAATGCAGCTTGCGGTGCCTCTACTATCGAAAGAACAGCGGGAAATACTTGGTCTGCCACCACGCGGACGTCTTGGAAAATTCATCGAGGATCAGATCAAGGAACATCGACAACGAACTGGCGATTCCACCTCACTGCCCGACGTGATCTACAAAAGTCCCGCAGATATGCCGCAGTTGGAGCAGGAGACGCCCGTGAATATGAAGGAGAAGAGGAAGAATGGGGTGCCTGATTCTCGCCTTTTCACAAGGGAGTTCAGGAGACAACACGGGCTACCTGAAAAAGGTAGATTAGCTCAAGATGTCATCGACAGATTCCGACGCCTGGAAAGTGAACGCACGTCCACCGGGAATTCTCCTGAAGCAGAGGAGAATATGCCCGCACCAGGGGGAACAGAATGTCACCGTGAGCACGACGCCCCCCTGGCAAAACCCGCTGATCTATCGACCCCGACACCCCATGGCACCAAACGCAAAAACGACACACCGGAAATGGCATCGCAAGCTGTCAAGAGGCTGCGCCGCGATTCAGATATCCTACGCACCTCTGTAGAACATATCACCGGTCCAATCACCAGTCGAGAGACGCTGCCCACGGAATCCATCGTCGCTTCAGGGACTTGCGAGGGAACGCACACCCCAGACCTGTGTTCCCCGGGGGTTACAATTCATCGCCAGCATTACGGGTCCCCCCTAGTAACAAGGACCATGGAAGTAGTAGACCCTCTTTCGAAAAGTCCGAATGCATTACCCAGTGTTGAGGTCCCACGGGGACCAAGAATCTCCGATGCGTTCAGTGCCTCCGCTACTGCTACTGCCAGAAATCAACTGAAGAGACCGACTGCGACGCGTCAATTGGAGCATCGTTCTAAGCCTGGACTATATATCAATCCTTATGTGCTTCGACCTCGTGGAAGGGGTCGTCCGAAGAAATCGTTAATGGCTGTATTCAAGCTGCCGGGGTTGAGAGACCTCAATTGGTTCAAAGAGGCGGCGGACAAAATCAGCAACGAAAAAGTGACTGAACGCCGCCCTGCGGCCGAAAGGGCAGTCTCACAGCCTGTACATGCAGCTTCACTGGTGCTTCAGTCCACTACTGCGATCGCCGAGCCCCCACCAGTCGGGAACGCTGCAGCATTACAACCTGGCATAATATCACGCACCCAGTCACCCACGCAGTTCATTGACTCCGTAGGTTCTGATAAGACCATTGAGACAACACATTTGGACGCTCGCTCCTCTGCTGTGCCAGAGCGAGCTGATCCGGATGCGCCGGTATCCCCTGTTACACCACCAACTATCCCTGAGATACCCGTCTCAGGTAGGAACACTGACGATGTATCCATGAACGAAATCCAACCGCTGGAAGTTCGTACACCCGAAGCCCCTGTACAAAGAAGTCCTAGCGAGGAGATCACGAGCGGTCGTGCGCGTACCGATGTACCATCTGGCAACGGAGTCTACCTCGTGTCAGGAATTGCTTATGCTCCTAGCCACAAGCAACCTAAACCAGTTGGAGCTTTCTCAAAGAAAGGGGTGGTTCGTAGCAGAGGCAGTAACTGGTATGCACGAGTCGAGCTCATCCTGTATATACTGAAGTTGTGTGGCGGCGTATTCCCGTTCAACGGGGAGCTTCTAAAGGTTTTCCATCAGCTATGGGATGAGCGCGCCCACAAACGGGGAAGCAAGCCAGATCGGACTACCCTGACTAATACCGTCAACGCGATGTTGGAGGATCCGGAGTGTGGACTGCAGAAGTTCGGATTCTGGGTATCAACGCGGAGCAGCCAAGCCAGACTCGAGAAGATGGAGAGGTACATGCTTGCCCTTCCAGGAATCGACCCATCGCATCCAAAGGTTCAGGAGGTAAAGGACAAGATAGCGGAACACTACCCACATAAATGGTATCCTCCTGAGGTCAACCATCTTGCGCCACCAGAGGGTCCGGCTCGGGGACCCAAGAAACCCCGTTTCGACGCATCCTTGACGTTGGATGGTATCACTCCGAATGTGGTTCAGCGAGTGAATCAGCAGATTTTCTCCTCGGCTGAAAAACGCAGGGAGAAAGCCGAAAAGAAGAAGATGAAGGAGCATGAGGCTCGTGTTGCGCTCTCTGGGAGGGGTGCTCAACGGAAGAGACTCGAGGGGCTGACTAGGCGTCTTCCTCGCGAAAAGAAGGGTCGGGTAGAGCCGATCCCCGGTTCTGTGGAAGGGGAAGGCGATAGGGATGTCCATGGCGATATGTATCTCTCCGCTAGTCGCCTTGGAGATGCTGTCTCCCGGTCTCCCTCACCTGCCACATCTTCTTCGGAGGATGTTGAAATGGAACTTCTTCAGCAACGCAGACGCGAGTCACTGCCGATGGGTACTTTTGAGGATGGCTTTCATCATCTCACTGTTGAAGACTTCCATGAGAGGCAACTAGCCCTGGCCCTCTTGAATTCCGAGAGCCGCTACTACGCCAATACCGGCACCTACTCGACGGATTTTGGAGGATTCGCGGCCCGCAATCTGCAATGGGTAGCAGTCCCTAGCACAGCAGGGGCAAGCGCTGAGCACGAGTGGACCTTCATCAAAGAGCGAATTCCCAAAGGAGTGAAGCGGAAGAGAGTTCAATTCGAGGATGTCGACGAATCGCCACAGGCGAAGGATGGCCGCAAGAGAGCGCGCAGATGGTCGCCCGACGAACCCGAACCGACCGTGGTGGAGCGACTTTCCGGCCGTATGGGCAATGCCGAGGACCCCATATATGTACCGCCGACGAAAAAGTCCTATCGCACACCCAAACGATGGGCCGACATGAAACCACGCAAGCGTAAGCGAGACAAGGAGGACGAGAAGGCTGAAAAGCCGCTTACGATGAAAGCCCTACGCAGTAGGGTGGAGCCGCCACTGGATGCGGCTGAAACTTTCAAGAAGCTCTTCTGTACACTGGCCATTGCGTATATTATGTCCGGACAGGGCGATATTGACTGGAGAATCCCTTCAAAGGTCTATGAGGCGGAACCCCGGTTTAAAGTTGAGAAGATGAAGAAACTCTGGTCATGGGTGCAGACGAACATGCAGGTCCAGCTTCGCAGTTTCACGACCAGCTTTGAGAACGCCTATCTCGAAGCCTATGAGCAAGGAAATGTTGACGTGCTTGAAGATCCCGACACGTACGATTGGGCCGCTTTGGTGCGGTGGGCTCTCATAACATGCGACTACTCTGAACCCCCTCTGCCGCGTGTTCGCGAGGCGCTGCATCATTATAGCATTGAGGAGTCTTCATACAGGCTATTTGACCGTTCCCAATGGGCAATCAGTGATCTGGCACATGTCAAACGGGCCAACAGTCTACTGAAATACTCCTATGCGGCTCCGATCCACACGAAGCCCCTTCGGCAACCCGAGGAAGACATCCTGCTTGCCCGTTCGTGGATCCGCTCAAACATTGCAACGCCTGAGGCAGTCTACAACAGCCATGTCGCCCATGACAAGCTCGTGGTTCTCGGTGAGGCGACGCTCGAACGGGCCATCGCCGACATGACGAGGGAGCAGCAGATACGCATGCGGAAGATCAAGCGGCTCCTACCCGGCCGCAACTTCCACTTCACCGCCCGCTTCGGCGTCAAGTACAGAAAGCCTTTCGAACTGGACGACTTCGTCGACGCGGTGAATTTCAAGAAACGCCTCGACGCGGCCTTCGCCCATGCGGAACCGGACAAACGCGTCCACTGCGTCTCTCGCACGGCCGACGACGGCTCCGTCATGGCCCTCCTGTCGCTCGTGGCCGCCGGCCAAGTCCGCATCGAGCCTGTGCTGCCGCCCATTAAGAACGAGCTTCGAGCACCGGCGCCGCGCATCTCGGTCTGGGGATTCATCGAGGGAGACTATGCGCACCGGAAAATCGACCGCAGGTGCCTCTTCTGGGACATCCATGCCGTCCCCACTGGATCCTATGAATTCGGGAATCCGCTCCAGCCGTCGTCTGCGCCGGACCCGGGCGAGGACAAGGCCGAGTGGGTTGCGTTGCCGGAACCGCCGCTCCCTGGGAAGCGGGATGGCATGGCCAAGTTGCCCATCTGGAGCACGATTGATGGGACGCGCGTCATCTGGCCGTGGTGGTATCGCGTGTTGAATGTCGTGCTGCAGGGATTGATGTTCCAGCCTGGTTCGTCGGTAAGGGAATTGCATAGTTATTGCCCCGGCGGTAGCGTCGAGTTGTTTGAGGTCGAGCACGTGGTGGAGTATCTTGTTGCCGTTGGGGCGGCCGAATGTCGTCGCGCTGCTTCGTCTTCATCGTCCGCTTCTGGTGGGCGTACGGGTCCAAAGCCAGAGGAGGGGAGGTATTACTCGACGACGCAGGGGTTCTGGGCGGTTTTCGGCGAGGCGTTGCGGGATATGGAGAGCGATACGTTCAAGGAGCATGTCAAGCGGACGAGGCTGCGCGAGTATCGGGAGGCGTTGGATGTTCAGTTTAATTTGAGGAGTAGGAAGATTGATGCGTTGATGAGGCCTCAGGGGGAGGGGGAGGGGGAGGATGATGGGGAGGGTGAAGGTGAGGGTTATGTTGGAGGGGAGAGCGGTGGGGAACGAAGTAGTGGTGGTGGTAGTACTACTGGGGTTGGTGCTGGGAGCGGTGGAGGAGGTCAGGGTCAGAATGGAGAGGACATCGTTATGCAGGATGCGGGAGGGTGAGGTTGGGGAGGGAGGGAGGGAGGGATGATGTTGGGTGAATGACTGATATGGTTTTGCTTCCTGAAGGCGGTTGCTGGCGCGGTATCTCTGTCTTGCGGTCTGAACTTTCCGATTGAGCGGATATCCTTTTTCGAATCAGCGGTATCGGTGTACTTTAGAGCGGAAATAGTTCGACAGTAATATGGACTTAGGAAACGAGTCGTAGAATGAATGCCTTGGTGATGTCGCGCTTCACCCAGTCGGTCTGGGACCCGGGTACGGCCTTTATGGCAACGATACAACCTACAAATATTTCTATAGTAATGTGGGATTAGGAAACAAGTAGTGGAACACCTTGATGATCGTAGCGCGCACGCAGTCTGATATGGGTATGGACTTCATGGCAAAACCCTACAACCTCCAACCTCCAACGCAACCCAACCCCAGTCCAATCCCGATCGCGATCCCGATCCCCACTTTAACATTAACAACCCCTCAAAGAGGCACCTCCACACTCTCAAGCACCTCCTCGACCACATCCCTCGGCGTGACGCCCTCCAGCACCGCCTTGACGGCCTCCAACGAACTGCCCCACTGCAAACTGCGTTCCCGCTCCGGAGGCGTGATGACGATGCGATGGGTGTAGATCTTGCGGGCGGCGAGCGCGACGAGGGCGGGTGTGGTGTAGGGTAGTGAGTGGAGGGGGGCGAGGGCTCTGGATAGGTTGGGTGTTGGTTAGTTGGTGAGTTGGTGAGTTGGTTTGGTTGGTTGGTTGTTTGTTTGGTTGGTTGGTTGCTGGATTAGACGAGGGTGGGTTTGGGGTTGGGGTTAGAGGGGGGGAGATTAGTGGTTTTTGATTGTGCTGGCTTTGGGATTTGAGAGGTGCGATCTGGGGTCGTGGGGGAAGGGATGATTGGGAGCAATAAAAGAGAAATTAAGGGTGAGGATTCGACGAAACGAGGACCCAGTAGATCGATAAAAAAGCTTGAGACGGAGAGAGAAAAATGAGAGATGGAAAACCCACCGACTCAACACCTCAAAATGCCTCGTCGCCAGCGCCGACACCCCCCCACCCACGGCGCGATGCAACCGCATGAAGACGACGACGTTGTGCAAGTAAGCACGCACCTCGGACGTCATGGTCACTTCGGAAGTGAGCTGGGCGAGGTATTTGATTTCGTCCGGGGAGAAGATGGGGTTGTGCGTTTTTGGCTTCTTCGATGAGGTTTCTGATTTGGAGTTTGAGTTTGAGTTTGGTAAAAGCGTCTTGATGATGGAGGAGGTAGAGGCGCTGGGATGAATGTCTTCTTCTTCTTCTTGGTTGTTGTGGTTGGTATGGGTACCGGTGGGGTGTTGTTGGCCTTGGCGAGTTTCTAGGTCGTATAGATTGGGGAGGCCGTCTTCGGGGAGGTGCGTGTGGGAGATGAAGAGGTGGTCGTTCTGCAATCTGTCAGTCATTCATCCATCCGTGCAAAGTTCCCAGGAAGGGAGGTGAATCGGGGCCTGTGAGGAGCCTACCAAATGCGTACTCAGCCGTTGCGATCCTGTAGCCTGCAATGCTACGAAAATAAACGGCTTTGGCGCCGCGTGGACGGCTGTACGGGTGAAGTTGCGTTTGTTCCTTATGAGCTGAGCTTGTCATTAGCTGATGTATACATATACACCCCTATTGGGAGATTCGGGCAAGTGAAGGGAGTGGAATGACAAGAGACAGAAGAACGAGGATTAACATACCTCCAAAGCCTGGACCTGGACCTCGTTATCCGCAGTGTTCAGGTTCTTCGCCACGACAAGATTCGCAATCTTCTTGTGGTCCAGTCCGGCATGGAGTTCTGGCTCGTTGCCCGATGGACGTTTCTCAGTTGCTCGAGCCGTGGATGTGTGCTGAATTTGGGTAGATGTTAGTCAAAGCCCGCTGGGAGATCCAAGTCGACTGTATGAGCATACATTGTTGTTAGGTTTTTCGGTTGGTGAAATGGAGTAGTAGTCGTCTCCATCATGGTCGATGAGGATGCCGTTGCCGAAGTCGTCTAGAGTCGTCGAGGGGTTGCAGTCCAGGAATATGCATGTGAGACCGAATGTTGAGGAGGCTATCTGATGTATGCTTAGCCAAATCCTTTCAGAATAGATTTGAAGTATTAGGAGCTCCGCAAGTGGAAACGAACAGCACGTGGTGGCGACAGAGACGGTAACTATCTCCACCACCCCAAAAGCAACAAAAGCATCCTGGGAATATATCACACAAATCCTACTCACCAGCTCCAACTCCCTCTCCACCCTATCCAGCTCCGCCCCATCCGCTTCAATAACGCAGTGCTGCTCCGTGACAAGACAAAGCAAGACGGCGAGTTCGATATCCGTCAAACACTGGATCTTGTCCACGAGTTTTCCATCGTCTTGCCCCATGTCACTATCTCCGAAGCGGGTGCTAGGAAACACCTCGGATTACATTGTTGTATTGATGGTATATGCCGTGGATACTGGGGAGCTTGGAAGGGTGGTCAAAGGTGGCGCTAGGACGGGCGGGGTTAGCGTCTCGGCCTGGACTTCCTCTGGATATCTAGACTAATAACCTCCCGCTTCTGATGTAACTGATGTTTGGTTTGTAACAGTATGGCGGTAGTATTCAAATTGCTGCTCCTAGCCAGAGTAGCCTCTGTTACGATGTTTTTGGCTCGCACTACTTTCTCATAAGCGCGGTCGGTACGGGTGCCTACCATACTTGCCCACTATACACTCCGCATGCAAGAAGAGAGATGTAGATTGCATCAGCGATCATTATATTCGCACAACGACTTGATTCCCTTACCCTGGAGGTAGTCTAGGACAACAAAGATCTATCACTCCCATGATTTCCCACCCACACATACTACCGACCAGATTGCTCAGCCCACTCGAACCTACGGAGCGAGTCCTAGGCCCCAGATTCCCAAACTCCCAAACGCCATTCCCAAAGCACATTTTCTCTTGCAAACCATAATACAAACATCTTCCCTAGATAGAGCGCACCGCCTGCCGCACATCTCGAACCTAAATCCGCACCGTCTTAGTCGCCTTGACCACCAACTTGACCAACTCGGCATACGCCTCCTCAAACTCCTGCACATCCGACTCCTTGACCTCCTTGCCCTTCTTATTCTTCTCCTTGCAAATCATGACGACGCTCGTGGGCCGCTTGGTCGCGCTCGCCTCGCCGAGCTCCGCCCGCGACTTGATGTAGATGTAGGGTATGTTGTGGTCCTCGCAGAGCACGGGCAGGTGCGAGATGACGTCCATGGGCGAGATGTCGGCCGCGATGACGACGACGGCGGGCGGGTTGGAGATGTCGGACGACGAGGGGGCGGACGTCTCGGACTTGCGCAGCGCCTTGACGACTTCCTTGACGCCGCGGCGCAGGGTCTTGGTTTTGGCGGCTGCGACTGCGTTAGCATGGATGGGCAAAATGGTAGCAGCATGCGCGAATTGTAGTTCCTTCCGCATCTCACTCTTTCACTGTAGGAGGCAGGATAGAGGGAGGAGGCCGGCAGGCACAAGCCAAGCGTACGAGCAGGAGCAATTGGGGCACCACAAGTACTCACACTTCTTCACTGTCCTAAGAATCTTCTTCACCTCCTTCGCGTCCTCGGCCAGGGGATTCGCAAACGGCACCAACGCGCCCCTCAACACCACACCCTCCTCCTCCTTCTCCATGTCTCGCACATCAATCATCGTCGAATCCTCCCCCTTCAGCAACTCCTTCTCCAGCGCATCCGTGACCTCGCCATTCGCCTTCACCAGCGCCTTGTTCTTCTCCTTCTTGTCCTTCTTGGACGACGACGCCTTCGTCACGCCCCCGTCCAGCGACGCCCGATGCTTCTCCTTCTTCTCCTTCTTGTCTTTCTTGTCTTTCTTCTCCTTCTTCTCCGTTACGTCCTTTCCCATTTTTTCTGTTTTTGTCAGATGGGTAGTGAAGGTGCTAACGGGCGAATGCCTTGGGCACTTGAAATAAAGAGGGACTGGGCTGGGCTGGGCTGTTGCAAGCTTGCAGACGTTGTTCGTGTGGGCTTCTGACGGGAAGGTTTTGGAGCTTCGAACTTTTTCGCTTCTTAAATTTCGATTGGGGATTAGCGCCTTGGCAGACCAACTCTCAAGGCCCTGTGTAGTCAATCGTACATATCACCGAATCTGCATGGACATGAGAGTAAGAATATCCCTCGCTGATTGAAAGCTAGTGTACAGTGCAATTACCAACCCAAAACGCCCTCGGCATATCACCACCATTCAACTACCTCGCTGTACTGCTTTCCACCGGAAGCTAAGTAGAAACCAGATACTATGGTATATGCAGATAGAAATCGAGGGCGAACCAATTAAGACCACGAAAAGACAAAGCAGGAACAGGGAGAGGAGAAGAATATTAGGAGGAATGACACCAAAGCTCCAGGCAATGTCCGTCGTATTGGACATGCTGCGCATGGGGCCAGCCACCACGAGTGTCCCAAAGCAGAGAAACAAGTATTAACAAGGCTGAGAGCCCGCAAGGAGAGAGCCCGAGCCCGAATATGTATGCAGAACTGGATCAGACCGCCCCAGCGCCGTATTACCTGCAGCGGAAAACCTTCGAAATAGGAGACTGGAAGGAAAACGGAAAGACAAAACACCCAGTATGCAATGACAAAGGCGATCTCGGCTCGGTGTCATGCGGCGGGAAACGGAGAGGGGACAAAGCCGAAGGGAAAGGTCCAGTCTTGTGCGATTTGAACGAGGAAGCAAATGGAAACTATCGTGGTCATCGTTACAGTGGTTGCGGTGGCCTACAATCAGTAAGCCACTTGCATTTCAAGCACCTGTACGCCGCCAGGAGCCATTGAAGGCGTGGCGGACGAGTGCTCAGACATGGCGTCTTCATACCCGACGAGGGCTTGCGAATGAAGCTTAAAGGCTTCACCCATCAGCTTGGTGATTCTACGATGCAGTTAGCGCGTGGACTGAATAGAGGAACAACTGATTCACATACCCCCATACCACCACCTCGTCGAGCATACTGCCCCAGAGCCTTGCGACAGTGGAGCTGAGCTTAGCACCATACACATCGACGGAGTCAGCCTCGAAGAGGTTCCGTAGTTTGTTGTACATGGCGAGCTCTTCCTCGTTAGCAGGCTCCTCGTCATGTTCCAGACGATAGAGCCAGAGGGTAAGAATGACCATGAGATCCATTCCGGAAAGAGGGTGCTCGATGCTCCAGTTCGTAGCGGAAGTTCGGGCGACCCAGCGAATGCCTTGCACGGCGGCAACCTCGATGCAATCGAAGCACTCTTGAATGACCTTGATCATCTCCTGCGAACGCTGGACCTTATCCCGCGCATTGGTCATGGCAGCTGCCACTTCGTAGGAATCATGATAGCGAAGTGCCTCTTGGACCGATTTCAAATCCACCACTAGACGAGCGCGGGTGTTCCGATACAGAGCCATAGCGTTGAAGATCAGAGGATGGCCTTTGTGAGGCGCACTCAGCTGAACCACGACGGTTTCGGGTTCGCAGAGCTCAAGAGACTTGGACCACGTCTCGAGCGCAAGTCGGAGCTTGTACTCGGTCACGACATCCTGCAGAGCCTCGGGACTGCGCTTGTGGTACCACACCTCCAAGAAGAGGGCGTTGATCATGACCCGAGTAGCGAAGGCACTATAACGGGCCGGTTCCCCTTGGAAAAGCTTGTCGTGTGCCTGTCGGAAGGTGATGATCTTGGATGCTTTCAGGCTTTCACGCCATGATTCATCGTTGGAAACCTCCATCGTCCATAGCGATTCGGAGGAGGGTAACTCTAGGGTATCGAATTCGTTGAAGCCCATGGCCGGAGTATGGTTGTACGTCAGTGTGAGGAGGCCAAAGAAGATGTAAACAGCATAGTAGGTCCGCCGACATTGCTCGTCCACAACCCACTCCTCGTGGTTTGGCTGAGCGCCTTCTCGTGCCTCTGAGCGTAGCTTGAGCTCATAACGATTACCTGCCACCATCTAGATCATGTCAGTATACTACCACAGGATACCAAATCAAGGAACCTACATTGGCAAGTAGACTTTTGATGGAGCAAGCCCATTCCAAGCCCTTGGGATCACCGCTCCAGCTGGCGAAGATCATGTTTAGGAGCGTCGCCTGCATGGTCCAGAGCGGGCATTTTCGGGAGCTGAAGTTCTCCTTGTTTTGCAGGAACTGGTTCACTAGTATCTTCGAGCCAATATGAAGCATGTAGGCTTGGTCTTGGTCGAAGATGTACAGTGCACCAATGGCCAGGACGGCGAGCAAAAGCGGGGCGGAGACCTCGGTGGGGTTGAACGTTGCCGGATGCAGAAAGGGCAAATGATGGTGGAAGAGGTCAAAATATGTCTTCAGGAGTCGGTTGAGCGTGTTCAGGCTAGGCAAATGGAATGTGTCCAACAACGCGTTCTCGGTATCCGCATTCTTGATGTTGTCGTAGATCTTCATGCATTGCTCTTCCGAATCAACCTGGGGAGCCTTGGTCATTGTAAGCGCTTGCGTGGGGCCAGGCGAGCGACGGTAGTCGACAGGCGAGACGGGACCCAGCATGGGATAGGGAGACAAGGCTCCTGGCGTCCCCAGACCCGTGATGGATCCAGATCCACCTATCGACGGGAAGGACGGCGGAAGGGGGGCATCACTGCCAGACATCTGTCGCTCCATGATCGGTGGTAGCTGATGAGGGTGAGAACTCAGAGCACTCGCAGTGGTGAAGGCGGGGTGAGGTTCGGCCGAGCTCGTGGCGCCGGAGTGTGCTTTCGGTTCCGAGACGTTATGCGGCATCATCGAGTCCCACGGCATCTGGGGGAGCGACATCTGACCTGGGGCCGTGTAGGCGACATTGGGCTCGAGGAGGGCAGGTCCGCTGGGAGAATGAGCAGCATCGGACGCGTCTGGGGCAGGTTCGGGCTCCTGGCTAGCCATTGCCTTGTGGTGGAAGTCGGTCATCAGCATTGCGGCTGCCTCGATATCGACCATCTCGTCGCTGCTTGCCTCAATCTGTTCGAGCGTCGTCGTGTCCAGGGCCGTCGACGGTTGCTTCTGGGAGGCGGGGGCGGCCGACACCTCTGGCGGCTTGGGACCAGTCCGACGCTTTGCCTCGCTGTGGAGAGGAACGCCGCCATCCTTTGCGTGGACGGTACGGTCGTGGCGCAGCAGGAGGTCGCGGCGGACAAAGGTGCTACGGCATTTGAGGCACTTGAAGGGGCGTTCCTTGGTGTCTGTGGGTGAGGGGTAGGTCAGCGTCCGTCTTCCCCGCAGCGCGAGGCGCGCCCGCATCAACAAAACTGGAGGAGCTCCGCGACCGAGACGCGCTCCATCAAGAAGAAAGATATCAACACTTACGGGATCGTTCGTGACGGCTGCGATGCTCGCTCCGACTAAAGGCGCGATTGCAGAATTGACACTTGTACTTCTTCTCGGGGGCAGAGCCGGATTTGCGGGTGGTGGTGGCGGGCGAGGGATTGGGCGACATGAGGGTCATATCGGCGGAGGGCATGGGAGCGGCGGCGGGATTGTGCGGAGTCGGGCTGGGGTGCAGCAGTTGGCAGGCCGGCCGCGCGCGTGTGGATTCAAAGTGCGATGAAGTGGGAGGTGGAGGTGATGTTCTCTTTCATTCCGTGTCGTTGAAGGGCGGCGCATAGAAGGGACAAGACCGGGAGGGCCGGTGACGGACGGGAGGGGCAGGGTGATCGCGGGGCTGCAGGCAAAGAGGCCAAAGCAGCAGGCCTCGCGATAGAAAAAAATGAAGGTGTTGGGAGGAGGGGAGATGGCGCAGGGGGGAGATGAGATGGGATGGAGGATGGAGGATGGATGGGGGATGGCGGGCGTGGTGGGAGTTTTTGGTGGGAGCTGCGTGCGAATCGAAGGGAAGGGAGGGGGAAAGGGAAAGGGGGGGTTGCTCCTGCCAGCCTCTCGCCCACACGTGCCACACTTGCCCAGCTTCCAGCCCAGGTTATGAGAGCCTGGAGCTCGGGCCACGGAGGGGCTGCCCGATTCGAACATGGAATCGTCACTCATTTTATTTTGTTTTGCGTGTTGGATGCGCGGCTTCTTTTTCTTTTCGCCGCCGTTTCATGATGATTCTTCCTTTTTTCCCTTTTCTTCTTCTTCCTCTTCTTCTCCCATCATGAATTAATTGATCATCAGCTTTTGTTTTGTGTAAGTGCGCAGACAGCAGCAGCAGCACCAGGAGCAACCCCCCTTAACCCCAATCAATCACTGGCCACGGATCCAGGGAGCAGCTGACTTGACCCGTCTTGCAACTCTGGCAGCTTACTAGCCAACCAATATGGGAGCGGATTATAGCCGCAGACGTCGACCTCTCTTGAGGCCAGTTTTCGCTGTGCGACAACGGGAGCAGACGGGTCGCTCGTCAAGAAAGAGCGGTATGGTGAGACGGTTAGGTACGAGTAGGTACTTTTCCTTTTGGAGTTGTACTCCCCCATCGATACGCTGCCAGCTCAAGATGCATCCTCACACCGCCCCGTCCGCTCCCACAGGTGTGGCTAAGACAGCAGGCCTGGAGGCCAATGGCCAAGCGTCATCCTGTCCCACGCCTCCCACTCCTCCCACTCCTCGCTGTCTCTTGTCCGTCCGATATGATGATGATGAAAAGGGGCTGCGGCGCTGCTGTCTGTTTCCTTTGTTTCACACGTAAATAATGGCCATGACGCCATGGCAGCTGCCAGCCTGGTTTCCTCACCTGAGGACGAGTAGCTTCAACGATCGACGGAGACCATCTCTCGTTCTTGAAAGCCGTCTCCTTGTCTGCCCAACCTAGCGGCCTTGGGACAGCTCTTCCCCGGACCCACCGTCCACCCGCCTAGCAGCTCGGTTCCAGCTCCGCGAAGCTGCAACCCAGCTGCCCAGCTGTTGGATTGCACAGTTGCCGACGTCCAAAGAGGAATCGGATCTATTGTTTGCATCATTGGGAGATTCATCAACCGTTGCTGCCGTCTTCCGACCTTGGTGCCACAACGACTGCGAGGGCAGACATGTCTGCTTTGTCTTGGTGAGCACAGCAATTTGCGGCTGCCCCAAGGTACGGAGCACCCGATGTTATGCCCCGCTTCCCCTCCAGGATCCCGAAACCAGGACCCCTACTCCGTATACCATGAATACCTACCTGGTATTGCGGCGGGGCAGAAATGAAAAAAAAGTCATGTATGGTCAAACAAAGGCCACCCCATTTCCATGCCCTCACAGGCTGCCTGACTCTGTTTGCATCCTGACAAACTGCAGAGTCAAGCGTCATCCCAACGCACCGACGCTTTGGAGGGGCCCAAGCGGCGGATAAGAGAATTGGTCTCTTTCCTCTCAAGTCGACTTTTTGACAATTTATAGTCGCGTGTGCATCATCGTTCATCCATCGGCGAAGCTAGAAAGCCTTCTTCAACAGGTTTGATCTCTCCAAGGCTTCTACCAAAGGTCGAATCCTGACCGGAGATGACTATCGGTCGGTACATGAATTGGAATTTACTGTGTACACCCCTCCTGTCATATTAGCATCGTGTTCTTCAAGGGCCCATGACTGGCGCCTCCCCTGCCCTCTCCTGAGTTAGATTTCTGACATCCGATTTCCACGCGAGAATTTTAACGCGCTTCGGGCATGGCTTGTAGGAAGCAGCACGTCGTGCACTCTGCTGCTCTCATCGAGCTTCCTTCTGTCATCTGGCACCGACTTCATCTTCATCCTCATCCTCAGGTTTTCAAGGCTGCTGGGCTTCTGAGTCCATGGGTCGAGTTCTCAACATATGAAAAATGCATTGCCATACGAGTGCATATACACCGTATAATAAAGCCGACGACAAGGACAATAATGAGAGAGAGTACGAGTCCGACTGGGCCAGAGTGGTGCGGGCCTTTTGTCGACCCCGCCCACACCTTCCAGAGTCTTAACAGTGAAAATGCCTGCAATATGCGGCCAATGAGTGGCTCGCAAGCCATTAATCAGCAGGGTTGATTTGGCACATGGAAGGGGAAGTTCTGGAGGTGCTGCTTGACTCGCAAAGTTCTGCCGGCCTCGTCGCCGCGAAGGTTGCCCAGTACCGCCAAGTGTGCGCACATTCGAAATACTCTCAACTCTCACGGCACTCTGTATTCAGAATATTGCAACTCGCTTTAGAGAATGCAGCAGAAAACACATCGAGGCCTTCCTTTGTTATGGAGTTGGTTACGGACAATGAAGGGAGCAATGTCGGAAAAATCCCAGGCCACCTGCGACGATTGGCTTACTTACTTGTACTATGGATGGGGGGGACGTCCTGAATGCACATCATCCATCGCCAGCCTTGCCCTCACCTACTGTACACTTACGAATGCTCTTTCGCAAGCAGGCCGACTAGTAGGCCGCGCTGTCTAGACAGGATAGTATTATGACGCTTTTCCTCCTCAGGAGGCACTGGACGTGAACTTTGGGCTGCGTACTCCAAGACTCCACTGTACAAGTGTGCTTTTACCCAGATCACGTGCTACCTCAGGAAAGGATCCATGGATCTCCCTGCTTCACGTAAGGGGGCGAGCTCCTTCGGCCTTCGCAGTCGAGCCACTTCTTCTCCACTTTGCTTTGCACTTCCCCCTCCTGCTCCTCGATCCTCCTCTCTACCGCTCTCTACCGCTCACTCCCTACACAGTTCGGAGTAAACACAAACGCGACTGCCTGGGCCCGCTCTCTGGTTCGCTACTCGCGCTGTTACTTGGGCGCGAATGTGAACGTTCTGATTCGTACTGCGCCCCGGAGGTGCCACTCCTCAGCCCAATTGCGTCCCCTCCCCAAGACAGGAGATCGACCCTGACGATAGTCCGCGAACTGCCCGACTACCCAGGGTCCATCGCGTCTCTGGTGGGATTTGTGAAGAAGCCCTCCGCGTTGCACTTCCGAGTCGAGGCCGGCAGCGAGGCCAAAGGCGACTTTTCCTGACCTCCTGCTGCTATCCCGACCCTCACCCGCCACCACACGCCTGCCACCATGAACGGCTTCACGGGTACGGTAGCGCCCCCCGGCGGCATGTACGTGCGGGCCCTCTACGATTATGACGCCGACGACCGCACCAGCCTGAGCTTCCGGCAGGGCGACATTATCCAGGTCATCACACAGCTGGAGAGTGGTTGGTGGGACGGGGTCATCAACGGCGTCCGCGGATGGTTCCCGAGCAACTACTGCGCCGTGGTATCCAGGCCCACTGGTGAGGTGGATGAAGAGCAAAACGGTGCCGATCTTGACGACGACCACGACACACAGTCCCTGGGCGGCGGCAGCACCTATACCAGTTCCGACACCGAATCCTACATCGGCAACGAGGCATCGTTACCCATCGAGAGACATGAAAACAAGGAGCAAGAGGAGGCTGCGTTTTGGATACCACAGGCAACGCCAGATGGCAGGCTCTTCTACTTCAACACGCTCACCGGTGTTAGCACCATGGAACTCCCGCTCGAGACGCCTGGTTTAAATGAGAACGGCCCGCGAGACCGACACCACGTCTTCATTCCCGATTCTTCGAGGCCCCCCGCCGAGCTCATGGCCTCTGGTCTCGTAGAGGATACCGACGATGACACCTCTGCCTCTGACGTCGAAGGCCACGGTATCGCTGCCTCTAATAGCTCAGTGGTAAGTTCTGCTCCCATGACTCCCGGACAGCGGGGTACTGAATGCAAACGCAGTCACGAAGAAAACGAGGGTCCAATGGGCTTTCGTCGGCAACGTCGATGGATTCCATCAGCGACGCATCCCCATTGGGTAGGTATGATACCAACGGTACCAGTTTCTCAGGTGCCTCCATCCCTACCAACGGCACCACGGTCACTTCTTTCGCTCACAACGCCACGGGAGCTCCTTCGCTGGCCTCCGGAATGCCTTGCAAGTACTTTGACGACGCGAATCCTGTACCCTTGACCTGGAACAGGATGGTCGAGGATATGCGCAAAGCTGTTGAACGATATCGCCAGGCCATCAACAACAGCGACCGTTCCGAATTCGTCAAACGCGCCGAGGATATCTCCGATCACCTTCGTCTGCTTCTAGCTGCTGGCTCGGGGACCACGGATAATCACTCGGGCAATCCCTCCATCATCTCCACAAACAAGGCTCTCTATCCGCATTTCCGAGAAACCATGTCGCGATTCTCCAAGCTGGTGCTCTCGTCACACATTGCTGCGGCGGACTTCCCACCACCTGATTCCTACTCCAAGTGCCTGAAGGAGGTGGACGGTGTTCTGCATGGCGTGTACGGATTTGTGGAGGTGGCTCGCCAGCAAAGAGGTGAGGAGATCCCTCGACTAGTCCCTGGCTTCGTTGCGGGGCGCACGTCGGGGGGTAACTGGCACAATAACGGCCTTGACGCGCGAGATCCTGCAGCATCCACATCCTTTATCGATCAGGAGGACTACGACCCACCGGTGGAACCTACCGCGACGTTGGATAACCGCCTTTTGGATAGGCTCGAAGACCTCAAGCGATTCATCATTCCAAGCATTCGTCGCCTGGATGAGCACTTGGCCATCAGGGAAAGAGTTGTGACACCTCAAAGGCACCAGGCGATTGGCGATGAGATCTGCAACGCGGCTGCAAAGGTACTTGAGGCGATGCGGCCATGGACGTCCACCATCGAGTCGGTCAACCTAGCTTCACTCAGCTCCACCGTGCAGGGACACCAGCTTGGAGAGTTCAGCATCCAGAAGCAGAAGGTCTATGACCTGGTGACGGAGCTGGTAATTGCTTGTCAAGGAGTTGCTTCTCCACTTGGCGACGAGTGGGCAGAACGGCGGGGCGACTCACTAGAAGATCGGGTTTCGGCTGTGAAAGCCGTGACGCGAGATTTGGAGTTGAGCGTCACGTCGCAATACGCATTGCTGCAACAACTGTCCGTGATGATGCCAGCCACCGATGTAAGGGCGCTCAGCGACTCTCGTAGAAACACGGACAGCGAAGTGCAAGGGGTCCACGCAAGAGGCCCTTCGGGCAACAGCAGGCCGTTGCTGGAAAAGCTCACGCAACCTCATTCGTACTCCGAAGGGACATCCCTCGAAGATAGCAAGATCGACGCGATCAGGAGCGCCAACAGCATGAAGAAGGTCAAGGACTTCTTCGGCGAAGTTCCTGTCCCCGCCCCTACGGAAGAGATTCCCGATTTCCTTAAACTGGATCATGAAGGGGAGATATCTTACGATCACAAAGTAAACCCGCCACAGCTTCGTGGAGGCACATTGATGGGTCTGGTGGAGCAACTGACAAGACACGATAAACTGGAGCCTGCGTTCAATAATACGTTCCTCCTCACTTATCGGTCGTTCACGACGGCATCGGAGCTATTCGAGATGCTCGTCAAGCGCTGGAGCATCCAACCACCGTACGGCCTGGCCAAGGAAGATTACCAAACTTGGGTCGACAAGAAGCAGAAGCCTATCAGGTTCCGTGTTGTCAATATTCTCAAGAGTTGGTTTGACAACTACTGGATGGAGGGCAATGATGAAGAGGCAAGGATACTGATCCAAAGGGTCTACAACTTCGCAAAGGACCATGTGGCCACGACCAGCACTCCCGGAGCTGCTCCCTTGATGACGTCGGTGGAGCAGCGATCTCGCGGACCAGACATGCCGACCAAGCGTCTCGTGCTCACGCTCAACACACAGACGCCTCAACCTATCCTCCCCAAGCACATGAAGAAGTTGAAGTTCCTCGACATCGACCCCACCGAGTTTGCACGCCAGCTCACCATCATCGAGTCGCGTCTCTATGGCAAGATTCGGCCAACCGAATGTCTGAACAAGACGTGGCAGAAGAAGCTGGCTCCTGGCGAACCGGACCCAGCTGCCAACGTCAAGGCCTTGATTCTCCACTCCAACCAGTTGACCAACTGGGTGGCACAGATGATTCTCACCCAACAAGATGTCAAGCGAAGGGTTATTGTCATCAAGCACTTTGTGAACGTGGCAGACGTAAGTAGTGCTCCACAAAGCGACAGTGCTCAATCTAACAATACACAGAAATGCCGACTCCTCAACAACTTCTCGACGCTCACATCCATCATCTCGGCGCTTGGGACGGCTCCCATCCATCGTCTCAGCCGGACGTGGAGTGCCGTAAACGCGCGGTCCATGGCGACTCTCGAGAACATGCGCAGACTGATGGGCAGCACGAAGAACTTCGCCGAGTATCGCGAAACGCTGCACAAGGCGAACCCACCCTGCATCCCCTTCTTTGGTAAGTCGCGCCTTGCCTGAAGGCCAACGTGATGGATGGCGTAAGCTGACAAGAACAGGTGTCTACCTCACCGATCTCACCTTCATTGAAGACGGCATCCCCTCGCTGATCAAGAAGACCAACCTCATCAACTTTGCCAAGCGCGCAAAGACGGCCGAGGTCATCCGCGACATCCAGCAGTACCAGAACGTGCCGTATCCGCTGCAGCCGGTGCCGGAGCTGCAGGACTACATATTGACCAACATGCAGTCGGCGGGGGATGTGCACGAGATGTACGAGACGAGTCTGCAGGTGGAGCCGAGGGAGCGCGAGGACGAGAAGATTGCTAGGTACGTATGAAGCTTTTATTCCACTAACTTGTAAGTGGGGAGAAGATGGCTAACGATGATCGTAGGCTGCTCTCCGAGTCTGGATTCTTGTGATGATACCCCCCAGCCACGAATGTCATGTAATTCTCTGTCCGTTGGTTCAACATGGTGCCTACTTGCTTTTTTTGATTTTGGGATCATTTTGCTCTTATGAATGGCGTGTTGGATATATGGGGTTTTTCGTGTATTTGGGTTGTTGGCGTTTGCAATGTTGATGTTTTTTGTTTGTTCGTTATTATCATTCTGGGTTTTGGAAAGGAAGGGAGATGGGAGGAGGAGGGAAGGAGGAGGGAGGTTTGGATTGAGGGAATTTCAATCTCATGCATCCCCTTTTGATTGCTTGGCTTACTGGATGTTATTGTTGTCATGATGTTGGTGGGGCATTTTTCAGTTCACAGCCTTCTACATTCAAATTTAGAAGCAGTACTCCCCTTTTGAGGTTTTTTAGGTAGTTGTGTATGGAAGCATGCATTTTCACTAGACTACGCCGTTGTTATTATTATCGCGCTTATTAACGCAGTTGTACCGCCCCTTTCCAGATCCGCTGGAAAGCGCGCCACTAGTGGGTAATCAGAACGCCTTCGCTCCCGAATAGGACTGGCCTTTGGAATTAACTAATCACCCAACTTGCAGCTGCTTTCAGTACCCCGTACGTGATCAACCTCCTGTTGAAAGTGGCTGGCTTGGCAGGCTTTCAGCCAACCAAACCCTTGTTTTGTAACCCTTGCGACCCCCTGCGACCCCCTGTTTTTCTCAGCGGATGTGAAAAGGGGCGGTACTGTAACGGGTAGGTAGGGGGCACCCCCTGGTCATGGTACTGTGGTAGCCGGTAAACCACCTGGGCATGCGATGTTGCATTTCTGGCAGAATTGGCGCATTGAGGGTGAGCCGTTGGACGTTGGATCGTGATGGGGCCAAGCGGTCATCAGTCATCAGTCAGCAATCATCAGTCAGCAATTATGTAGCAGTCAGCAATCAGCACTCAGCAGTCAGCACTCAGCGATCATTATTGTCATTGCGGGAATCGGGCAGGATGGGTCAGATGGGTGAGAGGTGAGATTGGGATTGGGATTGATATCGGGATTGGGAGTGGGATTGGCATGGCGAGTGAGGAATACGATGCTGCATTTTTCCAGACTGGACTGGAACTGGAGTGGACTGGGCGTCGTATTCGCACGTCCGCAAGCAAGAGCAAGCTAATAAGTAGGCGAGCACCTGAGGGGCCGGGGTGATACCATCCATCGTTGGTGAAGTAAGAAACGGTTCTTGAGGGATGGACTTGAAAAGGAAAAGAAATAGTGTGGTGTTTGGGAGAGTGATGTGAGGGAGTGAGCGAGATACGAGATAGGTATGTATCCCACCGAAACTATGTCGTGGTTTGGATGCTCGACTCGTTGCGAGTGTTCATGCCCCTTGGAGGGAGACTTCATGCATTGTATTCACCTGGGCATGGATGGGCATCAGGAAAGTCGTTTGGCAAACTCGCATCGGTCGATTCCGCTTTCCGATCCCGCACCTGATGGCGGCGCCGCTATTGCGAATTAGGTAACTAGTAAAATGGCTTACCTGAGCTGGGAAAGGTGGAAGGGAAAAGGGACCGAGGTTGGGAAGGGTGGGATGGATGAAACTGTGAGCATGTGAGCGTGAGGGTGGTTGAAGATGGCGACGAAGAGCATATGGGGCGGGCATCGAGATGGAGGGCGAGTTGGATGATTTTATTACGAGAGAGGCAGGATGGGTGGTTATAGGGGGGACTGTTAAGGGTAGGGTAGGGGCAGGGGAGGGGAACGGGGTGAGAGTGTGGAAAAACGGGAGTTGGGTTCTGGAAGGATGGGAGAAAGTTCGGAGGAGGGAGATGAGAGGGAGAGAGGGATGCGGCGTGGAGTGAGAGGGCAATGCTCTTGTCGTTGTTCGAGTTCTGCTGATGTTATAGATGGGAATGAGAAGTGGGAGAAGAGGTCGCGTGCTGCACCCCTTTTCTTCACCCGCTCTCCCCCTTTCGGCACCGATGCCGCCGAATGGCACCAACATTTTTGAAGTCAGGTCTGCAGTGGAAAACGTCTATCCCACTGATGTTGAGCGACAGAGACAAGGACAATATAGATAGATGGGGAATCTGTTGGCATAACATAGGCAGATGAAAAGAAGATGGGATGGGGCATGCAAATGCGGTTTCAGTTTCAGTACGACGTCCTTGACGACAAGATATGCATGCATGCATGCGGCAGGGCTGGGGAACATGGGGAACATGGCACAACGGTCGTAAACGAGACGAATTGTCGTGAAGCCAAGGGGGGAGGCGTCGGATTATTTGTACGACACGACGTTGTCGGTATGCAGGAGGCTTGCTGAGAGGCTGCTCCTCTTCCCCCAGGGATGCCACCTTGATTTTCGCTCCTGCTCCGAGTCTTGGTGATGGTTCATCAGCTGGGGGATGCGAGGGAACAGCTGGGGTAGCAGCAACAGGGAGGGATTATTTCTTGATGATGGGCGGCTGGGCAGTGTGGATGGGTGAAAGCCAACGGCCGACTCATCATTTCGGTTCCCTCTCCGGACCACTCACGCGTCTCGGCCGGCATTTGCAAGAAATGGAGCCAACCTTGGATGGACGTGGCAGAAAAAAGCATCCCAGGCCGGGGGCGTCCCCAGGGCGGGCGTGACTATTTTCCCAAAAATTGCGCGGCCCGCCTGACTATCGCGGGTAGGCCTGCCTCTTGGTCTGTCGCTCTCCCATAATCATCACCTCCTGGGCTTGCCAATCCCTACTTGTACCGTCCACTCCCTCGTGCCACTCATTTTTCCCACTTCTGGTCGCTCTTTTCCGTCTTTCCCTTCTTCTTCTTCCTCTTCTCCCCTTCCTCCCCCTTCTTCCCGACACTCGCTTTTAATCACACACAATGTTACGCGACGCTGCGGCCACCGCAGCCTGTCTACTATTAGGCCTGTCTCAACTGGGTGCGTTTCCTCAGCGCCCCTGCGCTGCTGACTCTCGCCCACGAAGGTGGCTGACTCCTCCTTCTCCACAGCAAACGCAGCATGCGAGTGCGGCTACTCGGTCAACAAGACGTCCGACAGCGAATTCGCCGTCTTCACCGACCTCATCGAGAACGACTTCCTGCACATCAACACCGAGAACCTCACCGAGTACGGCTGGCAGCCCCAGGAATACAACGTGACCGCCGAGGCCGCCCGAGGGAAATTCGGCAAGCAGATGACTGTGGAAAACTCCCAGACGAACCCCTTCAAGGACGCGAATGCTTGGAGCGGCGCGACGGATCATAGCGGCGACCCGGGCCTGCAGCTGTGGGTGCGAGCGGACCATTCCAATGGCCTCATCGGAGGCGCCGAGCTGGCACACCTCCGCAACGACTCGCGCTATGGCAGTTTTCGCGTGGGGATGAAGATGTCCGCCGTGAATGGCACCTGCGGCGCCTTCTACTGGGTAAGCGCTTCAAGTAGCTACCGGGTTGGGACGGCAGCGCTAATTGCAGCGACAGTACTTTGATGACTCGCAGGAGATCGATATGGAGTTCCTCAGCAAGCAGTTCAACGACTCCCAAGGCGCCGTGAACCTGGTCCTTCAGTCGCCCGATTCCGCCAAACTCCTTGATGCCTCGAATACCTCGACTTTCAGGGTCGCCCCGCTGCCTTTCCGCCCCGATGAGATGTACCACGAGTATCGCTTCGATTGGATGCCCGACAAGGTTCAGTTCTACGTCGACGGCGAGTTTCTCTGGGAGATGACCGAGCACGTTCCCGTCAAACCCAGCCGGCTGTTCTTGAACCACTGGAGCAACGGTGATCCGCACTGGTCTGCCGGCCCCCCGGAGAAGGACACCCCCATGACCGTCTCCTACGTGAAAGCCTATTTCAACTCGACCGACGAGGCACGAGCCAAGGTGCACACGCAGAACTGCCCTACCTTTGACCCCGCCAAGGTGTGCCCTATCCCCGCCCAAAAAGGCGCTCCCGATGGAGCCAACATGGAGACCTACTTCTTCTCCAAGGACAAGACAGAAAACAAGACGCCTGGCCAGAACCTCTACAAATCCGGCGCCACTTCCAACCTTCTCGGCTCATCGACCACATTCATCACCTTCTTACCACTAATACTAGCACTGTTCAGCTGCGCATTTTCCTTGTAACAAAAGTTTACCGGAATTTGTGGTCCTCACCCAAAACCGGCCGGTCGCCACATAGACCGCGTTCTACGTTCCTTTACCGATCTAGATCCCTTGTTGGGTCTCGAAGTATATCCCAGCATACTATACCGTTTCGTCCTTTCCCGCACCAGTCATGAGCACCTTTACGAGGCTACGGCGTTGGCTAGAGCATCTCATCGATCATCGTCATCGACATCACATTCCCTTCTTCTTCTTCGAGAACCCGACCGACAGAGACCTTTTTTCCAAACACCCTCATACCACTCCCTTCCACCTGAACGCTCTGCCAAAGGCCACACAGACCGGATATACCCTCAGAATTTCGCTCCTTTGCTTACAAAAGATGCGGGCTATGGGATTTGCGGATTCTTGAAAGATACGCAGTTCGACTATCCACGTACCTACTTACTATGGAGTACGCTACGCCAACAGCGCTATTCAACTTTTTCGATTCTTGTTCCTTTCTATTCAGCGAGCGCGAGGGCTCGGCCCGTTTTACGTTATTGCTGCTTCTTTTTCACACCTTTTTCTCTCTTCTTCTTTTTTCCGTTTCCCTTCTTGTATACATTTTGCTATATAGCAGGGAGCGTGGTTTCTCCCTTCTTTTTCTGCCCCTTTTCAACTTTTTGGATTTGAGGGACCCCAGCAAGCAAGCGTACTACTGTATTACCCAGTAATGTAATTGGATCAGGGATGGGGGAAAAGATGCGATCGATACCTATTCTCTACAACTTCCTCTCTTTCACTCACACTCTCCCTCGCTGCAGCGACGTCTGCACCTCCTTTTCCCCCCGAGTCCGGCCGCACACAATCGCCAATGGATGAGTACCCACTGTTGGTTGGATTAGTTTTTGCGACTCCACCTTGGACGGCACGCAGAGATTTTTCGATTGAAATCCGAGGGGGCTTTTGCTCCCACACCAGGAGAGCGACAAAGGGGAAAAAGGGGGAACGAGACGCGCGGCATGGCAGCCAGCTCTATTGGCTAGCCGGTTCAGTCAGCGCCTACCTACTAGGCTCGCCCGAGGTTGCCGCGACGTTTGCAAGTGGGGATTTTTAGGTGGGGATGCGTCAACATTTCGAAGCATCCGCGGAGGGGGAACTTTTTGGCTTGTTGGAAAGAAAGTATGCTCGAGGTTTGGGGTTTGGCTAGGTGGTGGTTCTTCTTCATTTATTACCCTTTTTACTTTTTATTTGGGTGTTTATTATTATCATTATTTTCATCATAGGGTTGGTTAGTTGGTCGGGTTGTTCAAACTACGTATGCTACAGCTTCCGGCGGCAAGGGCGGCAAGGGCGGGGTGGTTGTGCGATTCTTCATAGCATGATAGCGGTATCAGCAATTATGGAAGGTGTATCTTATCTTATCAATACTTGACTTGCTGGGGGTCTCTTGCTTGTGAAATGAAGGATTGTTTAGGTTATATGTGGACTTGGTTGGTTTGAGAGACCCCAGACATGAATTTCTTTCTGGACGCTGAGGTTGAAAGCCAGTGTGCTATCTACTGTCGTCTAACTTCGCACCGTAGGATGTTTTGAGAGCGATTGAGTTTCAGGAAACACAATGCAGCTTTCAGGTATTGAAAGTACCTGGATTGATGAAGCGGATACATGGGCATGCGAGGTGAGACTTGCTTTGGGTTGCCGGGAAATAAGCAGAGGTTACGCATTCTATCTCCGGTGGTGAAGACTAACAAAGGTCTCGTGCCAATATGATACCGCCGTGGTATACTGTGTAGTTCACTAGTAATGTGCGGAGGACAGTAGTGTGTAATCGATCATTAGCAACCCCTCGTGACGTCACCTTCATGGGATTCGCCCAGGCGCTGGCCCCCACGACGAACCGCAGTCGCGGACACATGCACAAGCACCTGCATTGCATTCGGGGACACATTCTAGACAACCCCATTATCGAGTATTCTTAAAGACGACGAATTTTCGCAGCCAGCATCGAAACTCGATTTCCCATTTGGAGAAACTGCAGATGACATCGCAAGCCCAATCGGAGAGCACGGCTGCGACCAACGGGACACGAGGTACTTTTGGCATTTCCATCTGATGTACTGTGGTACAGAATGAGCCAAAGCTGACGCCCCATGCCGAGGACGAACGAGTCGAGTACGGTACACGGAGGATGAGCACTGATGGCGAGGCACAGGACTTCTTGAAGGTAGCCACAGCCCTTACTCTTCAGCCTCACCCTCTTGCCAACGCAACACAACGCAACGACTAACCCACCTCCGAGATCTCCTTCGACCAAAGGGAAGCCAAACGCCGCAAATCCTCCCTCGTCCCCTCCACGCGCCCCGAAACCCAGTGCTTCGTGCATACCGTCCTCGAGCACCAGAGAGGCCACACCTCCATCGAAGATGTCGCGCTGTCCAACGAAGGGCTGGCGCAGAAGCGCCACATCGACAAGGACCCGCACAACAATCTCGACCAGGTGCACCACTCGCGGCTCCTGACCAAGAAGCAGATATCCGACTTGACGCTGGGGATTCGCGAGTTGAGCAAGAAGCTGGCGCAGCTCAGGCTGCAGTTGCGGGTGCGCAATGTGTTTATTCTTACCAAGGCAAATGATGAGAAGTTGATTGGGTATTCGAGTGAGGTGACGGATTGGTTGTTGTCGAGATATAGCGATATCAATGTGTATGGCTGCGTCCGTGGAGGGAAATCTGTCCGCACTAACTTGGACGTAGTTATGTGGAAGAGACGATGAAGGATCATAAGTTGTTCAACGTCCAAGGGCTCATCAAGAAGGGTCCGACTCACGAGCAGCGATTGAAATGGTGGAATGTCACCATGTGTAAGGAGAGGCCTCAGACATGGGACATAGTCCTTGCAGTAAGCAGTGCCAATTCCCCGTTCCATACACATGCTCTAACGAAATACTCTAGCTCGGCGGAGACGGTACCGTCCTGTACGCTTCATGGCTCTTTCAACGCGTAGTGCCACCTGTAATATCCTTCTCTCTCGGCTCTCTAGGATTCCTCACCAAATTCGACTTTGAGCAATACCCCGTGACGCTCTCCCGCGCCTTCGACGAAGGCATCACCGTCTCGCTCCGCCTCCGCTTCGAAGCCACCGTCATGCGGTCCCAACACCGCTCCAGAAGCGGGCCCAAGGACCTCGTTGAAGAGCTCATCGGCGAGGAGCAAGAAGACAACCACACCCACAGACCGGAAACAACACACAACATCCTCAACGAGGTCGTAGTCGACCGCGGCCCCAACGGCACCATGGCGACGATCGAACTCTTCGGCGACGACGAGCACTTCACCACCATCCAGGCCGATGGCGTCTGCATCGCCACCCCTACCGGCTCAACAGCGTACAACCTCGCAGCCGGCGGTTCCCTCTGCCACCCAGACAACCCCGTCGTCCTCGTCACCGCCATCTGCGCGCACACGCTCTCCTTCCGCCCCATCATCCTGCCCGACACGATTGTCCTGCGCGCGGGCGTGCCGTACGATGCCCGCACGAGCTCGTGGGCCAGCTTCGACGGAAGGGAGCGCGTGGAGCTGAAACCGGGCGATTATGTGACGGTCAGTGTGAGTAGGTATCCGTTTAGTAGCGTGTTGCCGCTCGATGGGACGAGGAAGGATTGGATCGATAGCATTTCGAGGACGTTGCAGTGGAATAGTCGGCAGAGGCAGAAGGCTTTTGATAAGAATTTGGTGTAGGGGGGTGGAATTGCGTGGTCGAAGGACGGTACGGAAGGAGACGGTGTTGATAGTATCTAGGCAGAACAAGGTGTCCGTGCAGTTGGGTAAAGCCGTGGAAGCACGGCATGTAGATATGTTGGGAAATTCCAAACGCATGCTCGAAACGTCTTCTTGAAGGGTAATTCTACGTGATGTACTAGCACAAAGACAGAGGGGGTATCTCAAACTCAAAAACACGCTATATCTTCCGGCCAGAACTCATATCTCGCCTTCCTCGGCAGCCTCCTGCCTCCTAATCTGCTCCTCGAGCCTCCTCTTCTCCGCCTGCTTCAGCCTCATCATGGTGATGTCCTCGAGGTTGGGCGTCTTGGGCGAGAAGGAGAAGGAGAAGGACGGCGTGCCGGGAACACTGGCTGCTCCTCCACCGATTCCACGGCTTCCTATACTCGCGCTGAAGGAAGATCGGAAGGAAGGTTTCTGCGGTGTTGACGGCGCGGATGGAGTGTGTCCATTAGCATTAAATCCGTTACCGTTGTTATCAACTGTATTGCCGCCTACAGCAGGAGACACAATCTCGGGCTCCTTACCCGCCCAGCCCACGCTCTCCAGCAAGGGGAAATCCGCCTTCGCATCCAAGACGGCGGCATGCGCGTGGTGCAGACGCGTATACACGATGAACACCATGGCGACGACTTTTCTGTGCTTCTCCCCCGGTAGGCGCATCTTCTTGTCCTTGCCCACGATGACGCTTTCGACGGGTCCGTATTTGGAGAAGAGGGTCGCGAGAGTGGGTTTGTCCCAGGTGGAGGTTTCGTCGGTGTCGGAGCGCAAGAAGCGGATTTTGATGGTGCGGTCGATTTCGGGTATGCCGTCTGTTTGTAATGGCTTCGCATTCGCACCGGGGTCTTTGGAATCCTGTGTCGCCTCCGCAGCAGCAGCGCCCGCAGCAGCGCCCGCGGCTCCCGCCTCCGCCCTCTCCCTCTCCCTCTCCCTTTGCAACCTCTCCTGCGCCTCCCTCCGCCTCCTCCTCCCATCCTCGGCCAACCTTGCAATCTCCGCCTCTCTCCTCTCCACCTCATCCATCTCCTCCATCCTCTTCCTCTTCGCCCCGGCCACTGCGCCCGCCCCCTCCCTCTCCCTCCTCTCCAACTCCTCCTTCATCTTCCTCCTCCTCGCATCCAACATCTCCTCCCTCAACGCCTTCTCCCTCCGCTTCACCCTCGCGCCATCGTAAATCGCTTTCAGCCTCACGTCCAGCAAAATGTCGCGCGCGAGGCCCAAACGGATGAATGTGTCTGCCGCCGTGGCATCGTCCGGGTTTTTGTCCGGGTGGTAGAGGATGGAGGTTTTGCGGTAGGCACGTTTTATTTCGGAGTCGCTGCTGTCCGAGGTGATGCCCAGGAGGGCGTAGAAGTCTTCTGGAGCGGTTTTGGCGGTTTCTTCGAGGTCGCGGTTGGGTGGGGGGGAGGACATGGTGTGGTGGATGGGGTTTGGCTGGCGAGTTGTGGATATAGGGGTACGGAAGGTGAAGCTCGTGAGGGTTCGTTCGATCCCTGTTCTTTTTGTCGGGTGCACTGGCGATAAGGTGCTAGAGGAGAGAAAGGTGGTTGTTGTGAAGGTGACTAGGGCACAAAGCAGAGGTGATGATGGATCTGATGTTTCAAGAGGCTTGCGGTGATCGACGGGTAGCGCCACCCGCGGTCTTGGCATGCAGGGCCCATCGTCACTCACGTCGAGAACTCGAGATTCCAGAATTTGTTGTCTGCACTTGTCAATGCACGCCCTCCCTTCATTGGGGCGCACAGTCATGGCTTCCACTTCCAAGGAGTCGCGGCGGAAAGTGGTCGAGGGGGTATTTGGTATGTTAACCTATCCTGAAATCATAACTCCCCAAGATCTTTGAAATCACAATATCCACCTACACAATCATGATCAAGACTGAACATTCACTAACCCTCCCCGAGCAATCAACAAACCCCAATGGGCCTCCTCCGCCGGCATCCTCCGCGACCTACAAACCGCCTTCCACGCCTCCGCTCTCTTCACCCCCTGGCTCACCTCGACAAAACGCAGCATGCAGCTCTCGGGAGCGCGCCGCCGCGCCATCGAGCACCTCAAAGTGAAGCTCGGCCACGGCGGAACTCTCGACCCCATGGCGACCGGCGTGCTCATCGTCGGCGTGGGAAAGGGGACAAAGTGTCTGCAGCGATTCCTCGAGTGCACCAAGAGCTACGAGTGCGTGGTCCTCTTCGGCGCGGCGACGGATAGCTACGATGCGGTGGGGAAGGTGGTGGGTCGGGCGGCGTATGCACATGTTACGAGGGAGTTGGTCGAGGAGAAGTTGGCGCGGTTTAGGGGGAAGATTATGCAGAAGCCGAGTGTGTTTTCGGCGCTCAAGGTCGATGGGAAGAAGATGTATGAGTATGCGCGCGAGGGGGGTGAGATTCCGGAAGTGGCGGCGAGGCCGGTCGAGGTGTTGGAGTTGGAGATGGTAGAGTGGTTGGCGCCGGGGACGCATGAGTACAAGTGGCCGGAGGAGGAGGTGGGTGGGGAGGAGAGGGTGGGTGCGGAGAAGTTGATGGGGATCAGGGAGAAGGATGCGGCGAAGGGGAGGGGGAGGAAGAGGTCGAGGTCGAGGTCGAAATCGGCGGAGGTGGAGGTGGAGGTGGAGGATCATATCACGGGCTCCGAGGCACATCCTAAGCGACCCAGGACAGACACCGAGCCCGCCATGTCGGGCGCTCTTCCGGTTGAGAATGCCGCTCCCCGGGAACCCTCAGCTGAAGCTACTCCTGCTGAGCAGAATGCTGAGCCTGCCAACCCCGAATCCACGCCCGTAGAAACGGCAGAACAACTACCAGACGAACCCAGCAAAACAGAAGACCAAACCCAGTCGAACACAACATCCACCACACCCCCTCCCCAGCCTCCTGCCGCCCGCCTCCGCATGACGGTAACGTCCGGCTTCTACGTCCGCAGCCTCTGCCACGACCTGGGCCTAGCCTGCGACTCCCTCGGCCTCATGTCCTCGCTCATCCGCACCCGTCAGGGCGACTACGAGCTCGGCAAGAACGTGCTCGAGTACTCCGACCTAGAAGCCGGGCCCGAAGTCTGGGAACCCCAGGTTGAAGGCTATCTGAAGGAGTTTATGGAAAAGGAAGGCTGGGAGTCCGAGGAGGTGGAGGATGAAGAATCCTGGCTGGCCAACAGGAAGGAGAGGGAGAACGGGAAGAGGGAGGCCGATAGGGATAGGTCGTTTCAAGGGGCCGGCGAGAAGAAGGGGAACGGGAACTGGAATAAAGGAAAGGGCAACTGGAAGGGGAGGAAGGGGAAGACTTTCTACTCCAAGGATATGAAGGGTGGGCGACAGGATTGAGCGGAATGGTTATGAGGTTCACTCTACGATGGCACTTGAGATACCCATTTCTGGTATGTTCCAGACATAATGCAATGTGTATAAGCTAGATGCGTCACTCGCACATGGTATCAAGAAAGAAAAAGCACCTATCAAACGCCTCCGGAATATCATATTCCGGCCTTATGCAAACTTCCCAATGCCCAACCATAAGCTGGCATACGTGCCAAGCGTAGAAAATCACCCAAAGATCATGAGCCCTGTCATATTCACTCCCTACTTCATCGCTCAAAATCATCTCCATTCTGCAGAGAGTCAGTGGTGTTCAAGATCGGCCCTGCGCCTTGTACACCCTGCTGCTCATCTTTCTGCTCCTCGCGGTTGATGAATATGAAAGACAGAAACATAATAACAGCGCCGACCCAATACAAAGCACTGCTGTACTGTGAATCCAGAATCATCTGCCCTATCAGCGACAACGGGATGGTCAAGCTCAACCCCACGCTAACAATAAGAGGTGAGGTAAGCAACATTGCGTATGCCCAGCTGTAATCAGACACTAGGGACGAGGCGGAATTCACAAGGACGATGGTAAGAATGCGGTTGGTAGGAGGCAGTTCGAAGGGCTCGACACCGGTCCAATGAAGCAGAATGAATCCCGGCCAGAGAAGTATCACATTGAAGAGTCCGACTAGGCCAAAGAACAGAGGCATGTTGACTTTGCTCTCGTCGCCGATGCGCTTCTTCATCAGGATGGCGTAGAAGCCGTACAGCACCGCGGAGACAAAAGCCATGACATCGCCGAGGGCCAGTTCGCGAGGCGTCTTGTGCGGAAAAGAGCCTCGGTTTTCGTCGGTCTCGCCAGAGGTATCGATGGAGGCGATGAGCACGACGCCAACTAGAGAGGCGACCACGCCTAAGAATTTCCGGAGTGTGAAGCGCTCCACACGAAGGATGGAGCCAACCAGGAGAGTCCAGATACTGCTCGTCGAGGTGAGAATGGTAGCGGAAGCTACGGTGGTGTATTCCAAACACGCTGCGGCGAAGTAGTTTGCGCAGAACCAGAGGATGCAGAACTCGAGGCTCAACCGGACCGTCTCACGGAGTGTCAATCCCTCCCCTTCACTGTCGAAGAGCTCGCGGCTCTCCTGCATTCCATCGCCGAGCAGGAGTTCTCTGGCTTCCGAGCGGCTCGAATCTCGGCTCTTTGCTGATGCTACAGAGGATGAGCGTGATTCATGATCGCGCAAGAGCTTGTATCTGCCCACACGGCGTTTGAGGAGGTCTCGGATACTGGTGACGAATGGTTGAGAGGGATTCGAGCGCTCATCCCATGCATGCTTTGCTAGCATAGGTATGAGGGGGATAATGAAGAACGACGTGTTAACGTAGGTTACTAGATACGGTTTCGAATATGAGTTATCAGCGAAGATAGTCTACACCAGATCGCACCGGTTAGCACCAACACATCAAACCGAATTCTGCATGGGAAGCAAACATACACTGGCCAGAAAATTACTCGTGGTCCACAAGAACACCGTAGCCAGAAGCAATAGGATTCCGATCGCGTGTCGTAGTCGACTATGCGGCTTCTTATCTTCGCGCCAGTTGCTCACAACACTGGCGGGTGATAGTATGGGGTCCTGGTTCAAGACTTCGCGGACATGTCTTCCATCTATTGTTTCTCCGCTCGTACGGGGCGAAAGAAAGGAGTCGGGGTCCCGAAGGGGAGAGGTGGGCGACATTGCGGAGGGACACTACGGAGGTTGTGGGCGCGGAAGAGGAAGGCCGTTTAAAAGGGAGAGCGAGGAAGCCGAAACATAGCAAGAGCCCATGTGAATCTGGCCTACTAGTGATGAGCAGATAGATTGAAACAAACGTCAAGGGACGGGCTATCGCGTGAGACTGAGGAGGAATGTGGGAATGTCTTGTGTAACATCCAACAGCTGCAGGGATACCCGCCGACCCGCCAACGGCGGACGTTGTCCGTGTCTCAGGTCAAGCTGGAGCGTCACAGCCACTTCAGCCACACTTTGTTACGTCACACGGGGACTGTTTTAAGACGGAAGTACGATTGGTTGTTTTTCAGCGAAAAACATCAGGTCGTGATTCAATTACATCCATACATGGTAGAGCTCATACTCTATGCAGGTATCTGTTGGAAGAACAACGGTAAAAGCCGCACAATGCAGCCCACCTAGCTCCAAAACACCAAGAAGCATACAGAAAGATATGTGCAACCGCGTGTACAAGTTCAGCGTATTAAGAGGAAACGCCTGCTCGACATCATTCCCAAGGCAGTCGAAACTGTCTGTGCATTACTGCTAGCATGCACACCCGCTCTGTTCTCCTTTGAGATCAATGGGAATCGTTTCGGGGAAGTCGGAGTTGAAGTCGCCAACTTCCTCCTGTGCCAGCGCCTGTCTAGCGATCACTGTACGCGTCAGAAGTGTCTGAGACGTAGGACAAAGCAGAAACATACCTTCGAAAGCTTGCTCAACGTTGATAGCCTCCTTGGCGCTTGTTTCGAAATATGGGATGTTTCCCTTCGACTGGCAGAAGGTCATGGCTCGCTTAGAAGATATCTAGACCGGTGTTATTCTCTGATGCTTGTGAAAACTAAGGCCGACTCACCATCCTCTTGCTCTCCTCTACGTCGATCTTGTTGCCAATTACAACCTAGTGCAATCAGTCCCGGCATCTTACAAGCGTGAGATTCCATGTACGCACAAAGGGGAAGCTCTCAGGGTCCATAGGGCTCGCTTGCACCAAGAACTCGTCTCTCCAGCTGTCTAGCGCGTCGAAACTCTTCGAATTATTCACGTCGTACACCAAGACGCAGCAATCGGCCCCGCGATAGAAGGCGACGCCCAAGGACTGAAATCGTTCTTGTCCTGCAGTATCCCAGAGCTACCGCCAGTCAATGACGGTCAACCAAAATGCACGTATTTCGACTGACCTGCATCGTCACCAACCTATCGTCCACCAGCACCTCCTTCGTGAGGAAATCGGCGCCTATCGTTGCCTTGTAACTTGCGCTGAATTTCTTATTGACCTACGATACCGACGGGTCAGCGATGAGGACAACTATGGCCAGCTACGTTGCCGCTGCGATGTAAGGACGATCGTACGTATTGGTTCATTAAGCTCGTCTTTCCTACCCCGCTGTCGCCGAGGATGATAACCTACGTTGCGCAGTCAGTATGACGCCAGCTTCGGAAGCCAAAGGGCATACCTTGAGCAGAACCTTCTTGCGGGAGGACATGTTTAGGGAACCCGCCCCGCGCAGAAGAACGGCTTGTTGTGGAGGAAGGTGTGCTGCGGCGGCCTGATGGAGGAGCGCTCGAACGGCGAGACGAAGTAGCGAGAGAATGTGTGCAACGAAGTGATGGTAGAGTGCCGCGACAAGGCCGAGGGGGAGTTCGCGATGGTTGTAGAGAGTTTTGCTATGTATGTCGAGAGATGCGGGTTAGTGTTGCGGTTCCATGGTTGACGCATGATGTGCCAGGTTGTTACAGCAATCGCTAGCGCCAAGACCGCGCTAGAACTGGGTGAGCTTCGTCCAATGAGCGCAATTCATTCTCCGCGCCTATTCTGTGCATCCCCATTCGGCACTACCCACTTGCGTATTCGACGACTGATTGCGGGAGTCTGTGGTTTGTCTAGCACAATGGCGCAGTTGATATCCACTACTGCTTTACATTGCGACGATGACCCTATCCCAGAGGCTATATCTGCTAGCTCTCATCAGCTACAGCGCGATTGGGAAACAGGTGTTACAGATTCCCGTCATGTAGCGCCAGACGATAACTGCTAATGTATCAGGCAATCGAAAGTAAGTCTAAACAGAACTCATGTATGCTTCTTAGCGTTAATACACGCCAGTGTTGTGCTGTGCGGGATATGGAAGCAGGGAAAGCTCCCCGGGCAATCTCCAAAGGTTCATCTGCTTCTAAGGCCCAGAAGCCTAGGATTCCTCTTACGATGCGGACCTCTCTATCCTCCCTAAGTACTTGAAGTTGGTCTCTTTCTAGGTCATCCAATCGGCTGTATCCGGAGATCGGACAAGCTTTCATATATGGGAGCATGCCCACGCCTATTCTTTCACCCATCCGCCAGAACACCATCTCCACAATCTACTTTTTTCCTCTCATCTGACCATGATTACCCACTACTGGACCCTGAAAAGCGCCGCTTGGTTTCGAGTTCCACAGACGCGTTGCGCCACGGCACGCGACATGCACAAGCTCAATTTCTCATTCGTTACCGTCTGGTTGCGGATATTATGAGGTCGTCAATGTGATTGTCGCCCAGTGCTCACTCGTCGGTTTGTGTTGGCGTACCCTAGCTAGCGGTTTCTGGCAACTAGGGTTCTATGGATCTGGCATCACCCGGATGAGATATGCCATATTGCGCCTTCTTAATCCCACTTAACCCCTGATAACCACATGGGCGCATCTAGCCACAAAATCTAACTGCAGTATAGATTTTAAGCCTGATAGAGTCGGAGCCGCCTGGGAAATTCTCAACCTTCCAAGCATCATGCGTCTGCTCGTAGAGAGTTTCCTCACAATCGTGGCCCTGGCAACGGTATCCGCGACAGCCATTCCGGGCGAAATACATGATAAGAGATCCATTGTAAAACGAGCCGGCGTAGTGTACAATGTCTTCGAACATGCAGCGACTGGAGCGAGGATCGAGTTCGTCACAAACTCTGGCATCTGCGAGATGACCCCAGGAGTAAAACAGCATTCCGGCTATTTATCCGTAGGGGACAACATGAACATGTGGTTCTGGTACTCTTGCCGCGTGCGTTCATGGAGACACAGTTGTTGACAGAGATAGGTTCTTCGAAGCAAGGCAAAGTCCCTCAACAGCACCACTTGTGGCTTGGTTCAACGGCGGACCCGGCTGCTCGAGTATGGTTGGGCTTTTCCAAGAAAATGGGCCTTGCAAATTCCAGCTCGGGGCTGAGAACGCAAAGCCTATCAATAACACGTATAGCTGGAACAACTACGCAAACATGCTGTACATTGATCAGCCCATAGGAGTCGGCTTTTCATACGGGGACAACCAAGTAAATTCGACGGAGACTGCAGCTCCTTTCGTTTGGAAACTCATTCAGGCATTTTACTCATCCTTTCCAGAGTACAGCAGCCGTGATTTCGGCATCTTCACGGAGTCCTACGGCGGACACTACGGCCCTGAATTTGTGAGATACATTCAGGCGCAGAACAAAGCCAAAGCGGGCCAGCACATCAACATCGTTGCACTTGGCATCAACAACGGCTGGTTCGATTCAGAGATCCAGGAGGCCGCGTATGCGCTGTTCTCGCTGAACAATACTTACCGGCCTCTCATTTCAAAAACCCAATACGACCTCTACACAGGCCGTTACGCAGATTATTGCCTTCCGGAAATCCAACGATGTGCAAAAAGTGGCGACAATATGGACTGCTCGAACGCTCAGAGAACATGCTATTACACCATTGAAGGACCACTGTATAGTGCTGGCCCGGATCATGATGTATATGACGTTCGCGCTCCCAGCAACAACACTGAACCTCCACCGAATTATATCAAGTACCTACAGTCTTCGGCTGTTATGAAGGCGATTGGGGCAAAGAGTACATATCAAGAGTGTCCGGATGCACCATACAACAAGTTCCAAACTACAGGCGACGGTAAGCATGCAACCGAAGCGAACGGTTTCGGGAGAAAGCTAATCCAAGCAGAGGCACGCTCGTTCCTTGCACAGTTGGGCGAAGTCGTCTCTTCAGGGGTAGCGACTCTGATCTGGGCAGGGGACGCTGAGTGAGTCGTCCTGAAATTCCGCGAGATGATATTCTGAACCCGTGGTTAGTTGGATGTGCAACTGGTTTGGCGTTCTCGACGTGGCCAACTCCATCCCGCATCCCGGCCAGCAAGAGTTCGCCGCGAAGCCTCTGACGCCTTACACCGTCAACGGAAAGGTGAAGGGGTCGTTCAAGGCACAGCAGAACTTGTCGTTCCTGAGGGTCTTTGATGCGGGCCACCTCGTCATGTATTACCGTGAGTGTCTCGCGCCCTTTTCCTTCGGTGCAGCATCAAGTCCGCAACGCTGACGCCGTGGATCAGAACCTGAACTTGCGCTTCAGGCATTTATACAGACGATGAGGAGAGATGCGATTGAATCAACGTAATTCAACGTGTCCAGTCCTACAGTTAGAACGCCCAAATGCATGTATTGATTCCAACGCATCTCTCAATATTCACTTCCATCAACACCTAAGCCATGTCGGGCTATATATGGGTACGGCCCGACCCAGAATTCCCCTGTGGCTTCTGACTGGTTCCCGATCGGCGCAAACTAGCTTCAGCTCCTTCAAGCAGGTCGTCCACCCAGAATTGCCGTCTGTATCCGTCAGCGGGGTTGCCAGTCCGGGCTGGAGTTGAACAGACAACTACAACTCCGAGCTCGGTTACATGAGTGGAGTTTGAGGTCAAGTGTTCAGCTTCATGCGGCATGTTACAAGCTTCTCCGCAGTGTCCCGGGCTGCAACTCCTCTTCACGCATACCTACCCTAGGTTAGCTATCCTGCCTTGCAACAGGGACTCACCCAACACCCCCCTCTGCTTAGTGTTCACTGATTATCTGTGGGACAGACACTGCTCTGTATCCTGCGTCCACCATGTACTGCAACTGACAGCGGGCTTTGGTACGGCGACACGAAAGCCTTATACAGTACACAACTGAGTACCACCCAAGTACGGAGTATAAGATTCTCTTTAAGATTCAAGTAGGATTGTTGCCACCGGACATTACACAGTCTCCACGGGGCCGGTGGCTTGGCAACTCAGGGCCCATCTCACCCACTCGATCTAATCTCAATACAGAGCGCGTTTACCACAATATGCAGGTGTGGCACCATTTTGCACTTTTGAGAACGTTTGTACAAGGAAGATGAAGGTGAGAGAGGAATGAGAAGGCACCGAGATCATGTGTTTCACTCGGCCAAGCTATCCAGAACGTGGAACAACAACGCCGATGGCTTGATATACGGCAATGGTTACCACCTTAATCACCTCCTCACGAGGGTCAATGCAGCGGAGATACTGGTGCCGGACCTATAGCTAGCGAAGATAATCCGGTGGAATGATTTATGAGTTTGGCGCTCCGCCATTTTCGAGTCAAAAGTCGAACAGTCGATGATACCAGATATTCCTCTCTCATCCGCCTGATGGTTTTGAGCGTTATGGGTTTGGCTTGAAGTACGGTAGGTGACGATGTCTCCTTAATCGCATCATACTTTGATTTTGTCTCGAGCGATGGATGTTGGGAGTTACCTCGCGCGCTTCCCGGATGGATTTCTCCCGCGAACTCGGCCGCTTGTTGCTTTTGCAGGAATGTCGCTTCGGCAGTAACAGAAAGAACAATATGAGGAGGGTCTCTGCTTGTTGCAAGAGGCCAACCATCGAGCCTCCTTCCACTGCCCCTCATCCTCGGAATCGACGGAGAGATCGTTGCGGCGGCCAAGAAAGTCTATCATCGATCTACAACGGGACGACACCACCCCGGCTCTGAGATATGTTCTTCTTCCTGGGCGGGTCCTAGCATTTGGACAAGCATATGGCTTCAAGGTCATTTGTGTGTGGCAGATTCCACTCCAGTGACCATCCCCATTGGCTCGGCTGACAGTGCGGAATACGGCCTTTGTTCCATTCTCCAGTCCGCCCAGAAGCCCGTGTTTCCAAATATTCAAGTCTAAGCGGGCTTTTGAAGCTGCGGACACCGCGGATGCTGTGGTACAGGTTGAAGAACAGGGCTGCGTTCCGGGCTAAGACAAAACCGGAGGCGGGTAACACATCCCTTCCTATTTCTCATTCCGCGGAACGATCCATCTCTGATCGAAAACTTAGGAGCTGGGGATTGCCAACATATTTCTACTCCCTACACGGATTTCCAGTCAACAGTTCCCAGGTTAAGATGCTGCAGTCCATCTCCTCGTCTAGGCTCGCCACGTTGTATGGCAGACATTTCCCCGACATGCACTGCGCCCCAATCACAGTCCCTAGAGCTCCCGCAGCTGACAAACAGCTTCCTGACACAGATATATCTGCGCGTCTACCCCAACACCCTTCTGTGGCCGCTCCTCTCTCGTGGCCTCGAACTCTCGATTCCAAGTAGCTGCCCGCTCCCCCAAGGCCAGCACTCGCCGACTCCGACATCCCCTCCATCTGAGAGGATGAACATGACCCTCGACGTCGGCCTCGAACCCGACCCCAGAGACCTCAGCACCGCTCCCGCCCTCACCAGCAGCCCCGCAACAAACTCCAAATTCACCCTGACCATCGACTGCGACGGCCTCCTCAAACCCTCCCAGCTGGCCCCCAACACCTTCGTTACCAAGACCGCGGTCGAGGCCGCAGAATACTACCAATTGCCCTTCCTGCTCGCCATACCCATGCTGCAGGAGATCAAAATCAAATGCTTCCCACACCTGCGGCTCCCTGGGCCACGTGCCCGATGACACGTGCGTGACGCCGCTGTGGATGGTCGGGGAGTGGTTCGTCGAAGAGTATGGGAAACTCGGGAGGGACGCGAGATACGCGTATCACGTTAACGGTGGCGGGCAGAGAGACTTGAATGAGCCGGATGCTACGCTCACGGTGCTGATTGACTAGCTTTCCCCTCGGCGCCATGGCTGGTTTTCGGATCGATACACAATGCGAGATCAATACATACACTGGAAGAAGGATAATTCCCAGCGGCCGGGATACCCATATACCGAGATCGACAACATTGTATAGACTGTCCCAGGCGATGGGCGGACAGGAAAGGCAATGGTGCCATGGAAGGCCCGAAACAGAAGAAGAAACACAGCTCCCGCAGCGTCCCCAGCTTTGACTGGAGAAGTTCGATATTCACGGTGACTGGGACCTTGCTCTGGACACTCTTTGCCACGCCCTAGGACCTCCGATATATCCTTAGGACGAGGAGTTCCTTGCTGGCCGCTCCACAGACTACGATTCCCTGGAAGGCATCGTTGGTTATGAGATATCAACATTTCACTTTGGACTCCGAACCGTTGGCGAGGAGCCCAGGCGAGTACTGCCAATGCCAAGACATTATCTCTTGCGGATTGGGAAGAGATATACCCAGCAGGACTTTCGTACTTCTCAAGGTCCATGGTTCTTGCGGCAACTTGATGGGAAGTTCCAATCAGTTTGCCCTTCCCGCTGTCACATTTCGGAAATTATCCGTAATCATTGCAAGAATTTGCCTTTTCAACACCGTAATGGCTGTTGAATCAATATCAGATATAGATAGACATGGGACGAACCACAACCATCATCGCCCGCAAGACTGTGTGCAATATGCAGAAACGATGACAATGCCTACCAAGTTTACAACGCTCCAACTGTTCGTCTCCAATCGTCACGCTCCAACGCCCCCGTCGAAACTTCGCGCAAAAACCTGAAAATCCAAAAAAATTGTATTCTCTACGAACCACAGAGTGCACGCTCATAAGCGATAGAAATCATCCCACTGCCACCCATTCTCCCCTAGAGCTTCTTAGACTCCGGCACCGCCGTCTTGAAATCCCTAAACCCACCGCCCTTCCCGTGCCCCTCGGCCCTCTCCTCCTCCTCTCCATACCGCGCAACACTCTCATCACTCTCGTCATACGCAACCGACAGATCCGTAATCTCATCCCCGACCTCCAGCCACGTCCCACTCGTCGCGGGAACGGGCCACACCCTGCACAGCGCATAGTACACGGCGGCCGCGACGATGAAGCCGCAGAAATAATTCAAATCGTAGATCCTCTGCGCGCCGATGGGCACGTCGCGGCCGATGGCACCAGCGAATCCGACGACGTTGATGAGGATGCCGGCGATGTAGGCGACGTAGCCTCTCAGGTGGAAGCCGAAGGTGAAGTAATAGGGTGCCGTCCTCTTGGCCGAGTAGAGCTGCTTGACGTCCAGGTAGCCCTTGCGGACGAAGTAGTAGTCGCAGACCATGACGCCGGCGATGGAGGAGAGGAAGACGGAGTAGGCGGAGAGGTAGGTGGTGAAGCTGTTGGTGGAGGAGAGGAGATGCCAGGGACACATGACCAGGCCGACGAGCGCGCAGATGTAGCCTCCGCGGCGGATGTTGATGAAGCGCGGAGCGAGAGCTGATAAGTCGGTGCCGGCGGATACGCTGTTCGCGGCGATGTTGGTCCCGAGTTGGGCGAGGGTGAAGGCGGCGGCGATGACGAAGACGCCGAAACGTTGGGCGGAGCCGCCTTCTTGCAAGAAGGATTCGAGCAGGTCGAGAGGGTTCCAGATGGCTTTTCCGAAGATGACGACCGAGGACGAGGAGACGATGATGCCGATGAAGGATGTTATGGCGAAGCCGAGGGGGATGGTGAGGAGCTGTGGGAGGAACGCGTCGCTTGGCTTTTTTGCAAAACGGGCAAAATCCGGATCGTTTACGATGAGCGTGGCGAAGTTGGCTATCGACGACATGGTTCCGCGCACCATGAGCCAGCCTAGCTCCGAGCCTTTCGCCGTTCCGGGTTGGTGGACGATGGGACCTATGCCTTTGGCGCGTACGATAGCCCAGATGAAGAAGGCAATGCCTGCTGTAGGGACGAAGTAGGCCTTCGCCGTGAACAAATGGCGGATTTTGTGTACGGGAAACCAGATAGCAGGCAGTGATCCGGCCCAGAAGATGAAAAAACTTACGAAGGCGACGGTGTTGGTGCCGGAGTTGGGTATACCATTCGGGATTCCTCCTCCACCGTCACCGAGGTCCTGGGATTGTCAGGCTCATATCTCTCACTAGAACAAGCCCACTTACACTGCGCCAATTGTTCCAGATACTGCGGATCATGAGGTAGACGCAAGTGCCGCCAATCCAAGCCTGCACTCCATACCAGATGCAAGCCATTGCAGCACGGTTGAAAACAGGCCACAGCGCTCCCCAAATGCCGAAAGACGATCGTGCAACCACAGGGAAGGAAATATGATATGTTGCACCGATTCGACCGGTCGAGCATACAAATGCACCAGCGATGGTGTATCCGAGCTGCGGACCATTTAGCATTCGGTTTCGCCACTAAGTTGGATGTATTTACCCAAACACAAATCCACGATTGCCACCAAGAGAGACCGTCCACAATCTGTGCCGAGGAAATCATCCAAGTGTTGATGTTGAAAGAGTCAGCTGTCGACATGGTTAGTCTACGGGTGCTCGCACTACAAGTTTAATGTTCAGGGATATCCTGTAACACGACATCTACTTACCGACCCAAAAGCCAACGAAATTCCAAGGACCCCATTGCCTTCGCTCAGGCTCGACCGGTTTCAGATCGTGATTGTGCAACAAAAGCTGGGTACTGCTGAGCCCTGGCTCGCTGTCACATGCGATCCTATTCGCATAGTAGGCAAGCTTCGACCTTTTGACTTTCTCCATGACGGCTGATAAAAAATCGATACTGTGGCTCGGGGAATGACGGTATGCGGTAGTCTCGACGGGGTTTGTGGAATATATGTCGCTGTTGCTGGAGGTTGAGGTTGCTTGGATATGACCCCTGTCGAAATTATGACGTGGGGTAAATGGTGAATGGCCAAGAGGGTCAAGGGAACCGGTTGGTGGTGGGATCAGCGGTTGGCGCTCTGGATCCGTTTTGGTGTCTTTTTTCTCACGGCTTCACGACTCCATTCAGAGTCGGCTGAAGCTCGTGATATCGCGCAAAGGAGATCCGTAGCGGAAGAGAGTGCGGGTAGGTGAATGTTCGGACAGCTCCTACAGGTGCATGCATATATAGTGCAAGCATGATTCAGGATTACTGCCAAACCGAGACAGTGATATTCCGCTATCACTGCCTCGTCCCGCTGCTTATCAGTTCCTATCGATACCGCTCTCAACCCATCAACATCCCTGGCACTTGGGGCGCTCGGCCATGACATGTGAGAGGACCCTGTAATCCACAATCGACGTATCCAGTGTCTTTTCGCGGTCTAGCTTAAATCAGGCACGAGAAATTCTCGGTTGGTGGAGAGCGGGTGAGGCTATGACGGGTAACCGGTCCTTTTCCTAGAAACGCTAGAGAACCCAAATGTAGTGGCTAGCTATAGGTGGGTTTAAATGCTATAATGCGCACGCAATCTGGCTTCGGCTAGGTTCTCATTCGACGATGCGCTCTTTAGGTGACTTTTTTGTCTGTGCAAGGTTGATAAGATGCCTCCCATTGAGAGACCTGTTCTGATGATGCTGCGCGTGACGTCGCCCTCGTTTCCCAGGGTTGCCGTTGTCCGACTGGCCTACCGCACGTGTCAGTGTAAGTATCAAGTAGCATAGCGTGCCACGCGGAAGATAAGGTTATGTGGGGTCGCTTCAAGGGCACGCGGGAACGGGAACGTATCACTCGGCGGCAGAGGCATGAGTTTACTCGATCACATCGAATAATACCCTAGAGTAGGCGGTGCCAACACCACAGACCACCCCTCATCGAAAGATGGTTCGGTCTACCTGGCAAAGTCCTCACTAGCGTATACAGTAGACTAAAGTAACTACTAACTTGAAGAATTATTACATTCGACCATAGCACACCCAAAATGGAGTCCCTACACAGTACACCGGTCGACAGAGAGAGGTATCTCATTCATTGGACAGCGACTGCTTAGGCTAATTGATTGTGGCTTAACCCCTGGGGAAGGCGCATGGTGACAGGAACAGTTTTGGTCCCAGGAAGCGGCGCAACTATTTAATCCTGGCCGAACTGACCAACTTCAATCAGTTCCGCCTCTCCCCGTCCTGTCCTCGCTTTCGGTGCTTGCACCATCCGACAATTCGACTGAATTAGCGGCACCTAATTATCTGCATCTGGCGATTGCAGAGAATTATTGGAAATATCTTGGAGACTCCTTACAACATGCTTGCCGTTCGGTTACTTTCGGCCCTGCTTCTCACCGCGACTGGTGGGCTCAGCCAGGCTTCGTCAACAAACTTGCGGCCGCGCAATATCACAGGTCTGGTCTATCACCTCTACGCGTGGACGGGATCGTGAGGCTACCTAGTTACTATTCATGTTTGAGCCCTCAGAAGGTCCATGCGGCTCAACTTGAGACTAATTAACGGCTCTAGATACTACAACGGGACGACGACAATTCGCATTCAACCTCAGGACCTTTTTCCCGACACCGAATGTGATACTTTCGCGAAAGAAGTAGAAGTGAGCTATGAGAGCTCGGTGCTCGCCATCATTGAATCAGATCCGTCCGTTCCGGACAACAACGAGGTCACATTTGCCCTGAAGTATTGGGACAAAAGCTTGAATGTCGTGCCCGAGGACCTCGTCTATTCCAATGGCCCTGTCAACGACATCACTAACATAGCATCTGTCAAGTAAGTCCCGCACATCCTCCCGCGTCTTCCTTCCAATGGGCTGTTAAGGTTGAGAGTAGCTCACCTTGACCTACTGTATAATATAAATTCCGGCCCGAGCCATGATCGCCGTTCGTCCCGCTGATGATCATATCACAGAACGGATGGGGTACGTCCGGAAGTCCACTGGAGGCTCAACACCTCCCACCTATCCGCCACATCCTACTCGTTTGCGGGGTACCGCAACGAATCCATCTCCAACCCACCCATCCGCCTGAACTATTCCCAGTGCAGCACACCCGACCTCGCCCAGTACAACGGCTTTCTTCTCCAGCCCGGCGGTTACGGCGATGTCGAAGCTTTGAACGTCACGTCTTACCCGACTGTGAGCGGACGCTTCGACAACCAGTCCGCCTCGCTCGAGATCAAAGGGGTGCTCGACGCCAAGATCCCCGGCTCGGACATCTGCGGACCGGTGACCATCAGCTTCCTGGGGCAGCTTGATGGGAACAGGTCGGACGAGCTGTTGTCGAGCTCGGGCGACAAGCCAGCGTGGAATCCGACGCTGGGTTACTCCAAGACCGTGTTTCAGTCTTCAGGTGCCCCAAGTCCCGAATGGAGAAATGGAGTGAGCTCGTGGTTATATGTCGCAGGGGCATTGGCCTGCGCTCTATGGTTGTTGTAGGGGGATGCTATCATCAGAACATTCTTCGGTCCACTGGCAAAGTCCTCGCTAGCGTTGTATATATACAAACGCGGCTTTATTAATTATTACATACGACCATAACACACGGGAAATTGAGCCCGTCCTCCTGTTTCAGAGCTTTTCGGTCACTTAGATTTACTGTTTCTGGCATCTTGGAGCCTGGCTTCTGTTTCCCTGCACAGCATCCCGTACTATGCGAGCCTCAACTCAGCCCCCCACAAATACGGCACAGTGCGCCAAGAAGTATCTTGATTTTGAACAGACCCAATAGATCCGCGACGCGTTGACCGTCTGCCACGTCAGCGTCAGCAGAACCGGACATATATAGCTGCGCAGAAAACGCGGCCAGAACGGAGTAGGATTAAGTGAATGAATGGATGGATGAAGGAATGAATGAATGACTGAATGACTGAATGAATCTACACTGATCGAAATAGTGCGTAACGCAACAGAGAAACCCGTACGAGGCTTCGACAGCCGGCTTCTTATAATGGCGACATATTCGTACAAATTATTGACTGCCCCAGATTCCTTCAGGCTCCTTAAGTTGTATGGTGAAGATGAGCCCACGGAGACATTACGATGCGAACTCCTCGAATTCACCATCAAGGATCCTCCAAGCTACGAGGCCATATCGTATACGTGGGACGGCCAAACACCCAGCCAACCCATATCATGCGATGGAAAGCAACTCCTGGTCACGAAAAATTGTGAAAGCGCGCTGCGGCATCTCAAACCTGCATCTGCTAGTGAGCACCGTCTGCTATGGATCGACTCTCTCTGTATCGATCAGTCATCAAATCCTACTTCCATAGCCGAACGCCAGAGGCAAGTTCGAATGATGGGATCAATTTACAGCCAAGCCACTCAGGTTCTCATCTGGCTGGGGGATGGGACTGGGACATTGCGTCACTCGCCAGCTGCAGAAGTGTTCCAAATCTCAGTCGTTTTTGAATGGTTGTCCGCACTCTCGGACGCAGCAAGCCGTGTAAAGCAGGGCGAGTACACTAACCAGCTGCTTGACGCGCTTGCACAGATTGATGTACCTTGTAAGTCTCACCTCTCCTGCTTAGTGCGTAGATTTCTTATAGAAATCGTTGCCTATGGTCTTCATGACCCGTTCGATCAATCGCTCACGGGCTCGTAGGTCTCATAGATGTTTTCGTTGAAATCCCTTGGTTCAAGCGTGTGTGGACCATTCAAGAAGCCGCTCTTAGCCGTCGTGCAATTCTCATCTATGGGCAAACCAAAGTTTCATTCCAAGCAATCCTTCAAGCGAGACAAGTCCTTAGAGGCTTTGCTCTGACCAACCACCGCGCGAATGAAGTAGTCGCAGCCCTCGACAACGGCTTCGACATTCACGATAGAGCCTCAAGATGTTTCTCTAGAAACACTCTAGGCTCTTCTCCAGATGCGGCTGAATTATTGGAAGAAGCGCGTTTTTCCCTGGCATCGTTGGAAAAGGATAAGGTCTTTGCCATGTACGGACTCTTTGCGGCTATGGATCTTCAGTTGCCTGAGCCAGACTACTCGAAGTCTACGGCACAAATCTTCCGTGAGACCACAATGGCGATCATCAACTCAAGTGGAAACCTGGATGTCCTTGAGCAGGTGCACGGATTGGGACCAGCGGTGGACCTCACGTCGTGGGCACCAGACTGGTCTACCTTTAAACATGCCATCATACCTATTCAGGGGAGGCAGAACTGTCGTTTGGCGACCAAATCTTCAATTCCGAAATTTAGCTTCGACCCTACGGGCACACGTCTAACCATTCAAGGCCTCGTTATTGAGAAGATTACTTCCCGGGCTGATGTTGCGATTGCGCATTGCCATGAAGGCTTAGGAGTTCCAGAGGACTACATGCTTTGGTCCCAAAACGTCCAACCCGATGTGTCGTTCTGGCGCACCATGCTAGAAAGCTTTCCTCGGCATAGCAAGACGATTCTACGTGTTTGGAACATCCATGTTTTCCAGAAACTTGCGGCTTTTGCCTTGCGAGGATGCGACGTGGAGCAACAGGATGATGATTTCAAGGCTTTCTTCGCGACATTGCTGAGCAGAGAGCATAGTTGGGTGACAGCACAAGAGGATCTGGAGGGCCTGACGAGATGGTATGACGCACTGCATGGGGCCGCAAAAGTACCGCAAGTAGAACAGACCACTTGGATGACCCGGACAAGCCGTCACATCAGGGAATCGCCAGAACTCGCACCACTGCTGGATACGCAAGAGTTCTCCGTGTGGGATGCCATGTCCAAGTCGGTAGAGCTCTCCAATATCCACCGCCTCATTGATCACGTCTCCTTTTATCAGACAATCTTTCGGACAGAAAGTGGGAAGCTAGGCATGGCTCCGTATCCTACCCATGTGGGGGATGAGATTGCGCTATTCTCTGGCGGACGGCTTCCGATGGTGCTACGCTGTCAGCAAGATGTTTCCGGGTATCGCCTGATCTCACCTGCTTATGTGCATGGAATTATGGATGGATCAGCGTGGCCGGATGATGGACCAGCTCTTCAAGATATAACACTGATCTGATACGACTGCTATGAATATTTTTGACTTCAGATCTATCCTACTATATTGCATAGAATTCTGCTTCATTCTTTTCAGGTACCCCAAGGTTGTTTTACGAGCACGAAGGGCTTTTCTGCTCGTAAACAGTTGGACGGATGCTCGCACGGCTCAGAAAAATTAGCTAAACTCTCAGTAATATCATGTTGACTTACATCTATGCGGCCGAGATTCTTTCTGGAAATGAAGTCGGGGCCGTCACCCCATCTCGACTGCTTACATACAGTGCCTTGTCTTGGATCCTCCCTGCCATATTCTTGATCGCCCCAGAACCCATTGAATTTCAACCATGACGTGGGGGCATCAGCGGGGTGGATAGCTCTGAAATCACCAGTTTCCATGTCGAACGAATAAATCACGAGGTTATGGGATGGGTCCCAGAAAATTCCTCGAGATGTATAGTCCAGTATCTCTGTCTTCTCATCATCCGGCATAATATATTGGTGATTCCTATCTTCTTGTTAGAGCAGAAAACGTGCACGTGCACTACAGATCTGGTACCCTTCAATGCCATATAGCGCATGCGTACCCCTACCGGCGAAAACTACAGGCTAAGTTCAGTCAGCAAATATTTATGAGTCTTCTCATCGGTCTGGCGCACCCGGATGCCTTGCTTCTCCAGACTGTCATAGTCGTACAGTGTGCCGGAGGCGTGCCGGCTGAGGTATACCATTTTAGGTTTATCGGCTTCAAACCTGATCATAGTGTACTCGAGATCGCCGACATGGTCGCCAAAGAATCTGGACGGGTCGCTCGGCAATCGCGGTCCAGCATTGAAATTGTAAAAGTAGAAAGAGAACATGTCTGTGACCCGTACATCATTCTTAGCGTCATCCTGGACGATTTTGTCAACCAGGACGATCGGCACAACACAGGCGGATGCCCCTTCTTTTGAGGGACGGCAGCCATGTAGCCACGAAGGATACTTTGATGGATCGTCGCGTGAAGTTAGGAAGATGTCGCGGCCTTGGTCTCCGAAAGCATTTAGGGCGTCAAGATTATTCAGGGTCAGGTTTAGATGCTCCGCATCCTTAATCGGCTTTTCATGATGGAAAGGCGTGACATAGTTGAGGCTGTCAAAGTGTGAGAACGAATCAGCCAATCATCCGATATGAGAAACTCACAAGTCTCTGATACTACACGGGAAATATTGCTCATGCTCGTCCAAATACACAATGGGAGCTTCACTTGAGGCATTAGCAGTCGCGGAGCTCGCCGCCTGTGTTCGCCTACTATGGTCTATGAGATTGCGTATGTGTGGTGGAACATTGCTTGACATGATAACTGAAGCCGAAGAGAAAGGATGGATGATAGAGATGAAAGTAAGCAGTACGATGGTGATTTCGAAAGGAACCTGTGAGAGTTATATTAAATAAGCACATGCTTCGGCTACTAAAAATAGATATCTGGCACATAACTGTCTCAGAAGTTTCTACTGTCGTGGAAGAGCGCCGCACTACGAGGAATCCTATTATTCAGTATACTACATAGTATACTGTGTAGTTGCTAGGGAAACGGGGATGTGCAGCTATACTTTGCATACACCGTTTTCTACCTACTCCTGTCAATGATTTCCAAGCTGAACCTGTTCCTACATGTACAGCACTTTGAGGTCCGTATCACCTTCAGAACAGCAGCACCTGTACGCTCACGCATCGAACAAATCACAGATCACGTACCCGCTATGCAGGAGCCTGCTACAGCACCGTGGGGTCTGAGCATTAGCGATGCCGACTGAGAGAAGCTCAAAGCCGGATTCGAGCCTCAGGATCAGGATGACGACTGGCGCGTCTCGGTCACGAGCCAGAGCGACAACATTGTCTCCGGTTGGGCGGCGTTTTCGGAAGGATCTTGCGTTGCTCGTTATTCTCCTTTCCTTCCTTGAACGGCGTCAATGGGCCCGCTATCAGTCCAGGCGATAAAGGAGCCTAGTGCTGAATCCCACAACACCATGCCACCTTCATTATCCTCATTCCTACCACTCTCGTTCCCCATACATCCTCACAAACATCTCCACTTCCAGCTTAACCTCCTCCGCACTCCCAACCTCCCCCGTCCAGCACTTCCTTACAATATCCCCCATATACTCCGTTTCCAAACTCGGCCACTGTCGGGCCTTAACCCTGTCACCGATGTCCCATTGAAGAGGCGTGTCGTGGGCAACCCCCACCATGAACTCATACAACAAGCATCCGTAAAGATACAGGTCCGTTTGCTGGGTGGGTTCTTCTTCGCGGTCATCATGGTAGCAATATGGAGAATTCACCCAACTCCCTGGGTATCTGTCAAACCCGGCGTCCACGAAGCCGAAAAGGAAGAGACGGGGACGACCGGAATGGCGCGAGTAGTCCTCCGATATACGCTGCTCCGTAGACACCCAGCAATTCTGCTGTGTGAGGAGGCCGAAGACGATGTCGTGCGAATGAATGAAGGCAAGGGCGGATATGAGGTTCAAAGCCCACTCGTACATCATTGGCCGATGGGCGGGTAGAATGCGGGCGGATGGCGTGTCCAGAGGTGCAGTGTACAGTGCCGCTTTGCGCTCATGGAGGAAATGAGGTAAGGGTTGCCCTGAGGGAGTTGCTAGGATGGGAAATGCTGTCCATGGGTCTCGTCGCAGGAATCTAGCATGCCGGTTAGTACATCATTCTGTCGCACGTAAACGCTCCAGGCAGTTTGCTTGGTAGCAAAGGTAAACAATCTGAAGAGGCAGTTCCACCACTTGCAATTGCAAGAGACCCCTTATGCCCTCGCGGCTGGCATGATAAGTGAGTTTGAAAGACACCTGGAGTGTTCGCTTTAAATATCTAGCGAGTCCTCTATATAATATGTCTTCCTACGCGCTGATTAACGGCAGACCAGAGCGCCGATCGACTCAAACAAGTTCTCATCGCAAGAAGACGGAGGAGCGCAAGAGAGCAACCAAACTAGCACTCACGATAACAAGTTGGGGTGGTTTTGCCCGAGGCGCTCGTAGACCACAGTGGCTTGCTGACAACGGTGTGCGTTATAGTGCTCGCGTCGCCATCCGGCGTCGTCGCCGTCTGGATCGTCCGCATATTCTTGGTCATGGGCATACTCATGTGGCACCAAGATGATGGACTCATCATCAAGAATTGCGCCGTAAACGGCGTATAGATCCGCACAAAACCGTCGTGGAATCGGGATGGGCCGTTTGCCGGTAGCAGACGGCTGGATTCTGGCACCCTGGACGGTCCTTGCCATGTGGATGAAGTCTATGGTGGCCACCAGTAGCTACTTAAAAAAGGAGCAGGAGGGAGTAGGACCCTTGGATCGATATCGAGGCTGGAGGTGCACGGCGAATCATATACCGTGACTAATCGCGTAATGCACAGCCTCGCGTAATGCACGGCCTCGCGTAATGCACGGCCGAGCCTTTCTACACACGAATGTCAACACCCTTTATCTCCACTAATATGGGGGCTATCGAGGATGCACTAGCAGCGCTAGAAGCACAAAAAGATAGAGGAAAGATCAATTTAACTCAAACTGCGGAAAAATTTGGTGTTCAACGCTCGACGCTGTCGAGGCGTTGGTGAGGAATAACCCACCCCCGTGCAGAGAAACACCAAAATCAGCAACTTCTCACACCTGTTCAAGAAAGCGAGCTTATCCGATATATTGATCAGCTATCTGAGCGAGGTCTACTGCTGACTAGGTCCATGATTCATAATTTCGTGGCTGAAATCGTCCAAAAGCCTGTTGGAAAGTGCTAGACAGATCACTTTATTAAACGGCATCAATTTGACCTGGTATCCAAGTACGTTGAGGGCATGGATATAGCCTGAAAATGGGCTGATTCTGCCTTCAAATTGTCAGATGGTAAACCAGTTTATGGACATCCCATCTGGGACTGAAGAGGAGGACT